TCACATGACGATATTAGATCACATATATGAGTTCAACATCACTAATCAAGAGCATATTCAATGATTTCTCATACAAGTTATTATTATTATTATTTATATTTTAGCAATTTACTATCATGTATATTATGAACTAAGTATAATTTAATCTTAATAAGTTTATTTATCTTCATTAAACATCATACATGACTAATACTCTACCACATAACTTTGGTAAATAAAATGAGATAATATATACACTATTAGAACTAAGACAAGAGCTATTTTCTAGATCGTTTGATCTTATATTTTGTTTGATTCTTTTGCTATTTGTTTATTTATCTCTCAATCATCTTCGTGTGCTAAGAGAATTTGTAGCTCTTTATTATAAGTTTCTTTGACTATACCTTTTATTATAAGAGAAACATAATCTTTTGATTATTATAATTTGTATTTCTACCTCAACTAACTTAAGTCATCATTTGATTCCCTCATTACAAATCCTAGACTAACTTCCTCAAATAGCAAATGATTGTGAACTTTGTTAGGTGGTCATATTTAATAGTGGTTTGGTGATCTTGTCCAATTCAAAAGTCTTGTTCAAAATCTAATTTAAATTTCTAATTCCTCTCCAAGGTAGGACTGTGCTTAATCCTTCATAGAGGTCATTTAGGCCTCCAATGGATTTAATCATTTTAATCTTCTCTTCAAGTAATTAAGTGGTCTTCTCAACCCAATTAGGTTATGTTTAGATATTTAACATTAATTCTTTCAATGAATAATGACATAATTTTATAATTATGTTCGAATTTTTCTATTATTTCATGCTACTTGATATCAAAAAAATGTTCACACAAGCTTTCAACTTGTGATGTACCAAATTTTTGTAATAATTAGTTTTTTAAGTCTCTCTATGTTCTGAAAAATTTGAATCTCTTCATCTTCATTTTCTAAGATTTTAAACCTCTAGTCATTAATTTTTGGTGCCATTGAACTAGCTATGTTACCACTTAATAAGAACTTGGGATTGAAATAGAAAGAAAGAGAAAAATAGAATTTTAAAATAATAAAAAAAGAAGGAACATTGGGTTTTGAAAGCAACCGTATCTATAGATCATGTTGACCTTTTGAGATGACCACATTTGTCCTCAAGGGTCCACAACCTGCTCAAAATCTTGTCCTACCCTTCTCCCATTCCTTCTTAACCCTAATAACCCTTCTTCTTGACAAGATATTGACCTAATTACTCCTACTTAACCCTCACATGACCCACACCCTCTTACTCCTCTTGTAATAAGAGACTATCTTTTACATTAATGACTTTGCAATATATTATGTCTTTTTGAAAGTGAATAGTATTACATAGTAAAAATGAATATATATACATTTAAAAAATTTGATCTATAAATTTGTACCCTCATATTAAGACAAAAAATAAAGCATCATTATAAAATCGTATTGTATGTGGATGTCTAGTATAAGTATAATTTCATTCATCAACCTTGACTAGTTTTTTCCTATAAAGTAATGCTTCAATTTTATTTGTGTGAATGTATGCCAAAATATATTTTTTTACATGTTTACATTATTGACAAGCTTGAGATCACTTTGTTAGTTTGAAAAATAACTAAAAAGTTCATCTTTGATTTTTCACATGAGACTACATGAAATATTGGAATCATAAATGACTCATATTTGTTAAGTCAATTCGAGAAGATAAATAATATTTTTTTAATATAATAAATATATATATTTCGTTGTAGTTTTGATATTATCGATATAAAATATGTTCATAATATGGTAAAAGAAAATGAGATTTAAAGGGTTTCTTTATTTTCTCCGATGATCACATAAGTCCTTTTCTTGACCTCATGCATGTGATATGTTATTGATCTCATCAAGAAAGTCAATACTTTTCCCTGTTTTTCTTCAAAATATTATATATATACACTCAAAAAATCAATTTACTTTAACCAATTGATCTAAGGACTCTTAAATCTTCAAATGCCCATAAAAATATGGTAAATCAATCTTCATACAAAAATATCTAGAAATATCATCTTCAACTCTAAATTTAAAAATTACAAAAGTATAAGTATTATGAGTATCTATTGAAGATTTAATATATGTGATTTTTTTACTATATCTGATTTTATGATCTCTAGAAGGGTGTGAATGATTTTCTAAGGCACTCATTCTTGTTAAAAGTTATGTCAATATATCACTAATATCTTTAAATTTTTTATCTACTTTGTTTTGAAACTCAATGAAATGTGATTTTAAGAAAATGACATACTTCAAATACATCCTCAGCACTAATATGAGTGGATTTATTTAGAGACATCTCTGAATCTTGATTTGAAAATTGACTTACTCCAATACCAATTGATGTAACTATAACACAAAAGATAACAAGATTTGTGATTTGAATTTAGAAAGTTTTAATATTGAAGAAGAAACCAACTTTTAAATTCACAAATCAAGAGTCTTCAACCATTGAATCCACAAGGGGGATGTATGAATCCATAAAGAAAAGGGGAGAACTCTCATAGTGGATTAAAATGATTAGAATTGAGACCTTTATGTAAGCGTAAAAAAGAGGTGGAATCCTCCTAAAATGAAGATCATGAACAAATCCTAGGGACAAACTCTAACTAAGTTTGAAATGACTTAAAATAGATAATTTTATACTAAGATCTTGAACATATTTTGAGTATAGACTAAGAACATCATTTAGAGTATCGAATAGAGACATAAAGTTATTTCTAGAAGGAAAAATATATAAAATAAAGAGCAAAAAGTTACTTTTCAACCCTCGATGACACTAGTGACTTATTTGTGCCCTTTTTTAGCAGTCTTCACTTTATAACTCAACTTTGGAGTAATTACGTTTAAATTTAAAGTTGGGGATATAACTTTTGTGTCTTGGGCTACATCATTAGGTGAATAAATTGACATTAGTTTTTCTTACAAAGATTTATTCAATAGTTATGAAATTCAAAATTTAGTAATTGAAATTTAGATTGTGTGTCTATTTCTTATAATCTTATTCATGTTTTAATGGGATGACAACATCTTTCACATATTTAAATTTTTTTTTCTCTTATTTCTCAATATATGAATCATGCTAGACTTTTCTTCAAAGCATTCAATTACCTTATAAAATTTGTGTTTTGAGAATCATTTGCAAGTATTGGCTTATCATGTTTAGGTTAGCTCAAATCCATCTTCAAGGCCATGCATATTTCAACTCTTGAGATTTCTACACAAGTTTGCATCTAACAGAATTAACTAAGAATATGTTGAAATGGATAAGTGAAGGAACCATCGTTATTTCATAGAGTTCCATCTTCAAAACTATCTATTTATTGAGTTGCTTGGAAGGGCTCTATAAAGTTGTCTTCAAATTATGTAGGTAATGCAAAGGGCAAAGTAGTTGACAAGTATCAAATATGTGGTGTTTCCATGCATAATAGTAGTGTTAACACGGCTTGTGCAGGCTGATTTTGTGCTTTGCTCAACATCACTCTGCATGATTCTGATTAGAGCACAACAATCTGTGTTCCTTCTCATTATTATTTTTCTATGAGAACTGATATAAAGGTAAAATTCATGACTAGGCATATGCTAAATATATGGAATAAATCGGAGGTTGAACGCTGGGTGATAATTTGCTGAGTTTTTTTCTTAAATATTATTGATATTAACTTGCGTCAACTAAAAGAGTTGGAACCGACGACCCTGCATGAAGCCGGTACAGCCTAACTGCTATCAAAAGGCATCATAGCAACTGCCGTTTACTCTGCAATTGTTAAGCCTTGAGACGTGTACCAGTTCTGTTAGATGCTAAGAGTGCAATCTCCCTTGCCTAGATTGTGAACTTATTCTCCAATGTAATTGATTAATCATATCTCAGTTTGGAATAAGCATTCACCGCTTGTTCTGCTGAATTTATGCTACGAAGGGGCATTCAGACCATGGCTGTCGCTGGTCTCTATCTCAGATGTATTGCTGATTAGTGGTTGCGAGTTGTTGCCACTACCAAATGGCACAGGAGGCGATTCACAAGGTGCGTTTCCCTCACGGATTCCTGTGTTCTAGAAGAGATAGCCTGAGGTTGGGACTGCTGCAGTAGCTGGATAGTCTTAGATACCTGCTAGTTGTTGGGTATATGAAATCAACTCAGTTGATACGCCGCATCTATCTTTTCCTATAGTAATGGAATGAAGAATCATCAGGAACACTCGGCAGAGTAAACCAGAGAAAATTGCTGCTTATTTGCTATCTTACACCGTTAGCCCTAACTAGTCTCTTTGCATATGCTCCAAGGTTTCATGATAGAAATGTAAGATATATACTTCTAAAAATTGAATTAAATAATATTATTTTGTTATAAATGATGCCCTGCTCTGACTATTTGTAAAACTCTGCCTACCCATCTCAGAAAACTTAACAAAGATTAGATGATTTGGATAAGAAAAACTATGTTTCAATTGCATCAGCTCGAGAGAAACAAGAAAAATAATGTGGGTGAAGAAATTAACTTTATGAAAGTTATATAAAAGGTCATACTTTTGTCATAAAATGCTCTGAAAATATGCCCTGTTCTAACTATTCATAAAACCAAGCATACCCATCTGAGTAAACTGAAGGATTGTGAAATTCGGAGAATAAAGGTGCCGAATCAGAATTATCTCCACACCGGAAATACCCGGGAGATGGGTGCATTAGAGAAATGACCAGTGATATGCTCTCTGGCTCAGTAAGCGGAACATCTCTCAAGAACACTACTGTGTGAGCAATTGGGCACCTCCCCTCTCAGCCTTGGGTGAGAGGAAGAAAGTAGATGGAGAGGCGAAGAGGAGGGAAATCTTCCAGACCATTCACCTCCCATCTAAGCCTTCCTTGATCCTTCCAAGTACGTGGACATGCAAGCGTTCTCCTTGCTTCTTCCTAGAATGTGGATATGGGAGAGCAAACAGAGAAGAGTTTCTGAAGTACAAACTGAGCGGCGGAGCCCCCGGTTAGTCGAAGCTCGATGAGCGGCTCCCCCTCCTCTGAAAGTAGTCTTCCAGAGAGCCGTGGGCCATTATGAAGTCAACGGCGTGCTCGGTGCTGCTGATGGACATGGAGTCGTCGTCCACGTCGAGTAGCGCGAGGCTGAGATGGGAGCGGATGGTGGCAGTGGGGGTGGTTTCCTCATCTTCTTCGTCCAGCCCGCCGCCTTCCTCCGAGGAACCACCGACCTGAAGCTTTGCCCACTTCACGATGTCTTCGTCTCCTTGGAGAAGCTTCAAGACCTTCCAATCAGGAGACGAGCGCAGACCCATTTAGGTGAGTTGAAGAGCCGAAAGCCTAGAAGAGGAGGAGAATCAGGTGGAGATCGAGAGGATTTCTCACGAGGGCCATCCTCGGGCGCGACTGGGGAGCTCTTCTGATGCAGAGAGAAGCGGCGAGGATCGTCCTCTCAGCTTCTTGTTGGTCGTATTGGTCTCCTAAGCTTGAATCCAGCAGACCGGTGGCCTGGTCATTTCCGAGAAACGGCTTCGCCTGCCGCCATGATTCAGGGAAGGGAGCTCTTTCAGAGGTCAAGACCTCTCTCTCTCTCTGTGTTCTTATAATCTCTGAACTCGAAGACGGGTTGAGGGGAAGCTTACCCATGTGACCAGGCTCTCCTGGCGCTTTGGGGAGACGGCATTGATGGGCTTCCTCCCGGTGAGAAGCTCCAGGAGCACCACGCCGAACGCGTAGACGTCGATCTTCTCGTCCACCTTCCCGTACATGAAATACTCAGGAGCCAAGTACCTGTTCGGCCAAATGCGAGCTTCAGCTTGCGGCCTGTTTGTTTCCAAGGGAACATATCAGGGAAAGAGATGGGGCTTGTGTTACTGACCCAAATGTCCCAGCGACGTCGCTGCAGGGTGCGTGTGATGAAGACGACGATTCCCACTGAGCGAGCCCAAAATCAGCCAGCTGAGGCCCAAACATCAGAAGAAGCTCATGAGCAAGCCGGACGACCCCGATGGGAAAATTGCACTGCATCTGATCTAGTGGAGTATGGCAGTACCCGCGGTTCGTAATCATCTGAGAGGAGGATGTTTGATGATTTGACGTCCCTGTGGATCACAGGTTTTCCGGCGCCATGCAGGTAATTCAGCGCATCGGCCACGCCCATGGCCACCTTGAATCTCTGGGCCCATCCGAATGAAGCCTTCTCATGGTCATTGCCTGATTCACGCAGCACCAGGAGGAGATGAATGGGGGGGAAATCCCTGGTAGATCTTGGAATCGAGGTTGACTTTTTATACCGTGGAGGTTGTCTTCCAGGCTGCCTCGCGGTAGGAAGTCGTAGACCAGGACGAGATTCTCGTTCTCGAAGCAGAACCCAGAGAGGGATATGATGTTCTTGTGGCGAAGGGTGGTGATGATCTCGACTTCCAGGAGGAATTCTCTCAGCGCGTCTTCGGACTGCTTCAAGATCTTCACGGCGAACTCCTCGCCGTCGGAGAGACGACCTTTATAGACCCGGCTGCTCCCTCCCTTCCCGACCAATCTCTCTGCAACAAAAATCGCGGCGTTCGATTAGGTCAAAGTTCCTTAAGAAAAATTCGAGGTCCAGAGGAGGGAGGAGAGGTTGAAGTCGAACAGACCGGCAGAGAAATCGGATGTAGCCGTGGCGAGTTGCAGGTAGCTGAACAGTCGGCAAGTGGAGGAGTACTTCAGATGAAGAGTTTCCAAGTCCTTGGGGAGTCTTCCTGGTTTCCCCTTGGCGGGTCTAGTAGTTGGAAGAGACGAGTCCCTTCCCACCGGAGATACCAGACCCCCGCCGCCGTCGCCGCCGACGTTGGTCGGCGGGTTCGACAGAGGTTTTACCGGCTTCCGATCTGGGTGAATTGTCGCCGATGCCGAATGCCGGAGGGGAAGCCGCAGAGCCCGTTGAAACGTCGATATCATGGATTTCTCTGAGCCAGTCCTCTGCAGGGGTGGCCATCGCCGGGGGCGGTGCCATCCAGGTCGCCGTTCCGGCGGGCCCTCGGCTGCCGGAGAGTGGGGGTAGGCGACGCTCTCTGTGGCGCCGGCGGATTCTTCTTCCTCGGGCAGGATGTCAGGGGATTCTCCGTCGAAGCAGCTTGATTTTGGTGATCCTTCAAAGCACGATGAGCTTGAAATTTCGTACTTGTCTATATCGCAGGGCAGGCTCAGGGATCTCCCCTTCTTCACTCCCCGGCCCCTCGGCGCCGGCGAGGGAGTCGAGACGGCCTCACAGTCCGATGAACGACAGGCTTCAGGAGGGAATCCGGCCGGAATATTCCCTCTGGTCTGCCCTCCTCCTTCGCCGGATAATTTGGAGGGATCGGGGGAAGAAATCAGGGCGTGAAGGTGAGGGAGATGGGGGCGGCGAGGAAGTCGCCGATGGCGCGGAGGATACAGAAGCCAGCCTGAGGGCGAGAGGCAGATGAATGAAGGCGCCGTTTCTCTCTGGAAGACGATCTTGCCGTTGTTCACCGCCATCACCGAGCATTCTCGAGAAAGCTTCTTAGCGCAGTATCTGGCAACCGATGTCGAGGACCTAGAAGGGATAATCATGGCGTTCCGTGGAAACTCAGAGAAGATGGATTCCACCCGGAGAGAGTTCAAGAATAGACGGAAGTTTATGTTACCCTATGGCTCGGTTGTTCTTGGTGACACCGAGAATAAGCTTGGCGGCGGGGAGATCGCTGGTTTCGCGAACCAGGGACTTGCGGAGGGACGAGCCCCGGCAAACCTTGAGCTTCAGTTCGATCTACAACACGACAGAGCAGCAGAATCAGTCGGGAACTCCCAGTGATTACCAGAGGACCGAGCCTCTTCACTCCAGTCGCAGATTTCCAGAGGCGAATCCGGAGAAGGCGGAGGAAACGGCCAACATACTTGCTTCAGGTTGCAGAAGCCCTCGTAGACGGCGAGTATGGATTCGAAGGACTTGACGAGGGAGAAGAGGGAAGAGCAAGAGCCGTAATTTCCTTCTCGATTCGAACGATCTGCACAGAACAAAAAAAACCCTCGGGTTCATTCTTCCATAACGCGCGGAAGAGAAGGGGAAGAAGGGGAATTCGTACCGCCGCCGGTAAGGAGGACATGGAGGGCGATGACGCGGTCGCCGGGCTCGGCGACCTTCACGAGAGCCCAAGTGAGCAACTCCCTGCTCTGAGCGTCCATCTTCACCGCTACCACCACCATCCTCCCCGTGCCGGCGGCGTCTACCCTCTCGCCGGCGGTGGAGCAAACTTCCTGGCCCTCCGCCGCCATCTCCTCCTCCCTGCAGACGCTCATCTCCTCCTCTTTCTCCTTCATCCTCTCCCCCTCCCTGCTTTCTCCGGCCCCTGCAGCCGCCGCTGCTTCTGAGTTTTCTCTCTCTCACGATGATGTCGTGGGCAGCGACGACTTCGTGCCCCTCCCCACCTCTGTGTTGTCGCCCTCGTCGCCTTCGTCGCCTCTCGGTCCGATCGGCGTGAGGGAGAACGTGAGAGGAGTGGAGAGATTAATAAAACCCCCCCGCCTTTCCGTCATTTGCAGGTGTTTCCCATTCTATCCATCGCCCTCAGAGGATGCGGACGAGCAGAGACCAGAAGACCCGAAATTTTTCCCCGGAGGAGACTCCACGACTTTCTTCCGCCGATGACGATCCTCCACGCCGGAGGGGTGTGCCGACAACTACTTCTCCCGTCGTTGTCGCCATCTCTGCGGGGCGATCGCGCCGGGGGTACTACCTGTATGGACGACCACGAGGAGCTTTAATGGCGGCATATGAATCCCCTTGACGTCATTTCATTGGGCTGGGTTTTGATCCCGGCGATTAAGCCGCCGGAGGGTCAGCCTGGGCTCTGCCGCCAGGACTCGGGGCCCGCCGGAACCCCCTCTCCCCGCGCGGTGAAAAAAATTGAAACTTTCCCTCTCCGCGAAATCCTCCCGCATTAACCCTCCGAGTTTGAACAGCCGCAGCCGCCGCCACCCCCACCCGCCTCTTCTATCGCCTTTGACCTTTTTAAGGTAAGGTGTGTTCTTTAAAGTGTATTAGTTTAAGTAAACACGCTGAGCATAAGATGCCCAGGACTATGAAACAAAATGAATGGTGGGAGTGCGCCGAGAGAAGGTCAACCACGGTAGCTTACAGACTAAGAAACGGATTACCCGTTTTAATGGATCAATTAAGTTAGTAACCCGAAGAGAGGTATCTGGTAGGAGCTCCTCCGTCTCTGCTACTCTCTGCTACTCTCTGCTACTGTACACAGATTCCCCGGACACTCTGCTGGCCTCGGCGGCAGCGCTAACAGCCGGCGGGCAGGACCTAGCGCTTTAGAGCTGGCGCTGGCCGCCGCCGCCGCCGTGTCTTTGGAGGTTAACGAGGGAGATGGAACGTCTTGTCTTTTCAACGGGCGCGCTCGGAGCGGGGCTCTGATCAACACTTCTGTAATAACAATGATGATAATAGTAAGAATAATAATCTGCTGTTACCGAGGGTTACTATTTAAATTTATTTTTTGATTGATCCGTCCTTGTCGGGCTAAGACTGTGGCTTTGCGCTGGTTGTCAGAGTTTCTTTAGATCACATTGGGTGGTGGATGGATCGGCTGACTTACCAACTCCTCCCTCCGGGCTTTGACTTTAGAACTCTCTGCTCCGATTTTTTTGCCCGAATTCAAGAAGAAAGGTTAAGGCTTTTAGCCTCATTTCTTTCTAAGCCCGTAGTCGTTCTCGAGGGTATCTCTCTCTCTCTCTCTAGCACAATCGAGAGAAGAAGATTCACGCCGTGGAGGAGAGAGAGACCCACCCATCTTTGCTGCACATGTTCTGGAGAGCTAAATAACTCCTTCAGAGTAGCAGGTAGCAGGATCAGAAACATGGGGAATGACCCTCACCTCCAATGAGGAACAGCTCACGAGCTCGAATCAGTCGTAACATGGAACCTACCCAAAATAAAAAAAAGGGGGAAAAAAAAACAAAGCAGGATCGCATCGTGGGTCCAATTTGATTCCGAGTATCATCCTCCTCTTATTGCTCATTTACAAATCCAGCAAGCAGGTCTGTGCATTGGAGAAGATCTGTGCAGAAAGTCCAGTACCCCCCCGTTCAGTATCTTCTGAGAGCATCTCTCACGCCAAGGCAGCACAGGGTCTTGAAGAGCGTCCTGTACCTTCTCCATCCCGAGAAATACTTGCCGATGACGGCCCGATAACTGGGCCTGCGCTTCGCCCTCTCGTAGTACTCTGCGATCCTCGGCTTTCCATTGATATACTCCCTTTCCAGGTTCAGGAGGGCGATACGGGCCAGCACTGGGACGAACATGGAGTCGGCGATGGTGTACTCCTCGCCGACCAGGAACGGGGTCCTGCCTAGCTGCGCCTCTGCGTCGTCGAGGATGGCGGAGAGCTTCTCCTCGCTCTGCTTCACAATGTCCGGGTCTTTCAGCTTCTCCTCGGTGTCGTAAGCATCTCGGAGCTTCGCATGGTAGACGCTGGCCAGGTCGGGAGACTCCGACATCCGGGCGATGATCACCCGCCGGATGAATCTCGAGACGAAGAGCCGATATTTCTGCGGAACGTGCGCGAGTGTGAATATTTTCGAATCCCACCCATCGATCTTCTCCACCCACTCGGCCACTCCGGCGGCGGCGACGGCGGCGCTCTCGTAGACGACGAGGCTGTCTATGTACCTGTTCAAGAGGAAGAAGAAGAAGAAGAAGAAGCAGAAATGCTTCCTTCAGAGGACGAGGAGAATGCAGAAAACAGGGGGAATCGGGGAAGAACTCACCGCATTATATCTGCAGTCTGGTAGATTACTCGAGAACCATTTTGGAAGACGGGGAGCTTCCCGGAGGGATTCGTGCGAAAGAATGACGAATCCAGGTTCTTCCCTGTGAGCGGATTAGCGTGGTAGGAGGTGTAGTCGATACCTTTCTCTTCCAACGCGAGGCGCACCTTCTGGCTGTCCACGGAGTACGGATGGTGGTACAGCTGCATGATTCAAATCTGCATACGACCCCGAGCTTCGGTTGGTCAACGTCAGCGGCGCTCTTCAATGGGAGAAACGATCGAATTCTGCATGGTGGGATTAACGCAGCAGGGTGAAGGACACAAGCTCATGATGCTAACCCTAATCGTGATTCAAAGTTACAGACGGACTGTAATTCTGAGTTTTCCGATCTGCGAAGTAGATGATGTGATCGAGACTACCGGAGAATGATCTTGGTGAAAACATGATGAATTCAGAATTCATCGATACGGAATTAATTTCCATATCTAGATTATTATCATCAGAAAGCCTGCGGATGCTGAGTAAACAAGATGAATGCTCTGTTATGTATTTTTTTTAACGTCGATGACATCGTCGGCAGCAGAAATTGCTTCTAGGTTCGGTTCTTCGTCAGGGAATCTTGCAGACGAAGCTTCGCCCATCTGCATCGTCTTGCTTCCCTGCAAAGAATTTCCTCGACGCTTCTGAGAAAAGAAGGGGGGAAGGGGGGACGACGGCCAAATACACTCCTCTCTACGTGGTATCCCTAAACGAGTGATTCGAGGAAGAACAATCAACCATCGACGGCGAATTCTGCGGTCGATTCCCTCGCAGAAGAGCCCAAAAGGGTTCGGAGGAATTCCTGGTTTTCATGGAGAATTCCGAAGGAGCTATGCCCGAGGGAACTCGCTTAATCGGCCGGAAACACCAGACGGAGGAGACGAAACCAGTACGAACAACAACAGACGGACCTTAATCGGAGATCCAGGCGAGTTCTTCTGCTCACAAACCGCGGGGAAAAGAGCAGCCCCATACCTGGAAACGGCATTTGCAGGCTTGGAGGGGGAGATGAGGGAGGAAGAAGGGGACGGAGAAGACGACTCGCGTCAGCTGTCCGCAGAGTGGCGACCTCTCTTCCTAGGAGGTTTTCTGTGGTGGAAGAATGTTTCCTCCCTTGTGACTGCTGAGAGTGCCCAAGAGTAAGTCTTCGACTTGCTGCGGGTCAACAGTCTGACCTAGTGGTCCCGGTCGGTTCGCGGTCAACGTCAGGGGTCAACGATAGTCGTCGAAGTTTCTTCATGGTGGTGGGGTCTTCGTCCTTACGTTTACCCCCAATCCTTTTCTTCTTCATGGGCTTTGCATGTCCCTCTCTCAAGGGTTTACAGTCTCGATCTTCGTTCCTCCTCTCTAACCTAGAGAGAGAGCTGGCCGTCATCATGGGGGCTTAACTGATCGAAGGGGAATCTTCGTCTTACTCGAGCTCGAGTGGTGGTCCATGCCCTCCCGTCTGTTTTTTTCCGGATATGAGGGTACACAGGGTAAGCCCAGCACAACGCCATGAAAGCACTCCCGGCACCTTCCCTCAAATGGAAACCCAAGCTTTACTCCTCCCTCCTCCCTCTTCCTCCGGCCTGCCATTCCAGCACCGCACAGATTGGATTTTCTTTCATTCATCTCTCTGTTCCTCCGGCAGACGGCGGCGACGGCGGCGATGGGGAGGGGGAAGATAGAGATTAAGAGGATAGAAAACTCGACCAACCGGCAGGTGACGTACTCGAAGAGGAAGAACGGGATCATAAAGAAGGCCAAGGAGATTTCCATACTCTGCAATGCCAAGGTCTACCTCGTCGTCTTCTCCAGCTCCGGCAAGATGGCGGAGTTCTGCAGCGACTCCACCACGTCTGTGACATCATCCGGACCTCTCTCCTCTCTTTCTTCTCCGCTCGTTTTTTCCCCTTTCAAAGGATGATTACTTACTCGACAGATTGCCGAGTATGCTGGAGGAATACCAGAAGCACAGCGGCAAGAAGATCTGGGGTGCCAAGCATGAGGTAGTCCCGTCCCTATCTCCTTCCCCCCCCTCTCTCTCTCTCTCTTTAAGAGCCCTGTTTTCCCTGTTCTTCTGCTTCGATTCAGAGACTGAATGCTGAGATAGAGCGGATCAAGAAGGAGAACGACAACATGCAGATTGAGCTCAGGTTTGATCGGATCCAACTCCCTCTTTCTTCCTCCCTGCTAAATCCTCTGCTTCCCCTGCATCTGACGCTCCGCTTCCCCCGTTTCGGGGTATTCCAGGCATCTGAAGGGGGAAGACATCACGCCCCTTAGCCCTTTCGAACTGATCCCCCTCGAGGAGACGCTGCAGAAGGGCCTCGCTTGCGTTCGAGACAAGCAGGTAGAGCGTCGTCCTCGAAACCCTAAATCATCGGCCTGGTTTCCTCTGACCTTTCGATCTCCTGCTTGACTGGACTCCCTCTGAATCTTCCGTTGCAGATGGAGTTTCTGAATCGGCTGAAAGATAATGTATGAACAATCATTTCTCTCTATTTCGGACAAGATTACGATCGATGATCGATCTCCCATGGCTTTCCAATTTGTAAACGATGTTGTTTCAGGGAAGAGCGCTGGAGGAAGAGAACAAACAGATAGCTATGATCTTGGTAATCTCCTGAGCCGCGCTCGAATATCTTCTTCTTCTTCTTCTTCTTCTTCTTCTTATTCTTCTTCTTCTCTGATTCGCCTCTTCGATTTCGCAGCAGCAGCACCAGATAGCCTGGAATGGCGGGATGGCCAGAGAACTGGATCGAGACTACCGGCACGGTGGAAGGGGAGATTACTCCGTCCAGATGCCGTTCTCCTTCTGTGGGCAGCCAATCCAACCCAACTTACAGGGAAACAAATAGTAGTCGTGTTCTTGCGTACGATCCGTTGACCTCCATAACGAGGGACTCCGTCTTGCAATAATCGGGCTCCTCCCTTTGACTTCTCTCTCTATCTTCGAGACTTCAGAATGTCTAAAATGCTTGGAATGTGGGGAGCACTAGTAACATGCCTTTACCTTAAAGTCAACGGGCAAATTTATCTGCGGTCATTGGTCCGTAATTAGAGCGAGATTATTCAACGGAAATAATAAAAAGATCGACTCAACCAAATTAGGAGTTCTCTTTCAGACGTGGCCATTAAATATTCACGATTTTTTTTATTTTATGTCTCTAAAATGCGCGCTTAATATTTATATACGTTATATTAAAGACCATTAGATTATACTTTTTTGGTAACGTAATTTACCAAACATAAATATATGGAAGAGGTGCAATTATTAACACACTGATTCCGTTGACCCCCCCTTCTCGGACCGGCCTGCGCTGAGTCGTGGAGCCGTTGAAGAGGAAGGGGATAGATAGGGTACGTGAGAATGGAGGTTTTAGAGACAGCTCGACGGATGGACGGGGTTTAGGAAATTCGAGACGCCTCTCGTCGACGTCTCTTCGATCGTCTTGGAAAACGACGGGGGGAGGACTGTTGAGAGCAGAGACTACTGTGATCGGTCGCCGGAGGAAGCGGAGGCATCGATTGTCGCCGCCGGACTCATCAGGGGTTCTACGAATATCTGGCCTTCGAATGTCACAGCTTCTTGATTAAGTTCTCTTGTCCGTCTCATCCGTGTCTCTCACCGTCTTGGAGGTGTCGCGGCGCGCCATGGCTGCATCTTGGCATCCTCTGCACTCACATTTGTCTTTCATTTTCCCCGCTCCCACGCCCGGTCGCCCCGCCGGTGCAGCCGTCACCCACTTTGTTCCCTCTCCCAGGAAAGACGGCGTGCGCGTTCTCCGCAGCCTACGCGCGTCTACTTCTACCACTTGCTTCTCGTCGTCATTATCTTCTCCTATTTCTCATTCCTCACCTGAAGCTTCCTCATCCAATCTCGCTACTGTTTATCCCAAGGTGTCGTCTCTTTCCATTCCTTATGTGATCGGAATTTCTGTTTATTTTTCTCATCAGTTGCGATTCTTTCCTAAACAGAAACGCTCGGGTCTCTTATCTAAGGGAAGCTGGAGAGACCTCCTCAGCTTGAACAGCTGGGTCGTACGCGACTACTACCGCCTTGTCGATGCGGTCAACGAGCTTGAGACTCGCATTTGCTGGCTTACGGATGGAGAGGTAGTAATTCTTTCTTGATGCGTTCCACGTCATTCGAAAGAACCGAAGAAGATTTTAAGGCGCAGACAGTGTTAGCAAGGATCTTTCTTGTATCTTTGATCATTGTTTTTTTTGGCTGTGCCGTAGCTAACTTCAAAGACTGCTGAGTTCCGCCATCGTTTAAGCAACGGGGAGACCCTTGCTGATATTCAAGCTGGTTGTTTCCCCAGTAACTCTGATTTCTTTTTCCTGAAACCTATTTCCTTTTCATTTCATGCACTAATTCATTTTCTTCATCTCACAGAGGCATTTGCTGTTGTCCGTGAAGCAGCAAGACGGAAGCTTGGGATGAGACATTTTGATGTCCAGGTAACGTCAGTTTTGTGGAATTCGATAGAAAACAAAAGTTGGAAGAAGATGGTTGAAAGGAACAGTCAATGCACTTGTTCTTCTCACTTTTTAATGTTTCCATATCACCAGATCATTGGTGGCGCAGTGCTTCACGACGGGTGCATTGCAGAGATGAAGACAGGAGAAGGGAAAACACTTGTTTCTACTTTAGCAGCTTATCTCAATGCACTCTCGGGGAATGGTGTTCATGGTAAACAAATGTTTGGTGTTGCAGATGCAAATTTTGTGCATAATATTTTTCTAAGGTAGCTAAAGTCAAGTTTGGGATTCTGTTCGTAGACCTGTCTTGGTATGTGATATTTTGTTTTAGAGCGTAGGATAATAGTCTACCAAAAGTGATACGCTCTATGAATAATAAGATTTAGTGTTTCTTAACCTCTCATCAAACCTTCTTCGACTCTCCTCACAACTACGCCCATGTCATATCGAGGATGATGATGCTCAGCTGGTTCTTTCCTATCGCTCAAATATAAACATTTAGTCACCATACCATCGATACCAAAAACCACAGATTTTCCGTTTACAGTGTTCATCAAAGATCTAGGGACATTGATGATTCTATGCTCAGCGAAAGGACCAATAGGTTCCTTTATAATGCCACACCACAACCACTTCCCACTCGGGCAAGATTTAGCTTCTTTATTTTGCTAGATGTATGAGGATTTTCTAAAAGCAAATTTTTAACAGAAGTTAGAAAGTTTTGTCGGCTGATGCTTGCTCCACATTGTATTGCTACATTATGCACGGCATTCTCCTTGTTAGATACATTATCAAATGGACTGACTTATCCTTTGGCTTCATCCATTCCATATCCTCTTCGATTCTCTCACCATTAGCTAATAGTATTTGAGAAAACTCGGAAAAATGTTCAGGTCGTTGCATTCAGTGTCCTGTTGGATTTTAAACCAAATATTTTATGAAGATACTGTAAAATTTTCGAATTGTAAATCAGGCCCTCTTTATTGAGTCAAGGACAGTTTGTGCACCAGGGACATTTTCGGAATGAGTGTTTTTATTGATGCTGAACTCCGAGGGTGGATCTAATCTTATCATAATATGCACATGTGAATATTCTCCCTTGTTCCACTTGGAGAACTGATCTGTTGGTGACTAAATGTGCTATTAACTAAACCATCTGAATTCTCATCACAATTCTGACACAAAAAAGGTCATCTGCATCCCCTATTCTCTTATCTAGCCAGACATTGATTAGGGGGTCAATCTTGTGCAGTGAGCCCCTTTCTTTCTTCATGATCAGATGATCGGAATATTTCCAATTCAAGCAGCAGTCCAATTAATCTACTAACGCTTATCTTGAGTGCTTTCCAATTGATTATAGATTAGTGAGCGTCACGTCTTATGTAAATTACACTCTCAATAGTAGAAAGTTGATATTTTGATGAGTCTACGTTCAATTCATATTAGATATTTAAATGATCTATGCTTTTTTAGAAGGTTAAAGTGATCTATTCTCGTTGTGCTGGCCGATCTTTGAGTACATGAATTCCATGAATTCCCAGCTCAGTTTTTCAAGCCCGGCCTGATCATATTCTTGACTAAAATTGTTTGGACAGTGGTAACGGTAAACGATTACTTGGCACAGCGTGATGCTGAGTGGATGGGCAGTGTTCATCGTTTTCTGGGTCTTTCTGTCGGCCTTATTCAGGTATTCTTTCTCGCCGTAGTTGCTACATAATTATCCTTGTTTCCCTTCGAGAGACTTATGATTTAAGCAGATAGGGATAGTCCTTTTGGATTTATCTTTTGCCGTGTCTGCATTTTCAGAGGGGTATGACATCTGAAGAAAGGAGATCCAATTATAATTGTGACATTACTTACACAAATAACTCAGTAAGTATCTGATCTGCTTGTTTTTAACCTTCTATCATTATTTTTTTTGCTGAAGAAAATGTTAAACTGGGAGACATGTTTTTTTGGTTGCTCAGTTGCTCCTTTTTTTTTGCATGATGATTATTTGGCAATGTTCATTAGGAAATATCTTCTCGCTCTTTCTTATTGTCCGGTGTAGAGGTTTTTTTTTTTTTTCCTATGCTTAGGTGTCAATTTTTTCTTCAACGTGATTTTATTAAACAGATTGTAACGTATTTTAATGTTAGAAAATCATTTTCAGGAGCTTGGCTTTGACTATCTTAGGGACAATCTTTCAGGGAGTAAAGAACAACTTGTTATGAGATGGTATATTTGGAAACAACTTTTAGTTTGGTGGTTTCATTCTATCTCTGGATTTTTAACTTTGCTTTAATGTATTGTGCTTGTTACAGGCCAAAGCCATTCCATTTTGCAATTGTTGATGAAGTTGATTCAGTTCTTATCGATGAAGGGCGGAATCCGTTGCTTATCAGTGGTGAGGTATGTGTATCAGCACCATTCCTTTCTGGGTAATCCAGGATGGCTAAAGTGAATTTTAAGGGAAATAAATTTTGTGCCAAAAAGAGTATCCTGCCCATATTAGAAGGGCAGAAATATCCAACCTTGACTATTGAGATGCTCTATTCTCATGTAAAACTGCTAGCAGTGGATGAGAGGATACTGCATTTCACCAGAATTAATGCTACTTACTGTCTTGTTATTTTGTTGACAGAATTAATAACATCTGTTGGCCATTCGTATTCTTCAACATGAAAATAGCGAGTGGTAGTCCACATGACTTCTTTTTAGGGTGCCTTTCCACACTGAGTAGACTAAAAATTTTGGTTGAGGACGGTGCCATTTTATATATTTTGTACAGTACTTGTTTCTTACCAATTTGACTTGACGCCTGTACATGTCTTATGGCATGGTCTAGTGATTTTGAATTGAAGATTCCTTCACCTTTTTCCCCTGACTTTTTGGCCAGGCTAGCAAAGATGCAGCGAGGTATCCTGTTGCAGCAAAAGTTGCTGAGCTGCTTGTGCTAGGCATTGTAAGTTCTGTCTAGTTGACTGGGTTTACATTACATCTATGATTGTGCCTTTGCTATATGGTATACCCTTTCTATTTTAGGGATTCTAGAATTTGCTGAAGGTATATGTTTACACCATTACCAGACACGGGAATTTTCTAAATGTATTTTGTTTCCAGCATTACAACGTAGAACTCAAGGACAATTCAGTGGAATTGACTGAGGAAGGTGTTAGTCTTGCTGAGATGGTACTCGAGACCAATGACCTTTGGGATGAAAATGACCATTGGGCCAGGTGATTTCACATTTTTAGGATCGTACACTGCTTTTACTTTTCATTTTAGGTAGTATTTTTCTTCTTCTCAAAATGTAAACTGAGCAGAGGGATGTTCTTCTGCACATAATGTAAACTGCAGATGAACTTATTTTTCGTTTTCTGATAATGTTTAATCTGGTACCAAAATGTACTATGTTTCTTTTCTGCCTGGCATCCACTCCAACTGCTGTTATTTCTTATGCTTATGCTTTCTTGGACTCTTCTCTTCTCTCATGCTGCTCCATCCTTTATCTGATGTTTACATGTTGGTTATGCGTCAAGTATCAATAACTAATTTTGATTTCTAGACACATAATTGCCCAGACATAGCTCATCCTAGCTTTGGTTCTGTTAATCCTTAAAAAATCAGCTAGTAAGTAAGTCAGTATGATGTGTTCCCGTCTGCAATCAAACCCCGTAGGAATCTCATATTTATTTGGCATGTTTCTGTTTGATATATTTGACTTGGAGATTCATGACGTGTAGGTTCCAGTATCTCAAATTGGTTTACTCCTGTTTGCATTAGGCTTGAGTTGTGAGGAGAGCAATGGTGTATTTCATTCTTTTTTCTTCCCTAACTCTGTAACATTCTTATTGTTGGAATTTTACAAATTCTACTGTATAGCTGAGGTTCCCCATTCTTCACTCTTATGAGGGATCGTTGAATAAATCTATTTACATTGAGGTTGGTGCATATTCTTGCTTAGACAGACATGTTATTTGACGTTGATGTTGTAGGTTTCTGATGAATGCCTTAAAGGCCAAGGAGTTCTACCGTCGGGACGTGCAATATATTGTAAGGAATGGAAAAGCACTTATAGTTAATGAGGTAACAAGATTTGGATCCTATTACAGAATTTTACTTTATTTTAATCCCTTTTCTGGCTTTCGTCAAGACCCTGGGCCTCCATATTGTTGAATGTATTAAGAGAAGCTTCTATGTGAAAAAATACAGTTGTGAAACATGATTTTGAGAGTGAATTCCCATGAATCTATTTAAGTCCAAGATTTGGGCTATATGTTTTTGAATCTAATCAGGTCTATCCTGACTAGGCTGACTTTGGGGAATCTGGACATGCCTTTCTTTAAGCATATGGCAATCAAGGCAGGGATTCTACTATCTATTCCCAATTCTGGGATCATTTGGCAAAAATTTAATTTTCTGAATTTTCGTTTTGCTTGTTGTGCAGCTGATATATGAAAAGAGTTTTTATGCATCAGAAATTATTAAAACTGGTCGTTTATCAAATTAAAGTTTGTTTCTGTCAATTAAATTGTTCTATCTGTAGAGGTTTTGATTCATTTAGGGAAGATGAGAAATTTTAAAATATATTTTATGAGAATATTGTGGAATTATGAAGAAGAGAAATAGGTTAAAACTAAATTCACTTGGCTTGTCTTTGTGACGATAAACTTTGCAGTTCTGTTTTGGCGAAACTATTTTATATTAATGAGCTTTTGACTATATATTAGAGTGCACACGCATAAATGAGTGTGTGATGTGAGACTGGGTTAGAATGATGGTGAGAGTCTGCAATGCAACTGTCGCCATGTGTAAGATTCATATGCACATGCACGTATGAGAGGAATCGAAGTATGTTGGGAGAATGATATCCTAGCAGCAGGTGTCCGCAGGACCCACTACATGTGATACAGAGACTGTATATTTCTTCCTGCTTTTGTGTTCCGCATTTCTTCTTATTCTCTCTTTTCCCTTGAACATCTTATCATCCTCTTATCCCTCTGAAGGCATTTTATCTTTCCTTTCTATTTGTTCAGTTCTCCTTCCCACCATCTCATTACCCAACCACTGTCATGTTCTTCCCATTGTTCCTTTTTTATTTTGTTATCTCAGAAGTGGATTATTGCAAAATTGAAGTAAACGTGGAGCTAGAGATCTAGGCAGTGTTGCTTGAGTATAATCATCAGATATTTTTACCCTCCATTTATTGATCATCATGTATGCTGCAGCTTACAGGAAGAGTAGAGGAGAAAAGAAGATGGTCTGAAGGTATTCATCAGGCAGTGGAAGCCAAAGAAGGCCTTAAAATCCAGGTAAACACCCACAGGAGGGGGCTAATAGATTACATTTTATTTGTTTTATTTAAATATTTTCCTGTTTCCAGTCCTGTGATCAATTCAATTATTTTCTCTTCAGGCTGATTCGGTGGTTGTGGCACAAATCACGTACCAGTCATTATTTAAGCTGTATCCCAAACTTTCAGGAATGACTGGGACTGCTAAGACAGAGGCACGTGTTACCCTTTCAATTAGAGAAGGAATACTAGCAATGCCTGTGTAAGCATATCCAAATTTAATGTTTCATTATTTGTATTCAGGAGAAAGAATTTTTAAAGATGTTCCACATGCCAGTTGTTGAAGTCCCTACAAATTTACCAAATATCCGACAAGACTTGCCTATACAGGCTTTTGCAGTGAGATATCTGATGATCGCGTTTTTTTCAACTTGTAGTTTTTACTTTTTTTTCAAAATGTTCATTTTTAGCCATGCTATTATGGTGTTGTAGACTGCAAATGGAAAATGGGAGCATTGTCGTAAGGAAGTGGAATTTATGTTTAATTCAGGACGGCCTGTCTTAGTTGGAACTACAAGGTAATGCCGAACCATACCTTAAATGTCTACCAGAAAAAATTACTGTCTACAGTGTCATTTTACGCGTGATCTTAAACTACATGTTTGGAAGGTGCAGTTGAGCATGATCTTCGCTGTAATGCTATTTTTAATAAAGACGTAGTTCATGGCCATGCTGCTGGTTCTTTATTTTTCATGTCGAGGCCATATTTGGAGAGGCTGTGTTATTATATTCTGCCATAGTCATGGTCCTAGCTTTTGCAATTGAAAGTAACTATGAATAGATGAATCATGGTAAATTCAAAAAAAACGAAGGTTTGTTTTTGAGGCAGCTTATCCGCAAAAAATAACATCTGCGACAACTGGCTCTTCTGGAGTGGGAAAGGAGGGAGGAATAGTTAAGATGGATTCTGAGGCTCTCTTCTGCATTGTATGACTTTTAGTTAAGAGGAATAGTTAAGTGGGAAAATAACGTCTGCTACAACTGGCTTTCCAGTTTTCACTATTACCGTAGTATGAACATCTTCTGTGATTTGTTGCTCTCCATTAGTGCATTGTATAACTTTTAGTTGAGATGTGGTTTTATGGGCTATATTATCTAATATATTTCCATTCGCCTGGAAGATTACTGTGGGTGGTATGCCAAGATGAGAGAGGATCTAGAGAGGATGGACCTTAACGAATCTCAGAGTCTCTTTAAATAGAATTTACAATATACAAAAGATGTAAGTGAATCTGTGCAAAAAAAGGCAACGACAGAATAAAGTTGGGTCCTGACTATAGGATACAACTCTATCTAAACAGGAAACTAAAATAAGGAAAAAAATAATTGCTCAATATTGAGAATATTAAATATCCATTATACCCATATTGCATGGGGTGTGCTTGCTATGGTAAATTCTTCATTCCTCAGCATAAGGTGGTTTTTTTTTTAGGGTCTGCAGCTTGCATGGGTCCTCTCGCCTTTTTAAGTTTATCCATGGCTAGTCGTAGTCAGTTTTCTGATTCTAATGTTCCATTGTGGATGAGTTTCTTATCAAAACTCGGAAGAGGCATCAGCACTTGCCAAGTTGACAAATTCAACTATTAAGTGACTTAGGTGTCAATTAGGCACCCCCCCCCTCATGTTTTTCCTTCCTGAGATGCAGTTTGTGTTGCACCATTTTCTTTGAATGATCATGTTTTGCTTTATTTTGAGTCTTTTCTGTAGCTTTACACTGTCACATGTCCTATCACAGGAAGATGTAGTAGTACACTGCAATAGAGTATTTGTAACTTATGCCTATGTACGCTACTTGTATTTTTCAGGATAAGCTTTTTTCCCGGATATGCAAGGCACATCTTTGTAGGCTTCTCGTGATCTGTCTTCAAATACATTTGTTGCATGTTATTTCTGTTTGAGCGATTCATGCTTTGCTTCTGCATTTAATGTGAGACATTTCTACTGGCTATAAACTTGTGAGATGGAAAAGATCCCTTTCACTCCGTGCTCTCAATTTTCCATGCAGGCAAACTTCTTTTATTTTTTCATTTAGTCTGTGTGGATTCCTATATCTGATACCTACCTATGCTTACCTGCTTGAGAGCTATCAAAAAAATTTATGTGCTGCAAATTGGTTCTTGATTTTTCTCATTTCAAGTATATTATTTAACTAAAAATGATTACCCAGTGCAGTGTTGAGAATTCTGAACACTTGTCTGATATTCTGAAGAAACGAAATATTCCTCATAATGTTCTCAATGCAAGGCCTAAGGTACTGACTATCCTTTTTTCTTTACGTTATTGTATTTTTTCTGTAGTTCCTGTCTCTAAATTATATTCCTGATTGTTGTTCTCCTTTCCGTACTCTGTAGTACGCAGCAAGGGAAGCTGAGATTATTGCACAAGCTGGTTGTAAATATGCAATTACAATATCCACCAATATGGCTGGTAGGGGCACCGATATAATCCTCGGTGGAAACCCTAAAGTATGTTCCACTTCTTAACTCTTTCTATTTTTGTCTCATAATAAACGTTTGTAATGATGCCTTGCGATACTGTCGAGACTTTATTGATATCATATGCCATATCTCTAAGGGCATGGAGAGTACACTCCAACACTGCTTGAGGGTAGTCTGATAGATGGACTGAATATCAGTGTGCATGTTTATTTCTCTTTATAAAAAATTTATTATTTACTACATTGAGCAGAACATTTTTGTTCTTGTCATAGTAATGCTAGGATTCTTGTTTGCCTCTGTGTTTAGATGCTTGCCAAAAAAATTATAAATGAGAGTTTACTTCCATTTTTGACAAAAGAAGCACCAAATATTGAAACTGATGGGGAGCAGATTTCTCGGACGGTAAGCATCTGTTGTACTCTTTAATGGAAATGCTGCGTTTGTGTTGGGATTAATCCTTTGAGACAGGGTTTACCGAAGATAACGATTGGAGCTTTCTCCTCCGGTTTGCTGGGGAAAGCAGCACTGATGGGTAATATTTTATTTCTGCTTTTCTGTCGTCAATTTGCAAAAACTTCTTAACTTGGGGCTTAATTTCTTCTTACTTACTGTTGAAAAAACAGCAAAATATGTCAGCAAAAGCGAGGGAAATGCGTGGACATATCAGAAGGCAGAATCTTTGATTTTGGAGTCAATACAGTTGAGTCAATCTATTCAAAAGGAAGAACTAGAAAAGCTTTTCTCTGAAGAATCAGAGATCTATCCACTCAGTCCTGCAATAGCACTTGCATATCTAGCAGTGTTAGAAGAATGTGAAGAGCATTGTCTCGCTGAGGGGACTGAAGTGAAAAGGCTTGGTGGACTTCATGTGATTGGCACTTCTTTGCATGAATCTCGACGGATTGATAACCAGGTGATTTTCTTTCCATTATGCAAATCAACTTTAGTGTAGTTTTAGAGTTACTTTTTCTGTCAATTATTTTCTGTAAGTCATCAATATGATTTGAACCTCATGCTATCGTCTGAAGGACATCATTAAGCCATTGGTCAATATCGAGTCGGTAACTTTATGCGAAGTTATAATATTTAAACTCTTATGCATGTAATCGTGATTGTGATTTTTAGATTACACATGACATCTTCATCTTTTCTTAAGTCAATGATCGCATGGTTTTTCACTGATAGTTTGATTTGCTGGCTTGAGACAGTTTGAAGTCAGCTTTTGAAAATTACAAATGCCTGCGTGGTAGCAGGAAGAAGTAAACCTCATGGAATTGCTATACGGAGATTGGATTTATCTTTGTACAGACTTTTTGGAAGCCCCATTGTTTTCTGGAGGGTAGTTCCCATAATCTGGACTTTAATGATTTACATGATTAGAAACAGAAATATGAATGATTCTATTCCTATTCAGCCAAAGTATGCTAGCTTTAATATCATAACGGTTGGATGAACTGGCTTGAGCATTTTTCACGTCAGTTGGATTATGCATTGTAGCTGAATAAGCATAAAAAATTCCACTCTGATGCCAAGAACATGACTATCCAATGAAAGGCCTTTTCACCAATTAGATTTGGCAATTTATAGACATTTCTGTTAGTCACTCTGTTGTTTAATTGGCTGTTACTTGATTGACAGTGAAGATATGGACGATTTAATAACTTTATTAAACCAATGGTTGGTAGTTTGGGAACAATGACGGGAAGGCATTTGTTTGCAATTGATAAACTGTTTGTTTATTCTTCCGGAACAATAGGCTACCACTATTCACTATAGAATAAATTGATCTTCACGAGATGACAGTTTTATTTAATATCTCGAGTGATGCACAACAACATGAACTCCATTGCATGCGTTATGAACGGAATTGAAGTTTTCTGGCATTCTATGTTTTCATTCTATTTTGGAACAGTAGATAACAATGTGATACATTTCTTTTTTAACGATTTCATTACGAAAATAATATTTTCATCATGTAACTACAAATGAGGTACTCTGAGTGCCATCAAATAGCCCACGGGCCCAACTTTAATGCTTCCATCTATCGAAGAATGGTCATAATTTTGGTTTTCTTGTCAGATTATAATTGTGCAAATAATGCATTAAAAAAACTCATAATTGTTGTCGAAGAAAAACATTTGCGTTTATGCTCATCTTAAATGTGGAATCGCCCTAACTATGATTTACTTAAAGGTTTAAATGATTCATTGCCCTCATATAAGACCATATAAGATTTCTTTTTCTCAATTTTGAAAAAAGATGTTTTGATTAGTAAAGATTGAGCACCATCAGCAATCAATATTCTAAGCAAAGTTCCACTGAACCGCAAATCAAATTTGTAGGTTATATGTGCTCGTTTTGCCATGCAGGTAGGAGTGACATTTATACTAACCGCAGCTGATCATATTACAACTCTAACAAGGGCATGCAATAGGTTTCTGATTAATGTTCTTTTTAATTTTTTGTGTCATAATTGATGTGATTATAGTTCTCTTTAATGCTTATGCTTATCTATGATATTCTTGTGGATATTATGATTTATCTTTGAAAACACATGTATCACAGCTGCGTGGTCGGGCAGGTAGGCAAGGTGACCCTGGGTCAACAAGGTTCATGGTTAGGTATGAAAGCATCGTTAATTTTGCTATAATTAGTAACGGACAGTTAGAATGAACAATGATCATTTTAATTGCGCGGATCTTCTTCACATTATTATGGTATAGATGCCTATTAGTTTCCTTGGCATAGTGGTGTCATCTGTGGATATGATGCAATCCATGAGCACTTTGATCAGCTAAACATTTGAAGATTCACACCAACCAAAAGTAATCAAATGTTAACATGAATTTTCTTCTGTTTCTTTTCGCTACCAGCCACGTCTCTTCCACTTTTTCGTTTGTTGTGTGTTCAAAACTGGAATCAAATTGTGTCTACTATTTCTTTAGTCATCATCAACCATTAGATATATGCAGAACATGTTAAATTAGCTTCTACTTACCTTGATATACCCATTTTGGGCACAGTTTACAGGATGAGATGTTTCAGAAATTCAATTTTGATACTGAATGGGCTGTCAGATTGATATCAAGGATTACGAACAATGAGGATACTCCTATCGAAGGAGATACAATTGTAAAACAGGTGAAGTTATTTTGGATCATGCTCGTTTCATGTTTAAAAATCCGTTTCTTTTTTTTTTTCCTTTATATTGTGACAACCTTGCGTTTTCAATTGTTTCTGATGTTAAATAAAAATATTTCAGCTCTTGGGTCTGCAAGTAAATGCGGAGAAGTACTTTTTTAGCATAAGAAAGAGCCTGGTGGAGTTTGACGAAGTTCTAGAGGTGCCATTGTCTCTTTCCTTTTATCCTCGTCAATTTTGTCTGTGGCTACCTTAAAATGACATTTTTGTCTTGCCATCACGCTAGAAAACATAATTAGCTTTTGTATAGTTTATTTGAAGGAAATTACATAAGGATTAAAGCATACTCAAATACCACTGGCTGCTCATGGAAGTCGATTTATTTTTGCTGTTTCTGTTTTTTTTTTTAATTTGCACATGTTTAACGTTAACCGTTCTCGAATATTTGGTGGGCTTTATGGGGAACAATCTGTTTGCCACACGCTATAGAAAATATAATTACCTCTTGTACATTTGATTTTAAGGAAATTACGTGAAGTGATTGAAGCAGCCTCAACTACCGGTTGCCCACGGAATAATTTTTTTTAAATATCTTTTTTATTTTTACTTTGAACATGTTTAACGGGAACAATCTGTTTGTTGCTGAGCTGAATATGCAATCGATTAGGCCAAAAATTATGGAGGATGTGTAACTTCTACGACCCTTGAAGATGATTTCGAGGAAGTTAGCTTAAAATCAGTAAAAGTATAGGAAAATTTGATGACGTAGAAAAGATGAAGAAGGAAAAGGGAGTTAGAGAAGAAGAGATGGTATGTCACGGCATCACACTCTTTGACCTTTAGTATTGAGGGGATTATGGGTTATGTTGAGATCATATGGGCCAATGCACAATGTACCACCAGACAGCCCCAAAAGAGGCTCTTACATTTCCTAATTTGGATGATATTGCATGAATACTGTTCGTGTTATGGATTTTACTTTTATCTCTGCTATCAGATTGTTCCAAAAGCTAACAGACCGGTCGAATGTGAAAATAAAAAATACATGCCACTCAACTTTGTGATCGTCAAAGATTATAATGGTCAGTCAGGATGTAGTCCAAGCGTAGCTGTTGTAACTGAGTGCAGTCTTCTGAAACACCTGCCAAATTGGTCGTTCGAATTGTACATCGATCAGCATCTAAGGCATGGGATTGTCTCAGATGTTGCAATACTAGGTGTATACCATTCATTGATATCTATAATGCTACTTTGATTGTTACTTAAAAATCATTTTTCCGTCGTTTTGGGTAAGATGCATGAGCATTCTTCTTGTTTATCTTGTTCTTGGGAAATAATGCAGTTAATGATTCATATTGACATTTTTTAACTTTTGAAAGGTATTTTGGATAATTAGTAACTGTGAAGTCCAAAATTTCGAAGGAGAGCAAACCATTATGTGACATCAGTAGGTTGGGAATTGAAATAGCTGTCATAATTAACGGTTCACTTGACTTTTGTGTCTAAAATAGTTGTACATTGACAACGAAATTAATCTCATGCTTTACAAACAAAATTATTATTTTTTTCCAAATTGAGCAGGTGCAAAGGAAGCATGTGTACGATCTTAGGCAATTGATATTGACAGGCGATTCGGATAGCTGCTCTGAACATGTATTCCGGTAAGTCTTCTTTAGTTGACACTTGACCTTCTTTACATGTGCTTCTCACTTGTTTTACTTGCTTATATTGCCCTTCATTTATATCTATTTTTTTTCACCTAAACCAGTCTAATGGTTTTGATAGAAATAGAGAGTACACGAAGGAGAGAGAGGGGGAGAGACAAAGGTCTCGATTAAAAACACTAATTGAGAGACTCTGGTATTTATACCTGAGTCTCAAGGGACCCAGATGGGCTGATAGGGCCCATACATATGAGCTGATATGGCCACGACCTAGATGGGCCTACAATATTCAACAGCCCCCCTCAAGCTGAAGCATATATGTCATATGCACCTAGCTGGTAAATAGTAACCTATGACCATTTAGAGACTTGGTGAACATGTTTGCAAGTTGATCTGTAGAGCTAACGTTGATTGTGGTGATGAGTTGTGCCTGGATCTTCTCTCTGATGAAGGTACAATCAACTTCAATGTGTTTTGTCCTCTCATGGAACACATGATTAGAAGATATGAATTTCTGCCTGATTATCACATTTGAGCTCCATAGGACCTTCATGAGGAAAACAAAGTTCTTCAAAAAGCTATTTGATCCATATAAGTTCACATGTAGTATGTGTCATTATCCTATATTCTGATTCAGCACTTGACCGTGAAACCACAGATTGTTTCTTACTTTTTCTCGAAATAAGATCTCATGTCTAGACTGCAATCAGCATCTGAAAAACCCTGCACTGTGGGATGACCATCATTCCTGTGTAATAGTCATTTGCATGGATTACCCTTGAAATACCTCAATATCTGCATGATTGCATTGAGATACTTGGTGTGTAGTCGTTCCATGAACTGACTCACCACACACTAGTAGCAAAAGAGATATTTGACCGAGTGATAGTCAAATCATTTAATGTACCGAGTAAATATTTGTACCTCCTTGGATAGTCTAACATGTTGCCTTCATCAAATGATGACTTCAAGTTGGAGTCCATAGGAGTGGTAGTTAGTCTTATAGCTGACATATTCATCTTTGCAAGAAGATCAAGGACATATTTTTGTTGATTGATTGCAATCCCCTCCTTGGATCAAACAATCTCAATTTTGAGAAAGTATTTGAGATTAATAAAATTATTGCCCTTATAAGAACTCCTTGAGTTGAGAGATACTTGTGTGATCATCTCCAGTGATAATGATGTCATCAACATATACAATTAACAAAATGGGACCAACAGAAGAATGTCTATAAAAGACAGAATGATTAACCCCACATCTCTGAAGATTAAATTGCTATGTAATATTGTTGAATCGATTAAACCAAGCCCAAGGAGATTACTTCAGACCATAGAGAGATTTTTTGGGTGATAAATCAAGCTAGACTCCTCTTAAACAACAAAACTTGGTGGTTGCTCATATAAATCTCCTTCTATAAGTCACCATGAAGGAACACATTCTTGATATCTAACTAATGTCGGGTTCGAGATAACCAAACAGCTAATACCAAGAAGATCCATACTGAAGTAATTTTGGCAAGTGGAGAAAATTTCTCAGCATAATATTCACCATATACTTGTATGAAGCTTTTGGCCAGCAAATGAGCTTTTAATCTGTCCACAGAGTCATCTAGGCTAACTTTAATATTGAATACTCATTTACACATAACAACGGATCTAGCAAATAGTCATGAAACCTGAGGAGGCGCCAGATGGGTGGCTATGTCTGATATTGAGGATGACGATGAACTGGTGGAAGTGCCAGAGCAGCACCGAACAGGGTGATGGTGGGCGGAGGACAGCTTGCTCCACATCCAGGGTTTCTGCTGGATGGAACCCCAGTCTGATACCATGATAGAATTTGACAGCACATGAGCAAGAGAGAGGGATAGAGAATCAAAGGACTTGACTAAAAACCCAAATTGAGAGACTCTGGCATGTATACCAGAGTCTCAAGGGATCTAGATGGGCCAATAGGGCCCATACCCACATGGGCTGATATGGCCACAACCTGGATTTTGGCCTACAATATTCAACTGGCTCCAACCCATTTCATTTTATTTTCTTGCTATGTATCTGACTTAGGTCCCTTGTATGGGTTACTAATGAGAAATATGGGGTTCAGGTACATGCAAGCAGTAGTTGACGAAATTGTCTTTAAAAATGTTGATCCACGAAAGGTATCTGGCATTCTTCGCTATTTTTCTACACTTCCTTTGCGACCATTTCTGTTTAATAATTTTCTTTTGTAGCATCCCAGTAAATGGAATTTGGGAGATCTCCTGGATGAATTCATTGGAATTGCTGGAAGTAGACTGTCCGGTAAATGCTTTTGTGCACATTGGAATTCTTTAGTATGATATGCTCTTGTGTTCATTGGAATTCTTCTCTACACACCACATTATAGTTCATTCTGCATTTCTGGCTGACAAAACGGACTTGTATAGACCTGTTTGCAGAGGTCACGGAAGAGGATGTGTTATCATCGTTGGAGCAGATAAATGGAGTTCAGTCTATCACAGCCGATGCATTCTCCATTCCATATTTGCCAGCACCCCCTAATTTATTCCGGGGCATTCGACGGAAAGCCTCTTCCCTCAAACGTTGGCTAATCATATGCAGCGACGACACTTCAAGGTAAAACCTTTGAATATTTACTTTCTCAGCCTTGGGCCTGTTCATTTATGTGGAGCTCTTTGGTCCTTCGATTGTAGGAAAGGTCGGTATGGAGGTAGTCTAAATCTTCTTCGGAAGTACCTTGGAGACTTTCTCATCGCTACTTACTTGGATGATGTGCAAAATTCTGGCTATGACGAGGCGTATGTTAGGGAAATCGAGGTGAGTCATGAATTCCTCGAGTTTCTGCTGTGGTCTTCTTAATAAGAATGCTCCCATCTTCCAACCCACACACTTTTTATACGCCCATCAACATGGTCTGACCTTGTTAGAATCATTTCATGCTCGTCTAATTTCATGGAACCTCAAAATGGGCTTAAATGCCGTCCCTGTTGTCTCTTCAGCCGTGTTGACTTTTCTTCAAGACTGACCTCCTCCTCGTTCTGCCCCAATTAATGGCTGATAACTTACCTGTAATTGAAGGGTTTTTTTTTTTTTTTTGGATTCTTCTGTTTGCCATCTATATTATTTTTCAAGTAGTTTAAAGTCTAGGGTTAGGCCCTTAGCCTGTTACTCGAGGAGTCCAGCTGACGTTAACCTTCGTGGACTTCAGCGGACAGTGATTGTAAAAGCTTTGGATTCTTTCTGGAGGGATCACTTGATCAATATGAACAGGCTCAGTTCCGCGGTAACCTGCCCCCTCCCCTCTGTTCCTTTCTTCCCAATGGATGATCACTGTTTTATGTCGTGCGGGGATACAACTTGAGCTACTTACTCGGCAGGTGAACGTCAGAAGCTTTGGACATAGAAACCCCCTGGAGGAATACAAGATAGACGGATGCAGGTTTTTTATCTCAATGCTCAGCGCCACCCGGAGGTTGACTGTTGAATCCCTCTTGCAGTACTGGCAATCCTCGTCCTCCCAATCCTAAGAACTGTGATCCCCGCGAGATAATCTATGCATTTATAGAAAGTCAATGCCCTTTTTTAGATTACCCATTATTGTAAGCCAGGAGGCGGGATGCTGATGCCCACCAAGAAGCCACCTTTGCTTAGATTATACTGCAACTGGGTTATGGATGCTACCGCAGGTAACAATACCTGCCTTCTTATATTCCCCATTCGGGTCGATTGGAGAATCGTTGACTCAGCCTATTTCTAGACAGGTGAAGAAGATGAACTGGCGGCGGGGGCTCTTGTCAACGGTGACTCGAGAGCTTTTCCGGTCTCCTCTGCACCAGCCGTTTCGAAAGATTCTGCTAAGGAACTTGGGGCCCGCAGAAAATGCCCTCGAGTGGAGGACTTTCCCCTCGACCGGTTCCCTTTCCATCTTACCAGCTGTTGGGGAAAATTCTATTTCTAAATTAAGGAAACGTCTCTTTTACGAAAACGACAACACCACGTGGGCTCCTTTCGTCTCGTCCACACGGTTGCCGAGACCCTCATCTGGACACCTCATCGACCGCCACATAAGCTTGCCACGCTGTCCGGGAATCACGCGGGGAATCGCCGCGATGCCCAGAGAGAGAGAGAGAAAAAGAGAGAGAGAAAAAGAGAGAGAGAGGTGACAACGGCTTGGACAGTCTTAGATAGGCGCCCGGAGTTGGTGGACGTTCGTCATCTTTGACTCCTAGGTGGTCCCCCAGTGGCCATGTAAGACAAGATGGAGGGGAACTAGGAAGGGTATATCCTTCATCTCTTGAAGGAAAATTTAGATTTCGTAGAAAGAGACGGGGCCAGAAAAGAAAAGAAAAAAAAAAGGTACCCATTTTGTTAAGGATATCTCGAATTATTTACAAGGTTCTGATTGTGATTTAGTTATAAATATATTTTTCTTTTGATTTCGTTAATATGATATTTGTCAAGAATTCATGAATTGTCATCATCACCGTTATAGTGAAGGATGCCCATTCAATTAAGTGTCATTATTTGTAGTTTAACTTGAAAACCAATATCCACTTTGTCACACGAATCCTCCTAAAACTTGGGTTAAAAACTAAAAATATATGTTTAATCCGCCTTGTCATGAAATCGTCAGACTACCACCACAACCGCTTCCAATTGTGAATTTCTAATCACCATAAATAATAAAGAATATCATCTCTCTTTTATCATGACATGGCTGAATGTGACGTTATATACTTTATCACAATTATTTGAGGCTGATCACTAATTCCACATCTTCTATATTTAAATCTCAATTTTTTTTGCAGTATGAAAACTAGGGATTTACCCGAATGTGGAAATGCAATTTTTTTTAATTTCATATTTTAGTATTTTTTTTTCTGTTTTATAGACTAATTTAAAAGTTTAGTCAGACAAATAGGGGTCAAGTTCTACCTAAGAACCTTGGGAAACTTGACGATTTAACTGGTAAAAGTAGCAAAAGTCTAGGTGATATTGGTATGAATGTCTCGTTTCCCTAACGTGTTAAGTCGGCCAAGGCCCTTGGGGGGCAACCTTAAGTGACATAACCCCTATTTTGGGAAAGCCAATGAAGTGCTAGCATAAACAATTAAACAAGGAAAAGCTGTGGCTGCCTTTTCCTCTTCTTGTCTCGGTTGTTGAAAGTAATGCCAACATGATTTTACACTTATCTTGCTATAAGTCAGCCTTTATGATGCTGGAATGAAAATAAGTAGCAGTAATTTCTAACCCATGTAAAATGATATCAATTACCGAATGATCGAAATCGAACTTTGGCAAATTATACATCCATTGTTAGCTCTTGGGATGATGAGATATTCTGGGAGTGATTCATTATATTCTTGAGGAATGAGGCAAGCCAGATTTAGAGAACATCTTGAAAAATGGACTGACCCTGATGTGAATCCCTGGAGATGTGGGCACTAGGCGTACGCGGGGAGGATGGAGGCATCTGACGACGGGGTCGCTGGCCTGAGGATAGAAGAGGAGCCGTCGAATGGGTGAAGTAGATCTGGAGAAGACAGAAGGGGATTGTACGTCTATGAGCAGAGAGGAAAGACTAGGCTTTTCAGAGATGTAAGAGGGTTGTACTTCCATGAGCAAAGAGGAAAGACTAGGCTTTTCAGAGATGGAAGAGGGTTGTACGTCCATGAGCAAATGGGAAAGGCTAGGCTTTTCAGCAATGGGCTTCCAGACCAGACCTCTATCAAGCCTTGGTCAGACACTAAACATGAAAGGGCAGACTGTGCTCCACCCCCACGCATATTTCGCCGTCAGGATTCGATGGGGAAGACACTGGAGAGGCTGCCCTGTAGCGGGCATCTGGCCTACACGACTAAAAGATTGAAACTTTTTGAAGCTGAGAGCTAGTTTTCTCTATTCGAACCTGGTTTCGATGTCTAGTCTCGGAGATAAAAAGTTTTTGATCCAGTCCGGCGTCTTGACAACTCGGCAGAAATCTGTTGACCCATCGTGATATAGCTGGTGAATGAGACTCCTAGGAGTTCGGATTCTCACTGCTTACAAGTCTCCCGGAGTTCAGACTAGAGAACTCCGGAGACGAAGGAATACACATCACTTCCTGTGTCCTCCCGAGGTCATCGAATGGAGACGAAGGAATACACGACTTCCTGGCAGTTCACCACAGAAAGGCTCAACTTTTATGGTAGTAAATGTCACGAGGCCCGCGCTACTCTCACCGACGCGGGGCGGAAGTCTTTTGAGGGACCTGATCTGGCGTCGTCATCCCTGACGGTAGCCGGAGACGGGGGATCTCCCCGGTCCCTCGTTCTGGCGGGCACCGATACGCGCTTTTCTCCGACGGAGATTTTTGCCCCGGGGAAATATCTTCCTGGGTGGGAGGGAGATTGGGTTCTTTTGGGGAAGCTTGGGGGAGGATGATACTCGGATATGTGCCGGTCATGATTTAATGGCGTGTCCTTTTCCTATTATTATAAGGTTTCAGGGAGTGAGGAACGTGTGGCCAGCGTTGGAGATTTGGAGGTGGCGCCGTTGGTGGAGGGGGGGAGACTAGAGCAGTGGGGAAACAGGGAGGGAGGCGTAGGGTGGGATCCTCCTGCAATGAATGTGGCTATCGGCAAGCAGCGCCCTGCTGATCCTGCGGAGTTACCGCCGACGTCATCACCAACAGCAACCGTAAGAGCAGGAAAGAAGAGGAGAAAGGGGACGCCAGCGCGGCGGCCAGCAAACCCGGGTCGCCTCGCCCGAGCTGTCGATTTCTAACTATAGCAGCGGTAGCGGGAGTGCATCCCCCGGGGCTTCGAGTGTCTGAGTCTCGCTCTCTATCTCTCTCTCTTACACTCTCTCCTCGGCTTCCTTCTCCAAGTCGGATTGTTCTGCTTCGCCGCGCCTACGTTGCAGGAGGGGAGAGAGTACATGGAGGGGGAGGGCAGCGGTGGCGAGTCCAACCCGCAAGCTAGGGAGGTGGTTCTGATCTCCGCGGGAGCCAGCCATTCCGTCGCTCTCCTCTGTATTGATCGTCACACCTGATCCACTGCCTACATCTGCTTCTATGTTTTAGCTGTTCATTTTTGCTCGTATGTTTTGCCTCCACGCGCCGTCGTCAGTGAGGTTCTAGCTTTCTCAATTGGCCGGCAGCTGTAGCCTTACATTTCTTGCTCCTGAGATCACTCATGGAGTGGCAGCATGCGTTCTTGCTGGAGTGAATGCTTCTCGTCGATTCTCTCTCTAGGATATCTTTACTGTTCGCGACAGAATTTTGGAACCCAGGCCCACCGCTTCTTTCTGTCTTTTTCCCTTCTGAACAGACTAATGCAGGCTGATCCTTGCGTTTCCTCCCTTTCTTCTCTTTCTAGTGTTTTTCGGTGGCCTTTGTTATTCTTTTGATTCTTCAGCGCCATCGGGGATCATCTTTGCATGATAAACAGGCTACCGATACAGAGGCCGAAGAACTACCGACAACGGATCAAGAACATAAAAGCCCATATCCCCACTTCTTTTCCTCAGCCCAATCCCAAAGCTTCGTTTAGGGTTGGAATTCAACATTGGGTTCCTTCATGGACTGATATTCCATCTCTAGTGGCGCCTTTAGGTGTCTGATGATTAGGTTCGCAGAGCCTTCAGCATACATTCACCTTTAGTCTAAACCAGTGTTGCTATCATCTCGGGGGCACATTAGTGCATCTTGATCACTTTTATGTCAACTTTGCCCTAATTTTGGGGAGAATTTTGTTCTGATAAACTGAATGTGACCCGTGTGATGTGGAAATATGCACCGAAGGGTACGTCACGAGACAAATACCTAAGTTTAGCCATGCCTAAATACCTAAATGCACACTTTATTTATTTAGTCCCTTAGCTTTGATTGTCCTCTTAATTCCTTGGAGAAGTGATACTATCTTCCTTCGTTTGGTGGGTTTACATAAGTTGAGCAATATTAGTTGATGAAAACTTTCAGGAACTCTTTGAAACAATTGTGTTTTGCTGAAGTGTCCAATAAGATTCATCGGTCAGCTTTTTTTCCAACACTACTCTCTCTTCTCTCTCATCAAAACAAATTACACTAGAGCCGCTTATTTATGGGGGTTTAGCTTACAGATCTTAGAGTCTATCATGTTCTCAATACCATGCATTTAGCTGAGCAGAGTGTGCTAGTTCTTTCTATAAGTGAATTTAATATTAGCTAGTTTTACCTGTAAACTTTTTTCACTCTTATAGAGTTGTCGAACCTCCTCAACAATGCATTTTATGCTGACGTTCACATGATCCTTATATTTTACAGCCGGCAAGATCATCTGCTCTTGGGGACGGGGTGAGGATGGACAGTTAGGGCATGGAGATGCTGGAGACAGACTTCTGCCAACAGTAATAGGTGCACTGGTTGGCCAAGATATAGTCTCTGTCACTTGTGGGGCTGATCACACAACTGCATATTCTGAATCTGGCTTGCAGCTCTATAGTTGGGGATGGTCTGCTCCATATCTATAATATGGTTTTTTTACCATGAAAGTTAACTCCTTGGTTTTTCTTGGAAATGTGGCTTTCCTCTTCTTTTCTTATGCATATCACCTGCTGATTTCCTGATTTTAGTGATGCTCTTTTGATTAAAGGAACTTTTACTTGTTGAGCATAATGGCAAACAAATAGTCAGTTATGGCTGTAACTTATCTATGATTGACCTGTGACTCCTTCCCCTTTTGTTCATAGAAACGACGTTTTACATATCAAACTTTTATGTCACCTATTACTGTTCAGAATGGCAGTTCACCCCCCCTCCCCGGCATTCAAGATCCTCTTTAACTAGGTTTTTCTGCTTTTCTTTCCCAAGAAGGTTGATGAAAGAAGAATCTGCCTCCTGCCCCTTCAATAAAATGGAGGGGGGTAGAGGGAGAGGTAAGAGTTAGAGAGAGAGGGTGAGTAATTGATTAGTTTGTCTTTGAAACTTAGTGTACGCTGGATATTATTAATAGTTTCATTTGATGGAATATCAGGAAATAAAGCCTACTTTATTCCATGGTTTGTGATTTTCCCCTTAAACTCAGCAAAATAAGAAGGTTTTTCTGTATCTGTATATATATATATCATTGCGTTGCAGAATTCCTTTTTTCTTTCCTGTTTGAAATTTTTCAGTATCAATCGACTCGGTTCCCTTCATGAAATGAGCACATAGGCTAAATGGATATTTAGTCCATAACCCCTTCATGAAATCAGCGGATAGGCTTAATGTGGCAGCAGTTACAGAACTGCCGTCCCCTGCTTTTTCCTCTTTAATATTTGTCACACAGATGACCAAAAAAAACTTTTTTATTTTATTTTAAAGAGTATTTTACATCGAATCTGATCTCCAAAAGCATTTCCACTTGTCACATCAGACGTTAATTCATAGACTTATGTACGCTTGCATTCTCGTTGTCATGAAGGGGTGACTTTGGAAGATTAGGCCATGGCAATTCTAGTGATGTTTTTAGTCCTCAGCCAGTCAAAGCATTGCAAGGTATCAAGATCAAACAAATCGCATGTGGAGATAGTCATTGTGTTGCTGTAACTATGGAAGGAAAAGTGCAGAGGTATTAACAAATTCCTTTTATTTGTGTGGAGTGGTGATAATTACTTTTCTGTAAGATTTCTCCTATAATGGTTATTTTTTCTTACCCTACTATCATGTCAAATAAGTACATCCAAGTCTGCTCATGTACAATGCTCTTTCCTGAACAGTGCTTTATTATGTCTGTAAACTGTTATATGTATAACTAAAGCATGAGTATAGAAGAGGCTGCTGACGGTTTTCGTTAAGTCACTGCTTGACTGATTCGTATCACTGGAAATGTTGTTTTATATATAGAGGCTTTCATGCTACGATCTATATACTGTGAAAGTGATTAAAACTTTCATAGTATCTATCACTGGAAATGTTCAATTCTTTAATTCCTTTCCGCAGCCAAACAAATCGCATTCCTCAATATATACTGTGAGTTTAATTTTAGGCCCTTGGGAAGATACGATCCAGAGGCATAAAATGCTAACCGAAAATATCACCAACAAAATGAGGTTCGACTCGGTTTTTGGATTAATTCTATTTAGAAAAAAATATTTTAAATACGAGTCAGAGCTGTCTAGTTCCTGGTAGCAAGCGAACCACAATCATCCGTGCCTGTTTTCTACTTTTCTGGTTTTTATACAGTATTGAAGTAATCAACCACGAGCTATGGAGCCTGTTTGGGAACTTACGAAAAGCTTTGTTGAGATCCAAGAGAAAAATGTTGCTAGGAATGTAATGGGCATAAAAATAGCTTCTCAATGTAGTACTTCCATTTAAAATTCTGGGAATTATTTTTTTTTAACATAGGGTATCCAATGTAGATTTACATGTCATGCTACGAATGTTGGGTGCGAAGAAAATCTAAGACCTAACATAGATCTATAAATTATCTTATAAATTTGACATGAAGGAAATCAAAGGTAGTTAGGTACTCACATCGATTTGTGCAAGAATCTAGTACATGTGCTGTTCTGGTTTGGTCTCTATTCTTTTCACAAAGGCTGCACTGGACGGCCCGTATATTACCGTATACTTTTTATCTTGTGCAGTTATTGGAATGGAGACAAAATTGACTTCAAAATATTTTGTGGGATTCTAAAATATACAGTTCTTTAACCTCAGTCTGAGGATCCAAGCCAAGAAAGAGTAATAACCCAACTTGACAAAAGTAGAAACAATAAAAACATTCTGGGAACGTCATTCGTGAGGATTTGTTTCTTGAATATTGTTGTGATTCTGGCTCCAATAGGTGGAAAACTAACACTGGACTCCTGGTTTATGAGACTGTTTCGAAATCTTAGAGCCAAAATGATGATATAGGGGTTTCAAAAACAGTGTCTACTCTGCGAAAATGCTTGATTTTCTTCATATCCCAATTGCTAGTTTCACTTGTAGCCTCGCTTGAATCCTATGAGGTTTAGTGTTTTGAAGATTCAAACACAGTCAAATAATACGCTCATCATAATGATGCAATGCTCTAAATATTGTATGGAAAATATTGGATGATGGCATGTTTCTAACCGGGGATTGGCTAATATTAGTCCTAGTCAGTTTTTAATGAACATGCGTAATTGTTCGTCTTTGAATTCATCCAAATTTCAGGTGTCCATAATGAAGACAGAATGCTCAGGCATATGAACCTGTAGCTTTAATCGAAACAACCAAATTGATTGACAAACATGAACCGAATTAACCCATTTTTTTATTGTTTTGAAGGTCATTTTGCTAAATGATTCGAAGACTAGTGATACTTTTCACTTGTTGCATCCAAGAAACTTCTTTTACTATATTATTCTTGTGTTCTTTTTAGTATTTGTGGAAACTATCTCATTTTTTGGTAAATTTTATCATTGCTATCATTTTCCATTGAAGTTGGGGGAGAAATCAGAATGGGCAACTTGGTCTGGGCACCACTGAAGACTCACTTCTACCACAAAAGATTCAAGCATTCGAGGTATCCTATACAGATCTTCGTGCATGATTGATGTACGTATATTGTATGACTTTTGAATGTATGAATCGTGTCAATGGGATAACCGGTTGCATTACAAAACGAATTTACATCGTATAATTCCTGAATGTCTGTGTATTCCAAGGCTGTATGATGAATAACATGAGTTATGATTCTCTACACACTCTTACTTTCGTCTTTTTTTCAGGGGATATTTGTCAAAATGGTGGCAGCTGGTGCTGAACATACAGCTGCAGTCACAGAAGATGGTGACTTGTATGGCTGGGGTTGGGGTCGGTACGGCAATCTGGGTTTGGGTGACAGAAACGACCGCTTAATTCCGGAAAAAGTCTCTGCTGTGGACGTATGTCGGTGCTACAAAATATTTTCCTTTGCATTATTTATTTAAAATTTTGGGCTTGAACCTGATCATCTGTGCCTGTCAACTATTGGTGGACATCTTCGTTACTGATCCAGTTGCTTACAAATTTGAATAAAGCATAGGTACCTGGCATGCGTAGAACTCATTTTGTGAAAAAAAATGAACCTATTTCTTTTTCGCCTTCAAGAAGGCTATGATCATAGATCCTGCGGAAGTTATGGCTCCAATCCTGAGGTTCAATGAACCTTCTGATGATCAGCCATCCGTAGGATGTTCGTCTTCCTCCAGAGAGCAGCGTTTCAACTTTTTTCTCCTTCACATGCATGACGCCCGCTCTTGATTATCTTTTATTCCTAAAATGGCTCTATTAAGTGGCTCATTATGGAACTTTAATGGTTTTGGTATCTTGGTAGTTTTTAACGTAACCTTTACCTTAGTTATCTGATTTTCCAGTTACCATGCTCTCTGCAATCATTATGGCTTGAACTTGATTGCTGCCTGTATATTTCTGCAGGGGCAAAAGATGATTTTAGTTGCTTGTGGGTGGCGTCACACGATAACGGTTTCCTCTTCCAGCAATCTGTACACATATGGATGGAGCAAATATGGTCAACTGGGGCACGGGGATTTTGAAGATTTTCTTGTTCCACATCGGTTGGAAGCCCTTTGCGATAAATCCATCACACAGGTCCCAGGCTAACTATTATTATTATTATTATTATTATTATTATTATTATTATTATTATTATTACTATTATTTGCAAAAGATAATGTCATGGTCATTTTTCTGCTCTTATGCCATTGCATTTCTTCCGGAGAGTTTTTTAATCTTAAGTGAATGCATCGTATTGTTTGTGGCAGCAAAGTTGGTGAATGTTCACCAATTAAAGTCCATATTGTTCGCTGAATGGCTCCTTTGTAACCTGGTCATTGGATAATTTGGTTTTAGCCGAGTATTTGTTTTTCAAATTCGTTTCCGGAAGAAGCTTAATTCGAACTTCATTTTCTTCATACTAAACTTTTTTAAGTATAATTGACAAGCTGTGATTTGGTATACTGCTAAAATGTTGTGTGAAGTAGCATCATTGTGCAGACCTTGATTAATATAAGTCAGTTCCTTGCTGTTTGGAAGGATGCTTAAGATATTCGTTTGATACTTTCAGATATCAGGTGGATGGAGGCACTCTATGGCACTTACATCTGACGGAGAACTTTATGGGTGGGGATGGAATAAGGTAAAGATTCTTGTTTCTCGAATTATTTTTTAACTGAAGAGATTCGCTGGATGAAGTAATCTAGTGCACCCGCGCTCGCCCATTGGCTGTGATCTGCTGCAAAAGTTCCATCTTTGCCTCAGATGGACTAGAAAAATCCCTCGGCTTGTAAATCTCTCCTGATTGGGTCAGTGTGGATCATCTTGGTTGCTGCAGAATGTCTTCCTGGGGTCTGAGTGTCTGACTATTTTCTGAAATTAGATTAAGAACACTGATAGAACACTAAATTGTTGCCTTGACTCGTGTCATTAGCATAGCTCCAATGAAGTTATACGTATATAGCAATGAAGTATGCTCACACTCCAATGAAGATTTATTTTTTTTACAGAATATTTATTTTTGCTGCTAATGGAATATTTTTTATTTTGATTTCCAGTTTGGACAAGTTGGTGTTGGTGATAACGTTGACCATTGCTCTCCAGTGCAAGTCAAATTTCCCGAGGAACAGGCAATTGCATTTTTACTTAGCTTCTTATTTTTGGAGTATCACAAATTAGAATGTGATTCCGATACGATAATTTTTCTTTTGGTTGTATATTCATTTTTCCATTTGGAAAACCTCTTCGTAAGAATCGCATCCATTTCAACAGAAAGTAGCTCAAATCTCCTGCGGATGGAGGCACACTCTTGCAGTCACAGAAAGGAAAAATATTTTCTCATGGGGGAGAGGCACGAGTGGACAGTTGGGCCATGGGAACACCATCGACTGGTAAGTCCTCGTGAAGACTCTGGATCATGATCTCGCAGCTATGAACTTTTGATTAATTTATTATAGAACCCGGACTTGATTTTCTACCAGATCATGATTCTCTCATAATTCCTACTGATACATTTCAAAATTGCTATGAAATGGTTGCATTCTTCATCACAATATCATATAAGCGATTACTCTGATAGATCTGATGAGCATCTATCAGAAGCTGCATCTAATTTAATTAGCCTTTGGGTGAGATTTTCTTGTGAGCAACGTGGGAAGTTCCTATTTGGATGGATTACACAGCTGTTCTTCTATATGGCGGGTAGCTGAGTGTAGTTTTCTTATGTACGTTCAGCAATACTCCCAAGATCATTGAGATCTTAAGCAAGGATGGCAATGCCTGCAAGCAGATGGAATCCTCAACCACGGAGCCAATATCAGGTGTTCACAACCCCAGATAAGACGTAGCTATTAAATGTTCTTCATCATCGTTTTGCTTACCGTGCTGGTACCTGGCCGCAGGCAAAGTCTGGGTTTCGCCATCAGAACGCTACGCGATTGTTCCCGACGAAACTGTGAGTCCAGCGACACCTCTCTTCAGCATTATGTTACTCTAATTAGCCCTCGTTCGCTCTGTTTGTTTCTCTAAACGTTTCCTGTGTGTACTGTCAGTCACATTGGGTGGTGTTTTGAGAGAGATGGAGATGGAGAAACTGAGGGATGTCAGTCACATTCTGTGCAGGTTCCCGGTCAACATAGCGGGTTGCCGAGAGGCAACGGCAACGACGTCAACGTCCCGGATGTCAAGCGCGTGCGTACCTGATGCCGATGGGGAGCGAGCGAGGCCTCGAGATGGATGGTCGGCGTGATATCGCTTGCCCATTGAGATCCTCTGTTCTGGATTGCTGTATGGTATTCTTCTGCCTCAGTTTAGACTGTAGAATCACTTGTTTGGCGGCTCCATTGGGGGGCCCTAGCTTGTGGGTCTTCCTTGAAATATTGCGGCGCCTGGAAGACGCCTCCCTTCTTGCGTCTCACGCAGTTCAATATTATGTGGGTTTTCTGTGAAGAAGACGTCGAAAGACCTCCCCTCATCCCACCAGTCTCTCCCTCTCCCTCTCCATCTCCCTCTCTCTTTCCGGAGTACGAGCTCCCCGATGAAGAGCCCTTGGTGCGTTCAGATTAGCTAGTAAGCAACAAATCTGAGAAAGGGATCACCTTTGTCTCATATATATTCAAAATGGTCCTCTTAATGGGAGAGGATTTCAATAAACCAGGGCACGGTCGTCTTTGAAACGATCGCCCACCTCTGCCTGACCTTCCCTCTTTCTGGGTATCACGCAAGTTCTGAACGGCGCGATGTTTCCGGCGGCACAGAGAAAGAACAAGGCAGAGCTGCGTAGCGGCCTTCTCTCTCTTTCTCTCTCTCTCAGCGGAGCATGTCGCCGGCGTCCAGCGAAGGGCCATTGGAGGCGGGGGAGTAGGCGTCGATGCTGGCGTCGGAGGAGAGATGGTAGCCGTAGCCGATGGGGAGAGGGCGGTCTGGTATATGGGGGACGTCCACGTCCCCCTCCAGCATGCTCAGGGCGTCGCGAATGGTGGGGCGGAGGGCGACCATGACGTGCGCGCAGAGGATCCCCACAAGGACGAACCTCTCCATGATCTCCCGCGGGTTTGGCCGCCCCTCTTCGCTCTTCAGCAGCGACGGCTCCAGCACCTCCTCCCCTTTCCCGGCCTTCACCAGCGTCCACGCCCAGTCGGTTATGAGGACCGAGCCGGAGGTGGACGACATGTCCAGCGCCTTCCGCCCGCTCATCACCTCCAGCAGCACCACCCCGAAGCTGTAGACGTCGCTCTTCTCGGTGAGCTGCCCGTAGAGGGCGTACTCCGGCGCGAGGTACCCGTGCGTGCCGGCGACTCTGGTGGTGAGGTGGGATTCGCCGCCCCTGATCTGCTTGGCCAGCCCGAAGTCCGCGACCTTGGCCCTCATCTCGCTGTCGAGCAGTATGTTGGTGGCCTTGATGTCCCGGTGGTAGATGGCCGGTTTAATGCCGTAGTGGAGGTAGGCGAGCCCCTTGGCCACGTCGATGATTATGTTCTTCCTCTGCGGCCAAGTCAGCGGCTTCCTGCTGCGGGGGCTCTCCCTGGAGCCGCCGAAGATGTGGTCGTCGAGGCTGCCGTTGGGCATGAACTCGTAGACCAGGTACCTCTGCTTCCCCTCGCCGGCTTCCTCGTCGTCGCTGTCGCTGCTGATGCAGCAGCCTCTGAGCGGCACGAGGTTCTTATGCCGCAGGTTGCTGATGATATCCACCTCGTTGCGGAACTCCTCGTCCCCCTGGATGTCCGACTCGATGATCCTCTTCACCGCCACGGCGCTCCCGTCGGAGAGGGTCCCCCGGTAGACGACCCCAAAGCCGCCCCTCCCGATCATGTTCCTCTGCGAGAAGTACCCCGTGGCCTTCTCCAGCTCCTCCATGTCGTACCAGATCGAGCCCGTGTTCGGCCGCGACCTCGAGCTCGCCGCCACTTCGCTGTTCCCTCTTCTGGGTCGCCGCCGCCCCCGCCAGAAGTACGCTCCGGCGAGCAAACAGGAGATCACGACGATCGCCACCGCCGCTCCGATCAACCCGAAAACCAGAGCCGACCGATTCTTGCCGCCGCCGCCGCCTTCAGTGGGGGTCAACGAGGCGATGGGGAGGCCGAAGATGCATGCGGCCGTGACGGGGTTATCAGGGCCGAGATCGTTGACGACGCCGGCGGCATAAGTCGCAGTGAAGTAGAAACAATCTGTGCTGTGGGATGAGTTGCCGTCGATTTGCGTGAGCCGGGTAGTCGTCCTGATACCAGCGCTGAGGCAGCTCTGGCAGCGGCCGGGGATGGTCACGTTGGTCTTGCAGGCGTCGACGAGCTCGGTGGCGTTACCGATCTTCTTCGCCATGTCCGCACTCGTCTGGATGCCGGCGCAGGTATCGTTGTTGATGACGAAGCGTCTGGGCTCGCTGAAGCAGGACGGGACGAGGTCGGAGGGCAAAGAGAGGGCAGTAAGGTTCGACTGGTAGGCCGCGAGGCAGGCGATGGCGGTGGGCTCGTCGGGGAGGCGAAAATGACCCATCTCCCTCAGCCGCAGCGCCAGGCCGACGCCGAAGAGGAGGAGGAGCGTCTCGCAGCAGCCGGTCACGTTGTTGGGCATGCCGGGCAGGCACGGAGTGCGGTCCCATGGCAGAGTTTCGAGATACTTCATACTCATCGGGCAAGATGCCGCCGCCGCCGGCGACGGAGCTCCCGACGAGTCTCCGGCGGCTTCGCCCATCGCAGCAGCAGTCGCCAAAAACCACAACAACATGATGCTACCCATCTCTCTCTCTCTCTCTCTCTACCCTCCCCCTTCTTCCGCTGTGAACAATCGCTCCGAGTTAGATCTGGATCTCCCCACCCCCCTTCCCCGAACCTTCCTTGCCGCTAACCATCTCTCTCCTCGGGATGACAACAGTCAAAAGGATCATGCGCCGTGAAGGCCGAGCAAAGGACAGCCGGAGAAGGAACAACCCGGCGGCGGCCGGTGTAGATGACGAAGGGAAGCGGAAGACTCCCCGCTCTCTGCACCAGGAGAGCTCCGGCAGCTGCTATGTCAGGCTCTACATTGAAACCTAAGCCTTTTCCAATATTTTTCCTACTCGCCGACAAGATTCGTGAAGCTCGAATGGCCAGTGGACGAGCGACGGCACAGGAACAGCTGGACGCCCAATTGTCTGGACGTGGCACGATCATCCGCCGCCGTCATCGGCCGCCCATTTCCAGACCGCCTTTTTGGATTCGTGCATTTGGCGGCACGGGTACAGGGATACCGCGAGCACGCGATTTCTTATTTTCTATGCATATGGAGGGGCATAATATAAATATCAGTCGTATTTCTCAAGATAATAATCATATTTAGTTGAGCTCACGTTCTCGGATTTTAATAATTAAAAATACACTCTTTTGGATTTTATGCGAATTCAGGTCAGAAATATAAGGTACATTGGTGTCGATAATTTTTTTTCCAAAAAATGAAAAGTCAACTCTCGGGAAGCGTGACATTTCCGCACGCCTGTCCGCGGGTAGGTAAACTCTACGTGGACCAATCGGCTCCCAGATGATCGAGAGACCCTACGGCCTCCACGTACTCGATTGGACTGACGAGAGGCTGGGCTTGCCAAGTCAGCTTGGATGAGGACAAAAGAAGTAACAAGAGAGAAGCTCACATATGGGCCACGCCCAGCCGGGGATAATTGGGAAGGTTTCCATTCGGGCCTACGAGAAATACTGGGCCCAATGAGGCCCATCCCACTGCGCAACGGTGCTGGCATCACGTGGGCCGAGACGGGACTCAAGTAAAATTGGTTCTGATTAGAAGTTGACCAAATCTGGTAGGAGTTAATCATTTCTACCCTTAAGAAAATTAAGTAAACAAGAATCTGAAGGACATATTTAATATATCCACCTAATTTTTTAGAAGACCCGTAAATTTGGGATAATATACGATTAAAGGTATTCAATGAAAATAAAAATAAAAAGTAGTACGCCTCCCTCCTGAGAGATGCAAGTTGGTCACCAATGCCCGCCGCCAGTCGTGGGGTTCAGCTCCGCGGGGCTGCGGCGGCCGTTGGTCAACGTGTTCTTTGTCTTCTTCTTCTTCTTCCGCCTGCTCTGCTTTCATCTAGCTATCAAGGACGACCGGTGATGGTGATTGCTCTATAGCCTCTGACGGCGCAGGAGGTCGGCAGCCCGTAAAGCCGTTCTTAGCCCGCCGGTGAGGGTGACGTTGGGCAACCTTCGTGGCGTTGACCGCCGCCTTCCGAGTTTCTGTTGCTCAGGACCCACCATTGTGACGTTGGACGCCCTTCCTCCCCAGGAATGATACACAGCTCTCCTCCTTATAAAGCAGATTCGATTCTCCACTCTCTCTCTTTCTCGGTCTCCGTCTGGGAAGGAAGGCGCCACGGTGAATTGGCCACCTATGAATATCTCTATCCCATAAACACGATAGTTTTAGCCCATCTGCCTAATTTCATACACATTATCCCTATCGGTCGGAATCCTACAGAGCTTCTCTTTCCTTCAGTGGGTAGACGGCCGGGACTGCGTCGAGCGCACCTGAACATATCACATCGCACGCGTCGCGAAGCCGCCTCCGGCGGACGCCCGCAGGCGCCGGCAGCTGCGTGAGGAACGAAGCTCATCCGTCCGGAGAACTTGATGGAATGGGAATAAAGAAGTACGATGAGTGCACGTCATCGCCTAACTCGAGTTTGTTTGGAAGTAAGCGTGAAAGAACAAGGGGTGAATGATTGGCGCTGCGCTGTTCTAGGACGAGGACTGTGGAAGACGAGCCACCGGAGCGAGCTCTTCCATCGTCTCAGCCTTGGCCCATTCCATCCTCCGCCAGGCGACCTTATCGTCGATATAACAGAGAGAATCTGGCCAACTGTGGTTCATCCTCTTCCTCCCACCTTTCAGTCACAGAGAAATATACTCGGAGATATTAACGAGTTCCGTCTAGACAAATATATTCCCCAGTGACGCTGCTCCCCATAGCTCGCAGCAGGGTTTTCCTTATCGAGAATAATGGAAGAGGAGAACTCCAGAACGAAACCATGGCCTCTCGTGCAAGTTGGAACGCCGACTCGGCGAGTGGAAAGAGGCTGCAACGGCCATCAAACTCGACCTTGACGACGCCACCGCATTCGATTATCTGGGACAGCGACGGGCCACATGGTGGGTAGATGGATGGATATGGGGCGAGGGGGACGGCCTCGGAGTCGGAGATGCCGTTCTCGCTCGCCTTTCTGTTGTTTATGTCCATGGGAGACCCTTCGAGATGCTATAGAGAAAGAAGGGATGTGCTGGAGAGAGCGGTCCTCGGCACTTTAGGCATTCAAACATTTCAGCTGCCGAGAGGCTTTTTGACGGAGAACGACGACCTCAATCGCGTTGCTGGCCTTCCGCGGTCGGCGATGGCCCTCCCTTTAAACGAACACCCAAGTACCCATCCGGCGTCACGATGGCGTGTATCCTTACCCATTAGCGCAGCAACTATCCTCATCCTAAGGTTTGTCCTGCTCAACCTCACATCGTAGCGTTATGTCAACTCTCTCTCTCTCTCTCTCTCCTCATCTTTCATCCCCTCGCTGTACCAGTCTTCATGGTTCATCTCACTTCGTGATGCAAGAGAACAACCAGAAAAACAGGAAATCATCAAGAGCATTGGATTGTTATTAATTAATTCCGAAGAATGTGGAGAATGACGATGGAGGGTGGGGAGAAGAACGAGGAAAATATCCTCCGGTGATCATCGTCAGCTTAGAAGATTACTGCCGTAAACTAGTCAGTGGAATGGCTTGTTTCGTTCCTTTTCCTCGGTCTTTTAGAACCCTAGAAAGAGAATCAGAGTCAAATTATTGGCGATGAAGGTGGCCGCCTTCTTTTCCGAAAGAGAGGGCCCCCTTCTCTTATGGGAAACCTCGGTGTCTCAGAGACTCTCGGAAGGTTAAACCGACTGTCGTCAGCAGTGATTCCAATATCGATTAGACTGTTCCCGTCTCCAGTTGCACCGATTCGCCTTTTGGATGGAACAAATTGACCCTTTGGGCTGAGCTCCGAGTGCTCTCGTTGATCATAAACTACGACAGACCTAGATTAACGAAGACGAAAGCAAGTTACAGTACCCGGAGAACCTATTCTCCGTTCATTAAGGACGGAGGAGATGGCTCACACGTGAAAACTTTGAACATTCTTCCTGTCGTCTCGTCCATCTGCTTCCCTATATAAACCCTGCGCCTCTCTCCGACGTTCACCGCGAGGAGAAAGCTTCATAGGGATCTCTTCTTCCTCCTCCTCCTCCTCCGCCGTTGGCGGCTCCTCCTTGTGCTGCTGCCGCTGCGACTCCACGAGGGTGGACGAGGTAAGACTGTTGGTCACACGAGCTCTCCCCCCTTTGCTCTCGTTGACTGAAGGAAAGGCAGAGATCTTTGTGCCCACAAAGATATCCAGAGATCTCAGATAGGGAGAGAGACGGCAGCGTGAGATAGAGACGGAGGGAGGTCGGCGGATGGAAACCTGGTGGTTACTTCGTTGACGCCCCTAGAGACCACTTTGGTTGAGGTGAGGTGATGTGGGGAGGAAGGTCGGCGGTGGGTGGGTGTGTGGCGGGGGGCGCCCGAGTGGAAGAGATAGAAATGTCGGCTTCGGTTGACCTACAATGACCAGACGAGTACAATCGTAGAAGAGCCACGTGTCTTAAACGCGACAAATTTCTCGCTCCCGCAGTCTCTCCCTCTCTCAAACTTCTATATATGCCTCCCTCGCCCTCCTCTCAATCTCATTCTTCCCGATAGCCTCCAGTCTTCTTCTCCGGAGTAGAGTCAATCTCATTGACTGGTTTCTCTCTCTGTCTACTCTCAAACGCAGAGGTTCCTGCTCTGTTTCCTGCCCCTGCTTTCCGGTCGGCGGCGGGAAGAAAAATGGGCGAGAACGGCGCCGCCAAGAACCACCAGAGCTTGGGAGCTTACCCTCCCTTCGACGTCTCCATCAACTTGGGCCAGAACCAAACCCTGGGAGGCTCCAAATGCTACGACGACGACGGCCGCCTCAAGAGAACTGGTGAGAGAATCTATTCCTCCGTCTCTTTTTCCGATGTCATCGATCCTTCTCTTCGGCCATGGTGGCGATGTTCTGATTTGATCTTCTTCTACGGCACAGGGAATGTGTGGACGGCGAGCGCACATATCATCACGGCGGTGATCGGGTCCGGGGTGCTTTCCCTGGCATGGGCCATCGCCCAGCTCGGCTGGGTCGCTGGCCCCGTTGTCATGTTCTTGTTCTCCTTCGTCATATACTATACCTCGTCGCTCCTCGCCGACTGCTACAGGTCCGGCGACCCTGTCACCGGCAAGAGGAACTACACCTACATGGACGCCGTCCGGGCCAATCTCGGTCAGTGTGCTCTTCTGCATTATGGATACAGATTCTGGAAACAAGGAAGATGAATGATCAGAAACATGGAGATGACAAAATTAAACCTTTATATTTTTTTATAGGTGGAGTGAAGGTGAAGATCTGCGGCTTCATTCAGTATCTCAACCTTTTTGGAGTGGCCGTTGGGTACACTATTGCTGCTTCCATTAGCATGCTGTAAGTAGGCTCTCTGGTTTTCAGCAGGAATTCGCGCTTCTATTCCACGTGAGTTCTGTATGTTTTGGACGCTCAACGACGTTCTGGTTTGCTACTGAGCAGGGCAATCAGGAGGGCGAACTGCTTCCACGAGAAGGGGCACAGGAACCCCTGCCACTCGTCGAGCACCCCCTACATGATCATCTTTGGCATCACAGAGATCGTGTTCTCACAGATCCCCGATTTCGACCAGATCTGGTGGCTCTCCATCGTCGCCGCCGTCATGTCCTTCACCTACTCCTCCATCGGCCTCACCCTCGGCATAGTACAGACCGTGGGTAAGTTTCCGATCATCAGTCCGGCGACCCTCGTGGCCTCCTTCCACTGTTCTAATGGCTTCCTTCGCTGTGGTTCAGCCAACGGAGGATTCAAGGGCAGCCTCACCGGAATCAGCATTGGAACCGTCACACAGACCCAGAAGATCTGGCGGAGCTTTCAGGCGTTCGGAGACATCGCCTTTGCCTACTCATACTCCATAATCCTCATCGAGATACAGGTAAAAAAAAAAACGGCAAACACTGGCACCAGTCACCGATTATCGGTATAGCAGAATGTAGCAGTTTTTAATCAGACTGTCTACGGCGTGCTGCTCCTGCAGGACACCATAAAAGCCCCGCCTTCAGAAGCCAAGACGATGAAGAAGGCGACGCTACTGAGCGTGGCGGTGACGACGGCCTTCTACATACTGTGTGGTTGCATGGGTTACGCCGCCTTCGGCGACGCGGCCCCAGGGAACCTCCTCACCGGCTTCGGCTTCTACAACCCTTTCTGGTTGCTGGACATCGCCAACGCGGCCATCGTGATCCACCTGGTCGGCGCCTACCAGGTCTACTGCCAGCCACTCTTCGCCTTCGTCGAGAAATGGGCCCTCGAGAGATGGCCCGAGTCGGACTTCATCGCCAAGGAGTACCGTATCCGGCTGCTCCCGGGGACCTCGCGGAGGTGCTTCTATGGGGTCAACCTCTTCCGCCTGGTGTGGCGGACGGCCTTCGTCGTGGTCACCACCATCATCTCCATGCTCCTTCCCTTCTTCAACGACGTGGTCGGCTTCCTCGGGGCGCTGGGCTTCTGGCCGTTGACCGTCTACTTCCCCGTGGAGATGTACATCAGCCAGAAGAAGATCCCCAAGTGGAGCACCACCTGGGTCTGCCTGCAGACGCTGAGCATCGCCTGCCTCGTCATCTCCGTCGCCGCCGCCGCCGGCTCCATCGCCGGCGTCGTCCTCGACCTGAAAGTCTATCGACCCTTCAAGACCGAGTACTGACTGTTCTGATCGATCGGAACTCGTCGATCAGCCACCATAAGTACCGCGACCAGTCACTGATGCTCTTATATGCCTCCCTGTAACTCAAGTTATGAAGAAAATACAGAGAATTTCACTGAAGGCCCGCCCCCCCTCTCCTCCCTAGCATCGCGGCCTGCTTCCTCCCGATAGAACACAAAAAGTCAAAACCATTATTTCTCGATTTAAAAGGACAAACGACAAGACGTCAACGTCATACCGCGACGAGTTGGACCGGGGGAAGACCGTATCTATACTGGTCCTCCCGTCTGGTGGAGATAAATCCAGCCCATTTTGATCTACTTCTTGGCCCGCCGATCACACGGGGCTACGGGGCCCATTGTTGTGTTTCGGCCTCGTTCGGCCCAATGGGATGGTCGCTCATTTAATAAAAAAAAAAAGTGCGCTCGCGTCTTCACCGCGTTGACTGATGCCGCCTGTCTCATAGAATACTCTAGAAGAGACGCTTCATGGCCTCTTCCCTTCAAGTTCTCATGGAATACTTCATTTAATACGCTCTTGCTTCTCGTTCTTCTACTTGGTCTATAATTCTACAGCTCCCTCCCCACACCAGTCTCTTTCCGAGGCGGGAGAAAGAGCTGCAGGAGCAGGGGCCAGGCCTGTCCGGTGCTGCGTTTCTCGATCGGCTGCTGGAACGCAGGGAGCGCTCTCTCTGTGATCTTGTGGCTGTCGTATGGTCGGCATCCTCGATCGTCGCTTCGGTTGCATCCGTGTTGTCTCCATCCACTTCAAAACTTGGGACGTCGGAGTGTCAATTTTCCCTCCCGCCACGTCTTGATCTCATATGTTCTCTCTACTCCTCGTTGATCAAATGTGCTTTCTGAAGCCTTCGCCAATTTTCCGTCCTTCGACATGGACGTCCGGCCGTAAATTCCTCGCGTCGCTACGAGGGATCTCATCTCTGTTTCCGTTGAATAGGAAGACGGTAGGAGAATCTGGAAATAGGAAGAGTGCTGAAAGCAGATGGTCTTTCTTGAATTGGTGGCCTAGCATTGATACTGTTAAGCTTTTCCTGGTTCTTTTGTTGATATCCGCCATGTTCGCTGAGATACGCTGTATTGTGTCATCATCTATGTGCCCAACCCTTCAGGCCGGTGACCGTGTCGTTATTGAAAAGGTGCGTTGAAAGGAATTCGATATCTATCTTCAATTTCGTGTTGCTTATTTTGATCTAATATGAGTGCCATGAGTTATATGCTTTTCTTGCTGGAAATATATTGGAAAAAATGTTATCAGATATGCTGTTTCCGGTAGTTAATGACGTACAGAAGTGAAAACGGGCTTTGAGGTTGCTATGATAAGTTCCCACTGCTAAAGAAGAAAAAAAATAAAAATAAATTAAATCTCATATCCCTCTTCATTATTGTTGGTCTTCTGATTGTGAATTTCCTGTGCGTCTAAAAAAAGTGGCAAACCAGAAGGTGAATTTGATCAACTGGTTTCCCGTGCTCGGAAGGGATGATGAAATTTTTCATGCACGTTGTTTCTGTTACTTTCATCTGGTTGGACTTTGTGGGATTGGCGATTACTGAGATTGAACTTAGAACATGTGCTGCTTTTTCCACTAGTGTTTTAAAAACATACAGGAGATTGAGTCGTCCAGGCCCTTACCAGTTTAATTGAGTCGTCCACACCGTACTTTTGTTGAGTTGTCTGATTGGACTTTGGGGACAATTGAGTGGTTTGTGTAAGGAGTTTTGTTTTTTTACATGCACGGGAAGAAATTGCAGAGCCAGAACGCCAAACTTGTCTGAAAAGATGACATCAAATATCAATCTATTGATCCTACGAAGTCTTTCAAATTCGACGGAGAAAATCAGGGTTAGTGGAATCAATCTTGGCTAACTGGCTGGCTTTCTGCCTGCAGAAAAATATTCTGGGTCTAAAGGGGGTCGTAACTTAATATTTCCAACCACCGGACATGGCGGATGAAGAGGCATGCCAAATGGCCTCTAACCGGCAGAATTTTATGGTGGTTAGATGACATTCGTTCCTGCCAAGACCGAACCCCTAAAGATCACGTACTGATAAGAGAGTATAATTAGATCGCATTATCTTTGCACAAACCTTTCATTATACTTATGTCTCAAGGAATAGTGCGGTTGAAGTTATTGGAATTAAAAATAAATAAATCTCACTAGCTAACTAGTTAATAATTGGTGACATTTTATTGGAACGCTGGTGTCAGTAGTTTCTAGGGAGAATCCTTGAGTACTGTGTTTTGAGAAATGTTCGATTGGACATCTTGTGCGCATGCGAATACTTGTAGCATTTATTTTCTCTTTGATCATATGTATCCTGTCTAAATATCCTTTATTCTCAGTCCTCATAGCAATTTGTACCGGTTCTTGAATATGTATCTTTTTCCCTATCCTCATACTATTAGAATTTTTGCCTGTTATCCACATAGATTCTATATGCCAATATTGGGATTGCTTTCATGAAATCCTTTGTTTGACAATTTTCTTCTGCTTATACCCATCTATCCGCCAAACATATATTCATTTCGGACGCATCTCTGTAGTTTTTTCACTGATGAGTCACTAATCATTCTGTTTTACTGCCATCTTTTAATTGTGTGCAGAAAACTTAACTGTGCTTTCTTTTGGAGATTAGTTGTTTCCTCGTTATTCTATTGCTTTCTTTTTGCTGGACATAAGAAATCATTATAAATGTTTATTGTCCTCACGAGTACTTGTACTGCAACTATATATTTTTATTTCTGATAAGAAACGATGATATTGGCTATGTACTAAGCGTTACCTAATGTTGACTTAATGTATACTTTTATCCTGCTGTTATGAATGTTAAGTGGATAAAGCATCGCCCTGTCTCGCACTCAGCTACATGAATTCTGTTATGTTTATATGCAAAATAGTTGATGTAGCTTTTCAGACTTTTCCTTATATTTGCTTTTTGCTAGCTGCCTGAGATTTTTTTATATGTTTCGTTGTAGTCGACTGATTGTTTGATTTCTTTGCATCCTCAGGTTTCATACTACCTCAGAAACCCTTCCATCAATGACATTATACTTTTCCGACCGCCCAAAAATCTGCAGGTACGGTTTGCCCAATGAATGTTTCATCTATGTCCTTTCAATATGGAGTGATTTAGGGTTACGTCCTTGCTGACTTTTCTCTGTATTAAATACTCAGGATATTGGATACAAGAAAGAAGATGTGCTTATCAAAAGAATAGTGGCGAAAGCTGGAGATTTTGTCGAGGTCCTTTATTTCTGCTTCTTGTATTTCCCCCTAATTAATTGAGGAAGTCTTACGTTAACCAAAAGGGTCATTTTGGGCATATTGGATCAGTAATTTTTTTGGTAACAGTTATTTTCGTCTGCGTAAATAAATGCTAAAGTAGTTGGTATACATTACAGGATTTTTTTTGGGGGTGAAATATTATTTATGTTCAGATGTGCCTGAATTTGGCGGAGAGTTTGATCATTCTCTTTGGAGGTGGTAATTGTAATATTTTCCACACTAAAATGGGATCAAACAGTACTCTGATCGAAATGTAGAAACATAGTAGCGTGTTGGTCGGTCTTTGCGATGGAGTTTTTTCGCTTATTTTTTTCGTCCAGAAAATTTAGAATTCAAAGAAAATGAATTTTGAGTTAAGGAAAGACAAAGAAATGACCTCATAAAATTCGCTTGTTTTGATCCGTGCTGTAGTGATTATTTTATTCTTATGCTATTAATGAAAAAAATTCATTGGTTTTGTGAGGCACTAGAATTTTGGCAGATGTGATTTAGTGGACGGTAGAAAGGAAGTGAGTTCTATAAATCTTCATGCGTTTGTGTGTGTGTGTGTGATAAATGATACATGTGAGAGAACACCGGCTAATATTGGCAGCGGTTCAGAACTAAATGTTTTTCTGATCTGGTTGGTATACGCTTTTGCTTTTCTTGGAAGAGATGACCAGCCATATTCAGTGGAGCTCATTTTTCTATAGAATTATATGTAAACCATGTAACTGCGGTGAATATTATAACTCCTCTCTGGACTAATTATGGTACAAAAGAATTCGAGCCCGAATCCCAGTTGGAATTGTCGTTCTGCCCTAATATGAACCCGGTTGTATAACTGCGGCTATTATTATTTCATGTTAGCTGGACATTAGGTTGTACTGCTGTTCAACTTTTTGTCGTCGGTAAACCAGCATAATTATATGCACAACGCATATGGATCCCATGTAGATGCCTACTCTAATAAGCCTGCGTGACAGTGATCATCTTCTACATTTTTTTTTCCAGGTCCGTCAAGGAGAGCTTTCTATCAACGGAGCTGCACAGAAAGAGATCTCCACAGCAAGGCAGCCAGCTCACAGAATCGAATCTCTAGTGCGTCCCTGATGCTTACCCTTTCCCATATTAGCCGCCCGAATTTCTCGTACCGTTGTGCCAGCAGAGCCTTCCCTTGAACAACCGATGGAGCTGGTTGTCGCTTCCGTTGAGAACCCACGTGCGCAAACCATCTGGATGATTGTTTGCTTGCGGAGCAATCTGGAAGTGAGCCCATCTAATGATTGAGCTCCTTTGCTCTATGTTGTTGACGCTGAGAACTCAATGATACATCGTAATGAGAATGAAGAGTCTCGGATGGGGCGCCGTCTACTTGGCTTGTTCTGCAGAAGTTGACGTGTTGCTTGGATTGTGCAGCGTGTGCCGCCCGGCCATGTCTACGTGGTGGGAGACAATCGCAGCAACAGCTGTGATTCTCGTGTTTGGTAAGCCCCCATATATGATCCGCCTGAAAACACTTCGAGCTTGGCTCATCTTCACATCCCCGAGTTGTTCGGCTGCAGGGGACCTCTTCCTCTCTCGCACGTTATCGGAAGGCACTTCTTTTGCTGCTCAAGGTCCCCTCCTCAGTACCCATCCAATGGAAAGGCCGGGAACGGAGAAGGCTGATCCGTCTCGTAAAATAACCCCTCCACCCATTTCGGTAAATTGTTTTTATCCTCGGTGGTCCCTGTTGATTGGAGTCACCACTGACGTCACTGCTTGAATGGATAATTGCCTCGCGCCGGTTTTAAATTTTTGTGGATAATTGCGCCTGGTAGAAAAATATACTTTTTATGGATAGCCTTCGACTGAGGGGGCAGGGTTGTTGCACTGACAGAGGGAAGCGAGAGAGAGAGGATGAGTTCGCCGCCGCCGTGCTTCTGCCTGCCTTTTCTGCTACTCTTATTAACATTCATCGAGAGCGGCAACGGTCCTGCGGTCGCCTCTGGTAAGGGGCTCGCCGGCGAAGGTGGGAAGACCAGCATAGTCTTCTCTACCGTAGGGCGGAGCCGCTACGAATTCGACATATTCAGCCTCCCCGTACCTTCGTCCTCCCAGAGCAGCAGCGGTGATTTCGCCGAGCTCCTGCTTTCCGACGGTCTCTCTGTCAATTACAACGGTTTCTTCCCCACCGATCCCTCCTCGCTCCTCTCTCTCCTCCCCGTCTCTGGCCAGGTCACCCCCTCCTCAGCCGACGATGGTAATAATCCCCTGGAAGCCCTCGTCTACGTCAGCGAGAGGAACGGCTCCTCCAACATCTACCTAAACGTCTACCGCTCCGCCGCCGGCGGCCGGAGCAACAGAAGGTCGGCGCTCGATGTTCCGACGGGGCTAAACCTTCCACTTCTTCGTCCCAAGGGCGAGGCTCGTTTCTCACAGAGAGACAGGCCTTCTGTGTACGGTGAGCACCTGATCTACGTCTCCACCCACGAGGCACCCGGCGTCCCCAGGAAGAGCTGGGCGGCGGTCTACTCCACCCACATCCCCTCCGGCGAGACAAAGCGGCTGACCCCTCCCGGCGTCGCCGACTTCAGCCCCGCCGTGTCGCCCTCCGGCGACTGGACGACGGTGGCGTCGTCGGGTTACAGAGGGTACACCGGCGAGACCCGCGACCTCCAGACTCACATCGCCGTGTTCAGGACGAGGGACGGCTCCGAGCGGACCGTCGTGGTCGACCATGGCGGCTGGCCCTGCTGGGCGGACGACTCCACTCTCTACTTCCACCGCCTGAGCGACGACGGCTGGTGGAGCATCTTCAAGGCCACTGCCATCGGGGGAGGCTCACCCGTCGCCGTCGACCGGGTCACCCCTCCCGGTCTCCATGCCTTCACTCCGGCGTGTGGGAACGGGTTCCTCGCCATGGCAACCAGGAGACCTTCCTCCGAGTTCCGGCACATCGAGCTGCTCGACCTCGCCAGCGGGGTGTTCGTCGATGTAACCAGGCGGGTCTCCCCGGATGCTCACCACTTCAACCCCTTTGTCTCCCCCGATTTCGCTCGAATTGGGTACCACCGTTGCAGGGGCGGGGCCACCGCCCTGCTCCTGGAGAATATACAGAGCCCCGACTCGGAGATCTCCCTCTTCAGGCTAGATGGGTTCTTCCCTTCCTTCTCCCCCGACGGGGGCCGGATTGCCTACGCGGGGCTGCCCGGTCTGTACGTCATGAACGCCGATGGCTCCGGCAAGCGGGAGGTTTTCTCCGGCAACGCTTTCGCGACCGCTTGGGATTGGAAGAGGAAGGGGGTCATCTACACCAGCCACGGCCCTGACTTCGCCAACGAGAGCACTGAAGTGGACGTGATCTCCATCGCCGTTGGAGAAGACGAGCTGGGCTCCCCGTCTCCGTCCATTAAGAAGCTGACCGCCGGTGCACAGAACAACGCCTTCCCTTCCCCATCGCCAGACGGGAAGTGGGTGGTGTTCCGCTCCGGCCGGTCGGGGCACAAGAACCTGTATATCATGGACGCAGTGGAGGGAGAAGCGAAGGAGCTCCGCCAGCTGACCAGCGGGCCGTGGACGGACACGATGTGCAGCTGGTCGCCAGACGGTGAGTGGATCGCCTTCGCTTCGGACAGGGACAACCCAGGCGGCGGGAGCTTCTCCATCTTCTTCGTGCATCCCGATGGAACGGGCCTGAGGAAGGTGGTGCAGAGCGGGCATGGCGGAAGGGCCAACCACCCCTACTTCAGCCCCGATGCCCGGCGAATCGTGTTCACGTCGGACTACGCCGGCGTTTCTGCAGAGATCATTTCCACTCCGAACCAGTTCCAGCCCTACGGCGAGATCTTCGTCGCCAACGTCGATGGATCGGAGATCCGAAGGCTCACCCATAATGCCTACGAGGACGGAACTCCCTCTTGGGGGCCAACCTTCATGAAGCCTGCCGACGTCGGGGAGCACCTGCCTGAAAATTATCGCTGCAAGTTCGATGATCAGCGATGGCTCCGCTCGCAGGCACGCCATACAGAGGAAGTCACTTGCTTGAAATCTCCATGACTGGGAAGATATAGTGCTCTGCATGCTGTGCATACTGCGGCTAGAAAACTCCGGGGAGCTGTGGTAGAAGGTACGTTCCCTGCTCATCTCCATCCCGGGCAACCTTCGAAGAACAAACACGAAGCTTACGATATGTCGTGTTTCTCGTTTCTGGTATTTACTGCTGTCGTCAGGCCATTTCTTTGGCTACTTCGAGATCTAGAGATGAACTTGCCCTTCATCAAATGTAATGTATGTACATCAGGTAATCGTTATCGAATATAGCACGCACAGATTCAGAATGAATGAATCATTTCATTGGGCAGATCATCACGATTGGCCTGGATGGCTCTTCGTAGGAGAATGAGAGCGAAACAAAAAAAACCTGTCTTTGCATGGGATTGATCATCACGAAAGGGGACGAGCAAAGAGCCATGGATGGCTCCAGTTTGGAGGAGCGGATCACCCATTTCGCCTACCTTCCTTCTGGGAAGCACTTGATTCCCCCTTGATCATGGAAGAAGCCGGAGGAGACCGGAGCGAGAGGGGAACAGATCCTCGAAGAATCTTCGTTTGGAGTACTCATCGAGGATTAGAACGGCGGAAAAACGTTGATCAGAGTTTGCCTAAGTTGTGAATGGAGGTGATTTGCTGTCAGGAGAACTAAGTGATGAACCCTCGTGGCCGGCTGCGCGCGGCCGGTTGGGAGCTGGTGGGTGCGCAGAAGCCGCCACCACGTCCCCCTCAGATGTGTCCGAAGAGCACCCACCGGCCAGAGGATCACCCATCAGGGTGGCGGCGCTAAACCGCACCCTCCGCAGCCCACCGGGAGATTCAACCGCGGACTCCTCGAGGGCGGCGCCGCCCGCGACGCGGGTGACCGGTGCGGCGGGCCTCCCCGGTGCCCAGTCGGCGCCGCCATCTCGAGCGGCTGCCCTCGCGGAAGCCGCCCTCCACAGGCACGTCGTGATCCAGAACACCCACGGGATCCCCACCAGCACCATCCCTGCGATTGGGAACCACTCGGCCCCGGCGGACTGGGGCAGGGCTATGTACAGCACCAGGAGGGCGCCCCCGGTGATGACGGCAGAGAAGAGGAGGCAAGAGACGAAGTAGACGCAGATTTCTCCCCCTCCTCTTCCCACGGGGACCGGCCTTTGATCCCCAGAAACCACTGCTCCTTTATATCTTCTCCTGCTCGTCGTCGTTGTCGCCCTCCTCTGTTTCCGCTTCTTCTGGCTCGGCGGTGGCTATGGCGATGGAACAACTTCCGTCACCATGTCACGGTGATCTTGAAGACCATGGGTCCTCCTAGATCAGTTTCCGCTGCGGCGACGGCGGCGGCGGTGGACGTCCTCAAGGCATCGGCAGACGGAAACTAGTTTCGAAGTCCCACCCTGCAGGCGACGAGATTTAGAGAGAGCGAACGTCGGGGGGAACGTGAGGCCTCGGCCGCGAGGGAAGCGGATCCGGGGGGCTGCTCTCCTACTTCGGCCATCATCCACTAACTTGATGGGCTCTTACGAGCCCCCGATGGACCGGTTAGAAACCCATCAAGACGTAAAAATTATACCCCATCATTATTAATATATTCCGGTCCCACGTAGACTCCCCCCTCTCTCTCTCTAGAAAATGAGACCTGAACAAGAGCGACTGGCGAGGTGATGGGGGTCAGTGGATGAGCTCTTCTTCGTCGAGAGTACGCCGGTGATCAGAGGGATAATCGGCTTTTCCTTCTTCAGAATCCCCCTTGGCCTCTCCCCCTCGCTGAGACTCAGCAACTGCGCCAGAGTCGGCGAGCACTCGAAGCCAGCGGACAGCTCGCTTGCTCTGTCCCCCCCGTAGCGCCCGCTGCCGATTTCCCAGGGCTGGCTGGTCCTCGATGGCTTCACCGCCGCCGCTGTCGCTGCCTCCGCCTCCGCCAGTCTTGTGGCGTTCTTCTGCAGCTCCGCGCCGAGCGAAGCCACGGCCAGCTCCACCTCCGACTCCCTCATCTTGAGCAGGGTTAGCTCCCGTCTGGTTTCCTCCAGTTCGAACTCCAGCCTCTTCAAGGATCTCTCCAGCGCGGCCTCTCTTTCTGTGTTCAACAGCGACTGAGAAGAAAGAGAGAGCGGCGAAACTGTTGGAGGAGACGGGAGGGCCCTCGGCGTCGTCTCCCGCCTGGCAGCGGCGGCGCCGCTCGGGGAGTAGACCTCCCCGGCCAAGAACCGCTCGCCAAAGAGGGCGACGGCCTCCTTGACGGAGCGGAAGGGGCGACTGGTGTCGACCTCGGCCCGCAGCCCATCCATTGGAGTCGACGAGCTCTCGACCATGGCGGCTCGGGGAGAGGGGTGGAGGAGTTCGGTATTTGATGATGGGCTATGTTTCTTTCCTTCCACTCCACGGTGGGAGTGGACGAACTGGATGGAGCACTGGAGTTTGCCGAGAGTAGAAGTCAGTCCTGTATAGTTGGCACAGCTTGGTGGATATGGCGAGACGGAGACCCACCAACCCAATTCTCCACCGGTAGCCTAGAAAAAGAGGCGGTGCAATGGACAGGCTAGGTGATTTCAGCCGCCGTGGATCGAGATCGGAACCGCGTGCCAAAATCGTCGACGATGAATGAAATAAATGGATGTAGTTGATTTTATCTTCCTATCAGCCTTCGTGAACGTCGAACTGTTCTAAGATCCTATGCTTCGTTCGGTCTTCTCTTTCTATCGTGTTGAGTGTCGTAGTCAACTTATTTCCCGTTCTGATAATCTTCCGCCGCAATGGCCGCAATCGGCTTCCTTCACGCATCAACCAAACGCTGCGGATCGGATGGGCGGGGTGAACTGGGTTCTTGCTTTTTTCTCTTTCCGCTTCCTTCTTCTCCGCAAATTCCCTGATTTATCATCATCTTCGCGGAGAAGTTCGATCGGGAGAGCTGTTCGCTGAAATATAGAAGGCCTTGGAAGCTCCACGGCTCCGATTATCGCGAAGAACAGCAGTAAATGTTACATAAGAATAGGATAGAAAACCGATCTGCCTCTGATTCAGAGCAGTCGTTCAGGAAGAACGGCATCGGCGAGGAATCATCAATCGCAATCCAAAGAAGGGGGCACAGAGTTTGAATGAAAAAGGGAGGATTTAACAGGACAACCCCGGCAGCCGGTCTCCGACTCAGCTCCGGTTCGTCACCGGATATCCAATCCCGTGTCTTCTCGTGGGGAAGACGACGGAGAGCAAGCTGCAGATGACCCCCACCCCGAGGGGGAGAATGCTGAGAATTTCCTGGGTCTCGTGCTCCGGCTGCGGGTAGAAGCAAGCCACCACATTCTTGTCTTTCATGACGACAACCCCGAACACGAGGACAGAGAGCACCCCGTGGACGAAATCTATGAACCGTATTCTGTACTCGGCAAGGTCGGGGAGGGCTGGCGGGGACATGGTGGGGTAGTCGAAGAGCCACATGCCGCTGGGGGTGGCGAGACCGTGGTACACCTTCCCGTCCGGTGAGGGGAAGCTGTCGGTGAAGCAGGCGAGGAAACTGGAGGCTGCGAGTAGCAATAGAAGGAGTTGGGTCATGGCGCGGGTGACGCCGTCGCAGGAGCCGTTGTTGGTGAAGACGGGGGTGAGGAGCTGGAAAGCCAGGAGGGTCCCCGTGGGGAGGAGGTTGGCCAGGTGGGCGGCGCCGCCGAAGGCCCCCGACAGCACTTGCTGGGCTAAGGCTGGCGGAGGCGCCGGTCTCTCTATCAGCTTCTCCTCTTCTTCTTCTTGCGTCCCCTTCATGCTCCGCGATCTCGCTCTGACAGACATCTTTGTCTCGTCAGAGGGGTTGAGGAAAGTTGGAGCGGGAAGGGCCGACTGGGCGTGGATTGAAGACGAAGAGCTGTATCTGTTTGATCTCTCTCTCTCTCTCCCTCGTCTCCTTGAAGGGTGAGCCTGCTAGGGTTTCCCTTGCTGCAACTCCAAGGTGTCCGTGTCGTGAAGGAATTGAAGACCCTCGTTGAATGTATGATCATATTCCTATTTAATTTTCGCGCATTGTAGCTGGTCTTCGAAAATGCCCCCAGAGACGGACTATTTTTTGCGTCGGAGTGGTAGAACTCCTCCGGGCTGAACTCTGGATTATCTGGGTGAGGATCATACCTGGGGGTTGACTTGTTCCGACGCATTGACCTTTCCCTATATGCTGACAGATTCTGCCCGACGTGGGCCTCTTCCTTCCCCGTCTGGCCAAATCAACGCGGAGATCGTACAACCGCGTGAGTGATCTAATAAGAATAAAATATCTATTAAAATGGTAAAAATGGAGCGCATACGATGAGAATTTACAGGGTTTCTAAGAGGTCAATGGGCCTGCGACGGTAGCCGTGGTCCATGGTTGAGGAAGGAGAAGAGGCGAGGGCCCTGCAAGATCCGTCTATCCCCCTCGCCATATCTCCTCTCCCGCGTGAGTGATTGCCGGTCAACTTCACCGAGACCTTCACTGATGCATCGGGGAAGGTTTTCCTTATCTGTGTGCCATCGGGTATCACGCCGAAAATTCAGCTACAAGCTCTCTCTCTCTCTATCTCTGTACTTTTCCCCTCCCTCCTGGAGGAGCAAGGACATCTTCTGCGAGGAAAAAACAGAGCGTTGAGAGGGCTGGGGGAGGAGTGGAATCTCATCCTTCTTCCGTTTTTTCCCAATTCAAAAAACTTTTCCTGGGAGAAAGCAAGATGTCGATTCGGAACCATCAATACAAAGACCAGCGGACGAGACAGGCGGCGACATACTCCCTGTCCTCTCCCTCTCTCTCTCTCTCTCTCCCTCTCGCTGTCGGATGGTCAAGCCAGTCTATGCCGTACTCAGTGGGGAAACATCCATTTTCCACTTTGATTTGGAGTTCCTATCCGCGAGTCAACATGGGAGCTTGATGAACGGGTTCCTGGTTTCCATCTCCCTGCCTCTGGGAGCCTCCATGTCTCTGGAACGGTGGTCTGATTGATTGGGAGCATGGAAATCAGTTCCCTGACACAAAGACGAGAGATGGATTGCTTTTCCCCCGCCTTTCTCTTGTTCGTCGCACTGTTTTTCCTGGCGCCAGGTCCCTCTTCCTCCGCGCTCGACTCAACCCAAAGGCCCGTCATGGCTAATCTCTCCCTAGCTTTCAGGCCATCGTCCTGGAGCGCTTCTTCTACCTCGGATCCCTGCGACTGGAAAGGAGTCACCTGCTCAGTCGAATCTCAACGGAAGGTGACCCACCTTTCCCTCTCTGGATTAGGTCAATCGGACTCGAAGTCCCTCCGGCTCATCTGCGAACTCCACTCCCTGGAGTCCCTCAACCTCGCCGGAAACTCCTTCACCAACATCACCGACGATTTCATCCGTGATTGCGGCAAACTACCGGGGCTGAAGGTGCTCAATTTCAGCCGTAATATCATCTCTGGTTCCTTGCCGAATTTCCGCGAATTCAGGGCCTTGGAAATCCTCGACTTCTCTTACAATCTCTTAAAAGGCTCAGTGAGCTCGAAAGGACTTGGGAAATTGAGGAGCCTAAACTTGAGCTTCAACGGCCTCAGCGACTTCGGCTCCAACGAGTCGGTCGGTTCCTTGAGCCTGAAAGAACTCTCTCTCTCTAACAACAAACTCGGCGGCAACATCCTCTCACGGATTCTCATCCACAAAAACTTATCTTTTCTGGACCTCAGCTCCAATAATCTCACTGGGCCTGTTCCCCGTTCGATTGCCGATCTCTCGAAGCTGGAGGCCCTTCTTCTCTCTTACAACAGCCTGACTGGGGAAGTTCCTCAGGCCTTGTCCACGCTCAAGAACTTGCGAAGGTTCGTCGCCGCCTTCAACCAGTTGAACGGCAACCTTTCACAGGGGATTACCCAGTGGCTGCAGACGCTGGACCTCAGCTTCAATAGGATCAACACCATCCCCGGGGACCTACTCTCTCCCCAGAACTTGGAATCCGTTGACCTCAGCTCCAACTCTCTCCAAGGGTCCATCCCAGGCAACATATCCGGCAGACTTTTCCGGCTGTGGTTGGGCGAGAACCGTCTGGCCGGGGAAATCCCTCCGGCCGTTGGGAACCTCTCCAGGTTGGCGTATCTTGATCTGGGTGACAATAAACTGGAGGGTAATATCCCATCTCAGCTGGGTAATCTTCATAATTTGACACAGCTGAAACTTTCTGGGAATAAGTTGGAGGGATCCATCCCCAGGGAGCTGGGCAATCTGAGGAACCTGGTCGTCTTGGAGCTCCAGCGTAACCAGATTCAGGGGGAAATCCCAGACGAGATTTTCCACTTGAAGAATCTGCTGATCCTCAACCTCTCCTGGAACTCCCTATCGGGCGCCATACCTTCTTCGATCATTGCTTTGAGCAACCTTTCGATCCTGAACTTGGAAGGAAACCAGCTCAATGGCTCGATTCCAGGGGACATCGGCACAGTGCAGACTCTTAAGGAGCTCCGTCTGGGGAGCAACCGTCTCTCCGGAGATATTCCAAAGATGCCCATCGGATTATCTATCTCCCTGAATCTCAGCAGAAATATCTTCCGCGGGCTCATACCTGAAGCACTCGGAGATCTTTCTCAGCTTGAGGTTCTCGATCTTTCTCACAATGAGTTCTCCGGCGAGGTCCCCAGTTCTCTGGTCCAAATGCGGAGCCTGACTCTCTTGGTGCTCTCTTACAACCAGCTTTCCGGGCGTCTTCCACAGTTCAGCCGATTTGTAAGCGTTGACATCTCTGGAAACCAGGGTCTCCTCAATGGCACGATTTCTATCAAGGGGAAGTCAAAAGCTCTTAACATCATCATCATCATCTTCTCCGCCGTAGTAGCCTTCTTGGTCTGCTGTTTTGTCTCTGCAACCGCCCTCTTCGTTGGTCTGAGGCGCTTCCGCCGGGTAGAAAACAGAGATCTACCGCCGGCCGGAGTCCTCACGGAAGTCATCGATAGCTGTCTGCTAGGAGAAGGCGGAGAGCGACGATCCCACATCGATTTCGCCAAGGCGATGGAGGAAGTGGCCAACCCACGCAACCTCCTGAGGAAGAACAGATTCTCCACCGAATTCAAGGTCTCCATGCCAGGCGGCGCGTGCTACTGCGTGAAGAAACTCGACCGAAACGGCAAGATTTTCCAGATAGACGACCTCGGGAGGTTCAGCCAGGAGATGGCGGCGCTCGGGAAGCTCCGGAATTCCTGCGTCACGGTGCCTTTGGCCTACGCCGTGACTGTGGACAGCGCCTTCCTCTTCTACGAGGAGTCTCACAAGGGAGCCCTCTTTGACTTTCTTCACGGGGTGGCGCGCGGCAGCTTAGGCTGGCCATCTCGCTACATCATCGCTCTGGGTGTAGCTCGAGGGATGACCTTCCTCCACGGCTGCAGCCAGTCCGTCCTCCTCCTCGACCTTTCGACCAAGACCATTCTTTTGAAGACCTCCGGAGAGCCCCAGATAGCGGAGATCGAGCTCCACCAGGTCATCGGCGCTTCGAAGAGCATGGGAAGCGTATCCACTCTCGCCGGCTCCGTCGGCTACGTACCTCCAGGTGAATCATCGTCTCTCCCCTCCGTTTTCTGCCACGAAGAGATTGCATAATGCGCTTCCTCCTGCTTCGCGGTTGCAGAATACGCTTACACGATGAGGGTGACGGCGGCGGGGAACGTCTACAGCTTCGGGGTGGTACTGCTGGAGCTGCTGACAGGGAGGCCGCCGGTGGCGAAACGGTTTGAGCTGGTCAAATGGGCGATGGGCCGCTCTTCGTGGCCTTCCGAGTGGGAGAGGATCCTCGACCAGAGTGTCTCCGGCGAGTCGTCAGCCGTCCGCAGCCAGATGCTCTCGGTCCTGAAGATCGCCTTGAGCTGCGTCAACTACGCCGCCAAGGAGAGACCCTCGGCGAGGCACCTGCTGCGGATGCTGTTCAACGCAAGATGAACAGCAAGATGAACCCCATCCACCCCATCCAACAATGGCGGATTGCTCGTTCGAACTGATGATGGCGCGCTTAGTTTGCAGCTGTAAAGGAGTCGGGTGAATCTACTGAATCCAACCGATATGTATTGCATTCGCTCTATAACTGAGCTTTAATTCTGAAGCAGTTGATGGGCTTTGCTAAAGATCCGTTTTTTCTTCAAAACAACGGAACCTAAACTTCAGCGTCTGAGAGATAGATGGAGAGAGAGAGAGAGAGAGAGAGAGAGCATCTACACATTATATTCGTAAAAGGGGTCTGAAGAACATTCTGGCGGTCGTCCTATTGTGTAAGAGGGAAGCTTTCACCGTCATCTCTCGCGGGCCCGGCCGACAACTAAACCCACCCAGAGGGGAGTGCGTTTGGGAAGATCTCTCTCTCTCTCTCTCTCTCTCTCTCTCTCTCCATGTATATATTTTATATTTTATATTTAAATAATAGATATTTATGTCTGCAAATAGAATCCTCTCCGCACGTTCAATCACGCGGAGGATGAGATGGCCTCAACAACCCTGAGAGGAGTAACGTGGGCCCTTCCCTCCCGGCGAGTTCAGAGTTTATACAGACCCCCTGCAGCGGTTCTGCCTTACATTTTCTTCCCCTCAAGCGGGAAGGTGGGAGCCCTCCCAGGAGATGGACGACTTCAGCTTCCCGACGCTGGCCATGGACGCTGACTCCCTCTGCCAGCTCCCTTTCCCCCATTTCGCCGCCTCTCCGCTGTGGTTCCTCTCCTCCGCCTCCGACGAGAGGGCGGTGGCCCGCAGCGTCTCCTCCTCCGAGGACGCTGGCAGGGACGCGGTTCGTGAAGAGGATCCCGGCTCCGCCGCCGCGAGCGACGGCGGCGCTGCCGACGGGCCTCCGGCGAGCGAGAAGATGGATCAGCTGTGGGAGGACTTCAACGAGGAGCTGGCTTGGCTCTCCTACCGCCAGATGGAAGCGGAGGGGAAGTTCAGCGCCGACGACTCAGCTCCGGTGTTCTGGCTGGTCGACTCCAAACCGAGGAAGACGAAGGTGGGCCTCCGAGCTCTGCGGAGGACCGACAGCGGCGGAAGCATCAGCACCACGGGCAGCGGCATGGTTCACCACCAGAGCCCGGGCTTGGTGGCGGCGCTTAAGCTGATGAAAAGGGTGCTCTTGATGAAGACGAGGCACTGCGACGAGCAGCACTCTCACCGCTGACAAAGAAATACCCGGCAAGAGGGAATTCGCTCACGTCCCCACAGGTTTGACCTTCCTGATGCTTTCACCACCGGCGCTCGCCGGTACGATCTCATCTGGCGGCGGGTTGCGGCGCCAGAGCATCCCAGCACCCCCCTCGGCAAGCCCATTTGCCTTCCACCGCAGACAGCTGTACGTAGAAATCAATATTCTGATCGACATCCCTAATACTTGTCTATCCACCAAGACGCCATTAACGATGGCCATTCAAGTCTTCTCTCCTCTCTCTCTCTCTCTCTCTCTCCAAAGGTAGACAGAGCAGGTTTTGATGTGAGACTAGTGTGGCAGCTCCAGATAGGCTTATCCTCCCACCCAAGAGAGCTTCAAGCGCTCCCTCTCTCTCCCGTTCTCGCTCAATAGGGGACCAACTTCAATTGCTCATTGATTCCGCTATTGAAGAATTTCACACGACGACGGCAGACGGCTGATGGAAACGCGTTGAACGGAACGGGCATCTAACAGGTCAACGCGCCGGTCTCGGATTAACCTCGGCAGCTGGCTTTCTTGTGCGCCAGCCTGTCCAGGCCGGTCCGACGGCTAGGACTCACAACGGCCAGAGAAAATAATCAACACGCTGACCGACGCCCACATCTCCAGTGGGCGGTCAGCGGCAAGCAAGTTGATATTGAAAATAAAAAGAAAATTCCCAATATATCTTCCACTCGGACATCATTAGTTAGACCAACCACATGCCATTTTTTTTAATATTTATTTATTTCATGCATATCAGGACATCTATTTACGAGTAAGATAAGAAGGGGAGCATGCCAGCTGAAAGAGGCGGCAACCATATGAAGGGGAGAACGATAGCTAATGGATTAATGCGAACCAATGAAGGAAGAACATCACTTTGCGCTCATTTCCAGAAGTCCTGAAAGAGAGCCGCAGTGGGTGGAGTTGTACTTGCATCTCTCACAGCACGATTGCAACAGTTCGATGACTCTTAGGCACCTGCAACCAAAGTTCCGGAAATAAATAGAGCGGACATCATATGAAAAGCGAATAAAAAAAATTCATGTTCTTCAGCTGAAGAAAATCTTTGGACGATCTTAAGCACGCATAGATTATAGCCTCATCACAGGTTTCTTTCTACCCATCACTGACCGTGATAGGCTGAGCTTCAAACTATCAGCAAATCACTGAGAAAGGAGGAAGGGGGAAGACAAAACACCAGGCGGATTCATCCAGCAATCACTGAGCAAAATCATTCAAGAATACTGTAAACGGAGGATTCGAAGAAGTTGTTGACTGCCATGTAAGTAGTATTTCTCGCGGTTAGGAATCGGAAACTAGAATATATAAGACATCTTCGTCTGCCCATTCTCTTTTTTCACGCATGTCCCACTACAGACCCTCATCCCTCTTGGATTTCACACACTATCTTCTCTTCTCTGGCCTCTTTGATCTCCATCTTGGTGATTATCATGCCATTTTGTCATGCAACCCTCTCTATCTCCCCTTTGCCATTTTGCGACCATCATGAGCACCATATCCTAAAATGGTTCAGCACAGTAGGAATGCTTTTAAAGGGGGCGTAAGAAAACAGGCAACAACAGACGATAATTCGAGTGAGACCCAATTTCTCCTTACATGAAAGGGGAGCAGCTTAAATTTAACCTACCTTTGTTGAAGAACATTCATGTCTATTTTTTGCTGAATAGTTTCGTAGCAGCCTAACATCGATGGTGCCCTGCGGTCCATTCAGCTGCTACAGAACTGGCACACTGCCATACTACTCTTTGTTCAAGAGCTAAGAGAGACTTGCATACGTCGCTTCCTTGACTACTCTTTTGGCAGTTAATGAAAGCATTGATATCTGCCTACACGAAGTCTGAAAGTAGATGAACCCATGAACTGCTCGGTTGCCATCAAAATGTTCGAGTCATAAAATCGCACAAAATATAATCATGCGTCGAAGATCAGTCAACTGGTTGTCGAAATTTGCACACTCATAATTTATTGCCAAAAACATGATCGGGGTCATTGTCTGATTTGGGTGACTATTAGGTTTTTAAATAGGCGGGTAATCACTGTAAAAGAAACGTTCAATCACTGGCAAGCGGATATACTGCTTAGAGTGCAATAAGCATGAAGTACTGCCTCTCTCTGGAAGCAAAAATAAAACTGAATCCATTCATTTATAGCTGAAATGGTATTATAATTTGTTGGCCCTTTTTGAGAAAAAAAAATCGCCATAGCTCCCTCTAGGAGCATTTAATGTCCAGAAGATTACATTATTTCTATGGATAATTCTTTTTTCTTAGCTGTGTAATCTGATGTTTTGGTAACAACTAGCCGACTGATCACAAATACAACTTCAACACAGATGCAAGAATTTCAATCGCATTTTAGTTTTAGCTTTACTTTTCCATTGGAGGAACTGGTTATCTTTCTGCCCTAATATTATATCTGAGGTAAGATTATTGGGATGCATTGGCTATTTAGATGAAACCGTTTATAATTATATACCGAGCAGCAAGGAAAGTTGAAAACCGTGCTCAATGTTTGGGACGGATAAGAGCTTGATTTTTTGGTCAGACTAACGGGATGTTTATGTTAACCCGTTATAGTGCATTACCGGGCATGCACTGATAAGTTTATCCTCGATGGAGAAAATAATATGCATAATGTTGATGAAATTTGCGTCAAATAAATATAAATTTCAGATGTTAGGTGTCTAACTAGCAGACTGATCAAACAGACTTAAACCTGAGAGAGTAAAATATCAGTGCAATTTACCTAAGACGTAGGGTTACTAGCACTATATATAATGATCACTATATATAGTATCAGTATATACGTAGGAATCAAGTGATCAATATAAATTGATAGTGGAAGCCGAGGGGATGATATATTGAGGAAAAATTACAACAGGCACATGGAACTGTGGAATTGTGTAGGTAACCAGGCAGGAGGACCCAGTTTTTAGGTAAGGAATTGAGCAGAGTAGAATACATGACCTGAATATCAAGAGAGAAGTTAAGCAGACTACAACGATGAAAGGGTTTTTAATTGGCCACCACTATAGAACCCTAATATGGCTTTCTTACCCTAGGTAAACTTAGAACTTAACTGAAAGATTAAGCTTCAAATAATTTTTTCTATTGACTCATTACCCACGGCAGAGTAAAAGCACACGGGATCGCCTCTGCCCAGACATTTAAATCTATCCAAGACTGGACCGATCACCAAGCTCCACTATTTCCTACCAATGTATACAAAAATGACATCCAATTCGCATCATCCGAAAAAATAAATAAATAAATAAATAAATTGGAAAGAAAGCTCCGATAAAATTTCATAATATCGCACGAAACATTTCAGTAGAGTGGTGAAACAGATCCAGGTGAGATGAAGGGAAGGGAAACAAAAGTTAAAGAAGAGACACGAGAATGAACCTACCTCTGGGGCATAAAATTGTTCTTCGTAAGACACGCTTGGATATCGCATGCCTCCTTCTTGCACGGCTCCTTGCTCTTTCGCTCCCCCATCTCTCGCGCGGCCCTCCCCCGACGAATTCAACCCGCCCTCTTTCGCCCTGTTCCTCCTCGTTCTCCCGGTCTCGTCGAGCACGCAAAGAGCTACAACCCCGACAAGTCCCGCGTGCCGCGGAGTTCTTCTCGAGCCGGTGCTCAAAACGCACCGGGCCGCCGCTTTCGCCCGTCACGTGCGCGCATGCATGCGCACACGTGCTCACCGTCAGAGACTCGTCATCACATGCGTCCCCGCGAGGATCTGGTCCGTTCATCCAAGCCACCTGTGTTTTAATGCAAATTTACCGAGTTGAAGGACCTGTGCGTCAAAAGCCCTTTCACGACTTGGCACGTGCAGGCATTCCGACAACGTCAATATGATTTCTTCTTTAGTCCCGTTTGTGTTTGTACGGTTTTTGGGTTCTACAGCGGATTCATGGAGATGATCACAGCCTGCTCGAGACGACCAGGTACTTGGAGTGCCGACCCTGGGCGATGATCTCTCCGCCGTGCTTCTTTCTCAGCTCCACAGAGACAACTGCGATGGAGTTCCCGGCCCGCAAGACCTTGGAATCGATCTGGATTTCTTCCTGGACAGGCGACAAGGGAACCAAATTAATAATCGATCTCAATGAAACGGGCATTCTGTGGATAATTAACAGACAAAGAATAGAAAAGTGGATCTCAGAGATAGGTATTATATGTGACACAAGTGACAATTGTGCAAAGACCAGGCAATAGAAATGTGCACATTTTTTTAATTAGCTTTAAGAAGCAGACGTGCCATTTCAATTATAGAATACCTTTAAACTGTCCAACGAATACTCATGATTTATAAAATCGAAGTACTTGTGAAAATTTAACGAGGAAATAAAATAAAATTTAAACATCTGATTAAAAACTGATGAAGGCCGTGAGTTGATAACTTCGACAAAAGGAAAGCCCACTGAACAATGAAGAAGTGGTAAAGCAAAGAGGTGTATGAAGCGAGGGAAGGAGTGAGATTGTTCCTCTTTGAAAGTACACGGATAGCGTGTAGTAGAGTGGAGACAAAGTAACATAACAAGATACATGAAATATGAATGCATTCAGATGCTCTCTGTAATCATATCACCCTGTTTATGCTGGAACGACATCATATTGCCTTGGGCTAGATTTCCTTCACATATCTGTGATTGCCTTCTTTGGCAGACATATTCTTCTTTTCGCTGTCTTGTCCAAAAATATTGTATCGAAATTAGTCTAATTCAACTCACTGTCTGTGAATGAGATATCAAAACCTCAATCGGAATCTCATTTCAATTTTTTATGCATTTTCTTCAACCTCACCAAGGTAATCCACCCGTACCTCAGAGACAAAATCAGTCAGAATAGGGAAAGTATACCACATCCCTTATCTGCGAACCAAACTAGGATCAGGCAAAATCCGCTTGTGGTTTAGCGCAATTCCATAAATATTCAGATAATGAAATTATGCTATTCGTAGAAACATCATTTTTTTCTTTCTATCTTTTATATTTAAACAAGCCCAGCAACGGACCCGAAGTCGTAATCTCATTTGTGATAATCAAGTTACAAGGCTACGTCAAGCAAACACAAGTTACGATGGAAAGCTTTAACCGAACGAAATTTTTTGATGGCTTATTTGCTAATTTAAGTTGGTTCGTACAGGAGATGATTCAGTTACTTGTCACTGTGGATTGTTGAAGAGCAAGAAAGTGTTTTGAGATGCGTTCAAGTACATAAGAATCAATTAATTAAGCCATTGTAGCAGTCCAAATAACTCCTATATTGAAGATCTTCCTCGTAATCCAGCCCTATACATTTTCGAATTCAGGAAATTTCATAAATCTTACATATTCAACGATGCCCCTGCTTTCTCTCACGTGGGATCCGGGAGCCAAAACTATTCGTCGATAATTTACAAGCTGTTTCCGTGGATTCAAAAATCAGAAAAAAAACTACAAGGATTCACTTACTAATCTCACTCCATCTCTTGAAGTCAGAAAAACTCCTGCACTATCATCGTTATTTTGACAAACATAAAATACAGCAATTCTTGAAGCCAAACATTGAAGGTCGAAGTTCGAACGATATGAAGAAACAAAAAATCTGCACAAGAAAAAATTTCAATCCGAGAAGTAGAGAATTACTGCCGCCGAAGAAACTCGAGGAATACAAGTAACACAAAAGGAAGGATTCAGTTCAATTAAATTTTTCTTACACCGGCATAAGCAGAAGTCAGATAGGAGACGCTGATATCAAGAGAAACACCAGTGGATTTACTCCCGGTACTCAATATTGCCGCAGAACCCAAGATGTCCACCAGAGACATGGTGGCCCCGCCGTGCATGGAGTTAAACGTGTTCTGCTCGGAATAATCGAAGTCAATTCGGTAAAGCACAGAGTGAGTAAGGAATCATAGTGGTCAGAGAGCCTACGACAAGGCGCGGCGGGACTGTCATGGAGCAAAGAACCCTTCCGGGCTCGATGCTGTCGATCCGAACGCCACTGAGGATGAACGCGTCGTAGAACTTTTCAGGCAGAGCATCCAGGTTGGCCTTACGGACAAGGTCCTCGCCGGCCTTCTCTACGAAGTCCTTCAGCGCCTGCAGATCCATCGATTTCCCCCACCGCTCTGCTTCGTCCACCCCTCTCCCCGTACCACAAAAAAAGGGCGAAAAACGCCGATTAGCCGGGAACAGGAGCCTGTACTTCACCGGCTCTCCTGTTGGCCATGTTTTAAAAAACTTACAAGTCTATTCTAGTTATAAGGTAATTTTATGGGGACTAATCCGAAAATTAGGATTTCAGCCTCACTGGCCACGTCGACCGACATTGAATGTACTTAAATTCGTTCAGGGAATAAATGTAATTTCGACGGTGTGCCCGATCCCCACTCGGTGGTGAGTCGGCACCCGTTGAGTTGACTCCGCTCCGACTTGTGGTCGGTGGGCCAAGACAAAGTCCGATTAGGGGTCGGCTGAGGGAAGGAGAGTCCGTTAGTCGCCGCCCCGCAGGAGTTCTGCTCGTGGGGGTTTTTGTGAGAGCCGGTAGAAAGATGGTGTTCGGACAGATTGTGATCGGCCCCCCGGGGTCGGGGAAGACGACCTACTGTGATGGCATGTCTCAGTTCCTCAGGCTGATCGGCAGGTACGCGCCTGGACGGCCGTTGCCTCGTGCGCCGTTTCGGATGATTGTTTTTTATACTCTTTGTCCCCGAGAGATCATCCCCTCCTTCCCATTCACGTGGTTGTGGTGATTTATAGTGGTTTTAGGTTTTGCTTCCGCGTTTTACTTGGTGGTTTATGTACGTTTTGCTTCCTCTTTGTAAATATTTCCAAGTCGCATTTATTATGGAATGATGAGTGTAGTGAACGGCTAAGCGTGTGATCGTGGGAAAAAAAAAGGAAAGGTGTGAGGCTGTGCTGTCCAGTTTAACATGAAGGCTTCATACCGAGAAGGCGTTTCGTGCTATATGTTGATTGTTGCTTCATTGCAGGAAAGTGGCTGTCATCAATTTGGATCCTGCAAACGACGAGCTACCGTGATAATCCCTTCTTACCCTGAGATTGATATTTTTCATTCGACATATTTCAAGTATCTTGTAAAATTTTATGCTGACAGTTTTATTGGTGAATGGTTATTGATTGCTTTTTGCATTTTCTCTGCAGATATGAATGTGCTGTGAACATCGAGGATCTCATAAAGCTTAGTGATGTGATGAGTGAACATAGTCTTGGTCCCAATGGAGGTGAGATCAACTGAACTATTGTTTGATTTTTCTCGTCTGCCAGTTTGTATTTTGGTTGTTTCAGACACAGGAAATGAACTAGGACACTTAACATCTCATAATGCCGCATGTAACTTACAGGTCTCGTTTATTGTATGGATTTCCTGGAGAAGAACATAGATTGGTTACAATCCAAATTGCAACCTCTCATCAAAGGTGATGTATCCACGCCTTTAATTTACAGTTTCTCTATAATTCATGTAAACTACTCTTGAAACATTTCATGCTTTGATGTACATGTGGAATATTTCTTGGAGTCTTGGTTTAACTCTGTGTATATATCTCTTCAGCTCTCTGTCATTGGAATCTGTTGTTCTGTCCCTAAGAGTCATTTGTTATAGGATAATCTGATTGTCTAGAAGAACAAATTGCACATCATGGCATTGACAGACGTTGAAGTTTGGATATAGGGGACTACAAATCTTGAATCAATGACATCTTCAGGACTCGCATTGATCTTTGTTATGGACAGGGTTTCTTCGTCTTCAGAGAAATGACTTGTTTACGTCCATGCAGCAGCGTCCATGCCCAAGTGTTTTGCATTTCATTTAGTATCGAGTGTCTTGATGATACTTGGTATGTCGTGTACAGTCCAAATTGAAGTGAATATTTTGTGCTCTTAGTGAGCCACAAGTTTATATTCTCAATGAAAAAGTTACAATCTTCGAATCTAATGTTTTCCTTCCAGGTCTGTATTCCCTTTGTCTCTTGCCATCGTTGGGTTCACCTCACTCCTCAAGGAATGCACATTGTGTGTCCTGATTAGTGTGAAGCCCAAATGGTGTGGTTTGGTTCATGGGTCCTATGTCCTTGTGAAGTTTGGGTTGCCCTCAATATATAAAAATGATTATGCGGCCCTTAAGCGGGAATTTTTTAATCTTTGGGGATGGGTGCAGTTGGGCCATTGCACTCTAACTCCCGTAAAAATCAATGTTCGTGGTAATACAAAATTAAGGCTCTTTGGTAGTCTCGAATAAGGCATAGAGAAGCCAAAGAAGATGGATGATCTGTTATTGAGGTGATTTATGTTTTTTCCCCAGGAAGAGCTCGCTTCTCATTTATTAAATGCTGTGATGTAGTGATGATTGCTGTGGTGTGATGTCTATTTGTTGAACATAGACATGTACGGCGCAATGAATGTTGAACTTGGTCGTTGATATTCACTCTAGTTTTACTTTATGGCCTTTCTTTTATTTTTCTGACCTGTCATTTATCTTTTGTAGATCACTATCTTCTATTTGATTTTCCCGGGCAAGTTGAACTTTTCTTTCTTCATTCGAATGCAAAGAGTGTCATCTCCAAACTCACCAAGAAAATGGATCTCAGAGTATGATCCTTTAACCTGTGCCCTCTATTTTATTTTTCACACATACCTGTCAAAAACATTGTAATTCTCGGAATATTTACATGATCTGCAGTTGACTGCGGTGCATTTAGTTGATTCACATCTATGCAGTGATCCTGGAAAATATGTGAGTGCATTGCTACTCTCACTAACGACTATGCTACATCTGGAACTCCCACACATCAATGTCTTTTCTAAAATTGATCTCATTGAGAGCTATGGAAAATTAGGTAATATACGTGGGCACCCTCGGATATAAGTTATGCAAATGGTTTTTCATGCATAGTCCAATCAAATTCATTGAACATATCCATCTCTATTGCCTGTAGCATTCAACCTTGAGTACTACACCGACGTTCAGGATTTATCATACTTACAGTACCATCTTGATCAAGATCCTAGATCAGCAAAGTACAGGTTGGGTTATTATTTATTATTTGTGAAGTTTTAGATTCTTCCTTTTCCTTCTTCGAGCAGCCTCGACTTTCAGCATCTTGCTTTCTGTGGTCCTTGACTTCCATTTGTCAAGTTGTTCTTTCTTATGTTTGAGACCATGGCCATGAATTTCTGGCCATTTACATGTAATATCCCTAGATATCCGATTGAGAGCGGATAGTTTCTAGTCTCTACAGAATGCTTACAAAGATTTCACCATAGGTCATTGTAAAGACCTTTCTAAATCTATATCAGAGCACATCGAGCTATTGTGCGTCCACTGTCCGAAAGGTAATCGTCAATTAGCTTGAAGAATTTACTGACAAAATCTGGGTTTCCATTCATTTTCTACCTTACAGAATCAGAAGAGAGAAGAGAGTGCGCTAAGAAATTCGTGCATGAGAAAATCAGTGCGCATCTTATTTATTTTACCCAATTGTATGTGCAGAGTACAAGCATCAGAAAATTGATAATTGGGTGTTATGCGGATTCTGGTGTAGGTTATGCAGAAGATTAGTTAAAAGACTAGCTTAAGTTAGGCGACATAAACACTATGTTCCTGGTGCCTCGGGAATTCTACCACATATCTGTATGATTTGACCTAATCACTGATTGTCCTGGTTCTTTTATTTCCTACGGCATCAATCATATAAGTTTATCGTGTGTTTCAGGAAACTCACAAAGGAACTATGCGATGTGATTGAAGACTTTTCCTTAGTGAACTTTACAACGTTAGACATTCAGGCATGTCTTTTTCAACGTTTACACCCATGTTTACTTGTATATCTGAACTTATTGGACTCTAATATCACCTTCAGGATAAAGAGAGTGTCGGAAATCTTGTGAAACTTATAGATAAAAGCAACGGGTATATATTTGCTGGCATTGAAGGGAGTGTTGTTGAGCTCAGCAAAATTGCCGCTGCCCCACTTGACTGGGACTATTACAGATATCCTTTCTACATTCAATTCGTCTTTTTTTCTTCTCTCTAGTTCCTGAATTATTCTTTGTTGCCTAAATTTTGACTGCGAAATTAGTTGTCCCTGGTCTGTGTCCTCTGTCTTCTAGGCCTCTAGTTTCCATTTTATCAGGCTCTCGTTGGGTTCATGTGACCACCCTGATCATGTGTCATGCTCATCCTAATATACATATTCTGTGGTAATTTTGTCACCCTAATTTCATCTAAAGTCATGGAAAGGTAGTTTAGAACTATAGATAACTATGGCGTTACAACTCGAAGCAAAACTCTTCTAGAACCCAACAAAACTCATCTGATCCCTGGAACGGCCGTGCATATCGGAATCACAACCATGGAAGGATGTGGCAAAGGAATGATGATGATGATGATGATGATAGATTATTAATGCTTCATGGATACCCTCAGCTCTCTCTCTCTTTCTCTCTCTTGTGCGATTAAGAAAACTCAGCGACTTTCTCCAATCTGTGACGTGCCATTGAGATGAGCTTTCCTTAATCTTTGTTCTACGACGGCCGCAGTTCAAGAGAAATACATGGATGATGATGATGATGAAGGCAATCACTAGAGTTGATGCATTGGTGCACGCGGGCATTGCAACGCCAGATTCATTGTGTCCTTGTGAGTCAATGTAACAGGTACTGTGTTGACCTGCACTTCATATAATGGCCTGCGCCGCCCACACATCCTTCTTGACGAGTCGATCCCTGTAACTCGCCTTCTTCACTCCTACGCACTTTTGCTCCAATGTCGGTTCTGGACTGGCATCGAGTTAATCTAGTTCTATGTTCTCTTTGTCGCAACTCTACTACGCCATTGAAAGGGGTGAGGGGATTGGGGAGAGATCCCAAGAGGGAGAGCCTGAAAAATCTCCGCCTACCCAAGAACAAATGAATGGGATCCTGTACATCTCTAAGACTAATAGCTCAATCGCTCAATGGTGCCCATGAACGAGATTCGTCTCCGAGTTCTCTCTCTAATGAGGCGCGCTCAGCCTCCTGCTCCTCGGGGGATTCTCACCTTCTCGTAGGCTTTCAGGATCTCGACTGAGAAGTTGCCCAGCTCGTGGAAGACGGGGATGAGCCCTTCACGCAGGCTTGAGCGTGCCACGTGGTTGACCCGTTTGAGGGCTTCCTGGTGCCTGAACTTCTCATCTTCAAGTATCTTTCTCATCAGCTCCACGGCGGCGGCGACGCCGCCACCGCCCATGTTGGCGGCGAAGGACACGGCCGGCTCGTCCACCCCGCATTCCTTTTGGAGAGTTCTGAGCCTCTTGGCGAGGTCATTGGACAGGTGCTCAGCCTTCTGCTTCTGCCGCTGCGCCTCCCCTTGCGTCTCCCACAGGGCCCGCACCTTGCAGGCGCAATCCTCCATAGCCACCGTCACCTCCTCCTCTGAGATCTTCTTCATCGCCTCGCACAGGTCGTTGCCGGTGACGAAGGCGGGGGGAGCTCCGAACCTGCCGGGGGAGTAGGGCGGCACGCCGTCGGGGGTCTCTTCCGGCTCAACGCAGATGCAACGCCGCAGCCACTCGTTCAGGATGAAGAAGCAATGCTTCTGGATGTTGACCCAGTCGCTGAAGCAGCACATCCAGTTCACGAGCTCCAGTTCCAAGTCTCTGGTGATCTTCGCCGCATCGCCTCTTTGGACGCTTGCTTTAGTCTTGAGCCTCCCACTCTTGCACCGGATTATCGCCATGAACTGCTTCTGATGGCAATCCAGCATGCACTTCCACATTATGATCGACCTGCACAAGGTATTTTATATCATTGCTGAGGAGACAATTCGACGCATTTCAACCCAATACTGGATCGGATCAGCTGCTGGTGACTGAAAAAGATGCGCAGTTGTACTGCACCCAATAACGACCGATTTGTCGGAACATTTCTCCTGTTTTAAACCAAGAACAGAAACCACATTGTGTTCTTCTAATCGTCGGTCAAAAGTTGCACCGAGGATGGTTTTTTCTGTATAAACCACGGTCAAAGAAAAGACTTTTCAGAGGATGGTTTTTCTCGCTAGACCTCCCACTAGACTATGGATGTACACGGCAACCGTTGATCTAAGCACAACCAAGTCATAACTTCCTTAAACGTGATAAGAAACTTCATACCCTAATGCACTTTACTCGGATGTCTTACGTATTTGACATAAAAGGCCACTATGATGGAGTGAACATAGCTGATATCATGCATAAATGGATTCGCATCAGAAAGGGCTACGTTAGATTGTATCGGGGAACTGAAAAGCTCCCACACTGAGTAATAATAGTTATTTCCCATGTTTTTGCTGCTTTGTATCCTAATGAGGACTTAAGATTTTGACAATGGTAAAAAAACAAAAAAATTGCAGCATCCCATATACTTAGGAAAGATGAACATATAAGCTACCATATAATTTTCAACATGAACGATTATCACCAAATCGTATAAATCAATGTATTCCAGAAATCGCACATCATCAACCTCATCAAACACTGAACCTACACCATCACACATCAACCTTATTACGATTTTTCCTTTTTTTGACCCAGTAACAAAATGGGAAGTCATATGACCTATTGTAGCTAGATATTAGTAACAGTGATTAGGGTTGCATATGAAAGCATTGACTATTTTGATCACATTGAAGGGACCGATGACAAGGCATTTCATGTATTTCAATACTAAATGACAGATTAGATCTCATACCTTTGGATTAATTCAATTATCTGCGGTTGGAGCTCTTCATCCCTTATCTTGTGTATCCTCCTAGAAATTGCATCTATTGATTTGATAGCAATGTCAATTTTTGTGAGAAGCTTCGTTATAGATGCTTGAACAGCATCAATCTTTTGAGATTCAGCGCCTCTGTCATCCAAAGCTTTCAATCTTTTATACTGCTTTTCATAAACGATCCGAAGCTTTTCTTCGTCCTACAAAAAGAAGAGCAACATAAACGAAGTTCAGAACTGACACAGAGCCAATTACTCATCACTGTTGACATGCTCAATGATAAATCTGTAAATCTTCTGACGTACATGGATAGAATTCACTCGAAATTAATTTTTTTGGCATAAGGAAAAATATACGTGAAGGGTATAGAATCCGTAGAAAAACAACAGTTTCAGAAAAGTTTCAGTCAATCTACGTTATTTAACAAAGAGTTAACCCTTCCAAAACAGAACAAGATAATGATAGGACACAAAACTGCATTCTCAGATTGGATGGATAAACAATCATCAGCACTTCCACGAGTTTACCGGTATTAGGAGATGACCTCTTAAATATAAGTAGCAATACAGAAAAATACTCTACGTAAAGGGTCCAAGTATGCAAAATCATGTCTATGATTATAGTAGCATCGGGATATAATTCCACCAAAAATTTAAGTGTCAATATTCGTGATATATTCTGGAGAGGCGATATAAATCTCATACCGTGTAGCATGATTGGCACGGTAAGAATAAAGACAACATGAAAGGAATGGCAAAAGCACAAACATTACAGTAAAGTTCTGAAAAAGAGATGTCATGCAAGGGAACCGTTGTATTTTTATTCTTTATCTTTCAGAGATCTTTCAGACAGGTAAGAACGAAGCAAAGACGCAAGTCACCTGAAGTTTATGCATTAAGTTAAAGAATGACGTCACCACGTGGCACAGATAAAATTGACAAATATACTTCTGAACTATAGGGTCCCCATATTTAATGAATGGAAAATGGTCAGATGAAAATAATGGAGTGACAGAAAAATAGGAAACCACTAATAAAAAGAAATATCTCAAAAGGTCATTACGTTATAATGCGTTATTTGATTTAGCATATATTTTTATGTAATGAATCTTTTTCTCTAATGAGTGAAATTTTGTTTTTTGTCAAGAAAATTTTTGTTTTTATGCAATGACTCACGTATTCCTGTCAACTGCTATTTTCAACAGACATCATTCATATTGTATTTCAAATTTCCGGGATGTAATTCTTTCAAAACAACAGAATTTACATCTTGCCCGTGTAATAATGCAGGTGGAACAAGAAACCCGATGCATCTCGGAATAGTCATAGATCTTGGGTCATCTTCATGTTGCTCCAAATAATTCTAAATGATCTTTACTCACAATCAACTAAATCTTCAAAAAAAATAAATTCAAAGAATAAATATATCAGAATCCAAACGAAACACTGTCTGGTTAAATACCAAGAATACAAACCAAAATCAAAAGCAAACAGGTTATAGACTTTCTCATTTAAGGCAACGCAATTTAAGCAACCACCACTTTCAGCGGTCCGTTTTAAGTCTTCTTTCTATTTTTCCAAAGCAATGATTGATAATATGCATTCTTCAACAATAAAACTTCTGATAACCTTATGAAGGCATTCAAATCCACGAAGCTACACTAGCTCAATTGAATACGAGACGAAGCGAGTCCAAAAGTGATTCTGGAAACGCTCATAACGTGATTCTGAGGTGTGATAAGCACGCTCATGACGTTTCCTGCCTCTATAATAAAACCAACCAATTTTTTACAATAAAATTCAATGGAGCAACCAGTACGATTTTTAAGTGTAGATTTCATTAACAATCCTAAACCCTTGTATGAGTTATTTAGTTCATGGAAAACAGTAATCAGTTGAGGGAACAAAAAAACCAATGTATAGCATAAAATTTATTGCAGAGAGAATCATACCTTGACTTCCTTATAGAGTTTATTCTCCCAAACTGATAATTTCTCCAATGTCGAGGAAAGATTGCCACTTCCCGTATCCATCCCATTTCCGGAATCCCCATACCAAGCCTTAGCAAATCTAAGAGAATGTGAAGTAGAATTGTGTGCTTGCTTGAATGAAGCGCATGAATACGTCAACATACATAAAGCATCCGAAATCCTGGAAGAAATCACTGCAACAAGAAATTCTAAAGTCTCACACGTGTTACACCTAAAATGGCTCGAAGCCACTACAATAGATTATCAGGCTTTTCAATAAAAGTCTCAAGGCATAATTTTCTCTAAAATTCTCTCAATTAATATTTCAAACCGCTACAAGGAAAATTGACCACATTAAATAATTCTTTTAAAAGACTTAAATACATGAATCAATAAAGAATGCTACAGTTTGAAATGACTACAAAGCAAAACATTATGAGTGACTCAAGCATAAGGATTCAATTATACACGCACTATCCAATAAACACGAAGTTTTTACGATGGCATGGTTGTTACTTTGTACGCCCTTCTGTTCAATTTTTAATCTGCTTTATTATTTCTTCTTTTCATTTGGCCAGCTTCGGGAATGATTTAAACAGCCAGTAGAGAAACTGATCGAATAACATAAAGAAAAAATCCCGATGTTTTCCCAACAAAACTCATAGACTCGGGGCACATCTGTCTTCAGAATGCTCATGATAATTGTTTCTTTAGAAGTTGTGGATTAAAATCTAAACAATAGACAAGTACATGCTTCCTGAGCAAAGAGAGAGAAAGATATATGTCAAACTCTTGAATATGAAATTACTAGGGTAAACATCTGAGTGCTCAAACCTAAATCAGCAATCAGTCTTATCACCTTAGAAGAGGAAATGCTTCTCTTAACATCTGCCACATGATAAACGTACCAAGGCACATGACTATAACAGAGAGTAAATTAGACACACTATCACGCATCTTTTATCTGTGGCGAACAAACGGATCATATGAGAAACTATTGAAACAAACCTCTATGTACACCATTCCCTGTCCGATAATAAGGCAGGCCAACCTCGAGCATGGCTGAAACCTCATTTCCAGAAATTGCTGCTAATCTGAACTGTTCCTTGATCTCCTTGGCTACTTCAGCGACACTCCTTCTATCCTGAGCAGATAATCCCGTCTCAAGATTTGGCCCACTCTTTGCTGTGGGCAGCGAGGTTTCTAACCCAAAGCTCACTTCTTTCTTCCTTTCATCCTCTTCCGTTACAGTTCGACTTACCCTTTCCGAACTTTTTGAAACACTACTATCCACAGATCCTCTAAAAGAACCATTATCGATAATGCTTCTTACAAAACTGCCATCAGAGCTGGAAATACTTCCTTTCTCCTCCAACCCTGCCACATTTTTTTCACGCATTCGCACAGATTTAGAACCGCCTGATCTGGGGACCTTCTTCCTTGAATTCCTAGCACGCATTCTTTTCTCCCTTGTAAGTTCTCGCATAGACTCTGATTCTGTCTCTTCTTCCAAATCAGGTATACCTTCTCTTTCTCTCACATCGCTGGAATTAGGACTGCTTGGAGCAGATCCGTATCGTCTACTGGAATAAATTTGCTCGGAGAATTCGAAAGGGTTAAGAAAGTCCCAGGGGGACGGCTGGGGAGGAGGTGGTGTCGGAGGGGGCTGTGGGGGAGCACTAGGAGGCATTGGATTTCCAGGAAAATAGTAAGATGAAGGATCATCGGCGTAACCCTCTTGCACTCCATAGTCTGTCGCCTGCCCATACCCCCTGTACGGCGTCTCATATACCGTGGTGGGGATCGTCGAGGACTGCCACATGGAGTAGTAGTAAGGACTCCGGTTCACCGGAGAAGACTGTGGGGAGGGCTCTTTGCCGAACCCTTCTCCGGGTATCTCCTCTGTATCCGAGTCCGAGGCAATATGCAGGTTGGAATCTTCCAGGGAGAAGGAATGAGTGAGAGAAGACGCCGAGGACGATGTGCCGCCTCCACCCACGGTTCCACTGGAGATGGTGGCGGAAGCAGTCTTGGATTTCTGGGGCTTACCCTCTGAAGAAGGGATCGTGAGAACAGGGGAGGACGGTGCAACGGACGAGGACGAAGGAGTCGAAAGCGCAGTGAATTCCTCCTGCAGGAAACGGTAGAGGGCGCTGCCGGTGCTGTCGAGGGCGTGGAAGTACGAAGCGTGGGAAGAGGAGAGGGCAAAGCGCAAATCGGCGGCGTTTCTTATCAGATCTTTCCTCTCCCTGCAGAGCACCACTAGGTGGTGGTCATCGACCTTGGAAGCGCTGCAGCCCATTCCGAAGCCGGCGTTGAGCGCGCAGGGAGGTCAGGAAAGCGCGCAACCTCCATCTGCACCACTCCCCTCGCCGCTGCTATCGCTGCTTCCAGCGCCGTTCGTATCACCGTCACCATTCCACGACATGGACAAACCCCGATCCAGTTTTACATACACGCCTAAATTACCAAGGGAGACCAACCTCCGCGCTCCTCCAGACGCAGCACTCGAAGCTTCCACTGCCCTCTCTCCTCCGTCACCGGCAGAAACACAGAACACCGCAGCGACTCCGCAGGATGGGAAGGCCCCTCTCCTCCCGGCTCACCTCCACCATTTATGCCTCCTCATTAAATTTAAACTCTGAGAGCGTTTCCCAACCTGCAAGTGGCCCGATCTCAGACGAACTGCGGATGGACCGTGCGATCCCCCCTGCCGACTCTTCTTCTTCCTCTTCGTATTCTCTAGATTACCACACGGTGCGAAGAAATGTCTGCATTTTCCCTCTGCGCGCGGTCCTGCACACAGACACGTCACCACGTGGACACACCGTCTGCGCGTTCCCGCAGGCGTTGGCCGGAAATCTGTACCGGCCACAACCAGGGAGAGTATGGCCACTTTCTGGAAGACTCCTTGTTCGCCCAACGCCCGCCGATCCGGGCCGATCTGAGCCGAACCGATTCGATCCGTTCTTGTTTCTTGCAAGGTGGGGATTAGTTTATCAGTGGGCCCCACAGCTGGCCGACTTAATCTCGGACGCCTTTTTGAGCATAAACGGCTCAACGCGCAGGCGGGAAGCTTTGCCCGCGCCTTGTCCAAAACCTTCCTTTTCGAGCAGGAGGGAGGGGGGGGGACAGTGAAAAGCGACCGCCTTTCTCCGACGGGAAATCTTTGACTTTTTTCAAGCGTGTGGGGCCCAACGCCCGCAGGGGAGCATCTCGGGAGGGGGGGGCGGTTGGGGGGCGCTCCCAGAGTCGTTATTGACCTTCCGATTAAGGACTTAGTTTCCGGTAATTACCGTTGACGATCTCCCACTGTCCACATCACTTCTTGAACCGTTCCATGACCACGAATAATTGTTAAAACGGGCAGGGATTTGTTACTTCTGACCGCTATACCTGGATCCATGTAAAATTACGGACTTTGTCAGCAATTTTAAATGAGCCTCCGTCATCATTATCTGACAAGACAGAGTTTGAACGGTTACATGAAATCGCAACCGTACGGTCTCTCTCCTGTCACCCGTTGGATCAAGGTATCCCGCCCGCTTCCCGAGGTGTGATATTAAAAGTTAACTTCCCACCTAAAGAAAGCGAGGGCAGAAACACAAGTTAATTAATTAATGGAGGCAAGTTGTAAATACAGCACGTGGTCTGTTCCCATATGGGCCATTTCCGCCGTGGGGCCCAATTACGCCCTCTCCTTCGACCCACCCTCCCGGCCCCGGCCTTTCCCGCTTCGGACGGTTGACCCTCGGCTATGGCCGCGAAGAAGGGGTTCGAAGAATTCGAGCCCTTGTTCGGCAAAGCAGTGGCGGAGTTGGACACGGGACCCTTTGCCGCAGGGAGCGTTTTCCATCGGCCATTCCTCTTCTACGCGCGAGCCCTGGATCCTTACCGCATCGACGTAGTGGTCACCGATTTCTGCTCCCACACCTTGGATCGTGTGCTCACCTCCCAGGACATCGAAGACATGGTTCTACTTTATATCCTCTCTCTTTTTTTCTGGTGCTTGAAAGTTGGCGAGGTTTGCAGTGTGCATAGTTTGGCAGATGAGGATCGAACCGTTCGGACAAGCATCCTTTATTTATTTCGAGGCATTAAGCTCCGTTCTGTCTCTTGTGTGGTCCGACTCTTCCACTAGAGGATTCTCTGACTTCACTATTTATCCCACAGAGAGATGAAACCGGAGTGGGCAGCTCCTGCTCTGAGTTCCTCGATTATCTAATCGCATCATTGTCCTCAGACGACGTGAGACTGGTGTTTGGAGGTACAATAAATCGATACTTGGAATATTTGGAATATATCTATACGTCGTCTGGTGTCCTCAGACGACGTGAGACATGATTACTGTCTCGCGCTCTTGATAAATTTATATTTGGAATATTTTATTGTTTTGATATTTGAATTCAATCGACTCCAAGATTTATTTAAAGAGAAAAAAAATAATGTATGTACTGTTGCTGCAGTAAGTGCTTGCAAGAAATTGTTAGAGGACTTAGAGTCGATAGTATATCCTCAATTAATACGCAGACAAACGATCAGGTCATTTACCCATTACTCAATTCCATGCAACATCGCCGGGTTAATTGGGCCATAAAGACTGTAACATTGATACTTTAAAGAGCTTGTAATGATATAAAGAATTACTATGAGGTGAGGACAGGAATAAATAAATCACATGGAACGCAAGGTGAACACTGCAAGTAGGACATGCTATGAAAGCTGCATAAGAATCTACGTTACGATAAGGTGAAGGGAGAGAATGAGAATTGAGAAAGGCAATTGCGTTATAAAAATATGAGTTAAAAAACGGTAATCTAATTTTTTTCACTACCAGAAACAGAAGAAAATTGGACTACCCAGATCGCATTATGCCTTCATTACACGTCCAGGGATGAGCAAAGTTTTGAAAGGATGTGTTCTCCCAGGAAGAATATATTCTGCTTGCAGTTTCAAATTTAATTGAAGCCAACGTTTCGAATCTTAGGGTTTTAGATTTGGGAATTCCTATAGTGGAGATATTCATAATTAAGCAACATATCAAACATCAGTGTTCTCTACAACCTGTCCTATAGTTCTATTGAGTGGAGCGGAATTCAGGAGAACTTAATTGAAGATGAAATAATTTGTAAAAAAAATAAATCAGCCTCTGGAATGGATATGACACCAAAGAAATCTTTGTTTATGTCCTATAACTGTACCCCAGAGTCTCATCTTCTTTATCCCTGGGCATTGTCCTTATCAACAGATCTCATGGGATACGAGTCCACTTTTCGTTTTCCATATTATACTTTCCTTAAGTTCACAAAATTTCAGTGTGGTTTCTCGAGTTAAGAATAATCGCTTATCAGTTTTTGTCAACTCAACTTGGTAGTTTCTATCATTACAGGTGGCTCAACCGCAAAGCTGGTTGCTCACAAGTCCAAGGGAATGCCACACATATCCATTTCTCTGCAAAAGCTTGCTGGCTTATCATCTAATGATGTTATGGGAAATCTTTCGTTAACACTGTACAGAAATTTGAAGGAAAAGCGTGGAGAACTCGCCAAAGGTTGTTTATTGACTTCATTGTTCTTAAGTTGTCCCCTACGTGATAAGCTGGTCCAGATCATTTGCGTGAATACTCATATTATTTGTACGAATACTCATATTACTTGTAAGAATGTTCAATGATTGCAATGTAAACGCACATTCAAACAGATGCAAATGTGGATACTCGGCCAGCAAACTCCATTATTGTTAGGTCAAACTCCGTGTTATTTATATTTTAACTTATAATTTTGATGTGGATACCAAGCATATATTAGAATTTTATGCTAATTAGCGATAGTTTAATTTGTATTACATAATTTGATATTAATACATTAATAATGACTGTTTCATGCTAGTTTTTTTCTTAACATAATATACTGGGTTATGCTCTTTGCAAACAATTGAAGTAAACGATCAAATTTTGTAATTTTTGTATTAGAATACCTGTGCATATTTTATTTTAAATAAATTCTATATTTATTCTTGTTTTAATTATCCTGATGCAGTCCGTTATATGTTTAATACTTCTAATTCTGCTGCGGGCTTTCAGAATGTTGGCGACGCATAGAGTTGGAAAAATCATTGGCTGCTGAAAAGGTAGATACCCTATTAAAATTTCCTTAGTATTTGTTTACTGATATGGGCCAGCTGTTTGTGTTTGCATTTGATAGCCATTTATATTAGTATGTTTTGGTTAACAAACCTCTGGATTTCATTGGGTGTGATTGTTACCTGGTTATTACTGCATTGGATCATTTTTTATTTCTGCTGATGACATCTTCCATATATTGTTTAGATTAGATTAGATTAGATGTGTGAATGTTTACTTTGTCTCAGTATCCTTGTTAATAGTTGAATAAGACTATGCTCGAGGACTAAGAATTTTGGCGTTTTAGTCGTATTGCTACGAGTTCACCTTCCATAAGGCCATTGGCTGTAGCCTGAGGAGGGAAAGGAGAGCGTTGTTGCAACATTAATAATAGCAACAGAAGTAAAAGAAAAAAAGAACGAGATTTGGGAAGAAACCTGCTCCCCTACACCTGCTGCTTGTGGGATTCCTCACTGCGTAAATTGGATTCATCCCTAGTATTTTTTCCACAATCCTGTCTCCAATTCCTGCAAAAATCCTCTGGATTTGATTTTCGGGATTTTTCTTGCATTGATGTGGTGGAAATAATTTCTTGGAAAATAAGGTGGCTTTAATTTCGTTGTTCCTCCTCTAATGGGCCCGACTTTAATAATTGTCCATAGTTTGTGAATCATTAGAGTTGGCTAGTTTTTGTATAAAGGGATACCCTGGAAGCAATATGAATACTTGTAGAAATTATGATGATGATAGAGATATTGTACGGTGGTCGTTTCTAGCGCATGATAAAATTTTACTTGCTCATTATTTTTTATTTTGACTATTTTAATGCGTATAATGCTCTGCATATTTGCAATGAAAATTGCGTAACTTATTTAATTTTATTTATCAGGAAAAGAGTGAATATTTGCAGAGGCAACTTGACTCGCTCTCTTTCAAACGGAAGGTGTCCCGTCCTAAATTATCAGATAATGCCGTCTCTGTGACTGGAGTCAGTGATATAGATGCGACAGTTAATTCCGAGGCCCAGGGACCTTCAGGTTAGATCTTCTATTCTATATTGTAAGAGATTGGAGCGTAGACTGTACATGTGCTAAGGAAACTGGCGAAAATCTACTATGGAATTTGTATTACTGTTCTATGAATCTAGAACATGGAGTGATAACGAATTAAAAGAACTGCATCCTTGTGTTCAAAATCCGTGAACAATTAAGTAAATCAGAAAATGAGTGTTCTGATGATAATAAAATAACTGTATCGGTTGTGCTGATGTAGATGTTAATTTGTCGGTGTAACCCTTTTGAAGAATTGGACGCCTCATAAAACTTTTCTTCTCAGAAAAGCAGTCCTTTCAAAGTTTCACTGATGATGGAAAACGAAAAGAAGGTATACATCTTATCAAATCAAACCGATGACATTGGAACGTTGCTCATAGAAAGTTGTAGGCACCATGGATCATTAGGAGGTTAAAAATGAAACTGTACACACAGCGGCCCATTAACAGAGCCCTCAAAGATGTACACCAGAAGGCTGTCCTTGCTTCATCTGTTAGTCTCCTGGTCGTATCTTTCTTTTCATTTGTTGTACTGCTTTCCTTATCTTTAAATCAAAGCTAGATCCTTCATTATTAGACATGCCGTTTCCTACGACTGAGGATTTCTTTTTTTAGAAAACTCTTTGACTATATGATTTCACCAATGCAGAAAGACTCATTGAGAGAGATTCTCCATCAACGAAGATGAGTCAACGAGCTGCCCCCGCACATCGCAGGTAGCCATGTTTATCTAACACGGTTGCTGGTCCAATGTTCTATGTTTCTATTATATTCTTTATCATTTTCTTTTATTTTATTGACTGGGCTACATATTCTGCTCTTGACGTTTCTTTTACAGGGCCAAAGTGCGAGGTGCTCTCTTGCTAGACTGTGACGATATTGATGATAGCTGACTGGTATGCCTACAATGCTGTACAGATCATTAAGCCAATTTTTCATAGTGATTCTAGCGAGGGATATGCCGTCCAATTATGAATAAGAATCGTAGTTTTTTACCGGCAAATAGCATTTTATGTTGCCACGGATAGTTTGTTATCTTCTGTATTCTAGACTTGGCTCCTGTTATTAGATTTTATGCCTGTACTTCGGCATACACAGCATGCTTTTGTACCAAATCTAGTCTGCGGGTGCTACAGTCATCTTCTTGTTCATGTTTAAGGAAATGACATTATGTAAATAACAAACCATCATTAACATAATGATGATTTTCCTCAGTCATGAGTTACCAGTAATGATCGTAGGGCCAGTTGGTTTGGTAAAACTCTCTTTCGTTGAACACATGAGTGGCATCAAACAAAGCGTTGAAATCTCAGAATTTGGAATATTTCAAACGCTCAAAGATCCTGATAAAGCCATATAAAATGTTTATAATCACCATTTTTTTAAGAGTGGCAGAAAATGTTTATAACCGTACAGAGGTCCTTTTTCTTAGTTATGTTTACCAAACAACACATCTTAATGATTACAGTCATGCGGGATTGGCTTAATGTTGGATGGAATGGGCAGATATATGCTGTATAATGTACAGTTCTTGATGATAGATAATGTCAATAAGGCACGATTATGGTGATTTCCTTTGTGGAGATGATATATTTTCATAGTTTTCCGTCCTTGTTTGACGGGTACATGACGCAAGTTTAGTGGCTCAGAGCCAAGTGAGTTTTCCATTTTTGGAATGGTCGTCGACCAACAGAAGATCAACAGGACTGAGGAATTGGGTATATATATAGATAGATAGATAGAGAGAGAGAGAGAGAGAGTATAGGGGCGAAGAGTGTGTCATCTTTCATCACTGTACGGATCTATTATCCTCATATGCAGTCTGAGAGCTTTAAGAACTCTGTAAATTTCCTTCCTTCTGGGGTGACCCCTGTCCCTTGCCATGAACACGTGCACCTTCCCCTCCTCCATCCCGATCCAGCTGCAACCCGGCTGCTTCGCCACGCCCCTCCGTTTCATCATCTTCCTCACCCGCAGTGCGTCCTCCCATCTCCCCACCTCCGTGTACATGTTGGAGAGGAGCACGTATGGCCCTGAGCTTCCCTTATCCAGCTCGAGCAGCCTCATCGCCGCCCACTCCCCCAAATCAACCTCCCCGTGGGTCCTGCAGGCCGCTAGGAGGGAGCCCAGAAGGACCGAATCGGGCTCCATTGGCATCTCCGCCACCAGCGCCGCCGCTTCCCGGAGGCGGCCGGCGCGGCCCAGAAGGTCCACCATGCAGGTGTAATGGTCCCGTGCGGGGCTTAGCCCATGCTGCTCGCTCATCGACATGAAGCACCGCTTGCCCTCTTCGACCAGGCCGGCGTGGCTGCAGGCGCAGAGCACGCCTATCATCGTCACATGGTCGGGCTTCTCGCCCCCGCCGGCCATATCCGAGAAGAGAGCAAGCGCCTGCTCGGCGCGCCCGTTCTGCGCGAGCCCGACGATCATGGCGTTCCAGGAGACGCGGTCCCTCGCCGGCATCGTCGCGAAGACCCTCATCGCCTCCGCCGGCGCCCCGCATTTGAAGTACAGGTCGATGAGGGAGTTCCCCACGAAGGTGATCGACTCCGGTGCTGGCTCAGAACCGAAGCCGTGTTTCAGAACGTGGGCGTGGGATTGCTGGCCCAGGGGCAGATTCGCGAGGTTGGCGCACGCACTGAGGATGTTCCCCAGGGTGTAGGGAGTCGGCCAGAAGGCCTCCCTCTTCAACTGGCGGAACAACTTCAGGGCCTCTTCGTTCTCCTCGTTCTGCGTGTAGCCCGCGATCAGGGCGTTCCAAGCCACGATGTTTCTCTCGGTCATCCGCGTGAACATGGACCGAGCGGCCTCCACGCTCGCCGACCTGGCGTACCCGCTGAGCATGGAAGTTACAGAGATGACGTTTCTCACAGCCATTCCGTCGAACATGTAGCGCGCCTCTCTCACGCGGCCACATTTCGCGTACATGTCCACCAGTGCGTTGCCCAGAACAAGATCCCCCCGAAGCTTCTCATTTTTTACTGTTCTTGAATGAATCTGTAGCCCTTCTCTGATAGCGAGCAAGGTGGCGCAGGCGCTCGCCACACTGGCGAATGTGACCTCGTCTGGCTCCACCTCGCACTCCATCATCCTGCGGAACATCTCCAGGGCCTCGTTCACCGGGCCGTTCTGCTCATAGCACGTTATCAGGCTATTCCACGAGACCACATTCCTATCGGGCATGCTGTCGAACACCCTGCGCGCCTCGGGCGGCTTCCCACACTTGGCGTACATGTCCACGAGAGCGCTCCCCATGAAGACATCGAACACGAGCGGGGATTTGGAGATGGAGGCGTGGATCTGCATGCCCGTTGCACAGTCTTTCAGCCCCCCGCAAGCGCTGAGAGCGCTCGAGAAGGAGTAGGCGTTGAGAACGAAGTCGTCGGCGTGCATCCCGCTGAAGCAGACGAGGGCCTCCTCCAGAAGCCCGTGCTGGGCGAGCCCCGACACCATCGAGTTCCAGGAGCACTGGTCCCTGGCGGGCATTTCCCCGAACAGCTTTTCCGCCTCCTCGAGGCAGCCCATCCGGGCATACGCAGAGATCATTGCGTTCCAGCTGAAGACGTTCCTGTGGGGCACTCTGTCGAAGAGCTTCCTCGCATCGTCCACCGACCCACACCTCGCATAACTATCCACGAGACGGTTGAGGATGAAGGTCTCCGTCGAGAACTCCGTCTGGAGGAGAAGGGCGTGCACTCGCCGCACCCCATGGAGCGAGTCGAATTCGGTGCAGCTCCGCAGGAGGTTCGCGAAGACCGTGGAGGAGTCGAAAGGTAGAAGAAGACCAGCCGGCGCACAGAATCTCCTTGCCATGCCATCATGTCAGGCCGTAGAGGCCGCCAGAAATACCACAACCGGCTGGCCCATTAGCCACCACGGATAGCTCAATGGATGGGCAGCCTATATCATATATTATGCAGCCCACAATCAACTGGGTCCATTAGTACGGACTATGGCCCATTATAATGGACTACATGGCCCACTATCTGGAGAGAGATCTTGATGTGTAATAGAGTGGGTAGGCCCATTAGAATAGATGGATCGACACATTATCCTACATTTCTCAGCCCAATATAGTTAATTGGGCAGCCCATAAAGGAGGGGCCGTTCTTCTTTAATAATCCAGCCAACTGCAACCAGGGTTCTTGTTGATCTGTCTCTTCTGCAATTGCCGCCGAACGTGGACAGAGCTCTCCCACATCCCGCGGCCGGCGAAGATGGTGGAGAGCTGCACGTAGACGCCTGGTTGCCGGGGGTCGAGCGCCATTAGCCTCTCTGCAACCTTGGCCCCGAGGGAGTCGTCGTTCTGGGCTTGGCAACCCCTCAGCAGAGATGTCCACATACTGGCATCGGCCTCGAAGGGCATCGCGTCGATGAACTCCAGGGCTTCCCCGAGCCTCCCCGCGCGCACCAGCAGATCGACAACGCACGAGTAGTGCTCAGATGTCGGAACGATTTTGAAATCCTTCTGCATTGCGTGGAACAGCCTCCGTCCTTCGTCGACGAGTCCGCAGTGGCAGCAACCGGACAGAACAGCCACGAAGGTGACTTCGTTAGGGCACGCGTTTGCTTCTCTCATGGATTCGAAGAGTTTCAAGACTTCCGATCCGCAGCCGTTTGCGGCGTATCCCATCAGCATCGAGTTCCATAGGGCTTCATCGGATTTCGCGATGCTCTCGAAGAGGATTCGCCCTTCTCTGACATTGCCGCATTTGCAGTAGAGATCGACCAGCGAGGTGGAGATGATTTCATCGGATTGGAGTCCGAGGGTTGTCGCAAGAGCGAAGACCTGCTCTCCGAACCTGAGAGAAGAAAGGCTTGCACAAGCGCTAACCGCACTGGCGAAGGTCACTCTGTCTGGCTTCAAACCCCGGCTGTGCATTTCTGAGAAAAGCTCCAGTGAATCGGCGGCGAAACCATTCTTGCTATACCCCACAAGCATCGAATTCCATGAGATCAAGCTCCTACTGGGCATTGTATCAAACAGCTTCCTCGCCTCTTGGACTCTTCCACAGTTGGAGTACGCAGTGATCATAGAGTTGAGCAATATTGTGTCGTGCTGTTTGACCTCGTCGAAGACTCTGCAAGCGTCATCGAATGAACCATTCTTGGAGTACAGATCGACGAGGGCAGTTCCAACGGCGACATCTTCTAGATGCCCTGCTCGGAATGCTCGACTATGGATCAGTCTCCCACCTTGGATGTTACCCAAGCTGGCACATGCGCTCAGAACAGTTGTCAGCGAGGATGAGTCGCCGGCGACTCCATCCCTCACCATCATCCTGAAAAGCTCGAGAGCCTCTACGCCACGGCCATTGGAAACGTACGCCGTCAACAAAGAGTTCCACAGGATGACGCTAGGGTTGTCACTCATATGGAAGAAGAGTCTTCTGGCATCTGCAAGTCTTCCCTGGTCTGCGTAGCCCAGGAGAAGTGACGACAGAGAGAATTCATCGGGCTCGGGCATAGCTTTCAAGGCGCTGAGGGCATGATCCAAATCTCCACATTTGCCGTACATGTCGACCAGAGCACTGCCCAGAGCCGAATCGAACTCCACTTTGCCCACAAGAATATGTGCATGGATCTGCCTGCCGCTGTTGTAAGCCAGTTGATGGGCGCAGGCACAGAGGGCAGTCGCCAGTACATAGCTGTCCTTCCATGGCGATGAAGAGTCGACTTTGGTATTCAGCAGTTTGTACAATCTCAGAGCTTCTCGTGGGCAGCCAGAGCGGACATACCCATGCATCATGCAGTTGCAAGCCACGGCTTCTTTAATGGGCATTTCTTCAAACACCCGCCGCGCAATCGTCATGTCGCCGTTCTTTGTGAGCCCGGCGATCACCGAATTCCATGAGAAAGAGTTCTTCTGGGGCATACGATCGAAAAGATCCACCGAAACCTCCGTCCTCCCCGATTTCAGGTTGGCATCGATCAGAGAGTTCCACGAGAAGCAGTTCCTCAGAGGCATCTCCTCGAACAGGCGATGCGCGTCGGTGTGGTCGTCGTCGCCGCACCGACCATACATCTGGAGCAGGCAGTTGCCCCAGTAGAGAGACGACACGAGGCCGGACTTGAGCAGCGCGAGATGAACCTGCCTCCCCAGCAGGAGCGCTCGCCCACCCTTGCATGATTGCAGCAGCCGCACGCGGTTCTCGGCATCGACGATCATCGACCGAGTCTCCACAGCATCTGCCCTAACTCCACCCGGAACATGCAGAAGATATTCCTGCTCCCGAGTCCCGTAGCTTCACAGGAAATGGAGGAACAGCCCTTCTCCGCCGCCGACTCCTAAAATCTGCTCGACAAGGCTCGCCTGCACTGCTGTGGCTTCTTCGAAGTCGGTGCCTGTTTAGGCGGCGACATTATTTATCAATCCCTTGATGGAGTTGATCTACCACGGTCAACTCCTTTGACATGGGACAATTTATAAAATGGGATTTGGGTTGGGTGTAGAGAGAGAGAAAGAGAGAAAGGTTGGAGGGAGATTATATGGCTACTAACCTGGACTTCATCTGGATGTAGATATACCCGAGGTATCGACGTTGACTATTTTGTCGTCAGTGAGAATTCTTGAAAACAGTTTGAATACCATCTAATGATCTTGAGTTGACAATCGAAGAGTATTAGATTTATTCTTTTTCTAATTTGACCGAAAATTAGGCTTGAATATAAAGGTCTAGGGATGCAATATCCTCAATTCCTGGAAACTAAACAAGAACAAAAAATGTTGTCAGGAAACTTGAAAAAAGGATAATACTTTTGAATTGGGTAACTCGGGCGGGTCGAGGAGAACCATTCAAGGGTGATGAGGCCGCGCGCTCTTAAGCACATCCATGGTTGGAGATTAGGAAACACCATGAAGGGCATGCGGAGCTGGGCCGCATGGCGATGGCCTGAGATCAAAAACCATGTCCACAAGTTTCTCATCGTCTTCTTTTCGTCCTCCGGGTATCGCTAATCCTTCTTCCGTCGTCTGAACCCTCGCGGACCCAGAGAACCGGATGAGAGCGATGGAGCTCCGAAGCTTGCGTCCTCCTGCACTAGCAGGTAGACTCTGCCTCTGCAAACTTTGCGAATCCAAACCGTAGAGAGGGAAACATAAAAGGACGGGATCTCTCTGTGGATGCCCTTCCTGCTCGATGCTTCGGAGTATCGAGCTCTTTTCTTGAAAAAAATGCTCCTCCTGCGTTCAGTTTCCTCCTTTCGATTCTCTGTCAGAGGTGCTTCTTTGGCGCCGAGTTCTCTGGCGTCCCCGTTATCTGATCCTCAAGTGACGAAGTCTGAGAGCTAGGGTCGGAAGCATGGCTGATGATAGGATGCAGCGAATCTCTGAACAACTTGGGAGATTCTGCCGGTGTTTGACTCAGCGTTCTGTTGACGGAGATGATTTGACTCTTTCGTTCTTCCCCAGTATTGTTTGGTTCTTTTTCCGTCGTTCGGTCAATCTGATAACGGCTAAAAATCAGCAGAATAAAAGGGCGGCATTTGAAATGGTTAGCGTTTGGTGGTGTCAATCCTCCTGCTTTACGAATAAATATTTACGCGAATTAATTTCCTCCGGAGCTGAAGAGGTCTGACGGTTCTTTCAGGATCCATTTTATCTCAGGAAAAGGGCAACTAGCAATGGGCTGAGATTACTGAGCCTCTGACATAATACCTGTTACTGGAATTTGGAACTAAAGCCGCATAATTATTGCACATCCTTGTCCAAAGGAATGGACCCACTAGAACGGAATGGAAGTTGAAGCAAACTAGGAAGGGGAATCTATTAGGAAATTCAGTAATTTTGAAATTCAGTGATGAATAACAGTATATTTTATGGGTCTGTAATTTTGTAAAGTTGCTTTATTTCCAAACTATTTTATTTGTAGCAAGTTTGGAAGGTGATTTTTCTATCTATGATCTCAGAAATCCCCATGGGCTAATCCGGGGAGTGCATCTTATATTGTGTCTTCGAAGTTTTAGGATTTTCTCATGTTTTTGTTTAGCGCAGCCTTTCCTCGATATATTCATGAAGAGCGCATTTGTTCCCATTCCTTGTCAGTATTTCTTTCGAACTTTATGAACATGAGTGTCTGGTTCAGCGAGCAGAGCATTATTTTTTGCAACGAATTGTGGTCAACGACAGAAGTCAAATGTGAAGTGCTCCTCTGATGGCAGCGAAGTTTCATATTCTCGCCCAAGTGCGAATGAATATGCGACTTTATCCAACCATCTTCTATCTGATGCTCGTATCATTTATTGTGCTGCTCCTGCTCTGGGACATAATAAGGTATGCTACACTTTTATTCATCAATTAAATCACTTCATGAGTATAGCTGGGCATCTGTTCATCGTGAGGAAACATGCATTCAATTAGAATATAAAATGCCATCTCCTTTCAATTATTTCACAGTATAGGCAACTGTTATACAGACATGAAAGCTTGCAGGAAATTATTAACCTGCTGTAAAACCAATCTTGATTAGCAAAGAAGAATGATTAGTATTAGAAGAAATGCGTCAGATGGGATGGTCTCGATGGGGATCTTAGAAAAGATATGTCGATGATAAAATTATGAGGTATATTTTATAGATCGATTGTGAAAGCTTAGCCAACATTTGCCTACCCTATACATGGTGGGGAGAGAACCAGTTAGTTTGTTTCACTGAATTAAAAAATAAGCTGCCCTGCTTGCAAATGGAAGACAAGAAGAGACTCCAGTAGGTACCACGAGGAGAGTTGACCTTTACCTGAGGATGTATAATTGTATACGTAAGTCACCAAGGGAAGAATTAGAGGCCAAGAAAAGTGGCCATGTACTGTGTACTGCGTATCGGTTTTGTGTTCCTGTGATGTTCTCTCACCTTTGGAAATTATTCAGGAATCACACCCAGAGTCCAATTTGAGGATTCCTTCAATCATTGATGCCCTTGACAAGATGGAGCTTACGCCGAAGGTGGGTACATCTTTCTTTATCTGTTGGGACATCATGTTGAAACATTTTCCGTCTTTTTTTTGAAAGTATAACACTTTTTTAGGCGCAATTTTACGGATTTTATCATTTTTATTACACTATGACTTATAGAATCGTAAGGTTCTCGTATGCATTTGTCATGTAAAGTCATTTGTACTTATTTTAAATAAGTACTTTATTCGTACACATAAATTTGCTTTCATTCTAAATTGGAATTGTTGAGCATCATAACTGGATTGATTGATTCTCGTGAATAAGACTACAAACGTTTAATTGATTTATTAAAATTTGACCACTTTTCCGTTTTGAAGTTCCATTCCCACTCTCTCTACCTTCCCAGATACATAGCCCATCATACCTTAGAATAACTGCATGAATATATATTTTCTTTTCCAGGTTTACTTGCTTAAATGTAACTGCAGATTTAAAATGTGTTTATTCGTTTGTGAGTCGCTTTTGCTTAGATGATGTTTCCAGTAATTTCACATTGAAGCTGCATCTGTTCTGAATTTCAGTTCCGTGGCTTGGAGATTATTGAACTCAATGATGTCAAGCCAGCATCGATAGATGATATTGTGAGAGTTCATACAAGATCTTATGTAGCTGGCCTCGAGAAGGTAATATTTTCATCTCCATTCCTTCTGTTGTATCGATCACTTTAATTTATTTTGGACTGAAACATATGTAGCTATGATTATCTTTATTCTGACGCATTACTGTCGGAAACTCAATCTCTTGTTCACTACCTGCATCAATTGCAGATATAGTGTAGACACAGATGGATTGTCTTATAGGTCCCCTCCCCAAACCTCCAGTTTTCTCAAGTTTTAATCCACTTTTATTGATACAGCACAATAAAGTCCTCGTTGATACCGACGTGCATCGAGGCTAATAACCAGACATTCAAGCCATAGAGCTTAATAGACCACATTGCCCTGTTTCATTAATCTTCAACTGTCCCTTGGTTGTGTTCAATTTGTTGTGGCTCATTTTATCCAGTTAGGTCTTATACGAGAGTTGATGGCCAAAATTTGCTTTGCACGTGCCTATGCGGATCAGACTCCGGAACCCACAAAAAACTGAGTTGACTAATAGAAGTTGACAAACTCTGGCAGTGTCCTGGGCTACGTTTAGCTAATTGTTGATGGGACCCTGAGGAACTGGTGATTACTTTTGTTTCCATGCGATATCGTCTTAATGTACAGGACTGTCTGCGTCAAGTTGGGTCCTGATATATGACGCCGCAGTGATTTTTAAATTGATTTCTGGGTTTGATAATGATTTGATGCGTGGGTGTCTTTCTGATCTTACAACTTGCAGGCTATGCCTAAGGCGTCACAAGAAGGCCTTATTTTTATTGATGGATCAGGACCGACATATGCCACTAAAACTGTAATCACTACCCAGACTTATCTCACTTTAATGAACGGGCTGGCTAGTTTGTGGTTGCAAACTGGGTCTACGGAAAATATGGGCGCTTTTTGGATAAAAATTGTGTACTTTGACTTTTTTAAAAAGTAACAATGACCCACAAATCTCATTTTTGTATTCGTGGCGATGCAGACGTTTCAAGAATCTCTTATTGCAGCTGGTGCAGGGATAGCATTGGTTGATGCAGTGGTAAAGAACTTTCACTTATAATTTCCTTGTATTTCAATTGAAAAGTATATAACTTCTTCTGATTATTGTCCAGCCCGGTCAAGTATCAGATAATATTTAAATAATATTCGAGTAAATAATTTCGTATTCTTATATAATTTTATTTTAGAACCACCAATGTGCTCTACATTAATTATCTATGAATACTTTTTTCAGGCCGCTGTAAAGAAACATATATCCTTTGTTTGTAACGCTCTACCTATCCTACTGCTATCTGTTTAGGTTGCAGCGTCAAAATTAACCTCGAGTCCACCTGTCGGGTTTGCCTTGATCAGACCACCAGGTCACCATGCTGTTCCAGAAGGTCCCATGGGGTTTTGTGTATTTGGAAACGTATCCGTGGCTGCTCGCTATGCTCAACAAGTACATGGACTGAGGCGTGTCCTCATCATCGATTTTGATGTTCACCACGGCAATGGAACATGTGATGCATTTTATGATGATCCAGATATATTATTCATCTCAACCCATCAGGTATCCTATTGATTTACTTAATTATTAATAAAACATTAAGCCAAGGTTGCTAGCAGTTTATTTTGCTAGAAGCACAAAGCATGCGCCATGGTGAATGGGTTCAAGGTCTTTAAGTGTTTATTTGTTTGCATCTCCGTCTTTAACTCTTACGAATCTCTCATCCTGATTAGCAGTCATTTGATTGGGCCCGTTCTAGGATGCATAGAATGACCAAGGACGCTTATTTTCGTAATGTATGTAGGATGGAAGCTATCCTGGAACAGGGAAAATCGATCAGGTTGGCAGAGGAGATGGAGAAGGAACAACCCTGAACCTGCCATTACCAGGGGGTTCGGGAGATAATATCATGAGAGCAGCATTTGATGAGGTCATTGCACCAAGCGCCCAAAGGTTCAAGCCAGATATCATCCTTGTGTCGGCTGGGTCAGTTTCTCTACCTTTCTCCGGAGTAGATGCTTAGACATGAAGTGATTAAACAATATTTTATGGAGAATTAAAACCTGGTTGACATGACCAGAACAGTTTTTGATACACTGCCGCCCATTTACTCTTCTCTATTCAGTTATGATGCCCATGTCCTGGACCCCCTGGCTGGCCTACAGTTTACTACGAGCACATACTACATGCTTGGTTCTAGAATCAAGGAACTAGCCGAGGAGCTGTGTGGAGGACGCTGTGTGTTCTTCCTGGAAGGGGGGTACAATCTGAATTCCCTCTCGGATTCTGTGGCTGACACTTTCCGTGCATTTCTCAGTGAGCCAAGCTTGGCACCACAATTTGATGACCCATCTATGTTGTACGAAGAACCCTTGGCCAAGGCGGCCAAGGCGATCAAGAAGGCCAAACAAATTCACTCTCTTTAGTAATCAATCGATATGCTGAAATTTGGCGCGAAGTTTTCATCTTCGTCGATTTTTTTTTTTCTGTAATTTATGAGCGTAATCCTGTGAATTATGTCGATATGTGATCGTATAATTGTGATTATAGCTATTAATAATGGTAGTTTCTTGTGAAGGTTGGCTTCTTCTAATCAGGATTGCTGATTCAAATGAGATGGGAAAGTCCCATTAATAGACAGTTCGATACATTACGCCACAAATGTGGGGCGGAGCGCATTCAGGAAGCAATTCAGAGAGGAACAGGTTGCGGAAAGCTATTAACGCCGACTGCGTGTACTGGGCTTGCGCCGTCCGGTGAGACTGAGTGTGAAGACAACCTCCGGCAGCCCCACCCGGCACGAACTCCTCTTTGGGATCTTCGAACAGGGATTTGCTTCATCGGTACGTCACCTGGTTGGGAACCCGTAGATAGTGGAGAGCGCCTCCTAGTGGGGGGACCAGCGTAGGTGCCGGAGGGGGGTTAGTGAGGAAGTGCCGGGCTGACACGATGCGCGCAGGAGCACCAGCTCGACACTGTGGAAGTGCGATTGCGCCGCAGCTGCTGTTGCGGCCCGCCGAGGCCAAAACCCTCTTCTGCCACGTCCACCCGCCCTCTAGTTGCAAGCTGATCATGACCACTCTCTCCCTGCTGCAGACGATCTCTCCCCAGTCGGAGATCGAGCCATGTCGATGGGTCTGACTCTCATGATACAGGTGTCACAGCCGCCCTCTCCATGGCATAATCTCTGATTATTTGTCAAGATAAGGCTGGTAGTACATGGCCCTAATAAGAGCACCTTTAGTCTGTAAAGTCAACGTAGGAGCTGTCATGGAATCTACGCTTATAACCCGAGAAGGCCATTCGGCCCGAGAATCTACATGGGATAATAGGGAAGAACCATCCACCGGACGTTCTTCGAGGTTATCGCGGCGGAAACCGAAGATCTTTAGGCGAAGCTTTCTCTGTAGACATCATGAAGGAACAAGGAGATGGTTCGTAATTGAGACCCATCTTTCGAACGTGGAAAAGGAGAGCTTGTGATGATGCGGCGAAAGAAAAGGGATTCAGGGTCTTTCTCGGTCGGCAAAGCTGATCCTTGCACGCAGTCATATGCGCCGTTCAGAGCCCATGTGAGCTCCGGATAGCTTAGGAGGCAGAGGAGTCCCACTCCCGAGCTCACAGCAGTCTCTTTTATGGTTCCTCCTTAGTGAGCGCAGTTATGGAAATGTCAGCAAGAGAATGTCTCGTCGGATGCAGAGGCAATGATTTGAGCTAAATTCATACTTGCGGTCGAATTATTATATTTCTCAATCTAAATGTCATAATATTTGGATATTTTATATAACAATTTAATATTTAATGGGATTTAAGAGTCCCTTAATCCTCCATCCTCCACATATCCACAAAAATACGACAAATGAGCGGCACTGGGATGGTCTAAATTCCGATCGTCATCTACTCAACCATCAATTTCTACAGATTTCATCTTGCCAACCCCATTATTTCACTAGGTTTGCGAACTGAGTAAGAAGGCTATATTGAAGGTTTATGGAGCTTCTTGAAGCCAATATGAAGAAGTGCTAAGGCAATGGAGTGCTCTACCCTTCTTCTTTGTCCTATAGAATGAGACTAAGAGCGATCAACAAGTTGAACTCCAGAGCTGTTAATGGCAAGCTTGCCTTGTGAAAAAACGCTCCATTTATAAACTTCAAGGTTTGGTCAAACACCGTACAATTTTTTTTCTATGTATGATTAGTGCATTTGAAGTAAGGGAAAGAAGATAAATCCAACAAGTCACCATATATTTGGCATCATCGACGTCAAGGAAACCTAAAGCCACTCAGAATTAAAAATAAATACTCACACCAATTTGCTCTACTTAGTAAGTACAGCTCAAAAGGGTGTGTTTTGGCGTTTGAAGCGTAGACGAGTCGAGTTTCTCCCATGGTTTGAAGCCTCAACGTCCCCTGTGTTCATCATGCAACCCCGAACACTAAAACGAGTGTCTAAAAGCTGATTCCCGACGATTGAAGGCTTGAATTCTCTGTGTGAATGCTTAACCCATCGTCCTTTTGATGTCCTTGTGTAATCATACGCGATTATGCTCCTAATCTTACGTAAAATATCAGATTCCATGAAAAATGATATGCGAGAATCGATCAGATTCTTACGCCAACGATGCGCCATGAGACAAAAGAAATGCTAAGTTCGCAATATTAAGAGGATCTCTATTCGCGATAATGCACAGCATAAGCGAGCCACTGGCGTGCATGGTTTGTACGACTCTAATCGGCGATCTTAGGAATGGTCATGCTGTCATAACTATGAATCTTCGCGAGCCAGACCCTCTTATAAAATCTGGCCCCAAGCTAATAGTCGTACACTTGTCTCTATTGTACACCATAGTTTATCCCGTCATCCCCTCTCTTCTCTCTCTCTCTCTCTCTCGTATTAATACCAGACAGCGCTGAAAGAAGGAAGCCGCACCCATCGCTGGTGCTTTGTCCCTGGTGTTCACTCACCACCAATCCTTCTCCCTGCAGATTCTCTGATACTCGTGGAAAATGGGAAACGGCGCAGGAGACCTGCCGCCCGGTTTCCGCTTCTTCCCCAGCGACGAGGAGCTCGTCGTCCACTTCCTGCACCGAAAGGCCGCCCACCTGCCCTGCTATCCCGACGTCATCCCTTCTCTCGACCCCCGTCACTACGATCCATGGGATCTTAATGGTTTGATCCAATGTTCCCTCGGTCACCATGAAGAGGAGCTCATCTGCTTTCATATTCCTGTCTCTACAATCCAAATACTAAACGTTTCTCATTTCTCTTCTCCCTCTTTTGTGCAAGTGAAGGAAAAGCTCTCCCGGGAGGCAACCAGTGGTACTTCTTCACTCGCAGGGCTCTAAGTCGGGTCTGGGCCAGTGGGTACTGGATGCCCACCGGAGTCGAGAAACCCGTCACCAGCGCCGGCAGGAACGTAGGGATCAAGAAGTACCTTGCCTTCTACGCCGGGCAAGCCCCGGTGGGGATTAAAACCAACTGGGTGATGCATGAATATCACTTGCTGGATTGTCCCGGCGGCACAAGCGCCGACGACAGCGGCTGGAGACCGTCCAAGACGAGCGGACACCCAGAAGTAGTGAGCCCTCTTCTTCATCTCACAGACTTAGTTAGATTCGTCCGTCCTTTGAGTCTTCAATCCCGTTCTTCTGATCGATTCAGCCCCTTTCTTTGATCATCTAGGATTTCAATGAATGGGTCCTTGGCCGAGTGTATGAGTCGGACTTCGGCTCGCAGTCAAGCTTCTACGACGATGGAACGGAGCTCTCCTGCCTGGACGAGATGTTCTTATCATTAGATGATCTCGACGAGATTAGCTTGCCCAAGTAGAGCATGACAGAATGGAGAATCCATGAACCTAACCCTAGAGTGACGGGTTCTCCTCTGCAAGCTATCGTCAATAACTTCTCCTCCATGGTCTGCATCTGGATATCTGTTCGCTTACTCTTCTTCCCGGATGAACCCATGAAGGTAGAAGCACAGGGGAAGGAAGCAGCCGCGAAAGATACGCAGGGTGGGGAGGGGGAGGAAACCTTCAGAGAGTACCATGTGTTTCATCTTCTCTAGAATTGTATCCTTCTTTTCGATACTCTCTGGGCTTCATGATCTCCGGAGGTTAGTCGTCCTCTACCTCGAAGCAACCGACTAGCTGGTGCTCGACTACGCAAGCATAGCGTCGTTCACGCCATCACAGGGTCGGCGAAAGAACACACGTCGACTGGCTGACTGTTTTCCGAGAAGGCCAGAGTAAATGGGGAGACAGGTTTGCGCCACTGTCGGGAGCCAATTACGTTGACTCGAGACCAGGCGAAGAAAAGGCTCTGTCTGATTCAACCACTCGGGCCGCATGATGTGCGGCCATGATGTCGGTCCTCTCCGGTCGGGGAATCTCTCTCGGTCGCTCTTCAATGAAGACACCGCAGGGGGGCGGGGGTGTTCAATGGTGGGCCGCACAGGACCAGACAGCCACGTGCCGACCTCTACCGTACACGTGTCGGTCGACTTGGCAAGACTCTCCCTGGGATTAGGATGCCAGCAGAGCCGAGAACGAGATAAGTAGAAGCGGCGTGGTTGGAAGAACTGGGAGACGTAAACGGCTCTTCATGCCGGGGGGGGGAGGGGAGGGGGTGGTGGCCAATCTCTATAAAACCGGAGACCGTGACGAGTGGAGAGAGAGTAACCGTTGCGCTGTCACAGCTCGTAGCTTCATTAAGGAAATTTGAAGAGAAAACGTGTGGCACAGAAATCTCGTCCCTGAGGGAGGAGATCGCCGGCGAGGGATCCATGGCAGGGCGGCTCGCAGGGTCGAGGGCCGCGAGGGAGCTGGCGCGGAGGATGGGATTCATGGGGAGCTTTCGCGCCGGTCTTAGCAACGTTGGCGGTGGTCCGTCTCTCCCCGTGGAGATCTGCCGGAGGGATGCCGGCGGGGTGTCGCCCTGTATCTCGTCCCGAGTAACCGCTCGTCGTTTTGGGACGGCGGGAGCCGACGAGATCGAGGCTCGGGAGTGCGAGAGCAATGGAAACCAGGTGATGGCATCTTATGGCGTCTTGTTTGTGGCTTCCGCCGCGTCCATCTGAAGTAGAGAGGGCATTGATTCGTAGAACAAGATGGATATCGATGCCGGCATTGGTGATCCTAGGTCACCTCATTCGTTGTAAATGTTCCAGCAGGTGGTGAATTTCCCCGGGGGGAAGGTAGCGTTTGTTGCCGAGATGGAATTCCTCGCCGAATTGTTGAAGGAGAGAATCAACTGCTATCGTGTTCTTGATGACGATGGACGGACGATCTCCGGGAGCAGTTTCAAAGAGGTATTTCTGACATCCAACTCTCTCATGAACGAGCGAGAATGGATTCCGTCACAGATTGAAAGTATTTGAAACTCTGAGGTGAGATTATCTCATCGTCAGGTGAGCAAGGAGATGGCTCTGGAGATGTACAGCGGGATGGTCACTCTACAAACAATGGACACTATCTTCTACGAGGCCCAGAGGCAGGGAAGAATCTCCTTCTATCTTACGACAATCGGAGAAGAGGCCATCAACATTGCCTCGGCTGCTGCACTCACCATGGACGACGTCGTCTTCCCGCAGGTAGAAATAGGATCTGATAATTGCATTGCCTCCTTCGGTATCTCCTAGTCCCTCGGAAACAATCTTTACGGGGAGGATTTGGCCTGAATGAGCAGTACAGGGAACCCGGCATCCTCCTCTGGCGAGGTTTCACTCTGCAGGAATTCGCCAACCAGTGTTTCGGCAACAAATACGACTACGGCAAAGGGCGGCAGATGCCGATCCATTATGGTTCCAACAAGCTTAATTACTTCACGGTTTCTTCACCCATTGCGTATGTGAACATCCCATTTTGATTCTGAGAGGATTGATCGACCTCAATCTATCGTTAAAAAATCGTGCTTTTCAATTCCCAGGACCCAAATTCCCCACGCTGTTGGAGCGGCTTATTCTCTGAAGATGGAAGGGAAGCAGGCCTGTGCGGTCACCTACTTCGGTGACGGCGGCACCAGCGAGGTTATTATTCCTGCAGTTGCTACCTTGTAAGCCCACCACTGTTCTTCCTGACCCGTCATCCTCCTTCCAGGGGGATTTCCACGCCGCCCTCAATTTCGCCGCCGTGATGGAGGTCCCAGTCATCTTCTTCTGTCGCAACAATGGATGGGCGATCAGCACCCCCACATCCGAGCAGTTCCGCAGTACTTGGCAATGATCTTGTCCCCTAGTTCCTGCCGTTCTGTTCGTGTCTTGACTCATGGGGTGATCGACAGGTGACGGCGCCGTCGTCAGAGGCCAGGCCTACGGGATCCGCAGCATCCGGATTGACGGGAACGACGCCCTCGCCGTCTACAGTGCCGTCCACGCCGCCCGAGAGATGGCCATCAGCGAATCCAGACCCATTCTTATCGAGGTTCGCGCAGAAAATTTCTTCTCCGAGTAGAAACTGCTGACTCTCGGAAGCAAACTTTAATTCCATGAAACCAAAAAAATTTGCAGGCGCTTACTTACAGAGTCGGCCATCATTCTACGTCGGACGATTCCACCAAGTACCGCCCAGTGCACGAGATCGAGCATTGGAGGACGGCTAGGGACCCCATCTCCCGGTATAGGAAGTGGGTGCAGAGGAACGGCTGGTGGAGCGATGAGAACGAGACGGAGCTGAGGAAAAATGTGAAGAAGGAGGTGCGTCTCTTCCACGTCTCCTCTTCTCACGCTTGCCCGCCCACCCTTCCCCCTGCTCATCGTCTCCCTGTCTTCTGTCCAGCTGATGAACGCCATTCAGATATCGGAGAGAGCAGAGAAGCCCCCACTGTCGGAGCTGTTCACGGATGTGTACGACGTTCCGACCAGCAACCTCCGGGAACAGGAGGCATTGCTCCGTCAGACAATTCAGAGGCACCGCGAAGACTATCCCCCTGATGTTCCTCTTTAGTTGCAACACCCAAGTGCAGATAGCTGAACACATTAAATCAAACTCGAATGTTCTTCTTCTCCCCGCTGCAATGTGAAAAAAAAGAAAAAGCTCAGCGAATGTTTCAATCCGAACAGCTTGTCATTACCACCTCAGCACCTCGAACTCTACTCGAGCATGATGGCCCGATCTGGGAACCACACCATGCTCTGGTTCGCCAGCTATTAGAAAGCCGGTCGATCATATCTAGTAATATTTCTTTGTGCTCGTGTTGTTTGCAAGGATACAAAACTTCCTCACAAGCATGATGAATGAAAAAAACCCAGACTTTTTCGTGCACTTTCATGATTTTTCGTCACTCCTATGCTCCGAAGCTTCTCCTTCAATTCAGATTGGAGATGAGCAATGAAACTGAGGTCGCGTGGAACAAGACGAAAGTTAGCTTGCGCGTGATTGAAATCATATCCGAACATCTGAAGAATTATCCCTGGATAAAATGCTGCCCAGTTGCTGCAAAAAAATTGAGAGAGACACATATTCAGGAGTAAAGTTGATGTGTGGTATACATGAGTTGATACCGAAAGTATTTCTCTAGCAAGGTTCGATGCCATATAAGATAACAGTATTAGGGAAAATATACCCACAGTACTTTCAATTCTTAGCTGACGAAGCATTGGAAGGGGGGGGAATCGAAGATGGCAGTTGAAAATAATTGAATAAAAAAAAAAGTCAACAAAGTGCGCGTAGAACAAGGTAGGAATATGGTGGTCAGTAATAACGTTGACTTGCTTTCCTGACGTTGCATCTTATTATCTTTTCAGTTCACTTTGGTCAATCGCCGGTTCCTTGGCTACCATCTAACCGGGGAGTAGATGCTTCAAGAACCCATCCAAGCACGTTAACAGAGAATCAAGGTCTCATTCTCAGCTGTAAATTTCATATTTCGCCAATGTTTTCAGCAGCCAATGGATCGAATTCTTCGATCCAGAGCTGTAGAATCCTATTCTGATTGTAGTGCGATGAATTTCTGAAGATCAGAAATGGATACAACCTCATGTTTTCCTTCAGAAACCCGATGCTCTGGTAAGATTACGCATCAGAAGAATCAGAATAAGAGATTAGACTCCGTTTGATGCGACCCTGTTCTTGTTTATTATAGAACTGGATTAGAATATCCACGTATGGGACTTTATCCTCACCCATCACAAGATAAGGCCTAGGAAGTTGAAAGAGTCCAGTCACCTCCATGAAAGAGTCAACTCGAACAAAGTATGCTGGAGAGGTCAGAAAGTATGCAAGATCGGAGAATATTACGGATATGGGTAGTTTTGGGATGGACATCTTAGTCTTAGATTCTCTTGACAGGAGGTACGGTGGCTCCACTCCACAGCTCAAAAGTTATTCCTTGCATTATCGTGCACCCACTAACCTCTGAAAACCCAGGGTCTGTGGTAGCAAGAGATCTCCGAGAATATATGAACAAAACAACCAGGATCTTCCCGGAAGAAAACATGGCATAATGAGATCTTCGCCGAGACAAGCTCGCTCTTACCACAGTGTTGGAGTACGTTGATCAAGGAGGGTTTTTATGGATAATCATATCCGCGAACGGAGGAACCTGAAGCACTGTTGGAGAGGTTTTCTTCATCCGAATTCGGACAGAGCTCTATCTATTCCAGGATCACGATGCACGATCGACACGCAATGAGATGACGACAATTTGCTTGATGGAGATGTGACTCTTCCGCACCGAAAGGTCGATGGAAATCGCGCCAAGTATCACCATATGAGATGCTCCGAGCCATCCGGGTGATGTCAATCTCCCACGACTTTCATAGTCCCCGATGCCTTCATTAAAATATCCAGTCAACAGGTTGGAGCCGATTTCATCCTGGTAAGAAAACACAGTAGCTGTAAAGTGGATGATCTACCTTCGTCTATGTTCTGTATGCACCATGTAATGTTCAAAAGGTCTGACTGGCAGGTCCTGTGAGTTGGGCATTCTGGTCGTATGGCCGATGATTGGACCTCAGAACAGGGGAGGTTGAATGTGTTGCCTGCACTGGTTGGCTGGCTGCCATCAGATGAACAGATCGTAGCTGTTCTTCTCATTCTCCTCCATGCCACTCCCCATCAGTCTCATTTCTCGGCGAACCCGATAAGCCCACACATTCCCTCGACCGCGTACTCTATCGATCACTCCGGAAGAAAGAATCAATCCCGCGGATGGTCAGCCCCACAGATTGTCAGCGTCAATGAGGAAGCATGATTCGACGGGATTCTTCGAGAGTTCAGGTACACCGCCAGAATCCACACTTCACTCCGTGGATCAGAAGTTCAGACGCGTCATCTGTCTGCTTCTCTGAAGATGGAGGGACTCCTGGGAAGCTGCTGCTGACCCAGATGTGCTCGAATCTTCAAACAGCACTGCGCTGTGGAGAGAAGAGCACCCCAGCCATCGTGGACCCGCCAGGTATGAAGTAATCGATACGGGTTCCTTGCCGTCACATCCACGAGCCCCCAGGTCAGCCCCTGTGTGTTGAGCACTCGGCCACATGAAGTGAAGAGAAAGAGAGGTCGCCGGTCGAAAATTTGGTTCTTGCTGGCGATGGTCCCCAGCCTTGTCAATCATGCCGGCGATGACATAGCCAGCCGGAGATGACACGAGTAAGGAGCATAGATCCTCTCAACCCCGAGATTAGGACAGTTAATCATACATAATTCCAAACTATTCTTGATTCTAGATATGATCTTCTTCTTCGACGGAAAACAGTGTCTGACGGCGATGTGTAGGCCTCATGTTCCCGAAGGAGTCTTCCCGTCGGAGGAATTGGCCCATTAGATTCAGAGAGAAGTTCATCAGATCGACTGGAATATAAGAAAACGATTTGCTCTAGGCGCACCGGGTGACTGGCGGACAAAGAATCGAAGCCCAATCGGGAAAGGTCCTCGGAGATCCAGGGAGACGATCGGGGGAGAAAGGGAAAGCGACGGGCAACGAGAAAAAGGTCTAATCCAGCCGCCCTCCGACTGGAATCCCATCAAACGCTCGTAACGAAGAACGCATCAGAATCAACCAGCAATTCTCTCATCAGCAGACGCCGTTCCCCATCGATGTCCGGCAGCAGTGAACCAGAGGCGGCGGGCAGGGCCGCCGCGCTGGTCGTAGGTGCGTTGTGCGTCGCACTGACGCTTTTGTCTGGTAGAGCACATCGCCTGCCTACCAACGAAAAACCTACTTTTTACTGCTCTTTGCGACCCCCATTCTTCCCCTCGCCAGGAGATCCCGGCGCTGGCTCGTGTGGGCAGGTTAATGTCAACGGGAACCTCCGGTGCATGTGCCCCTGCCCAGTTGCAGGTATAAATACAAGTTGTTTGACATCCAAGTGGTCGCGTAGCTGGTGGGAGAGAGGGGGAAACGGCGGGAGGCCTCGTGGGGTGGAAAGGAGGAGGGAGGAATGGGGGGCTGAAGGCGGCGAGTGCTCTTCCGACGTAGAAAGAGACTGATTCCACCCCTCTTCCACCCCTTTGATTACCCACTTCATGCTCCTTGCCAGCGATTATAGATGATATAATCCATCTCGCCCCATCGATCTCCCTTCCTCCCCCTCTTTGACGCCTAGTGTACCGGCTTTTGTCTGCAAAGGATTCTATGTGAGAAGGAGAGAGGAAGGGGAAGGAAGAGAGGTAAGCGTTTTCTTCACGCCCCTGTTCTGTTCTGTTCTGTTCTGTTCTGTTATTCTCTCGATTCATCCTCCCCGTGAAGGATTCTCGGATGATAAGCCTTCCGGAGATACATTCCCCGTCTGTTTTCGTTCTCGTTCCGTCGCCCTTGAACGGAAGAGGAAAGAAAAACCAGGGAGTGGCCACAAGGGTCCGATTGAATCCTTCTCATTCTCGTCTTTCTTCCTCTTTGTGGTCCTAGTTTTCGTATCCGACTCTTCTTGATCGTGAATTAGCTTTCATCTTAACGGAAATATGCGATCAGACGCCATCGCCGCCGTTATTGTCTTCTGAAGGAAAGCGAGTGTCGGCGCTGTGGCGCGGAGGGTCTCTCCGGTTGCTCATCTTCTGAGAATCCGCATAACGATGTGGCCGTGACAGGTCCTGTCACAGTGAAATTGACAAATTAGGAATCCTGCATGTTCGTTGCGGGAGGCGACAGTCCGACGGCACCGCTGAAACCAGGCGGAAAGCTACCCGGCAGGCGCTACTTTATCAGAGCCTGAAAATAAATCCCGACTCCGGCATCCGGCGGCGCCACCTCTGTCCGGAGCAGCGACCTCCGCCTGCCCTGTCAGAGTCTGGTCTCCCCCTGTTTTCCTCTCTAGGATAGGGACCAACCGCCATTAACCTTCTCTCGCCGCCTCAGACCTCTTTCACGCCTCTCTTTCCTGCGCTAGCGCTCTGGTTCTGTTTACGAGCAACAGGAAACGCTCATAGTTCAATCGAGCAGGCATCATCCGCGATTTCTCGTGCCATACACAATTGCCAACTGAGAGAGTCCTCCTTCCCTCCCTCCATCACTCTGGATCTACGCGTCCAATCAGCTAGAGCCCTTCTTGTGGCACTGCTCATGGTGGAGGAAGTGGTCCTCCTCCCTCCTTCGGACCACTCTGATCTGCTGCTACAATAGAATAGTCGGTCGAGTTCCCATAGCCACAGGAAATGCTCCCAGCGCTTTGGTCTTTTTCCCCTGGCCTCGATATCCCCTGAGCGAACGACGTTGAACGGAATCTCTGAGCGCTTGCCCTCGTTTGACGGCAGCCGCTGCAGAAAAACGGCCGCCCAGCGGCTCGGATTTACCGGGACCCCCTTCGCCGTCTCGGGGAAGGACGGTAAAGGCCCCGTGGAAGCAGAAAAATCACTTTTTTGGGGGAATCTGATGATGGGCGAGGGGCTGACCGCCATACCCGCGTCGAAAACTGTGAGTCATTTCCCTTTCCCAGCTGGGATGGAGGGATGCTTCTTGGCCCACCAAACCCATCCTACCAGACGAAACCTGTCAAGGGGCGGCGGATCTGTGGTCCTTGGTTGTCGTCGGAATCTACCCTTTTTTGTGCGCTTCTTCGACCCCCCAACTTCCACCTGATGGAAGAAGATTCAGGTTCTCAGGATTTAAACCAACCGTCGGCCGCATCTCCCCCCCCATCCCATCCATTTCCTTTGATGCTACAGATTTCTTTTACCTCCTTCTAACAGTCAGAGCACATGTTCTTCCCAAGAACAACTCAGCTTCCGCCGCATTTTTTTGAAAAAAAATGGGTCGATCCGTCTGAAAGGCCCACCCAAAAATGGAACAGAAAATTACTTCCTGGGCCGTGAAAAATAATATATATCTATATATATATATATATATATATACACACACACTTACCTCTCCTCGAAGGTCGCTTTCCACTGGACATGATGGGTTAGAGGAATCTTGCTTGCCGGCTGCCGCTTCCCCAATAAGCAGCGCCACAAGTTCTCCTCTTTCCTGAGCCGTTCCCTCTTCGTCTTCGTCCGCCGTCGTATTCGCTGTCATTTGCGAGCATATGTTTAAACTAAAGTAGTAAAAAATACAAAGATTCTGGAATCACGCCGACTGCTTTAATTGTTGGATTTTGTCCTCGGCCACTTGCCTCATATGATAAGCATCTCCGAGGGCCGATCACTGATTTTTATTAGTCTATGTTTGGTGAAGATTGCGCATATTTTGCCAAAAGTAGAAGTTTTGATGTGACCCTTTCTGACCATCTGCATAGTTATTAACGAATGACGTATGCCCTTTTATGGCAGGGCCGCTCCGATGATGTAAGCCGAAGCTGCGTGAGGTCTGAGCCGCTCCGAGCGACTGCCCATCTGGTAAGTGTCCTGGCTATGGCGCTCTCTTTAGAAGTACTGAAATTTCCGGTCACGGAGAGAGGTTTATAAAAGTTAAATATCTAAAAAGTAAAAAAAAATCCGGTCTTCTCCCTTGAACGAGGTATAAAATTTTATAGCTGAGGTTGGAAACTTTGTTGCGTACAGATTTCTTATGGGTTCGACTTGTCTCGTGGTGGTAGTTTAAAAGTCAACGTAAGTCGGGATCGATGTACACCAATTTTTTGGCTCTCTGGAGGGGAGGGGGCCACTTCCCAGATTCGTTAGGATTCGATGAGAGTTAGAAATTTAATCACAAAGATGAATGAATTCTTCGAACCCGGCAAGTAGGGCGACAGCCGGCGTTCACAGGAACACGCCCACGCCCAACAGCCGCCATATCGGCGAAGGGGTTCGTTCCTGAGGAGCAGATGCCATGAAAGGATGTAGAGATGGTGGGAGGGAAAAAATTCCTCTGACGGAATCCTGAGAACCTGTTAACTCTCCACCCCGGAAACCCATCAATCAGTCATCTTGAACAAACCAGAAAGGGTTTGGAGCTGGTGGTCGGCGCACAGTTTGAGGTCGAGGAGGAGGACAGTAAGACTCCAAAGGCATCACTTTGTGGTCGCGAATCTCTCCCTCTCTCTCTCTCTCTCTCTCTCGCTGGGTCTCACCTCTACGGTCAGTATCCGCCGTACTCTTCAGTTCTCATGCGTCTGCGTGGTGTTCTCCAGGGAGAGGGAAAGCCCTGAGGAGGGAGGGGGAAGAAAGGTAGGAGAGCCGAGAAGGGGCGGCAGCGTGGTCAGCAGTCGAATGGACCGCGGAGCGTGCTGGCCTTACTTCGACCCCGAGTATGAGACCCTAAGCCAGCGTATTAATCCACCCAGGTCTGGTCTCCACCCCTTCCCCGGCTTCTGCATCCTGAAGCCTACGTTCTGATGGATTTTCTCCCTTCCCTCTGCAGAGTATCCATTGACAACACATCTTGCAGCGACTGTACGCTTGTGAAGGTATCTTCCTCACGTCCACCGGTGTAGTCGTTAAAAACATTAGATTTTTAGTATGTCTTTCCTGGGGAGTCTACTAAGAAATTCTAACATCTGATAACATAAATATTTAGTTCTTGGGAAATCAGCTCCTGAACATGTCTCTAATTCTCGTTTGCCCGCTCCAAGTAGTCTCAGTTATTCGATTTTCAGCTTGGGGAACAGTGATACGAATTTTCTGAAATTCTTGGCTGCAAGATGACTTAGGTTTTCTCTTCTTTGCCGTGCTTTTCTTCCCGGTACCATTTCTCGCGATCACCAGGTGGACAGTGTGAACAGGCCGGGTATCCTTCTGGAGGTGGTGCAGGTGCTCAGCGATCTCGACCTCGCCATTTCCAAGGCCTACATCTCCTCCGACGGCGGATGGTTCATGGACGGTAGGTCAAAACAAGAAATACACGGATCTTTGGGAGTTGACTCCAGATTGCCCCTATCTTCGTGAAACGGCCGACAGGCGTTGACTAATTATGCATCTCCCCCCCATTTCATGTCGCAGTATTCCACGTTACCGACCAGCATGGCAACAAGATCAGCGACAGGAAGACCATGGAGTACATCGAGATGGTAAGGAACCAACACCAATCATAGAAAGTCAATGCCTTTACTTCCTCCCAAGTATGTCCGGTCACCATGGTTCATGCTGTATCGTACCAGGCTCTGGGTCCAAAGGGTAAGACTTTGAGCAGAAACGGAAATGCTTGGCCGACGAAGGCTGTGGGGATGCATTCCGTTGGGAACTACACCGCCATCGAGCTTATCGGAACCGACCGCCCAGGCCTGCTCTCAGAGATCTTCGCCGTCCTTGCGAATCTCCACTGCAATGTTCTAGCCGCCGAAGTCTGGACTCACAACATGCGCGTCGCCTGCGTCGTCTACGTCAACGACGACACCACCTGCAGCGCCGTTGTCGACCCCGATCGTCTCAGGGTGATGGAGGAACAGCTCAAGAACGTGCTGAGCGTGTGGGGAGACGACCGCAGGGAGGCCAGGACTAATTTCTCCATGGGGTACACCCACGTTGACCGCCGCCTCCACCAGCTGATGTCCGCCGACAAGGACTACGAGGACGATGTTGGAGTGGGGGAAGGGGGGGACAAGGGCGTATCCTATCCAAAGCCCATCATCACCGTCGACCAGTGCGACGACAAGGGCTACTCAGTGGTGAATGTCCAGTGCAGAGATCGGACTAAGCTGCTGTTCGACATCGTCTGCACCCTCACCGACATGCAGTACGTTGTCTTCCACGCCTCCATCTCCTCCGAAGGCCACAACGCCCGGCAGGTGCGTCAATAAATTCCCACCCTCCCCGAAATGGGCACCGTTCGTCGCCTCTAACTTCTCTGCAATGTCGCCATTTACAGGAGTACTACATCCGCCACGCGGACGGCTGCACCCTCGACTCGAAAGAAGAGAGGGAACGCGTGATCAAGTGCCTTGAAGCTGCAATTCGCCGAAGAATCTCCGACGTAAGAAAGACCTCATTTTTCTCTCTTGGGTTCGATCTTCTTCCGTATTTAGATGCGGGGGAGGTCTTAATTGAACAGAATACGATGCCTGCCTAGGGAATCAGCCTGGAACTCTGCGGCAGGGACAGAGTAGGGTTGCTCTCGGACGTGACAAGAGTGCTCCGCGAGAACGGGCTGTCCGTGACCAGGGCGGGCGTGAGCACGGTGGGCGAGCAAGCTCTGGACGTGTTCTACGTGAGGGACGCTTCTGGGTATCCCATAGACGCGAAGACGATCGAGGCTCTTCGACAGGAGATCGGCCAGAAGGTGATGCTCAACGTGAGGAGAGTCCCCGGCAGCGGAGAGTCCCCCCGCCCCAACGGATGGGCCAAGAACAGCTTCTCCCTGGGGAGCTTCTTCGAGCGTTTCTTGAACTGATCCTCCCCCCGGGGAACCAGCTGCCCCCTGTACATAATGTAGCCAAACTCCTGTCGACGTTTCCTAGCTGTACTTCGTCTGTTCAACTAGAATCGAAAGGACGAGCGACTTCACTAGAATAAATGACCTTAATCGCGTGGAAGAGGTATGATAAGGGCAGGGATCTTGACTTGGGAGAGTAATCAATCCTCCATGGCCCTTTCTAGCCTTCTTCTTCTTCTTCTTCTTCTTCACCCCTACTCTTCCCCGTTCTCAGATCATCATTTTCTTCTGTACACGTCCTTGACAGGGGGGTGTCTGTGGCAATTTTCTTGCATACTAATCTTAATTAGTTCTTGATGTGGTTAGATGGGGCACTGCAAAACTAGAGCCGAGTACACCAACTAGGCAGGCAGAATCTAATCATCTGGTTTAAAATGCATAGGTTGGGCCGTCCTTGGAAAGAAGAAAACTTAGACAAGAAGATAGTTTAAAAATAAGAGCCACAAGTAGCATGAGCTAGGGGCTTCCTCGGTCGGAAAACTCCAGCTTTCAGCTTCAAGCTCTCCATCTTCAGTCACCATCCACATCGTGCGCTGGGTTGCAGAAGCATCTGAAAAGCCTTCCAATAACCTGTGGAAATATGAATGAGAAGGCAAATCTAAGAGTTATCAAGGATACACTAGGGTTCTTAGAAATGATCTCATCAGAAACTGATCTGCAATCTATTCTCGTCGAGATTAATTCACTAGTTGGGGGCAAAATGATGAGCACACCAGTAAAGTAATACCCTGTTCTTCGCAATGAGGATTTATCCAAATATGGACGGCCCCAGAAAATCTCAGAACTAAGGTGCTCTCACACACACACCTGAGTTAATAAAGGTGTTCGATATGCAAGCGTTCCTGGAGAATCCTCAACCGAACTATCATCGGAACTGTTTCCATCATCATGCACGGCGTTTACACTCTGAGAAGTCCCCACATCTTTTGCCTCCCTTCCCCGCTGCAGCAAGCACGAGCATTCTAATCACAGTCTTGGATCGACTAACAGCTATTCACTTGGAATTAAAGAACAATCACAATGAAATTGATTCTAAAGGTGTCACAGAATGATCAGTTCAGAACTTGTGACTAATGGGCTGGCAAGAACTATAGCTTCTGTTCCTTTCATACCTTGAAAACCTTCCCGAGGATTTTCAGAGCCGAAGCCCGAGCTTTGTGTACTTCTTTCTTGTCGTCATCTTCCTGTAATACCTGTCGAATTGTTACGGGATTCATCATTAAGACACCTTCTCCTCATACTATTTTTGTCAAATTTAATCGAAATGAAGCAATTTTCCTCTCCATTTTCCTCTAAGAAGCACAAGTTTCCCTTTCAACAGAATGTAAGGAATTCATTCTAAAAAACGCATGCTTAACAGTGCAATCATCCGGCAAAGTCCTGATGGGCATTCGTTATACTTGTTCATCCCCCAAACACATGCATATAGAGATATTAATACCAAAAGACCAGATGGAGAATCCATGACGACTCGAGAGAAGTGTTTGAGAACTCACAATCTGGCACACCCGTGACAGCGTTACTTCAATATCCACCACATTTAGTTTCCACATTGAACTCATCATTAGATCCTTATTTTGCTCCATACGCATTTCAGCATCCTTTCCAGAGCCAGTTCCATCTCTATTAAACTGTTGGCAAATGTCCTCTTGAAGCTGCAGTAATCTCAGTGCACCTGAACAAAATTTACCAACAAATTAGCCAGAGTTTCTGGGGCATCAACCTCAGTAGGTGTTCAGGTCTGGGCCATCTGACACCTTTGGCAGCTGTAACCTGTGATTTCCAAAGATGCCCTTTGTTTCGCACCCATTCGGCTAAGAATGGCACACCCAGGTACATGACTTTCTTGCCTAACTCCTTCGCAGCCTGCCTCTCATAGACATAGCCAATTGTGTGCAGAATATCAACTCCAAAGGCTGCATTCGGAAACCTCAACCAATAAAAGAAAATTTCAAGATTCTAAGCCACCAAACGAGTGAGAAAATGCAAGTTGTATACCACTGATGAATGCGGAGAATGAAAATTAATTAACCTGCATCAGAAAGTCGTCTTGCTTCAGCTTCTATGTGATGCAAGAACCCTTCTCGGTCACCATTAATATATTTATCCAGAAGGTCCTTCAAGAATCTTGCGAGCTTCTCCTCCCGCTCCCTCTGGACAGCCTTCACGAGGACACAATTGATGTGGGACATCACTTCCAAAAAAGAGAAGGGCGAACAGTTTTTGACCCAGGTGGCCCAAAACTGGTAGGCCAGACATTTTGGAAGCTTGAAGGATGGGATACAAAGATGAGAAGAACCTAAAATGCCAAAATCAGATCAGACCCAAATAAACGCGTGAATAACACGTCAGAGTTGTTAGTATATTAACTATCTTGATGTTAGGTCCTTTCAATTTTGTTTTCATAACAAATCTTATTATCTAGGAGAGGTATAATTGATTCAGGCTCATTTAAAGGCTAATATGTTGCAACTCCAGGCGCACCTTGGCTATTACAAATTTTCATTCTCTTTGAGAGTGTTCTGCACACTTTGTGTATACAAGCAATCCTTGTGGATTAAAGGGAGTTTTTTGGATTCTCGTGGATTCAAGGATCAACTCTTGTAGATCCAAGGGCGTTTTCTGATCCTTGTGGAGTTGAGGATCGTCCAAGCCATTCCTGTTGAGTCAAAGATTGAGAAAAATCGTGGATTCAAGGCCCGATTTTCATTCTCCCTCAACTTCCGTTGCATCAATTTATATTAGAGCAAGGTTTCGAAATTTCCAGTTGGTTCTTATGAATATTCAATGCTACTGATTACATAGGTTTGTAAGGTATTCACCCTATCTAAGGTATAACTTTTCCAAATTTCTGTTGCTTAAAACATTTCAGATATGCATCATATGTAGATACAATTTCTTTCAAAGATTAGAATAGCGGAACATCGTTTGGTTTGAATATTGGTTATCAGAATGAAAATAAGATCCAAACACCCTACACAGAGACACCCAACGAATGAAAATTTTATGGACAAATATTCGTTCTTCTCGCACTCTAGATCCCTGTCCTGTGAATTCAAGATTTAAATATTCCATTCCCTCCAACTTCACGTCAACAATACCCACAAAAGAGGAAATTCAAAGTTGGGTATCGATGCAACACTCATAAAGAGGTCAAAATGGAATTCAAGGCACATTTTCCTAAATTTCTCAATGTGAATTTGAATGAAAATCAAAACTCCAATGAGTGAGCTGTATTCTCAAGGGAATAATAAAGAGACCACATTAAAGAGATGAATATTTCTTATTGACTTGGTTATGTTTATTTGGTTCCGCTTTCCAATAAGCATGATAAAGCCTTAGGATTCACCACTGTGAGCAGGAAATATGCCACTCATTGTATGTTCCTAATTATATACCTTCAATCGATCCCGAAGATTTTCAGGATTGTTATCCGCAGAAGCCAATTCACCTGAAGCCATAGCTGCTACGGCAAGATGTCCAATATAATCCTCAAACAATTCACTTCCAAAGAAAAGTGTAAAAACTGCTGTTGGGTCTAACATTTTTTCCCTGAAGAAGATACCATGCGGTCGATTAGAGGGAGATTAATGAAGATGTTTGCAACATAGTTGACCAAGACAAAAAATCAAAAATAGTGGTTTTTTATGGTTTGATTAATTTCATTGGGAAGAAAACCAATCAAGCTCACTTTTGTGCCGAGTGACAAAAACCTGCTGCATAAGAGAGGGGAAACTTGTACTCGTACAAGGTTGTGAAACAAATCAGCCGATGAAATTTCTGGTAGCGGTTTTGGAAATACCCAGATATGCAGTCTTTCCCATTCACATCGTAATCTCTTCTCTGCACTGGATCACTCAAGACCTGGTAAGCTTCCCCTAGTGCCTACAAGAAGAAGCCAAGAACTTTAGTTCATACTCAAGAGTATCTTCCGCTGATCGGGGAAAGAATGCCTCTGAGGAGACGAGAAGCAACATATGCACTGGCCTGGAATCTTTCCGCAGCTTGAGAGTCATTGGGATTCTTGTCCGGGTGAACCAGCCTTGCCTAACAACACCACCGAAAAAGCCAACGTTTAACCGTAGAATTTCCAAAAGGAGTTCGCAATATCTGGAAATTGAAATGGAGCCAGAACACAGACCTTGAGATAATAGGCTTTACGGATCTCCACCTCGGTTGCAGTGCGGCTGACCCCGAGAACGTCGTAGTACTCCATTGCCCACCTCCTCCCCCTCTCTCCCCGACAACGCGTCTTTCGAGAATAGGAGAAGAAAGGGGAATGACCACAGGAGGGAAGGAGAAGGTTCTCGGATGCGGGAGACGACACCACATGGCCAACCTCCTTTCCAAATTCGCCGGCCGGGAAATAAACAAATGGAATGCCGACGAGAAAGGGGAGAAAGGCGGGCGTTGGCAGCGGAGCACAGCCTTTTATCCCCTTCCCCTCCCTCTTTTCCTGAGGAGAAAAGAATAGCTCGCAGTCGGCAACATGTCGCGTGGAGCCGGGAGGGGACAGGTGTGCCCGGCGCCGGCGACACAAGATGGCGGATAATCTGAAGCCTCATGGGGGTAGAGGGCGGTGGGGGCGATCATCACCTTTCTTAGATGGTCTTGGAACGTCATCACAACGCCCCTGCCCCAATGAGTGCCACCACCCGACCCACCCACCGCCTACCCCAAGTTTTCATCGAAAAGCAGCAGCACCAGCCGGACTGCTGAGCGGTGACGGAGGATGGTGGAGAAGAGGGAGGGAGTGAGCTACAGATGGTGAAAGGGTCCCCTGTTGCGACCGCTTCAGCTGAGGATGAGCTCTCGTAGATCGGAGTAAGCAACGATGGCCGGGGGGAGACGTTCTCTCTGACCCAAGAGGAAACCTTAAAAAAATCATTCCGGGAAATGGAGGGATTACTGGGCCTGACTAACCGAGCCCAAAATACAGAGGCCTAGGCTAATAACTTAAATGGGCCTACGTTTATAAGGCCTCGGCCCAAAATAAAAGCCTCATTTATCTACGTGGCGTTGTTCCACCGTCGTCCGATGTGCCTTATTCTCAGTGCCTGTTGCACCAATCCGTATGCCCTATCTTGGCCAGTAGTACGCTGGCGTGCAAACGGACTGAAGGGCAGAGAGAGGGGAAGGGAGTGGGCGACAGAGAGAGAGAGGGCGAGTTAGAGAGGGGGGGAGAGAAAGAGAGAGAGAGAGGGCGAGGGAGTGGGCGACTGTGAGAGAGAGAGAGAGAGAGGGAGGGAGTGGGCGATTGTGTGAGAGAGAGAGAGGGAGAGAGAGCAGACCAAGATAGAGAGAGAGAGAGAGACAGACAGACAGAGAGACAGAGAGACAGAGAGAGAGAGAGAGGGGAGAGAAAGAGGGAGGGAGAGAGAGAGAGATAAGGAGAGAAACAGGGAGAAAGAGAGAAAGAAGGAAAGGGACGAGAGAGAGAGAGAGAGAGAGAGATAAGGAGAGAAAGAGGGAGAAAGAGAGAAAGAAAGAAAGGGACGATAGCGCCGGCTCCCAGACGACGAACTAAGACCAGGATGGTCGAGCGACAATTCTTCGCAATCCACGTAGAACATACTCTTCATGCATGATGGGCACTCGCATTGAGTCGCCGATTGAATTCAAAGGGCTTTGAAAGTGTTGACGACCTACGATCATTCGTGAGGATTTAGTCCACATTATCCATCTGTAAAGCCCGTCCCAAGCCGAGAACAGAGGTTGAGATAAACTCTGGCTCGGCATCAGAGAGAAGGGACAGAAGAATGAAACAAGAGCAGAAGAACAAGAGGAACTCGGGCCCATCTCGGGGGCATCTGATTCAGTGATCCCTTGGACTCGAGCCCCTTGCATAATCACTTGGCGGCGAGCTGGTGGAGCCACATTCGTATAGAATATCCAAGTTATGCGTGTAGACCTCACTTGGGTGTCGTTGGGATGAGCCCAGACCATGGTTACCTTTCACCAGTCTCAGGCCCTCTCCGGATGCACTGATCACAGAGAGAGAGAGAGAGAGAGAGAGAGAGGTGCATCACGGCTCCAGTGTCTTCCTGTCAACAAGCACAAGTCAGTCAACAAGCACAAGGGTGATCGAAAAGGCAGCTGTCGAAGCGCCGGGTGGTCCTGCGGCCAGTTGGCGTTGTGGGTGGGAGGGCATCAAGTAGCCGCTCGGTGGGTGCATTCTTGAAGACGACGGAGGATAGGGAACCTCGAATTAACTAGTCATCGACGAAGCATGCGTTCAGAGACACGATTGAAGAGATCAATATTTTAAAACTATGGCTCATCTCGCTTAGAAGATGACGCCTTGAAGGTGCCATTTCGATAATAATGAAACATTTACAATAAAATATCTTGTAAGCACGCCTGGCTAGCCTTTTGATTCAATACCAAAGCCAAATAGAAATAATTCGCCTTTGAACATGATCAGCTCTCTCTCTCTCTCTCTCTCTCTCTCTCTCTCTCTCTCTCTCTCTCTCTCTCTCGTATAACCCTGAAATCAACAGGTTCTTCTCCTTGCCCGGCCCGACCCACGTCAGTCACGATGCCTAAATTAGATAGCGAAAAATGAATGGAAAAGCTGTGGTATATGCAGCGATGGCGTACAAATTCAACTACGGTCCTTTGAAATACATGATCGGTCTGTTGGCCGGTCGCTGCATGCTACTCCACGTTACACCCCGCCGTCGGCTGGACGAAGCCGGGTCTCCCCCTAACTTGTGACAGCGAGAAGCGTGATCTCACAAGTTGAGGGAGAAGGGGAGGGTTCCTACCTTGGAATATTTCAGGGCCGGTCTGATAATCAGCTAGGATCGACCATATTAACCCCTCGGCTCCAGATTCTATACCTTTTGTATCTGACTTCCAGTGGGTTCCCACTATATGTGACCTTTTGGTTGAACGAGCATGCCGATTTCGCCCCAGTCTATCTATCCTTAGCTGGGTCTCACAAGCTTATCAAACTCGGATGGCTGAGTTTTCTCGAATAATGTTGGACAGTTCCGCCTGTTCCAGAGCTGACTGGTTGGATTGTTATCAAACCGCTACTTAGGGAGGCGGCTGTCCCCATCTGGGCTGACCGCGACGGGAGGGCGCGCAGTCAAAGAAGAGGGCAATGATGATTGGGACGGCTCAAGATTGCGAGAAGAGAGAGCCAAATCGGGACGACCGGGAGTCTTTTGAACGCTATCTTGTCCCCCCCCATGCCTTGAGAATTTCTACCTATTCTGGTAGCAGCCATGATAGCAGAGGGAGACTTCTCCGCTGTAATTAAGCAGATTAACGAAGCTGTCGCAGATGCCCCCATTTTCCTTCCCGCCGTCGCAGATAATGCGTAGCTGAGGACCTGTGGATTCTCTCATCAATCGTTTGCTCGAGAGATTTCGCGTACAACTCATCCGTCGAAGATCGCCGGGAGAATGTCGAGGCCGCGAGCCTCGAAACAGACGAGGGTTCTATAAATCAATCGGGATAATGTTGTAGTACAGTTGTGAAGGTGGGGAGGAATAACTAATGAGATTATTTTGGTGGGCAAGTTTCTCGGGATCTATCCAGACCTGGGTAGCGGCGGAAGGCGGAGTCTCGCGTGATTCCAGGACAAAAATCCGATCTTGGGTTTGAATGGTCAAGCTCGAGGAAGGCATCCCGGCTTTAATGACAATCGACGGTAGCAATATAATATACTAAATTAAAGAGGGAATAGAGGGGAACGAAGAAATACCGATCCCCAGGACTGCAGTGGCTTTTTCTGTCATTAAAAGGTCCCACTGCATGATCCGCAGCAAAAGGGAAGAAAAAGCGGAGAAACCGGCAGTCCAATCCGTTGATGGGTATCGAATGACCAGGGGAAGGAGCGATTCGGGTATTCCAAGGCCTCGGCGGATTCGTCCTCTCAACTCGAGGATGTAACGCGAACCCTAGTAGATCTACTCTGCCGGCGCCACCAGCCGCTGGTTCCTGTTGGACTGAAGCTACCTACTTCTGTCGTACCTCCACCGCGGATCCCCTGGTGGCCGTAGTAATGCCTTCACGAGGAGTAGATGGCCGGAGACGCCGATGAGGCCTCCGGCTAGGGGCCTCTGTCTGGCTGGCGGCCGGCCTAAGCAGCTGCTGCAGCGCTTCCGCCGGGCTCGATCACGGGCTTCATCAATGTCGCGGCCGCCGCAGCTTATTACACGCCAAAATGGCGTCGTAGTCTATTCCCCAGTTAATGGCTCGAGGCTCGTCCAGTCGCCTTTTTTTATCCCCCTAATTCCAGGAAGCTCTGCCGCATCCCTCTGCTGCCCCTCCTGTATCATCGTGATTTCTCCATCATCACCTCTCTCTCTCTCTAGTGCTCTTTATACCTGTCGTATTCCTGCTGGGATGGGGTGCCAGGCTTCCACCAGCTTCCTTTGAAGGATTCCTGGTCTGGGTTGGAGATTTGACCGGCTAATGACAGGCAGAGTGGGAGGAGTCGTCATGTTTTCAAAAAACTGTTTTCTTTCCGTCGCCGGTGGTTGAGTTGAGCCCTGACCACCACCTCCGCGCGAGATAAAGACAGCCCCTCTGCCCCACGTTTGCTGTTTGTACGCTGCTGTTGCCATCTGAATTCCTCTCCGACTAGGAGAAACCCCACCCTTCGCTGCTCTCTCTAGTTTCCGCTGCCGGAGCTACTGTTCTTGCTCCTTCCTCCCTCCCCTGAGAGAAAGAAACCTTTCTCTTTCCCCTTCTCCTTCTCTCCCACGGCCTGTATGCTCCGTTCTGAATGCAGGGAGGAGTGGAGTGAATTACCCCGCGAGCACGGTGTTCGTCCCTTTGATGAGCAAAATCCTGCGGAGAGTGGGGCTCCGATGAGCATCCCTCACCTGTTCCGGTGCCCCATCAGCCTCGACCTGTTCACCGACCCCGTCACCCTCAGCACCGGCCAGACTTACGACCGGCTCAGCATCGAACGGTGGCTCGCCGGCGGCAACCTCACATGCCCCGTCACAATGCAGAGGCTTACCGACCCGTCGCTGGTTCCAAACCACACCCTCCGCCACCTGATCGACCAGTGGCTCCTCGACGGGCCCAACCGGAGCCCCCATCAAGAGCCGACGAGGCGCGTCGACCACGTCGGCTTCTCCCTCGCCGCGCTCAAGCAGAATCTCCAGTCGCCCTCCGGCGGCGCCGCTGCCAAGGTGGAAACACTCCGTAAGATCAGAATCCTGGCAATGGAGTCCGACGTCGGCCAGTCCTGTCTCATCCAGTTGGGTTTCCTCTCCTTCCTGCTGCGATTGCTGTTCCAGAACCAGGCTACGCCATGGGTCGACAACCTCGAACTCGCGGAGCTGGCACTCGACTGCATCCTTAGCTTGTCCCCCTCCACGCAGGAGGCCCCCCTGAGCATGATCAAGGAGCCGTCATCTCTGGCTTCACTGGTGACGCTCCTCGAGGGGGGGAACATCAAGATTAAAACCAGTCTCTGTTATCTGCTGGACGCGATTTCCTACTCTCCGCAGTCCGAGGAGCTCTGCCTGGTCATTGGGCAGAACCGGCAGGTCCTCCAGGGGCTCGTCTGCCTCCTCAACGACCGCACCGCCGCCACCGTCCCCGCCGCCGAAGCGGCGGTGAGGGCTATCTCAGGCCTCTGCTCCCTAGAGCCCAATCAAGATTGCGCCATCAGAAGCGGCGTCGTCGACGGGCTCGTCGGGTATCTATCCCATTCTACGCGACGGAACGCCGCAAAGGCGTTGTCGACGCTGGAGCTCCTCGTGGGTCTGGAGAGCGGCAGCAAGGCCCTGCTCAGGAACAACGGCGCGGTGCGCGTGCTGGTGAAGATGATCTTCCTCGTCTCCGACGACCACCAGGGCGGCGAGCACGCGGTGGGGGTGCTGCTCACCGTGTGCCAGGCCTCTGCGCAGGCGCGGGTGGACGCCGTCAACGCCAGGGTGCTCACGCAGCTCCTGCTGCTGCTCCAGAGCCAGTGCAGTCCCAAGGCCAAGAACAAGGCCCGGGCCCTGTTGAAGCTCCTGAGCTCCATGTGGATCGAGGACCCAAGAGTCTGTAACAGTCTGATCTAGTGGGACTGGTCTTACGGCTCTCTAACCGCGTTGCTGTGGCTTCACTACCCCCCTTCCGCCATTAACCTAGCTCAAGGAATCTGCATGGACAAGGTCTAAGCTCGTCTCTTTCCCCGCCCATATCCACCAATCCAAGCGAACCCAAGTCTCTCTCAACATTAATCAAATCTTTGCCTCCCTTCCAGTCTTCGGTTCTCCTCGCAGTGTAATGGCCACTGTAGGGTCCATTCCTGCGGCAGGAAAACCTGAATTCAGCCATGACCCGTTCCTCGCAAGCTCGCGCCAGGCCGCCACATCCTAATCCATTATTATCCTGCCCAGTTGGCCTCTGCGCGAGGTGGCGGCCTCTACGAGGCCCCCTCGCCTCGGAAACCTCCGACGGCCGGTATAATGCCCGGTCCAAGAGATCCAACTGTAACGTACGGCGGCGCTCATTCCCGAATTCCTTCCTGCCTTGTTCTTTACGGCACCGCTGGTCAGAGCTGCGGCACTTTATCTCGGCGGAGAGCATGCAAACTTGTGAGCCCGTCAAAAAGTCCGGAGAGATAGGTCGGAGGGTCGGCTTAGAGAGAGAGAGAGAGGGAGAGAGAGAGAGACATTCGAAGACGCTTCTAACGGAGGAAGCGTAGTAACGTGCACTACGTGCATGCGTCAAAGTCTACGGGGCCTGAGCAGTCAACTATGCTACCCAGGAATGAACTCTCATGAAGACGGTCAGCTGGAACCCAAGACCGAAATTTCAGATGATATTGAAGCGAAATTTTATCAAGATAAATTGGAGATAGAATACAATCGGATTAAGAAAAGCTGGCCAGATACCCACAAAACGAGACAAAATCCCTTGAGCAGGGGCGTGGGGTTCAGCCCTCTTCGTCTGTGATTCTTGAAGGCAGCCCATTGCGGTTGCCTTCATTACCTTCTCTGGCTCGCCGGCGCTCTGCATGGCCACTGTCCCCCTCCCTGGGGTGGCGTGGGGTGGGGTGGGCTTTTCATCTGCCGCCCTTTCCACCCCTCTTCTTCCCAAACTTCTTGCCCTTGGAGGACTTGCTCTTTAGTTGGGAAATCCTGGTTGCTTTCTGCTGCCTTTGCTTCCGTATCTGCTCAGGACCTTTCAGCTCAGATGGCACATTGGAATTGGGCACTGACCACCGTCTGGTCCTGCCGTTGAATGTCCTCTTGTTTCCTGATGTCCACCGGTCCCCTGAAACACAGTAATAAAGTCAACGAACCATGAGAAAACAGCCGCAAGATCCGCGTTTTGATGCCCAAGAACTCGGGTAGATCACCCAGTCTAAAGATCCTGTACAAGGAAATAGATACTACTGCATATATTAAGATCTTATATAAAATTCTCATCGGCGTTGGATTCCCATGTCTATGCATTTGGGTCCTCACCTCTAATGCCAGATTCCGAACTGTTCTCACCACTACCACTAAAAGAGATCTTCATGTGTGATCGCTCCTTCCACTTCTCATATATACCCGTTTTGCTGGCTTTAACTCTCTGGCCACCCTCTGTCTTAATCTACAGTAGCCACGAGATAGCAATCAATTAGAAATGCATCAAAAGATCAGTTAACATCAAAATTATTACAAAAAATAGGGCACTTTTGCTGTGGCATTAATACCTTTCCGCTGGCTGTTACATGCTGCCCATTGTTCAGTTTGATGTACTTTTTACTTTTCTGTAAAGAAGAAAGAGTATAAAATTTAGAAACTAGCAATGGGTCTTCATCAAAATGGTTGGGGGGAAAAAGAATCCTTAGAGAAATCTAAATTTGATGACGATTTGCAAAATAAAGGTCTCAAACTACCTTATCCCAGTGTATTTTGGCCTTCTGTTTCTGAATGCCAGTTCTATCATCAGCAACGAGGTCAAGAACAGCCGCATCCAATCTGCCATCAGCCATACATTTAAGATGAATGATTAAATCATCATATATTAGCATAACCAAAAGCAGAATGCATAAAATTGCAAGCATCGCGTTTTCATGACACCAAGGGAAAAATAAACTTGAGAAGCATGATGCCAAATAAATAAGGTCATAATTCTTAGAAGGCTAATGTCCTACAATATGGAAATCTAAAGATGCATACCGCTTTTTCCAAGTCCTCATTAATTGGTAGTTAAATGAACTAATTATAAAGTATCAACAACATGGATGACAATTTAGCAATTGCAAATAACCTCTTACCTGTTCGATCCACCTCCCCCACCATCCTTTACAGACAACCCCGCTTCTAAATGCTGGAATAAAAGTACAAGAAAACGCAAAAAGGTCACTGGAAGCCGAAAAGAGATTCTCCAATGAAACTTAAAAGCAAGAAATAAAATTCGAAGATTGAACTCAAAACTTACCAGATTTCTCGGGATAGGGCTTATGTAATATTCTTCATCCTTAAAGCTCTTCACATTTTCTCTCAGACTAAAACTTCCTATTGTAAATGAACAACAAGCCAGTAAGATCTAGGCAGACAAGTGATCCACAATCTTAACCCAAGAAAATTAGGAGAGAACTGGAGAATATGAAATTGACAGAAACCTTTTCTCTCCCCATCTTCGGAAGATGAATCCTCTTGTTTGCTTTCCTGCAACAAAACTTATGAATTGAGAAATAAAAAGAAACAGAATACGTGAATTCTTTCTTTCTCAGTTTCAAAATATTCGTCTGCTGGAAAATAAGCACATATAGAGTATCAAATATAACATCATATAGAGCATTGAACATTAAGAACACTCTGCAACCCAAGAAATAAGCTGCATCAGGGTGAGGGGGTAGGAGAAGGATTCTTCACTGGATCAAAAACAATAATAATTTTCCATTTAAGTTCAAAAATCTAAAACTGCTACGCTAATAAAGCTCTCTTGAGACTCGTCATATCTGTGCCACAATAACATCCTGAATTAACACTGTTTGCTCCTTGCACATGTTGACCAGCGAAGCTTATATTTGATCTGATGAAACCAAATTTAGCCAGTCGTGTTAAAACACAAGCTAAGACACTTGCTCCAGGTACATCAGACACAACTCTCTAAGACACACCAGATGATGATCCAAGTTTTTGATTTCCCAAAATTGACAACTTTACAACACACATCTGCAAGGTCGTATCAAGTACATGATCAAGGAGTTTTTAAAGAGAGAATGCGTTGGAAGTCGCACAAGACCAATCATGAAACAGAACGCCCTCGAAGCTTAGTATTTGAAAGTAGGTTATGAGAAGGGGAAAAAAAAAAAAAACTATTATATGAGCTTCTTGAGAGCAGTCATCTTCGAAAGAGTGAATAAAAGCGCAACTGCACAATGGATGAGGACCTCAGATGTACATATACAGAACTTAGGGCAATATGAGTACAATAGAAGAGGCATAAGAGATAGTAGCATCCCTTGATATTAGGTTACGACTTTTCTCATGCAAACAATAAGGTGGATAAAAATACAACCAATATCAAATTGCAAGAAAATAAAAGCACAATTTTAAGGTTGCATCAATCACATCAAGACATTAGAGAATACCTGAGGAACAGACTGTTTTTGTTGTACCAGATTGATCACACCTTCATGAACAGCTCTCTTTTTCTTCATCACATCTAGCGACTGGCTAGGACCCTACATTTTTCCACACCGTGATCTAACGTTAAAATAGAGACGTTATAACAAAACTGCATATGAAATACCCAAAATAGATATACTAAAATATGACAACAAAAACCGTCATAATAGTCAATAATCAAACAAACAACAGAACGCCTATCAATTACCATAACAATAACAGTGATAAAAACAACCACGAATAGAACATGGAAGAAAGTCTAATGGATATAAATCCTAAATTCCTTCTGCATGCAGAAGAAAAGACAACGGCTAGGAATATAAGAATAAATGCTACATGTAGACATCATAGTAAGCGAAAATTGCAAAATTCTACAAGACTATTAGAATTACTTGAAAATGCTTTGATTTTGCAGCTTCAGCCTCGGCTTCCAAAATGGTCTGCTTCGGCCTGGTGTAGTTTTCACCAAGACAAATAGTTATACACCGATTGATGATTGGTGATGATTAAGACAGGTATGCCTAATGGTAACTCATAAAAAAAATGAATGGAAACCCAAACATAGAAAGTTTTAACAGAAAGAACATACCTGAAGGCTTTCAAACGCTCAGAAAAGGCAAGTGCTGTGAGTTCATTGGATTCCAAGACATCTCTAAAAATGGGGTGTAGTCCACCACAAGGTAATTCTTTTGCCCTCCTAATGGATTCTCTTGAAGGTAAAGGCTTGGTCCTAGAATATAAACGGAATGCATTGGTGCAAGTCTTTCTCAGTAATTGCAATTCCGCAGATCCGTCAACAATTTCCCGAACCCTGTCGGAAACGAGATCTATGACACTCTGTGGAAAATGGCCATAAACCGTTTCTCCATTTGCAACTGCCTGGTCAATTTTTGATGAAACACCCTCCCTATCACGAAGAAGCTCCTCTTCTGTAGGAGCGGGCATGATTGGTTTTGAGAGGAAAAGATGAAGGTCCAGTAGGTAAGGCATGTCTTCTGATGTCACAAAAGAATAGGCCGTGCCTGTTCGACCTGCACGAGCAGCTCTGCCCACTCTGTGGACAAAAATTTTAGGCTTCGGGGGGAAGTCCCAATTCACCACATTATCAAGTAAAGGAATGTCAATGCCCCTGGCTGCAACATCAGTAACAATCAACAGCATCGTCCTCCTTGATCTGAACCTCGACACATGGATTTTTCGGGCGTCTTGGTCCATGTCTCCATATGAAATGGAAGCCTCCACACCTTCTTCTTTGAAAAGAGTGTTGAGGAACTCAACATGGTGCTTTGTGGAGACAAATATCAGCGTCTGTTGGTCAGAACTGATGTGCTCTCTGACTAGGAATATCAAAGCTGCAAATTTCTCCTCCTGGCGCAAGGAGAAGAAGGTTAGCTTTAGGTCGGGGCTGATCTTGGTCTCTAAATCCAGACGCACAAGCTGAGGATCCCGTAGACCAGCCTTGGCAAACTCTGCAAGGGCACTGGGCAGAGTAGCACTGAAAAGTAATGTTTGACGGTTTTCACCAAGGTGAGCAAGAATATTATGCAATTGCTCCGCAAATCCCATACCAAACAGGCTGTCAGCTTCATCAAACACGACATATTCTACGGTCTTCAGAGACATGCCTTCTATCTCTGCCAGATGGTGCATGAGGCGACCAGGAGTTGCAATGATAATGTCAGGGTTTTGAGCCAGCTCTTCAAACTGGCTCTCCATGCTATCTCCACCGACCAGCAGGCTTGTACGAAGGTCTACGGCGACCGATGGAACATAAAGAATTCACATAAGCGACTGAGCTGACGAAATAGAAAGCTTCATTGAAAAAGGAACCACGGAATAACTTCCATGGTAAAATTGGAGCAAAGCGCCAGCGGGAAAGGGCATGGTAGAGAGCCTAACCTGTATACTTGCCGAGCTCCTTGGTGAACTTCAGGGTTTGGAGGGCCAAATCCCTGGTGGGCGAGAGGATGAGCGCACGGACGCCAGCCTGCGGCACGTGCTGCCTGAGCTTGTCCAACATCGGCACGAGGAATGCCGCCGTCTTCCCCGAACCGGTGCGGGCCATGGCCACGACGTCGACGCCGGAGAGGATGAGAGGCATCGTCTTCCGCTGTATTGGCGTGGGCACCCGGTACCCTTTCCGCTTGATCCCACGGAAAATCTCGGGGCTGAGACCGAGGGACTCGAAGCCCCCGGACTTGGCCTTCTTCATCTCCTTCTTCCTCCTCTTCAACTCTCCCTTCGAGCTCACCCCCACCATCTCCGCTTCATCCACCTCATCTCCGACCCCGGCCCCTCCAGCCTTCCTCTTCCTCGTCGGTCTTCCACCGTTCTTCCCCCCTGCACCCCCTGCAAAACCCATCGGGACGACCCCAGCACCAAGCTCCCGAGAGAACGGCGGCAATGCGGTTTTTCTCAGTCTACGCGAGACCCTAACACCCTCTCCCCTCGAAAGCTTTTCGGATTCTGTACTGGATCGGATCCGAACCGAAGCGGACTTTACATACAAATCAATTCGTAACCATCAACTTCAGATATTCTTGTTTCATAGAAACCCTCAATTGAACGAACTTTTACCTTTGATGTAGGATATCCATAGCTAAATCCTTCACTTTTACCCCCAGTCTGGAGGCTATAAGGAAGAAAAGCACAAGAAAGTTAGGATGCCATTAAGGTTCCCCAAGAAAAAATTAAGATTGATCAAGAAATAAATAGAATCATAGAGATCAAGATTAAGCCTTATTGTAAATGAAGATTAAGGGAAATTGTAGGGTGATGCCTGATTTTAAATATTATAAATAATCAATTGAATTACAAACGATATGAAGTGTATATGGTTGTCTATATATGGCAATAAAATCATGCCAATAAATATTTAAATGAAAACGAAAATATATAATAAATAATTAAATTAGGTTGTCACTATAATTTTAAAATATCTTAATTAAAATTATACAACCTATTAATTATAATTCTTTGGCGTCCCCATATGTGATGAACAATGAATTCATAGAGACTTGTGAGCACTTCTAAATGCAAATAAACTTTGTATGAACATTGTCATGGTGACTTAGATGGCTCTTCATTATAATATTTCTTGTTATAATCATAAACCAAATCCATTTGATTTGAACCTATCTAATTCTTTCTCTCCATTTCTCATATTAGTTGGTCAATGTAAATACCAACCAAATTGTAAACCTATTTCTAGTGATTGAAGTTTTAAGATTTCAATTGTTACAATTTTCATGTTTCTCTTAATTTATTCTGCTGCTACAATAAGAAACAATCAAATAGAAGGAATCCAAGGAGATTAGATATATGAGTGTCAATCTACATAGTATTAGAGCATCATGTGTGATCTCTCCAAGATCTATTTAACTTCTTTCATTGTTTGTCATCTTCTTTTTTAGCTGCAATTGTGTTATGACATAAAGAATGATAGATTCATAAGTTGTTAATGCAACTCACTAGTGATTGTGTTGATTTCACACTATTTATATGAGAATAAAGCTTTATTATCTTTTGAAACACAATTCTTTGATTTATATTTGGAATCTTTATAATCTATTGTTATTTGATCAATCTATGCAAAATACTTTTGGTAAAGAGTGATCTCTAAGAACTGATCTATTTTATGTTGTAATATGCATGTTTTAGTAATTAAAGATGTTTGAAACAACCTCAAATATAGAACAATCTTGAGTAATAAGGACTAAACATATCATTAAAAATTAGGAAGACTTACTAATTATATTCCAAACATATCATTTTGATGGTCAAAAACTATTTTGGATGGTCTCAACAAGTTCGAATTATTATTATAAGGTGAAGATTATTTAATCATCTATATAATTTAGGTTTAAAAGTTAAAGACTAAAGGGACTCAAGAATCATAGTGTGGCTGTGGATCATCATGATTCTTAAGATTTGTAGTACTTGTCTATATTTGCCTACACTTTTAGACATCTCAAAGAATTTATATTAGACTTATTCATGAGCAAGAAATTCAGCACTACTTTATAAATTAAAGTTAAAGATAATGACAATGAGATAGAAAAATTACTAACTAAATATACTCATGAAGTCAAAACATTATGACAGGAATTTTATCAATATAAAATTATTGATATGAGATATCTAATTGATGTTGCTTTATATAGAAATAAAATAGAAAGAGATAGAATGTATGAATATATTATAGGGCTGAATTTTAAATGTGAACATGTCCGAATTTATATATTTTCTAGGGAAAATTTACCTCATTTAAATGAAGTAATTTATTTTATTAGGGAAGATAAAAGTCACCAAAGTCTCATACTTAGTCCTTAAAAATGTAGACAACCTAGTATCTACAATTAGAAGTGTCAAAATTCAAGTTCTAATAATCATAAAACTTTAGGTCAATATTTGGGATAAGAAAAAACTCTTAGTAATGGTTATAGAGACACCTTATGGTGTAGATCTTCTAAGAAACTAAGATACAATTGATAGATGTTACAAATTACAAGAGATACCTTCAACATCATGAATGAAGAAAAAAAAGAATAATAAAACGGTGGTGATCACACTTATATTACTATTGCACAACAAGGAGAAACAAATACATCAGATTAAAGATAATTTATCATAGAAAAATATACAAAAGTTTGAGAATCATTACTTCATGTTCTATTGCTTGTTCAAGTAAGTCTTCTCCTTTTACTAGATTTAATACTTTAGAGAATAATAAATCTTCACTTTGAATCATTAATTTAGGTGCCACCAAACACATAACGTATTCCTTACACATTGTTACTACCTGCTATCCTTATCCAAGTAGTTAGAAGATTATTATAATTATTGGTTCTTTGGTCATGATTGTTGAAATAAGAAGAATTTTTTTGATTATTTATCATCTTGAAGAATGCATTTTATATTCTTATGTTGATCACTAATCTTATTTTAGTGAGTAAAATCATATTTAGATTTAAGTAATGTCACATTTGATCCTAACATATTTACTTTTTGATAAAATATTTGGAAAGAGAATTGAACTTGTCAAAGAATGGAACGAATTGTAATATCTTGAACTACTTATATCCTAACACTTGGTTTAAAGAATTACTTGTATCTTGAACTACTTATATTATATGATTCTCATCTAAAAAATTCTTCATTTGGGAGCAAGTAGTATTGATGCTATCATCCTTCTCATCTAAAAAAGTATTCATTTCAAGAGACATTACCTTTAATAAAAAAAGAAGCGTATTATATAACACCATTTGATAAATATATTAGTTGAGTTTTAAAAGGTTAAAAAAATAAGCCTTTTAATTACGACTATATATTTTTACTAGATTGTATAATAATACATATTACATCACCTACTTTTGAATCTATTATTAATAAATAAACTAAAAAATAAATATTTGTTTAAGTATATTCAAGTAAAAAGGTAGATGTTTTAGAATTTACGCACATTCAAAAGTCTCTCAAAGATGAGCTAATAGAACTTTATCTTTTAGAAGGATTGAACCAAACATATAGAGTCAAAATGGATCAGCCCTTAGAACCTCTAGAAGACATCAATAAGACCTGATTACTTCATCAAATGATGGGCCATCCCTCCTCCAATATTTTCAATTATTTTTCCTTCTTGGTTTCAAAAAGTATCTTTAGACACTCTCATATATAATGTGTGAATTATTTAAACACACATGTGCTTCATTTCAATCTCAAGGAGAAAGGTGTAAAATTCATTTCTTCTGAATTCATAGTGGCATTTGGGTACCTTATCCTTGAATAATATGGATAGTAAAAAATGATTTTTCATTTTCATAGATGATTGTACAAGATGTTTGTGAGTATTCGTTCTAAAACAAAAGTCTAATGTTTGTGAGTATATTTTTATACACAAATATTTTTATGTACATACTTCATAGAAAAATATTATAGTCAAAAAGAAAAATCAGCATATTTTAGAGTTAACTAGATCTATCCTATTTCAACATCTTGTGCCAAACAATTTTGGGGTGTACTAATAGGCACATACCTTATCAACCATATGCCTTCTCAAACATTATGCTTCCATAGTCCAATAGATTCACTAGCTAATTTTTTTTCACAACACCAAACTAATATTAGAATAGAATTGAGAATATTTGGGTGTGTCACTTTTGTTAATAATAATACTTAAAGCAAAGTAAAACATGAAGGAAGATCAATTAAGTATATCTTTTTTGTCTATGTTATTAATTAAAAATGTTATAAATGTTACCATCCTCCTTTTAAAAAAAAAATTACTTCTATAGATACTATGTTATCAAAATTAATATCTCAATAATTCATTATCTGATGAATAACATATAGTCTATATAGATCATGGTGTTACACATAAATCTTCATTTACTCTATCCTCCACATGTGAATTTTTTATTCCTATTATAACTTTTGATCTATCTCATTCTATTTCAAATCCACTTCTTGACAATCATCGATTTAACAAAGTATACTCTATGAGATGTGAAATTCATGATTCACATAATAACTAAGATTTTGATGTTGTTTTAAAAAATATTCAGATATCTATCTCTCCATCACAAGATGATCAACCAAATATACATTATAATTCACTTTTAATTGTCTTGTGAAACTCATCAAAGAATGTACTAAAACTCCTCTATACCAAATAATTAATTTATTGTATTACCACTATTTTTCTTCATCTTATAAGTTGTTCCTTATCTCCTTAGATATTACTACTATTCTAAAAAATATCTTTGAAACTCTATCTAATTTGAAGTGAAAACAAGCAATGGATAATGAAATGAGTGTTTAGGAAAAATTAAACTTAAAATTTAGTAAAATTACCATCAAATAAGAAAATGATTGGTTGCAAATGGGTGTGTATAATCAAATACAACTTCGATGACTTGATTAAGAAATATAGCATCCGGATGGTGCCTAAAGAGTATACACAAATATACGGCATTGATTATCAGGAAACTTTGTCTTAATGATATTGTGGAAGAATTGTATATGACTTTACCACAAAGCTATGAGGGTCAACTCTCCTCTAATGTTGTCTACAAATTAAAGAAGTCTCTCCATAAATTAAAATAATCATCACGTGCAAGGTTTGGACAATTTACAAGCACCATAAAGAAATTAAAATATAAATAAAGTAATCATAATCATATGTTATGCTTTAAACACTCTCCTTTAGAAGAAGTCATGGTACTATTGGTCTATATTTGATGATATTATCATCATAGGGAATGATGAAGTAGAAGCATAGAACTTAAGCAAATGTAGAGTTTCAGAATTTCACATTAAGAGACGATTAAGATACTTTGTAGGAATCTAAGTGGCTCACTCTTCTAGAAGTATTTTCATCTCTCAAAGAAAGTATATAACATATTTGTTGATTGAAACATGAAAATCTGCATGTGAACCAACTACTACACTAATTGATCTACATCACAAATTATGTATGGCAGAGGGAGAAGTTCACATTGATTGTGAGATGTATCAATGGCTTATTAGTCACTAACTCTATATATGAGACTAACATACTCGATCAGATATCTTAAGTTAATTTATGTGTCAATCAAAAGAAACCCATTTATATGCACCTTATAGAGTTCTATATATTTGAAAGGCACACCTAACAAAAAAATCCTTTTTAAATGAAGTGAGGAGGTAAATGTTGAAATGTTTACATATGTTGATTATGCAAGGGCCAATGATTGACTGAAAATCAACTTGTTATTATCTCACATTTATTGGTGTTAATCTTGTTACATAGAGAAGTAAAAAACATAATATAGTAGTCCATTCAAGTATTGAAGCATGACTCAGGGAACTTGCTCAAGGAGTTTGTGAACTTCTTTGAGTGAAGGATTTACTTGATGAACAACATATCGTACTATCATGTCTTATGAAGATTTATTGTGACAACAAGTTAACAATTATTTTGCTATATAATCTAGTATAATATGATCCAAACATGTGAAGATTGAATAATAATTTATCAAAAAGAAACTTGAGGTGAAATGTGATTTGTATACCATACATAAAAATCAATTAGTAGATATGTTAACCAAAAGTGTATTGAGTACAAAGTTACAAGAGATTCTTCCCAAGCTAGTAATGGATGACATCCACTCACCAACTAGAGAGGGATTCTTATCGAAAGAACTAACTAAACCCTACATAGTTTTTATGTTGACGTATATATATCTTTATTTGTTTGCATTTATGTTAATAGTTTTAGAACTCACAAGGGTCTAATATAAATACTAGACCCTATTCCTCTTTGTATGATTTGATTATTTTTCATATCAATAAAATTTCTTTTCTCTTTGAGGGTGCACTAGAATCTACCACCACACCATATTAAGGATTGTACCTTCTACAGTTGGTTATTAAAAATGTTAACCAAAGTGTAACCTTATTTCTAGTGAATAAAGTTTTAAGGCTTTGGCCACCATTTTTGTGATCTTCTTGATTTTATTATGCTACTGCTATAAGAGACGACTAAATATTTAGAATCAAAAGAGATTAAATATTTGAGCATTAATTGACAATCTTTTAACTTACGGATTGACGGCCTAAATTTGTGTTCATTAAACCATCTCCTTTACAAAGAAATCTTAAGGAAGCATTAGAGAGTTATTATAGTTAGCCACTTCATGTAATCTTCCAATGCTAAACTTTTGCATTTCTAGGCCAATGACTTGTGTAAAGATACGTTATTTTTCTTTCCCCGGAGGAGGGAAGAAGAGCAGAATGAAACCATACAACAGAAAAATGCTAGTGTAGCTCTTCATAAAACAGCCATTTTCTAAAAATGAAACATAGTAGCCAGGTAGAAGTTTTCCGGCCACATTGGGCATTAAATGGAGTTATTCACAAGTTGTCAGCGCTTGAGGTTCTACTATTAACCGGACGCCTTCCCATAACAAAGAGCGAGTACAATATGTGAGACATGTCCCCAAAGAAAAATGAATATCTTGCAAAACATCATGGGCTACCAATGATCAATGATCAATATCTTGCAAAACCGGAAGCCTGGTTTTATGGAGGCACGTTGATGAAAAATGATCAATGTATAAGTAGAAAAACCATGTTTTTTGGGGGAAATTCGGAATGAACCAGCTTTCCTTGCATACTTCACGAAAGGCCACTAGTTTTAAGGATAAAAGTATCCAGAATCGAACCGTCAGGACAAATGAAGTCGACAAACTCTATGATTTCTTGAAAACAGTAAGTCAAAAAGGCTACCATCGATGTTAACCTTCATGCCCCAGTCACTCTCGCGCCGAGACACCTTTGAAGTTTGCCTAAATCATTCGATAAGAGCTGCCAGGTCCTCTACCACTGGGTGATGGCGGATCATATGAGAAAAACATTTTTTCTCATGTGGAAAGAGAAGGCCAACAGAGGAAACCCATCTGAACGAGGAGAAAAATATTAAAAACGACACTCCGCATTTCCACGAGTGAGGAGAGGCTGAGAACGACTGACTTCCCCGATCCTTCCGCCGCTGAAGGGCAAGTCAGGATCGGTGCTCTGTGCATCATCCTCCTCGTCTTAAACACCGCTGAGGACGGCAAGCAGTATAATTCAGACGGCACGGCACGGCACGGCACGGCATGGCACGGTAGAGAATAACAGGGGAGGGGAGGGGAGGGGAGGGAAGGGCCCTCTCCATAGGGATCCGAGGCTATAAAGCGTTTAGAACATTTCCCATTCATCTGCAACAAAAAAGCGCCCTACTTGAGACCAAATGTAAGCATAGAGCACTTCATAGGGACGGTTTCACTGCTGACTTCCCGAGTTGACGAGATCAGTCGACCATCCCATCGCAACAATGGTCAGTTCACCCTTCACAGGATGCGATTCAGAGCAGAGAGAGATATATCCAACACGTAAAGCACCTTCTCCTCCGAACAGAGGAGTCAGGAGCATTACACGGTATTAATTAAACACGATAATACTTGAGTCGCAAGAGGCTTATAAAGAATAATGCGGGGGCAGTGAAGGGAGGCATATAGTGGGAACATTGGCTGCGTTAATGGACACAAAGATGTACAAGGTCACGGGCAGATGGAGAAAAATCTCACGGAGATGAACTCACGGAGGGCCGTCGAACATGTACTGCTGCTGCCGCAATCGACGACCAGCCGTTTAAAGTGGGGGGAACGGCAAAGCCAATGAAGCGATCTCCGTCAGCAGCAAGAACCCGCGGAAGCGTCGGCCTGCGGCGGCTTCTGATTGAAGATGTTCTTCTTCGTACCCGCGGAGCCCTCAGCCAGGAGACTCGGGGTGTCTAATATCTGCATCACATGAAAGCCCGTGTCATTCGCCGGTGAAACAACAGATGGTTCAGAGGAATGCTTCATTGGAACAAAAAATTCCGATTTCTCACAGAACAGATAAGCGATGTATTTTTTTTCCGAGTACATGGTGGGTACCATGATTCGGTGCCGTGCCCCAGTGAGTGAGGACAATAGATAGTTTGGACGACAGGATGACAAAAGACGCAGAAACTTGAGTTAGGGGACTGAATCATCACCTATCGATTTCAACCGATGTAGGAGATCAAGAGAACTAGGCAGATCTGCGAACAGCAGTGTGGGAATTCGGAATATAATGGAGACGCTTCATAGGCTCTGGCCCTCACCTGGCTTCTCGAAAGGATGCTCTAGCTGAATGCCAGAAAATGATTTCAGTGCCAAGAAGGCACATGGCCACAACGAACTAAAGCTCTATCAGAGGAAGAACGGATATCGACCAGCATCCAGTGAAAGTGGGCTGGCACACAGTGGACCAGTGTGAAATTTTGGTCTCCAACATTTATTCTACCACGGCTCATCATCTCTTTGCCGCAGTTGAGTTTAGCACTTCGGCTCATGTAAACTCCCACGGAGGATTAATCCACACCGCAGTCTTAGAGTACATAAAGCATAGGTTTTTGGCTTCATTTCGCCAAATAGAACTGAGGTTATCCCAATCGATAAGATTAATAGTAATTTCAAGGCGCGACTAGCCTTCCACACTCATTAATCGAACGACTAGACTTTAATATGGAGCTTTCAGTTTTCTATTTTATTATTGCAAAACCGATTCTACCACCGAAGGTCAAAGAACTCAAATATGCATTCTACTCATGTCGCTGCTGCATTTTTCCCCTCCTCAGACCACTCCATCACTTAGTCGACAATAGTAGGCAACAGCCTCTGAACATATTATTCTCACAACCATGTCACTTGGCAAGCAAATTTTTATGAGCGGAACCGGGAAAAATGAATGGTGGATGGGATATTGAAGTGAACAAAGGAAACAGAAAAAGTACACGCGGGATTGATTTCTTGTTTATTACAATAAAAGGACCCCACTTAAAATCTCATATCAGGAGGTGATAAAAATTAAAGACATTGGCAGAATAGGTGTTGATGGACAAGGATCAACCAAGATGAAATAAAAGGAGACATGTCATCATGACTTATAGGAAGACAGTGAAAGAAAGCTCTTCCATCAGCCTAAACAACTAATCAAATGAACAGTAATCGATGCAAGCACTAGTGCCAAATTATGAAAAGTAAGATTGTTATAAGGAAGTCATCTTGAAGATTGGTGCAAGAAAATGCATATTTAACAAGAATATCAACTAACAATGATAGAGCAATTAAAAAAAAGTATTACTACAAGTAATACCTTCAAAACTAGTTCTTCAAAACACTGCTCCACGTTAACGCGAGTTTTTGCACTACATTCTAGGAAAAGACATCCATATTTCCTGGCAAACTCAATTCCTTCTTTCTTTGTGACAACTCTTTCACTCTCCTGATAAAATGTCAAAACAGACGTTTGCCACACCATTAGAATCATTCTCCAATGAGAGAAATATAACCCAACTTTTTCTCTATGAAGAAAAATAGCATCTGCAGATGTTGGCAACTTTGTACGTAACTTCTCCCATTTCCATAATAATATGCAACATTCTGACAACCAAATTGATGTTCAATTAAATGCCTAAAAGTAAAGAATAACAGAAGTACAACTAGGCACACCTTGTCCACTTTGTTCCCAACAAGCATTTTGATGCAATCTTGATTTGTAGAATACAGGTCTATCTCCTTTGCCCATATATCAGAAAGGTTTGTGAATGTATCTCGTCGCGTAACATCGTAAACTGGAAAATGTAACACCAAGATTAGACACCGACAGAATCACAATCGTAATCCGCACTAACACTCACCCAGAAAAAAAGTCATACGAAAAAGACCATTCACCGAGAGAGCATTAGAATGACTGAACTGCTAAACGAAAAAGAAAAACGACAATATCAGTCCACACATCCCAGGCTACATTGCCAAATGCAAAACCAAATTGAAGGCTCATAAAAAAAAATTACAATACGAGTTCAATATCAGCTTATTTACTCAGACAACAGTTACGCCATTTCTTGTGAAGCAATTTTACACAGGGATTCTTCGGACATCATTATAAAAATCCTTTTCCCATTTCTCTCCCTTTTTGAGATGAAAAATCAGTTCATAATATGAATGATCCAGGCAAAGATGACTAATTCCACCAGGAGCAATGCAGTTCAACAAAAATATGGATGTCTCAACAGATGACAACATGCATGTTTCTTGTGGATCAACAATGTCTATTTCTTTTTATCTCAAATGATGCTTGATATTTTTTCTTAAGGGCCGCTAATCTCATATTAAGACTGGGGGAGATCAGCTATAAAACCAACTAATCTCTCCAAAACCAGCCAAGTGGGGGTTGCCGATTCCAAATGCTATGCCTCCTCGAGAGAGTAAAGGATGCAATAATCGGTGTCTCAAAAAAATTCTTTTACAACCACATGACCCAGGGGACTAAGTATTCAATCAAAATAAGAGTACAGGACTCTTGCTGATTCCGAGGATCAGAATCTAGTTCCATCTGAACTGTATTATGCAGAACGAGTCAGGATGGATATTCAGCACTAAGAGGATCCCCGGATCAATGTTTAAGCATCTGCCAACACAAAGAAAGACAAATCACGAAAATTGACAACTTTTTCCGATCAGAGAGGAAAAAATGAATAATGGTTCATGTTAATATTAATCGTCATCCCTTCAGAAATCCCTTGTCAGTCACCTCAATGTGTAACCTATTTGGGATGGAATAGGACCGAGAGCCCTTGGGTGGTGTTTATCGTCTGCACTCCTTAAATAGAAAAAGTCGTGTAATTTATTTGACTGTCATCATTCGTGCGCCTATTCCTTTTATGGATGTCAATGACAAACCCGTTAGAGCAGATAATCCAAATAAGGGCAGTACATCTAGGATCAAAATATTGCCATTCCCATGCCCGCTGTTTGAATCTACCCACATGACACGTCATTGTGGGCAAAAACAATGCAAGGCACAAGTTAAGAACCTCTTGGGACATACTAAATGGATAGTACAGCATGGCATAATTCCAATATTCTATAAAGCTTACAACTTGTTGTCTATCTGCGTTCTCGGGTTTGCTTTCTTTTCCTGCCATCAAAGGCATGCGAAATTTCCACTCATCTCTCAGGCTGCGTCAAGTTTTTAGCCCCTGCCAGAGTTTCTTATTGCAGAAGAAATGCTTATGCTTAGTGGGGGTCTCACGATATTATTTCAGGATTGTTTAGTAGACAGCAAGCGAGCAGCAAGCGTAGGCAACCCTAGTTTAAATAAGTTTGGATAGTAAGCACAGGTATGTGTGAATTCGATGATATGGGAGCCCCATCTAAAGTTTATCGGTGATGGTCCCCACACAGTGTTCCCATTTGGGAATTCAGTGTTTCATTGTGAAGGAGGGTTTCACATCACTGCGTAAAAAGTCTGTCTTAGCAATCAGCCACGTTACATTAGACAAAAGATAATGTCTAAATTTTGTCACGGAAAAATGCAAAGATAGGCATAAGTTATCGATGGATGAATATTTCCTCTTATGGGGATGTAAAATGCACAACTTCGTGGCATGTGTTGCAAAGATCTAGATACAGAATGAGTTAAGAGGCAGGGAAAAACGTAAATGTAAATGCAAAATGCAAAAGTGCAGTGTACGGTCAACAAAATCAGCAATACCCAATGCATCACAAACTTCTTCCATGATAACTTTGTGTTGCCAGCTTTAGTAAAAGACATTGAAAAATAAATAAATAAACAGATGTAAGCATCTAGCAGGAGAGTAAACGATGACAGAACGAATTGAAAATAAGAAAAGCAAATACCCATTATAACTCCTTGAGCCCCTCTGTAGTACGAGCTTGTTAATGTTCTGAATCTTTCCTGTCCAGCTGCAAGACAGCATAACTTTTGTGTTAAACCTCTGCTGGTATCCATCTTCCACCTCTAGCAATGAGTATATAATGTTAACCTCATAGAGATCAACAGAGGAGAAATGTTGATTGCCTTTCCTTTGCAGGAAGCAATCTACACAATTGAATATCCGATTATATTTTACTAAAATGAGAATCACTAACATCTAAGTCGTCGCTGAACGAGTAAGTCTCGATGTGGGTGCAAGAAAATAACATAAAAATCAGTACGATCCCAATCATTTGAAAAAAAAATTAAGAACAAGAAAGGGAGGAAACATTTCAAAGAGGTAAATTTCTAAAGAAATCTACAGTACACAGTTGCTAATTTCAACAGAGACGTTGACATGGATAATAATCACCTGTATCCCAGATTGCAAGCTTTAATTTCTTCCCACCAACTGTTACTATCTTCACTTTGAAGTCCACACCTGTAAGATGACAAAAAGAGACTGACGATTCTTTTTTTCGTAGAGACCTACGACTATTGGAATGAAGATACCTCAAATTCAAACATGCATTACTAGCGAGAAAAACAAAGATAAATGCTTTTCAAGAATGAGGCCGACGAACATGGTTGGGTAGCATCGTGTGATTGCGAGAGGTGCGGATTATACGAAAGAGATACGCAGAAGCGCAAAAAACGCAGGTCCAATTGTAACCAAATTCTTCCTACATACCAATTGTAGGGGATAGATCTTCAAAGGTGTTGGACGTGAAACTCAATAGTAAACTACTCTTCCCCACTCCCGAGTCTCCGATCAGCAACAGCTTGAACAAGTAATCGAACTCGGACTGATTTGAGGATGACGAATTCATCTCAGCGAGACCTGTGCTGCGAGAAATCACTGTCATCGGAAGAAAAGTTCTATCCCGTCAGCACAGACCTAGAAAGAGTCATCCAGCTTCGTGGAACCGAGGGGAGCACGTCAATCCAACCTGTCGACGGTCACAACAACGATCAACGCGGATTTTCCTGAGGAGCCGAGATGTGAAGGGATCTGGCGTTCTTCCTCGAGTGAAAGGGAAACCGACGATAGAAAAGGGGGGCGGTGGGGGGAGAGGGCAAAAAGAAAAAAGAGAGCATAGTCGGTAAGAGATGCTTGAAAGAGAGAACGGTCCATTGCCTCATTCCGGGCCCACCTCCTTGGGCCCACACACCGTCCACCGCGGATGAAGCCCGAAGGCTCACCGAAGGGACCCCAGAGAACGTATTCTTGCTCAATGCCGCCATCACCTTTATATAATTTTATATTAAGCCTATTAGAGTTTTAATTGTATAGGTCCGGAATGGGCACATAGTTTCGTGACCAGGGTACCAAATAAAGACCAGGAATAAAAATGGGAACTTGCCTCTCCTCTCGGTGGTTGAAAGAGCCGCCAATTCACGAAGATACGGTTTTTTATCTTATTTTACACGTCATTATTATTAAATAGGGTATTTTTTAAGTCGATATCAGTTATAAATGTATTTTTATGCCATATATATATATATATTAAGGCACGTCGGCCGCGCTGGAACCCACGTTTTTCTGGCGTAAAGTCAAGTCCTGAAACGAACCCGATGGTTTGGATTCTTCCCTCAAAAGTCAACGGTGCCTCTTTTTGTTTTAATTTAAAAACACACCGATGCGATGCCTTCCTTGTCGCCTCCGAAGTCGAGTTTTCGTTTCCAGCTTCTGAAATTGATATTTTCTTCGGCACTTGCTTTACTTTCAGCTCCTCACAACCCTCGGACATCTTTGCGTCGAGCAAGGTTTTACGGTAGGTGGGATCCATGCAGAGGACCGAACCAGGTCAACGCGGTGAAGGGCACAGACCACGCGTAGACGACGGACGAAGGAGAAGAAGAAGAAGAATATCTCCTGGTTCTGGATCTAGGGAATACGAATTAATGGCAGAAGAGGGGAGAGAGCATCTACAGAGGGAGGTCAGATGTCGAACTGCTGGAGCTGGACGTCCCTCCCCTTGAGAGGGGTGTACTCGCCGAGGTAGACCTCCAGGTGATCGGCGAGGGACGACTTGTCGATGCTCTCGTGGTGGAAGGACTTGCAGACGAAGTAGACGATTGTCTGCACGACGAGCGCCGCCAGGACCAGGAGAGACATCAGCGACAGGAGCAGCGCGGAATAGCCGATCCTGCTCAAGACGCCCGGGGCCCGTCCGTGCGCTACCAGCTGGCTGAAGGAGACCTCGATGGCGAAGAAGGAGAGGTGGAAGAAGAGGAAGATGCCGCTGGCAACCCACGCCTTCCCCTGAATCAGCGCCTTGCTCTTCTGCATCGCCGCCAGCCCATTGGTGTCTTCCAGCACAGAGATGACGCTGGCCAGGTGCCAAATCACGCTGATGTAAACCAGGCCGGCGAGGTAGGCGGGGATGTAGAATACCAGGGCGGCGATGCCGCCTCCGCCGGTCCCGACGAGGAGGAGGGCGAGGACCAGGAGGAGGAAGGAGAAGGTGTTGTAGGCGAAGAGGATGGCGAAGCTCCAGAGGAAGGTGACCAGGAGGCGGCGCCATACCTTGGGGACGACGGTGAGGACCTTGCGGAAGGTCACCTCCTTGGCGGTATAGACGCAGGCCACGGTGTAGACAACGGCGGAGGTGGAGAGGAGGGAGAGGACGAGGACGAGGACGAGGTAGGCGGCCTTGAAGGCCACGTAGGAGGTCCACTCGGAGGCGAGGCGGTTGAGAAGTCTGTCTTCGGTGCGGCTGCCGACGGGGGCGTCCTCGAGGGCCTGCTCATTGTGGTTGATCTTGGAGAATATGAGATCGGAGATCTCGATGTGGAGGAGGAAGATCAAGGAAAGCGGGAGCACGAGCCACAGGGCGATGCCGGAGAAGATCTTCCTCCACGACAGCAGTATCTTCTGGGCCTCCCTGAAGATGCCCACAATCCCCAGGAACTGCAGCTCCTCCGGCTCCGTATCCATGCTCCCCTCAATCCGATCTGCTTGTGCGTCCCTCTGCTCGCCCCTGGTAGGCCGAAGGAGGAGACGGAGGAAGAAGAAGAAGAAAAGAAGAAGAGAGACAGGAACAAAGGAGGACCGGCCGCCTCTGGTTCATATTCTATAAGCCGCGGGACTAGAAGATTACGCGGAGAGGCGTAGACTCCGCGCTCCATTCAGGAAGAGATCACCGCCTTTCGTTCCACCGACGGCGGTGACCACAGCCGATCGCCATCGACGGCAGCCACGTGGTTTCCGGAGGTTGACTGGCCCTCGCGAAGCTTCAGACGAAGACACAGGAGGAATTCAGGTATTGTGTCGTCACGGGACCCATGTGACGCCGGCGAGAGGAGAACGACCGCTCAGATCGGACGGAAGAGAAGGAAGGAGATAGCCGAAGAGATGGACTTCCATCTTCAGGACGTCGACGGCCGAGCGCCTGATACCGACCTTGGCGACTCCGGCCGCCCATCCCCACATTCATACGCCACAGCGAAGGAGGCCAGAAATGGCGTTGGGATTTCAAAGAGGGGAAATCCGGCCGGCGACTGGTCTTGCAGACCGTGCATTAGGATTTCCCCCTCTGTAAATGGTGGTCGCAGCTGCAATGGTGAGGAACAGACGAAGGTACCTACACGCAGTAGGAGATTCGCGCCGTCGGTAATGTAGTCCTCTTGAAGATCAGGGCCCGCTCTCCTCATCCGCCGTTGCGAATAAGTCGGCGGCCTCCCTTCCCCCTTCCATGGAGTAGAGAAGAGGGGATGTCCTCTCGCCGCCTCCTCATTTGCGTGTGGCTCGCAGGAGCTTCGAACTCCGGTGCAGCGGCGCCGCCGGTGGATGCGGGGAGCTGCCTGATGAGGGAAGGAGATGGAGGACGAGGAGCTTCCTTCACCGACGATGGTGAAGCCCGTGAGAGAGAGAGAGAGAGAGAGAGAGAGTAACACAAGCCCTAATGGCTTATCGTCGTTAAACCCGATCCGTATACAACAACCTTCCTATTTTCCGATCATTTTGATATCTCGTTCATGGTTACGGCATTGACCGATCCCGGCCCTCCGCGATGACCATCCAATTATTAAGATTCCTCATGGTAATTATAATAATATCTCGTATCAAATCGTTATCGAGGACGATCCAGCCAGCCGCTCGACCGGGCCCACCCAGGCCTGTGACGCGGACTGGGGAGCGAACCCCGTGAAGCGTGGCGAAGCTACCAGCGCGCGCTGGCTCGCGGAGTACGCGTTAAGTGATAGGGATTTCAGAGTTACGGGCCGCTTGATGATGTTTGGGACGGTGCTGATTGCGGGAGGAGGGTGATCTAACGTGTTCCGCAGATAACCGAGGTGCGTCTCCGCCGGCTGGCGATATACTACTACTACGACCCCCGGGGGATCCTTCCCTCGAGCCTTCATGGAACATGGAAGCAGAGAAACCATGGCTAGGCATCGTCGGCGCTGTGTGGGGCAGCGTCACGAGGCCCACGGCGGTGATTTTGCTGTTCGCGGCGGCGCTGCTGGGGCTTTCTTGGCTCCAGACGACGAGGGATGTATCGATTCTGTCGCCGGCGGCGACCGCAACGGGCGTCTCTGGCGGTCTCCAAGCGGCGGGGGACGCTGGAAGCTGTTCGGGGTTCTACCGGCCACAGCCCGCGAGGAAGGTGGTCATGTCGGTCGCTGAGTTCGGTGGCGTGGGTGACGGCAAGACCTCGAACACGGGGGCCTTCCGACTAGCGGTGGAGCACCTCGAGCGGTTTGCCGGCGAGGGTGGGGCGCAGTTGAATGTCCCCCGGGGAGAATGGCTCACGGGAAGCTTCAACCTCACCAGCAACTTCACTCTCTTCTTGGAGGAGGGCGCCGTCATACTGGGTTCACAGGTGCGGATCAATCCAATTCAAAGTCATCTGTTCTTGTCCTGGCGTGGGTCGCCGGGGGAGAGGGGGGGGGGTGGGGGCGGTGAGGGGGGAGATACAATTGAAATAGGGAATGGTTTTTTATTGGAAAATCGATCTCGACGCCAAGAATTGGCTTCGAGAATCCCTGGGTTCTGCAACATCACGGGCAATTGGATGGGTTCGGAGTTCCCTTTTTCATGAATTCGCTCTCCCATCATCCGTGATCTCTCTTCCGTTAGGAAAGGCTGTTCACGAGCAGAGAACTTGTCCTCCAAGAACAGAATCGACCACCGACGTATCTCTTCCACATCCTCCCTTCTTCCCCGTTATCTTTTCCCTTCAATCCAAACTATGGCGATTGGAGGGTATGGCATGACGGCGGCGTTGACCCTGATCGCAGGATCCGAAGGAATGGCCGATTATAGAAGCTCTGCCCTCATATGGCCGCGGGAGGGAGAGACCCGGCGGCCGACACATTAGCCTCGTGCACGCCGACGGGGTCAGCAACGTTGTCATAACAGGTACTCCAAGGTCAATCATCTTCAGTTTTCTTTGCTGCCCCGCTATTTTTTCTAATCAAACGGCAGCGCGCACTTAATCTCCATCGTATCGCAGCATTGGGGAAAGTCCACCGCAGTTCTTAAGGGTATCTGACAGAATATTAATGCCGCCAGCCTGCGTGATGCCGATCGCCCATTTAATTAGTCGGGTTTGTCTTGTCACCTATCGTGCGCAGAAAGCAGTGCTTTTTCTCCGTCTGTGGACCCTCCGGATCGACCCGTTAGATCTTCGAGTTTGCTGTATATTAATTATTACTGCAATTTTTTTGTGCTGGGTGGATTTCGATCAGTAATCGGGGGTTTAGCGAGCATAAATTAATGTGTTCTAGCCCCGGATTCGCGCTTGCTGATTTCCTTGCTCAATCACATTATGGTTGACTTTTTTATGTTTCGGGTGTCGTGCGTCATCTAGTGTCGGTTTTTTCTGCGAGTAGTAAAGTTCGAAGAATTTATGAGATGAAGATGAGAACAGCTGTAGAACAGTGCGGTTGCTTCTTCTGGACGGAATTTGTTGAAGGGGCGTCGTGAACTGGCCGCAGGGCAGAACGGGAGCATAGACGGGCAGGGGAGGATGTGGTGGGAGCTATGGAGGAACAGAACACTGGACCACACCAGGGGGCACCTCCTCGAGCTGATGAACTCCGACAACGTCCTCATCTCCAATGTCACCTTCCTCAACTCCCCCTTCTGGACGATCCACCCCGTCTACTGCAGGTCCCTGCTCCCCGCCGCCTCTTCAATGTCGATTATCTGCAGTCGTTCGGAGTGGACTAGGGAGTGAATTGAATCCCTCTCTCTCTCTCTCTCTCTCTCTCTCTCTCTCTCTCTCTCTCTCTCTCTCTGTCTTCTGCAGCAACGTGGTGATCAAAGATGTGACCGTGCTGGCGCCCCTCGACTCCCCGAACACCGACGGGATCGACCCTGGTAAGTGATTCATCGATTCCATCCGGCATATGATCAGTTCTGCAGATTCAAGCTCATCGTCGTCTTCCTCGGCTTACCTGTCGCAGACTCGAGCTCTCACGTCTGCATCGAGGACTGCTACATAGAGAGCGGCGACGACCTGGTGGCCGTGAAGAGCGGGTGGGATCACTACGGCATGGCGGTGGGTCGACCCAGCTCCGACATCGTCATCCGCAGGGTCTCAGGGACGACGCCCACCTGCTCCGGCGTCGGAATCGGCAGCGAGATGTCCGGCGGGATAAGCAACGTCCTGGTGGAAGCCCTCCATGTCTGGGACTCTGCCGCCGCCGTCAGGTTGAAGACCGATAGGGGACGAGGGGGATACATCGCCAACGTGACCATCACCAACGTCACCATGGAGAGGGTGAAGATTCCGATCAGGTTCAGCAGGGGAGCCAACGACCACCCCGACGAGGCCTGGGACGCGGCGGCGCTGCCCAGAGTCACCGGCATCTCTATCAGCAACGTCGTCGGCGTGGACGTGCGCCGGCCACCGCTGCTGGAGGGCGTAGAAGGGGCGGGCTATGACAACATCTGCCTGAGCAATGTGAACTTGCAAGGAGTGGCGCCGACGGCGGCGTGGCGCTGCGAGTTCGTCTCCGGGGACGCTAGCGGGGTTTTCCCCATCCCTTGCCCGCAGCTCCGCAACAGCTCGTCCCGCTGCATCTTCTGAGTGATTCTTCCGGGCAGGAAGAAGAATGAACTGGGCGAGCTCGGAGACGAAGATAGAGGCCGGGGGTGTACAGAAGATGGATTATTTGCAGAAGCCGGAAGTCGGCCTGTTGATAGAGGAGCGACGAGGAGGAATACATACACAGAAGAATACGCCATCCTTCTAAAGGGAAAAAAGAAAAAGGAATACCCAGTAGATTTAATACTTGGAACAGGTATTATTATTTAATTATTTTCAAATAAATCTGAATTGATGTTATGTATTTCATGGGCTCGCAAAAAAAAAAAGAAGCCTTTTTTGTCGGAGCGGATATGTTCTGTGATTATGAGGAGAAAATCGGAAATAAGAGTTCTTGGGGTCTCTTCTTCCTGAAGCTTTCCAAGGATTCGCTACGGGGGGGAGGGAAAAGAGAAACAGAAGCCGGCGACCATGCAGCAGATTTCTTCCATTCAAACTCGAATTGTTCCCGCTGATGAGCGTCGAATCCATACACAACATACAGGAGAGGGAGAGTGGGAACGGGAGTGGAAACGAGAACTCTGTTAAATGAGACATCGATTCAGGCACATAGTGCGGGGAGGCGAGACCGGCGGCTGGCCGCTTCACCATTTCCAGAAGACGTTGGAGCCGCACTTGTACTTGTCTTTGCCTTCGCACTCGATTTCGAGGTCGTCGGAGATGAAGGGTACTTTCTGCATTGACCAGAGAGAGAGAGAAGGGAGAGATCAGGGCGACTGTCATCGAAAATGGGGGGTTGAAGAAGGTAGTCGGAAGTTAAAAGTATTGGTTGAACCTTCTGCTTGGCCAGATCTTGGCAGCCGGTGAAGTTCTCAGGGAACTTGCAGCTACCGAACTCCACGGTGAAGGCGCGGGCGAAGTTGGCCCCGCTCGTTGCCAGCCTCTTCTTGTCGTTCAGCTCCTGCAATCCATGGTTGTGAGAGCTTGTCTCCACGGAGAGGAAGGGGAAAGGGGGGAGACGGACCTTGTTGGCCTTGCTTTTCTCGAGATATTCGTCGATGATGCCGGCGTTGGCGGGGGAGGAGTTGGCGGCGGTGGCGGTGAAGACAGCGGCGGCGAGGCCCAGGAGGGCGGCTCTCCTCCCCTCGCGCTCCTTCGACTCTACGGGGCGAGTCTGCTGGGCGCGGATCGCCGGCAGCTTGGGGCCGGAGGAGGCGCTGGCCGGCGCCGCCGACGGGGCAGCGGCGAGCTTCCAGCTCGCGTCGGAGGCCCCCGAGAGGGCGTAGCTGCAAGCCAGCACGCTGGAGTTCATCGTCGCCATGGGTTCTCCGCTCTGCTGATGGCCGGTGGCGGAGGAGAGGCTTCAGTTAAGATGGGGAGATCAGTTAGGGAAGAGAGGGGAAGGCTGCGCTGGGAGTGTGGTATCTGTAAGCGTGCCCGATGAGGTGGGAAGGAAACCATGGCCGGCGCGCTCCGAGGTTGTGGTGTGGGTGTGGATAGGGTTGGATTGCCCGGCGGCTATTGGCAGGTGACTTATTTTTGTGGGGCCCTCAAAATCCCCATCTCCCCTCCCCGCCGGCATATGGCCCAGATTGTGCGAAACAGGCATATTTCCCGGCTTTGGTCAACGAGCTGATCGAGAAATTGCCGCACAAAAATGCCATCCGAGGAAAATCAAACCAGGGGAATACTAAATTTGCAAAAAAAAGAACTTGATCAAGAACCAAAAATGGGCAACCAGCCGAGAAGTCAATCGGATTCCCTCGAGGTTCGATTCGATTCTAACCTTGCTTACACCCTCACGTCGGAGTTATCTTTCAATGGGGCGAAGCGGGCTTCGAGCTGGAACCAGTAGTCCAGGTCGACCAGCTTGTTGAACTCCTCGAAGGTGGCGAGCTTGTGGAACTCGCCTTTGGTGGTGCCTTCTTCCTTGAGGGTCTTCAGGACGTCAGTTATGGCGCGAGCCGCGGCGTAGAGGACCTCAGAGGATACACGATCAGGTGGAAGCCCATGGTTCTCAGGTCCTGCGGCGTGTGCAGGGGAGTGATCCCCCATTCGATCATGTTGCAGACCCTGAGGCCATTTGTTCTGCGCCCGATCTCCTAGAGCTCATCGTCGCTCCTCGGTGCTTCTACAAAGCATGCATCTGCTCCTGCCTGCGCGCACACAGATGCAAAGGAAAATCGGAACTTCGAAGCAGACGATGCAGATAGGCGATGGGTAATAGAAGGCGCATCCTCCGACGGGATACTAGTAATTGATCGTCAGTAATCTTATGAACTGAAGGAATCGGCAAAATAGATAGTCAAACTGTTTATCTTGAGGGTCCACCAGGCTGATGCCACTGAAATGATCATCGGTAATGATATAAAGAGAAGATCTCCACGGATAAATGCAAAACTAAACAGCTGACTTCAAGTAATTGTTTCAGATAAATCTGTGGAGAAGATCCATTCGTTGGATGTGATACCTCCATGTACAGGTTGGCTCGTGCAATGGCCTCTGAGAGACATGTCTTAGCCGAAGTCGCACGAGCATCGGTTCGGGCAACAAGGAAAAAGTCAGCGTCCCCAATGACATCCCTTGCAGCTGCTATTTTAGCAGCATGTTCCTCAGCTGGTATCACCTTAATCAGGGAATTTTTCGTCAAATAACAAACATAATCTATACAGAGATATCATCAAGAAAATTAGCCATTGCTGATGATTCTGACTCAGTTTGCCAATTTTGTTAGAAAAAAGAAGCAAATATCAATTTAAATTCAAGATTAGATGATAAGATTTCCACATCCAATCTTGACAAGGTTAGGAGAGAAAGGTACCTGTATGCCACGCATATGCCCTTGTTGAATGGAGAAAACAAGAAAAGGTTAGGAACTTTTTATTACTGTGAAAATAAATTTAAATGATTAAACACGTAGAACGGTGATGCTAACCGCATTTCTTTGGCCAAGCTTGATCCTGTAACAAGCGCAAGACTGACTAAGGAAAAGGCATGGGGAAAAACCAAAAGAGCATCAAGACTAGACTAAAGAGGGAACCTCGACGCTGCTGGTACCTCCGGAAAGCAACCAGCAGCGCCAGCAGCAATCAAGTCCTGGACAGTTCTCTGCACATTGAGAGCATTGCCTCCGCCAGTATCTGGGAAATGTTAACAGGGGCTTTAATAAGCATTGAGCTTGATTGAGATTCAATGCGAGCCCAAAAAGATAATTCAGTCAGTGTCTCTAACATAAAGCGGTCAGTGCGGATGTAAAGAAGAAAGAAAGATCCTGCTGATGGGATGCCATACATGGTCGCTTGGTGTCAGCTTATGCGCGATAAGGAATGAAAAACTTTGACTAAATCTTGTCCAACTTGCCAAGAATATACTCTGCTTTGTAAGTGATCCGCTTTATTTCTGTTCTAAGCAATTTTTCGTACAGTTAATTTGGTGATTACGGATTATAGTAGAAGTTACGTTATATTTTCAGTAAAGAAAAATTGCTTATGTGAATTGGTACTGTCTGTATGCCCCTCTATTTCAATTACTGAATCTATACACTTGAAATGTTCTTTTTGAGAAGATTGTGTGTTCTCCAATTGGACAGGACTTTCATTTTTATTTCTTTTATTGTCTTTTCACTGATATTGCACCTGGCACATCAATCTTAATAAATTGAAAACCCTCAAATTCTAATGTCGTTTTATCATATTTTTAAATATTTCCACATCAAAGGTATCTAAGATTGTCATCTGCCGTTTGACAAAGATCATGTGATAGAATATAGTTATATTATCAAAGAAAGTAGGGTGACATAGGTGGTGTGCATACCGGATCATTTATGTGGCGCATAAAAAAAACCATAGAAAACCATTATCTTTTCATTGGACTCCCTTGACTATACTTCTACATTCTCCCGAATTTTCAGCTCGCACTTGATACTTCATTCTGTAATGATCATCAAAGGTATCTAAGAACACGAGCAAAAAATCCTCACCATCTTCGAAGAATTGGAAAATAACGCTGGAATAAAATAAGGGTTTATCTTGTGCACAAGATGTTTTCAATTTGTTTCGAACCTAACACTTTTTTCTGATTCAACACAGAATTTAAATATGTTTGCACCTTAGACTAAATTTCACTATCTTCTAATCGATTATTGCAAACCACCCCATGGGGAAACATCATGCAATATCCTCATCTGAACCATAAACCCTAAAGTTCGAATGGACGTCCCTATGATATTCATCATCAAGATCACCGAGGCTGAGAAGTAAGAAATGGCCTGGGGTTGGTAAGTGCATCTCTTCTTACACCGCCAAACAGCACAGCAGAAAGTTAAAAGGAACTCGAAGAAAAATTATTTGGCAAGAAAGTCCAGGTTTCGGCTTCCGTCAAACATTGCATCGGGAAATAAGCACCGAAACTCGAACCAGGAAAGGAAAGAGATGATAGGATCGTACCAGCACCGGCGATGAGAGGAATACGCGTCGCTGCACTGCACACGTTCCGCGCTGTCTCCGCCATCTCCGGTGGGCTACCATTTTGTCCAAACAATTATTCACTTAAACATCATGAATCAGAAAAACGGAGAAGAGTGTAACGAGCCGAAACAAGGAAATACAGAACCAGAACGGACGTTAGGAGGCCAATGTCGGGCTTGCCGAGCAGAGATGCGGAGAGGGCGTATCCCGATATGAAACCTGCGCTGAAACCCGCGCTGAACCCCGACCTCTCCACGACGGCGGCCGTCAGCGCGTCGTAGCATCCGGGCATCAGCACCGTGATGAGATACTCTCGTCAACACCACTCCCGAGTCGACGGCGATCTTGAACGTCAAACCCAAATATAACACAGGGACTCGAAAGCAGAAACGGTACCACAGAAGACGAGGGAACCGAATACCAAGCAACCAAGCGGGGTCTATATAAGGATAGAGTCTCACCCGCTCAAAGGGTCCCTGGAGCCTGATAGCCTCTACGGATCGTTATCCCCTCTTCCCTTTTTCCCGCTGTCGTCCCGGGACGCGGGTAGCCCTCTCGTCCTTTTCCTTCATTCGGCTATCTTCCATCCAAGCTCTCGTCAGATAGGGGAACCGATCAGATTGGTCTCAGGGCCAATGACTCCCAAGCTCTCATCCACCGACGCCCAAGAGGAACGACGTGCCCGCCCCCAATCGCCTTGAAGCTTGACATCTCCGAGCTCCGTCGGACCATCGCCGCAATAGACGAAGGCCATCGCCGCAGCATCATGACCCTCGAAGAATCGTCTGGTGCTCATACTGCAGCGGCTCGACAACCTCCGCCACACCTCGTCCCGACAGCACCGTGCCAAAGGTCCTCTTGGCCCCGTTGCTGACTGGACACCCGGAGAATCCAGTCAAGGCCCATCCCCAGCAACCAACGGCGACAGTGACGACACGGAGCCGGGCGACTGGCCTACAGCCCCCGCGGATCTTTTCCGCCCCGGAGAGACCACTGAACCATTGCATGGCGAGCGTCGACAAGAACTGCCGCTATTCAGCGGCCAGGATGCGGAGGGATGGGTTTTTCGTTGGGACAGAGAGAGAGAGAAACCACGCTTGATTATATCTTTTGAGCGGGTGAGACTATATCCTTTTCTTTCTTTCGTATCCCTCTGATCCTTATATAGACTCGATTGATTACTTGGTATTCCGCCTCCCTCGTCGTCTTCTGTGGTGCCGTTTCTTATAAATCCCTGTGTTATCATTCGGGTTGACGTTCAAGATCACCGTCGACTCGGGAGTGGTGTTGATGGTGACGTTTCTGCTTTCGAGTCCTTGTTTTATCTTTCGGGTTGATATTCAAGATCGCCGTCGACTCGGGAGTGGTGTTGATGAGAGTATCTCATCACACCGCCCCTTCGTCCTCGATCAGGCGGTGGATGCGCGGAACCGCTAATCCCGCTCCGGCCATCGTCGCCACCATCGCCGACGCCATCGGCACCTCCGCCAGCAGTCGCAGAACCCAGCGGCAGCGGCAGCGGCAGCAGAGGTGGTGCTATCACTCTCCGAGCTATTCACCCTCCCTCTCCCGCCGGAAAGATAAGAAATAGACACCCAGCCGGGCCTCCATTAGGCCAATTGTGGCTTGGAGCATTTCACACAAAGGACAAAAGCCCATCAAAACAGTGACATTATCAATAAATGAGCGATTAATGGGCCATCCTAGTCAAACTCATTTCACGATACCCGGGAATTGACATTTTTGAGTAATCGGCATGCGACTATTCATCCACGATGTCGATGAACTGAGCAAGCTCTTTGGGTTTTTTTGTCTCACAGTCGGGGCTTAAGAGAAGATCGAGTCAGGGTATTTACCTTCGGGGTTGGGTCTGCAACTCCCTCTCTCTCTCTCTTTGTGCGAGAGCAAGGGGGCATCTTGAGGGTGGTTTCGAGCCCAAGCTTCGTAAAGGCTCATTCCAGAGGTCGTAACCTTCAGGATGGGCTCTGAAAAGAAGAAGCGAGGGGAATGAAGTTCGAAAGCCGGCATTCATTTGCGCAGTTCCTGTCGAGTTTGGGCGGCATCGAAGCTGAGGAGTGGAGCATCAGGACCCATTGCGGCGATCATCTCCCACTCGATGGGAATCCCCCAGTTGTGGGATCAAAGACTCGGCTTCCTACTCAAGAGGTGAGCCCACGCCGAGGAAGTCTATAAAGGGGATCTTTTCGTGATTCAAGAGTTCATCTGTCCGTTCTTTCTCCTTGTTTTCACCGACGAATGGTTCTGTTCTCTTCTTCCCCTGAAGGGCAAGGCCACTCCTGTAGACACCGTAGACCGGAGAGCTGCAGAAGGAACGTCTGAGCGGCTGTCCATGGCAGTGAGAGATCTCCAGCACGCCGTAGCCGGCCATCCAGTTCCGGTGGCGTCTTTCCTCTTTGGGGGCGGCGACGCAGGAGAAATCCCCCGACTGAGACGAGCTCGAGGTTGGTGAACCGAGAGATTTGGACGACTGGTTTTTGAAGGCGGGTGATCTGCCGGCTTCGCGTCCCTTGCCGACGGCCCTGGTCTGCACACGCCGCATTCTGGCGTTGATTACGTGCCAGTGGTTCTTCAGAGCGTTGTCCGTTCTGCCGGGGAAGAGCCGCGTAATCAGAGCCCACCTGTTGCCGTAGACTCTGTGAGCTGCGAGCAGGCGCTCTTCCTCTTCTGTTGTGAGAGGGCTTCGTTTGATTCTGGGGTCAAGTTGGTTGAACCACCTCAGTCGGCAGCTCTTTCCTGAACGAACATGGAGAGAAGAGGACTCAGATGTCGAGAGAAGAAAAAAAGAGAGACACATACATACATCGAGATAGAGAGAGAAATAGAGAGATAGATGGAGATAGATAGATACATCTGTCTCTCAATTTTACGAAGAGAGAGAGAGAGAGAGAGAGAGAGAGAGATACAGACATACATACATACGCATATATATACATAGATAAAGATAGAGAGATACGTACATAGACAGATGCATAGACAGATAAAGATAGACATATATGTAGATAGATAGATCGAGAGGGAGAGATGTTCCCGATAATATATGCTCAGATCGCGGCGAGTTTTTCCTCCACTCCAGAAAATTATCTGTCAGTAGGAAATGGGATGCATCGATAGTACATCATTTCATCTAGATCGCCGGAGGAAGGGAGAACGGGACATGGCGTGTGAATGGATCTTTATAGCTAGAGATAGACTCGGAGATCGAAACAAATATATAGATGGAGAAAGATACTTAGAGATGCAAAGTCTCTCGCAGACCTGATCTTCCTGGTAATTTTTCTGCAACAAAGTTCCAGTTCTGCGGTCCGTATTCTCCGACAAGCCGCCGGAGCGTCTCATCCTCGCTGGGTTTCCAGTGCACCCGATTGCCCACTTCCTGATCATCGGACCCGGCGGCGGTAGCGGTTCCGCCACCCCGTTCTCCTCCTGCGTCCACCGGAGATCCTCCGGTCCTTTCCATGGAAGACAGATGATAGCGGCAGTACAAGACGAAGAACAAGGTATTGGGAGCTAGGTGGAGGCCATAAAGCACCAGCGTACGACGTAGGGATCGATAGCTAGATAGAGATGGATATAAGTAGAGAGAGAGAGAGAGAGCGAGAGAGAGCGAGAGAGAGCGACAAGAGGGAAAACAAGGTCGTATTATTTTCATACGTTGCTGAGCTCATATATTACGTGTCTTCCTCAATTTCTCGGCGAGGTCCCCACAGGCCACGCTTCCACTGTAGGTCGCACCTGCCATACCATCTAAGATGCCGAGTCAAATATAAACGTCGGAATCAGATAAACCATCGACGACGTGATAAAATTCGAGCCTTTGAACCATCCCATGACCAGTTTATGCAGTCGCACGTGCATGGCATGGCGGCTTGGCGCTCCGAATTCTTTAATGGCGGAAATTTACTCCTTCGCTACTGCCGATACGCCCGTTTCTTGACCCAACGGCTCTTCCCGAGCCACCTAAACCATGGGCTTCGACGTGCAATCGATGACGACGCGAGCTTGGATCATCCGTCGGCCGTAGTTACCCTTGCACAAGTCGTAGGCCTCTCTCTCTCTCTCTCTCTCTCTCTCTCTCTCTCTCTCTCTCTCTCTCTCTCTCTCTTTCTCTCTCTAACCAATAAAGGGGTGCTTGCAGAGGACCAGACTCTTCGTCTCACAAGAAAGTTGCGTCCTCTCTCTCTCTCTCTCTCAACCAATACAGGGGGATCCTGCAGACGATCAGATCCTCTTCGCTTACGAGAAAGCTGCGGTCTGTCTCTCTTTCTCTCTCTAAACAAATAGAGGGGCATCCTGCAGACGATCAGACTCTCTTCGTCTCACAAGAAAGCTGCAGCCGCCGTCGAACTAACACGGCCGTCGTCGTCATCCGCCTTGACGAAGAACGCTTCACGGAACTGTTTCTTTCTCCTCCGGGTGCGATGAAAACCATTTTATCGATCATTTAGTGGGCATTTTTCCGACGGAGGAGACAGGGATCCTTTAGGTTAGTCACGTCGTATTCTAGATGATTTGATTTGATCCGTTATACGCCAAGGCCCACATTCACGCTTCTTCCTGCCCAATTCACCGATGGGTCTTGTATCCCAGGCCCATTTAACGGCCCGACCCACCTTTCTTAGCCAGGCCCATTTTGTCTTCCGTCATATACTGGCGCTAGATTTATTAAATATTATTGGGCCTGATGGGCCCGAGCAACGGGGTTTGGATGTAAAGCCCGGGCTCAAGGTTAACTCATAACGAAGGTCACGACATGGAGGTCATGCTGCTCCGCGGGCTCCACTCCACCCAATCCGACCGAATCGTTCTCGGATAGGATCACCATCCGACGGTCCACCGAATTCCCGCTGACGTGGTCTACCTCTGAGATCGAAACGTGCCTTTCATTTCAGGTATTGTGCTTCGAAGTCAATGGGTGCGTATCATCCGATAAAGTGTCGACACGCACTGCAGCAGCAAATTTTCGTCTCCTCGCCTTTGACGGTTCTCAGATATTAGATCACGTCAGCAGGCTGTCTGCGGGCATCGTATGAAAGTAAATTCGGCTAGGGGGAGGGCGAGGAAGTCCGAATCAGAGGGTGAGAAGAAAAAGGGAAGGAGGGGGCGGGGGGGATACGGAGGAGGGGGGTTGATCGTAGGTCTTGGGTCCATCTTTTGGAAAAAGCGAGGCGATCATCCGTGAATTTGGACTGTTCATTTGGCTAAAGGCTTGCAGATTTCTCTCATGAGCGATCGTAGCTTTTGTCAACTCGTGCTCCGGCAAGCAAGCAATTGTCTGATCTCCCTACCACCTTTGCCTCCGTCGAGCTTCGTGATCTTTGGTGATAATCTTTTGCTCTTTTCCTCTGTTTAGGCCCGATCCTTTTTGCCAGAAACATTGGCATATCTTCAACTCCTATTGCGACACAGTGAAATTTATTTTTTTTTCTCGTTTTCTGAGCTTAATTTCTTTTTTAGATTAACAATAAGAAATGATAAATGATCACTGCTCTGCTGCCGTCTGTTTTTCTGTCGTTTTTCGCCTGTGTTTCCGTAATTCGCTGGAAAAAAACTTAGTATTCCGATCTTGACGTTTTCCAGGCGGTGGTGTATGATCTATGAAAGTACCTTTTCATCTAGGCAACCGATTCCCATCACATTCAATTTTTTTGTACGTGGTCTTACTTTGCAGATAAATGTGTATTTGATGTGAATTTATTTGTTCTTGATTACAGCTTCGTGAATAAGGCGGAACGGCAGCTGTTTCTGCTTGTAGATTGCGATTAAAAAACGTTTTACATTTTTTTTCTGTATTTTCTCTGGCTGAATCTGACGGATAGATGTTTCGTTACATCTACGATGTACTTCGTTAACTAGCCTGTTCTCTAAAGTATCAAAGTGGGCAGTGAAAGCAGCATGCTTCAATTAATACGACAAGAGCATAAAGGATCAGCAACCTCCCCGTTAATCGCATTTGAGTAGTGCAGTCATTAACACAAAGTTTAAGTCTTCATAGTGTTTAACTTTTTAATTGCGGGATTCTTCGCAATGTAGGATGTTCTTGCAGACGATGATGAAACATTAGGTATCCCAATTAAATTGTTCTACCTTGTGAGACTGAGCTTAAGCAGAGGAATTTCCGGAACTATTTGCAATTACCGGAGATTGGATGCTATGAATCTTTACTGAAAAAGAAAAATGGAAATGTGGATGTTCGGCTGTGAATTTAAATGGACTATCTTCAGCAATATAATATGTATTAGATTCATAGTTTATGTTTAGGATTGTTAATGTTTGGGATCGTTCATCATAGAAATCACAAGTGAGAGTGAAAAAAAATTAAAAAAATCTAGGGATCGGATAAAATGTTCGTAGAAGGAGATGAGTATGAAACCCTAAGCTAGTAAAGGAATAAATTTTTTTCGTCGTGTTCAACAGAAATGGAATCCTATGTCAGAAAACCATTTGAGATTTTTTGATTCGATAGTTGGCCCATAAGCATGGCCATTCAGACTAGGTAGCAATTTTTGACCTGAATTCTGATTGGGCCGGCTATGGGTTCAACCATTACTCTCAAGGTATTCTTTGGCCGGTCTAAATTGATTATTCAGAGAGAATTCTTGTCATCGTATAGATTAGGCAGTCCTTAATAATTGATGCTGAATGAAGTAAAACAAAGCTCGTCATCATATGTAACAGTGTTTGTTGCACTTTCCTTCTTGTCTGATTTGTTTCATAGATTATCAAATGAACCGATTAGTCTATTTTTTTTACCTTTTTTTTCTCCAGGTTTGTGAGCTCTCTCCGATAAATCAAACATTTATATACTTAAAGAAGTTACACATTACTTTTTTCGATTCGTCTATCTGGATTTGGAATAAGCTTTGGATGGATGTAAGGCTCTGTAAGCATTTAAGATAGCAAGGGTTGCTACCGGATAATGGGTTTCAGAGGCAGGCTGTTTGATTGAGTGCTGTCTGAGAGTAACTTAGGAGCAGACTACCATGTCTTTGATCAGATCTGCAGATTCTTCCACCAACTCATTTGGGGAATTGAACTTATATGTGCGCAAAAAGAGTGGTGATAACGCCAGCTTATCCAATCAAGTATATGATATGGACGGTAGAATGCTGAATTATAGGCCAGAATCGTACCGTTCAGATTATCAACAGTATTTTTCAAGAACGCCCACTGGTCTTGCCCAAGAAATTATGATAAAAAACCCATCAAACTCTTCTAGTCCAGAGTCTTGGTCTCATCCCCATACTTCTTCAGCTGCTGCGTACAGGTTGGTAGCTGATTCGGGGTCTCCTGTCATCATTCAAAATAAATCTGGTCCCTGCTTCACTCCGATCTCAGACTCACGGACATTGGTGGGCCTGTCATATCAGAACTCTGGTTCTGTATCTGATGATCTAAGTCCAGGGGATCCCATCGATTATGATGATGATGAAATCAAGTCCAAGCTTCGAGAACTCGAGAGGGATCTCCTTGATGATGTTGATGATGAGCTGCTGGACACTGAAGAAGGATTGAGTATTGACGACGATTGGGTCGAGCCCATGATGAATCTATTACGCCCAAGTTCACCAAAAGAATCTTCCTCGGACTCTAATATTAGTAGTGTCGATAGCATTAAAGAACCAAGAACAGCCAAGCAGCTACTTTTCGACTGTGCTGCTGCTATGTCAGAAGACAATTTAGGGGAGGCATCGGCTATGATAACAGAACTCCGGCAGATGGTCTCAATCCAAGGAGACCCTCTCCAGAGGCTCTCAGCCTACATGGTGGAAGGACTTGCTGCTCGAATTGTCTCCTCAGGGAAGGGCATCTACAAGGCTCTAAGGTGCAAGGAACCCCCAACCTTGGATCGCCTCTCGGCCATGCAGGTTCTATTTGAAATTTGTCCATGCTTCAAGTTTGGCTTCATGGCAGCTAATGGTGCAATTGTTGAGGCAATTAAAAACGAAGGAAAAGTCCACATAATAGATTTTGATGTGAATCAAGGTAGCCAGTATATTACTCTCATGCAGGTCCTGTCAACCTGGCAAACCAAGCCAAAGTTGAGGATAACCGGGGTAGATGATCCCGAGACTGTGCAACGAACCATCGGAGGATTGAAGATCATCGGTCAGCGTCTTGAGAAGCTCGCCGAGGAACTCGGGATCCCATTTGAGTTTCGGGCCTTAGGAATGAACACCGGGAATATTACACCATCCATACTTTCTTGTCAGCCTGGTGAGGCGCTGGTGGTCAATTTCGCCTTTCAGCTTCATCACATGCCAGATGAAAGTGTGTCAACTGTGAACCAGAGAGACAAACTATTGCGAATGGTGAAGGGCCTGCACCCTAAACTTGTGACCGTTGTTGAGCAGGATGTGAACACAAACACAGCCCCGTTCTTCCCAAGGTCGATTCTTATGATACATATAATCTCAACCCTCCTACTGTCTTATGCAAAAGAAAGTCCTGAAAGTGAAAAAAAAAATCATTAAAAAAAATTAGTGAAAAAAATAATGAACAACTCCGACAGATTCTTGCATATTCCCCGAATTTGTAACGCTCCTCTGTGAACAGGTTTGTGGAGGTCTACAACTACTACTCGGCGGTCTTCACGTCGCTGGATGTAACTCTACCAAGGGAGAGCCCAGACAGAATGAACGTTGAGAGGCAATGCCTTGCCCGGGATATAGTCAACATTGTGGCCTGTGAGGGCATGGACCGAATAGAAAGGTAAGGGCAAGCCCTTTTCTGTGCTCATACACTGCGGTTTCTCAGATACATATTCATTACTTCTGCAAATGCTCCTTTCCTGCACCAAAAGGTACGAGGTGGCGGGGAAGTGGAAGGCGAGGATGACGATGGCTGGGTTTGTTTCATGCCCAATAAGCTCAGACGTCAAGGGAACGATTGGGAAGCTGCTGAAGTCCTACTCTGATCGATACACAGCTGAAGATGTGGGCGGAGCGCTATGTTTTGGCTGGGAGGACAAGAGCCTCATTGTGGCTTCAGCCTGGAAGTAGAGCCCTGTAATCTGCCTTGCCCGGGATTATATGAATGTTTGGAATCTTGGGATCTTACGCTACACTAACATTTTATTTAACTAGAGTTTTCCAAAGAATACCCTTTCTCATGGTGTAATCTGCCCTCCGCTCTCTGGGTTGTTGAAATGAGTCACTTGTGTGTAGAGAGAGAGAGAGAGAGATTGCTGCCTCGTTGACCTCCTCTCTCTCTCTCTCTCTCTCTCTCTCTCTCTCTCTCTCCCTAGCCATTGGTAGCTTAAACAATTAATAAAATTTCCAAAGATTAGAACCACATCAAGTTCACTAAGTGATGCCACCGAGAACATTTGCGGGGCAAAATGAGGGGATCATGTCCATGAGCTGTGTCTACTCCCAAACAGAGCTTCCAGCTGGATTGTCCCTTCTAATTCCAACCCGTCAGCCCTATTCTGTCTGCAACGTTGTACATCACCAGGTTTCCCCACACGGGGCCGAAGAGGCGCTCCCCACCGACCGCGAATGTGATGGCCCACGATGCCAGGAGCACGGTGAACACCGAGAACCCTATTGCTGACCGAACAACATCTGAAAGAGAAAAGACGTCTCGTCAAACCTGGAAGAACGATAAAAACAGGTTGTTTTTACTTATAAAATTGAAAGACAAAACCCAATGGGGTTCATGGTGGGTTGAATCAAGGTTTGGGATTGGAGCAGCAGCAGTTTTAAAGAAGCAAAAGTCTTCTCCTCTTCAAGATTTAAAGAAAATCCGTCAAAGATTTGCCTTTTAATGGGACCGTCTGTCGAGAGGGGTTATTTCAGAGACATGATTCATAAAAAGTCAACGCATGAATATCAGATAAACCATTCAGATTGCCATCTAACAAAAAAAGACCAAATATAATTTTTAGTTTTATACTATATTTTTTGTAAAATTAGATGTTAGTTGATATCGTCTCCAAAGCGTCATAGAAACCAAGTTCAGCTTCAGAATGTTAATTAGATAGATAAAGGTGAACAGCATCCAAATCTCTCATCCAACAGCATCCCATCCTCATCAAACAAGCCTTATATATCAGTATAAACAAAGTGCCTTGTTTACGCTGTCATTAAGAACTCAAAGGTCACAATGGGACATAGATTGAATTACTTAAGAATCGTAACCCCAAATCTCATCAGTTTAGAAAACCTCAAAAGAAAGAAACTCCATGGAAAGATCAGAACATCTGATGCCAACAATACTTCACATCGGGAATCCTCTTCCGAGGAGAACATTGAGAAATCACTCAGTATAAGACAAGAGCCCGTTTTCTATTATAGTAGGACAAGATCACATTTAGTCAGGCAAGAAGAACCATTTAGAAAGCTTTAATTTACTCATTAAGATTGTTTGATCATTAGTGGACTCCTCCATATCCGTGGACATATGGTAGATTAGGAGCTATCTTCAACGATAATGTTTTTGAAGCCATGAAATTGATGATATGATTTTTGAGGTTTTTCGAATTTTTTTCAGTTGTGATCTCTTTCCCTGCAGCTCATTTGGTTTCATTCAATCACGCCAAAAATAAATAAAATGAGGTTTCAATTACGTCAACTATGATCCCAATGCTCAGGCTTAAGTTAATCCGCCCGAAGAAATATAAGATTGAAACATAATTCTATCACTAGTGTAATGAGCCAAAGCATGAGCATTAAAGTAAGAAGATTTTGGCCACAGGCACATCTAAACGGTAGTTTTCTGTACTCAAAGCATGCCAAGACGAAGAAATTCCCACCATAATACCGTCCATTAACTTATTGATTCGGCCCAAAATTTTTGAAATCAATTTTGGGGAAATAAATGTTTCAAATCGAACGGATTAATTTCCTTTCATAACCCGGAATCTTGTTACAATTCGTTTAATGGAATGTACACGTCTGATCGAATAAATCTAGATCGTCACCATGAAGGAAACGGTCCACACTAGAGAGGATGCACTCATCTACAGATCAAATAATTCCCTCGAAATCTTGCGGAAAAATCGCGCGGGATCAACAGGTAAAGGCGGAGAGCGTTCTCGTCTTCTTTTGCATCAGCAAAAGATGAAGAGTTCATGTTCTCTCGGACATTAATGTCTCCATTAGTCACGTATAATTTATACGAATGCCTATTCTCCGACATCTAACCAAAAATATCTCCAGAAGAAAGAGAGGCGGGGACTTTTTTCTGGTTAAATTCAGATCAAGAGACGAGGAAGATCAAAAGAAACTTACAGGGGCGGAGGCGGGGGAATGGATAAGAGGAAGGAGCCAGGGGAGTATGCCTGCCGAGGAGGACGGGCCAGAAGTAGAAGCAGTTGACGGCCCAAAGCCAGGGCAGGCAGAAGAATCCCCAAAAGAAGAAGCTCCGGGCGTATCCCAGCGCCTTCTCCTCCGTTTCTGCGCCCAGCGGTCCGTCCACCGTCGGCCAAACGTGCGGAATAGCGGCCGATGCGTCGCGCCGGATGGCGCCGCCGTCCGATCCCCCAAGCGGGAAGCTCTCCTCGTCCATCTCCCCTCTCCTCTCCATTCCTGGGACCGTCCTTCCTCTCACAAACTCCCGACCACGCGAAGGGAAGAAGGAAATCGGATTTGCGTCGGTATACAGTTCCGCCCTGACGGCCCGACAAAGATCCGGACCACTCTGGTCTCTCCTATAGGACAACCCATTTATATACATAGTATATATTTAGCAAAATTAACTGTGCCTCATTGGGTTCAAACGCGAGTAAAGTTTCTTAAAAAAAAACTAAACTAGCTTATGGTCGGAGTGGAATGCTTTGACTTTTTCTCCCGACCTTTCCTGATTCAAGTCAAACCATCCGTTCCCAATTCCCTCACCGGGCGTGGGCACAATTTTAGGAAATACAAGGGTTGGGGGGACAATTTTGCATTTTTTTTACCACTGAATTGAATGTACACCGTCGGAGTCGTTGAGCTGGGCATGATTTTTTATATATATAAAACAAGAAGTGGATTGCTCTTCACTTCATAGCAAAAAAACAGGTGGAAATCTGGCGGATCACATCAAAAAAAAAGGCCCATATTTTATTTTTATATATATAAAAGAATTGATCGCCTTTCAATTCACAACAAAAAACAAGGTGGAAATCTGGATGATGAAATCAAAATCCATCCATCGGATCATATCAAAAAAAAGAAGAAAAGGCCCATATTTTGTGTGAAAAAAAAATAGAAGTGATCGCCCTTCACTTCATAATAAAAAAAAGCAGGTGGAAATCTGGATGATGAAATTACCCTCCATCGGATCATTAAAAAAAAAGAAAAAAAGGAAAGGCCCAAACTTTATAAATGGTTCAATTGAAAGGATTACATTTTCCAATATCAAAATCTGAATCCCAATAGAGATTGGGGAATCTCGCACACAAGTTCCTGCTGCATCCACAGTTCATCACTGACAAATCAAGTGCACTTCACAGAGTTTTCTCTCATCTGCTCCCCCTCCCCTACTTTGAGATTCAGTAGCTGGCAGGTCTGAATCAGAAGCAAGGCCATGTAGGGGGACAACCCCCGTCAATGGAAACTTGGCAGATTTACAGCAGCGCATGTATAATAGAGAATCCGAGGAAAAGTGGGTCGACACCCAGAAGACATATCCACCTGTTTCCACTTCTGGCACCAAAAAATGGAGAGGGCAATTCAACCGCTGCATGGGGGGGGGCCATGGCTCCGAAAACGATCCCTTTCTTGATGCAAAAGGAAAGGCATGTATGTACAGGGGAAAACGTGCCAGTTGGGAGGAAGGCCTGAAGGAGGCCGATGTATCACGACACTGTGTTCGTCGTGTATCTGTGATTCCTCCGGTTGGAGGATATGTCCTACTTCATTTTTGCTCTGGCAAAGAAAACCCCTGCCAATAATCCTGGATGAAGAAAATTTATGAGCATGTTAGGCCAAGATACACTGAACGCTGACTAAGCAGACCTTGATCACTCACCGAAAAGAATACTGAGGAAATTCTCGAAGCTGGTTGGAACTTTGAACAGAAAGATTCCAGCTAGGGAGAGCGGGATCTTGTTCAAGGAGCCTACGAGGCTGTGAAAGAATGTGGAAGTTAATGACGAGAGTATGCACAGTGGATTCAACAACTGTAGGAGCATGCGCAGACTAATAGCATACAGAGGGCTGTTTCGTGTCATGTAGTATTTATTCTCTTAGCCTGTTAGTTTTCTCTCACATGAGAGTCAATAATATTTGAAGATTGAAAATTTTTAAACGGCAAACTTTGATCTTCGAGTTGGATTTCGAGAGGGAGAAAGACATTTAAGAAATAGAGGACAATAATTGATTATTTTGTTTTAAAAAAGGGAAAAAACATTAAATCATTTTTTAATGTTCGAGAATTAAAAGACTTTCCATGGTGAATCGCATGAATAAATGGCAAGAGAAAATCAATAAGTCACAATGACGAGATGGGGACACAATATATCACACCTGTACGTAGTGGCTCCAGTCTGATGAAGAAACCACATAGACGTGAAGCTGATGGCAAGGCCTAAAAATCCACTTGAAGTGACAACTAGCCAGAACATAGGCATCTTCAGAAGTGGACTACAAATTGACCAGATTTAGAGAAGCACGAGAAATCATCAGTCATGTTGACCATGAGGATATCTGAAAAAGGATAGTCGACGATGTTTCCTATATTTTGGCTCAGGGAATTGCATTAAAAAGACATTGCCCCCCCACCATAGTCAAGTAGCCAGGTCAGAGGTGGTCTAAAGTTGCAAACTATGATCAGAAAGATGACAATGAAATTATTCATCCGATAAAGTCAAGGATCCTAAGTCTATCAGTGCTCCCATAAACATTTTCCACGTCCATCAACAGATAGCACTGAATACAGATTTGACATGACAACAACGTTTACAAACGGCCTGATTAAGTTTCTAGGTTTCCCAAAATGATCATACTACTTTTTCTTGCTCTTTTTTAATGCAGAAAAACTCTTATCCATGCAATCAAATTATTTTTCTTGTCAATCATAGCGGAAAAAACGAGTGAGCAGCGTAAAATCCAATGCTCCATCAATGCTGACATGAAAGAGGGATAACAAGGGTGTGTAAATTTAAAGGCAGCGTCAGGTTTTGTCAAGTCCTGGGAGATTCGTGCTTCGTCCTAGCCAGGGACAGAGATTAAAAAGATTATTCTGGTATATTTGATTTTTGTCGATATCACTTGGAGTTATATTGGGGTATTAGAGTAGTGATTTATACCTCACATATTGGTTTCTTCACACATTTACTAAGTCCACTATCAGTTAAATTGGCTCAGGGAGAGATTAGTATCAAGACATTTACTCATCAACTTATTTCTCACATACTTGAAAGTTCGCAAAAACAAAATTTCAAAAAATAGATCAAACTAATAAGAAGATCATTCGCATTAAAAAATAAAGCATGTATGTTAAATCTTCTGAATATGAAAAAAAGTAGCTGCTATTTTTTTTAATACAGGCACAGCAAATGATATGAACTCACGTTTTTGAGAGATAGTCCACTTCACCAAATATGAATACCAGCAGAAGCCCCAAAGGCAAGGAAAGACTATTGTTAAGCAAAACCATTGAGAATTCGTTTAGGTTTCCAGACTTGGTAACTTGTTTAGCCGTATCCATGACTCTTTGTAATGTTAGCTGGGGAAACAGAAGCAAAACAAAAAAGAACTGTTATCTGTAACATTGCTAACAGCGAAAAAGGATCAAGCCCCAAAAACAAAAAGAGTGACATCATGAACTTGCATGCGTATCAAAAATTTCTGGCAATTGTTTTTGCCATTTACGAACTTGAAAAATGTTGATTTTGACGCCAGACGTGAATATAAGTAAGCCAGACGTCATTATTGACTATACATGATACTGTCCCCAAGGTACAACAAAAAAGAAACCAGCAGCAAACAATACTACGAATTTTAAAATCACCAAAATTAAAAGAAAAATCTTTATTAGCAGAGGGAAGCGATTGGAAGAGAGAAGTAGTAATAAGAACCATGACAACGAGGATGCTTCAATTGAAAATCTCCAGCAACGACAGAAAATCAGGCCATCAATCATGGTACTTGTAATAAAAAGAGGCAAGCCGCAGGAAAACGACTAAAATGCACCCATGTGGTGCGGATATATAAATGCGAAAATATTTGTCAATTTATTCTACAAAACTACGGGAAGTTATCCAGACCATGAATCATTCTAGACGTTATCCCAACGTAGTTTAAAAAAGAGCAAATCAAGCGAAATTGCTTACCGAATATGATGCTGTCAGGAAACAATTCAATGTCTGCCATGAATATCCAACTGCGTGGAAGGAGATGTCCGTTATGCCTCCAGAAACTGCTGAAACAATCTGAATATGGAGAACAGTTTCAGAATCCTCCCAAGTATGTGTGTTAGCATAACTAAAAATGCGGAATCCACTGGTTCTTACCTAATTTTGCTGAATAAAGAGACTAATATGGATTTCTAACTACTGGACGGTGTTGTATCAGTGAAAAGACATGTGTCACTATCAAAGACTTAGGTTCTACCGAGGAAATTAATACAATGACGAAAACATAGATTTTGGACGGTGAAGAGGAAATTTTCTGATACTGTCAATTGTTCAGCACATGGTTACTGATTGATTAGAGGCAAAGCAAACGTAGCATCCTACAACTCAGTTTTATATATCCATCACTAACTGCCAGTCCATCTGACAACGATAAGAGATCTACATTATGATGCACGTACGGGACAAAAATATGACTGAATCTATATATATGATGATGATTTTTTACTATTAAGTCTGGAAAATTAACTTGAGAAAATGGAAAAGCAAAACTATTGTTGAATAAACTTTAAGGAAGATAATTTGTTTCAAAAAATACCATCAACAAGAGGGAGGCCCAGACTTTGCCACCATGATGCTTTTTGAAAAGATACATCTCCCCAACGGCAGTAATGACATTAGTAATATTCTTCAGTATCGTTACCATAGCTACATTAATGTACTTCAAACTGCAAATCCCAAGGTCGATTGTTAAGTAACAGAACAAAATAGAATCTGTCTACATAAAAATTACAGTGAATAGATAGATGTAATATAATGAAAATCAATTAAATAACAGAATTGGTTTTAGACACTCTATTGGAAAATGTCCTAACATCCAATCAAACAAATACAACATGTTCGCACATCAATCTCAATATATGGATGCAAGTGTGATAATAGCCGGTGAACTTTCTGAAGCACTAATTTAGTCAATATACAATTTTGAATTCCTCACATGTATCCAATTGGGTAAAAACACGTGTATCCAAATGTGTCTTGTACATCAAGTAGTGGGCAATCCAAAGTTAGACATATATCTGAGTTTTAAAGCAATGGATATTACGTGGGATGACTCATTACTGGATACATAAACCTAGTTCATCAGAGACACCGCCTATACATTGTGATGACCACGTCAACTGCCAACCTTATTACAGATTAGTCGCTCAGAGGACACCCATGGCCACCACAAGGGGAACATAGCCCTTTTAGACACATAGAAAACCCCAGATCCATAGGGTTATATGGCCTGATACAACAGTAATCATTAAATGCCATGCACTATAGCACACCTAATACACAATGGAAGTAATATTCACTATAAATAATGTTCCACGTCTTGGCATTAGTGCTATTTAATTCATTGGTCAAGATAAGATAAACTGAACACCAGAAATCTTTCCAGAGTCGCCTTATTTTTACCCCCAGCTCTTTTAAGAGGAAGCCTGTACTAAAAAAAAATCGAAGCAGGGTACTCTAAGAGCAGTCTCCATTTTCAAAGGAAATGTTCGAAAACATTCAAATGTATGGTATTTGATCATTTTATCTTTAACTCTCCAGAAAATATCCATGTAAAGCAGGTACCCCCCTCAATGAGTATAAGAAATGTAGAATTTTCTGCACGAACACTTCCCAGGGCCTAACAACCTAGAGATTACAAAGACAAGGACCATTTCTGATCAGAAAATTGTCATGATGTAAAGACAGCACGAGATGATCATATGAGAAAAAACTACCAAACTTCACAATAGAACAACTGTACCAAGAACAGTGAAGCATCAGTGTTTCTTTTGGAAGCAGGCCAAAAGACAACAACATAATTTCAGAGGGAGCAAAAAAGAATGCAATAGCAGTTGCAAGATAATTCCAATTTACGCATGGAAAACCTCGCAGGAGAGAGCTGACAGAAATTCAGAAGGAGAAACAGAGAAACGAAAAACAGACAAATGATCCAAGTTCTCACAGTGTAAATACCAATTGCCATAAAAAGTATCGCAGGCATTCCCATATTATTTCCCGAAATCTTAAAATAACTCTCCCATCAGAGCAACCAAGCAGCACGTCTTAATAAAGGCTGCGCTAACTTTTATGATTCAATTAGGATGACGAATTAAACAGCAATGAAACATGTCACAACATATGCTTACGAGTATCTGGGAATAAGTCCGTAGATAGTAAACGCAGGGTGACAGTTGAAGTGTTTCAGGCTATCACTTAAGCACAACTAAAGGTTTACGGTCTGGTTAACATGCTAGTAAACACAGGAGTGGAAGAAAGGTGATTGCAATGCCCAGCCAGGCATGACATTCTTCCTTGACTTAGGTTTTCGTCACCACCCGACTGATCATCGACAACTCGTGATAAATTTGTATTCTCCCATTAACGCTGTCTAGACAAGGGGTTGGGAAAAGTTCCTTGGACTATGATAAAAAAAACGACTGAAAGAAAACCTTAGAATTCACCCAATTGATGGTGCAAGGATTGCACGTTTAGACAAAAAGATCCACTCATTTACTACCAAAACTGACAACATGTGACCCAAAGTCTGATACCAAAAAAGTGCATCCATAAGTTTTACATGAAAAGATAAAGGCATGATTGGGATTAGAGAACACCCAACCTGAAAATGCTTGTAATAAGCATTCCGACAAATATCACATTCACAGGAAACCAAACACGAAGCAATTTCCATGTGAGTGGCTCTGTTGAAATTATGCCAACCATTCTCAAAATGGAAACGATTACCACAGACACAAAATTCTGCAGAAGGATAATTGTCAAGAGAATCGATTAGCAAAAAGATATTCAATAGTTTCACATCCATCAAGCATGTCATCACGGAGTTAGAAACCATTCCAGAAATGATATTTACCTGATAAAGCATAAGAGATATCCCAGCATTGAAATCATAGCTTGACAGCACAAATTTATTAACAAGTATCATGCTGCACGAGGATAAACAATAAGCAAAGCCAGACAAAAGAGCCTGATTGTGGACCTTTACTGCCTTCTGGCCACGAAATGACTTGCTCCTATTCTTTTCCTCACCCCCTTCCAAGTCAATGCCATCGTTGTTGATAGTCTTTGGACCAGACAATGCCCTGTAAGTGAAACTGAGGTTGAGAAATTAAAGGACAATGCTTTGAAAATTCAGAAAACAAACTAATATGCGGCTGACATTGAAACAATTTGCCATAATAAAGAGAGAATGGGCACCTGTTAACTCGTTCTCTCCTCACACCATTTACAGGGCTTGAGACTGAGCCTAGTAGTCCATTTGGCTCATGGCTTATTAAGATACTTCTTTCTTCAATCTGATTTGCCTCAGCAGTATCCTCTGTTATGAGTTTCTCAAGAACTGGATCAGGGGAACCGACAGCAATACTCAAAGGAAGAATCCTGAGAAACAAAATAATCAAAATTTTGAGGAATCAAGATTTTCAACATAATGATGAGATTCTAACAAATAGGCAGGACAATAACGAGCCAAGGACTTGCGAAAGCTAAGAGATACACAAAAAAACATAGGGAGTAAAACTCTATTCATTGAACTATTATGAGAAATGGATGTAGCAAATGGGATCTTCTCTGTTATCACCTCATTGGTAAATCTTAGGCCAACGATTTTATTAAGGGAGAATAACTAGTTCGAAAATCAGGCTCCATCATTCAATTATGAAGTGATTTCAAGTCAGAAAAGATTGATCGAAACTTGCAACCTTTCAAATATGCATTTCACTATGTATTCGCAATTCGGCCGAGTCTCTGCCAGAGAACATCTAATGGATACTTTTCTCTGGCAGCTTCTAGGTTTACAATGAAATATTTCTGAACAGCGGACTAGTAGTCTGATCCATGCACGTTTATGACCCATTTATTTGCTATTTCAAAACATTCTAATCTCCATACACTAAGGCACCACGAGCAAGGGACTCAATACGGATTAAAACTCAAGGATTAGCAACTATGTAAGACGCGCTTCCTGGATGACCGGGACATTGGAACCCATCCGAGGTACGCACTTTCTTAATGCATGTCAATTGGGCGGAGAACCCATTCTCAAACACTGTGTCCATAAAGGGGGAACCAAAACAAGAGCTGTACGTTTGCTCTTTAGTGCTGTATATCTTAAAAACTTACACGCGACCTGGCGTGTTTCAGAAGTTCTGAATCCCTGTGATATAACCTAGAAGATAAAGACGATCACATAGGCAACTTATCGGAGCCCGGACACTCAGTTCTACTTCCGGGAGAACCCACACAAGAATTCACCAAAAGATAGAAGTGTCGGATATATCAGGTCACCTCGAAGAACCCATCCAAGGCGCTCTATTCTCGTGCGGACAGGAAGAGAAGCTACCATCAGCACCTCCCAATCTCAGGAAGGAGCAGCCGCCGCAGAGATTTAGCGATGACGCCCAGGGAGCTGGAAGTGACGCGAAAGAGGCCTGGATTTCTGCCTGCGGACGAAGCGGGAGATCCCTCCTCGAAGGATTGAAGATGAAATGTGAACCCGCGACCTTCTTCCAGAACGAATCAATGCGAAGGCGAAGAGGTCTCTCCGTTATTTAAACGGTCCACGCGAGGCATCCTCCCCCACAAGCCCTTTGGAAGAATCCGCTCGGTGCCCCGACCAGGCCGACCCTACACTACCCACTTAGAAGCGCACGTTACGATCGATCCTCCCCAGCGATCAGACCATGATCTCTGCCAAGCTACAGGGCCCACCTGAATTCCAACCTAAGAGTCAAACGGCCTAACCCAATAAATGGGGAGCGCTTTCGCGCCGCCCTGGCCCACCGTCCAGCACGTTAGGCCGCCGGCATTTGCTCTGAGCGGACCACCCATTACCCTTGAGTGGATTCGGCCCTGCCGGACTTCACCGGCGACGACCAAAGCCCGCCTTCCCATTCCCTGTCGGCGTGAATCACGGTAGAACAAGCCGAGGGGTCTGAAAGTCAACGCCCCAGGTTTGCTTGGTGGTGGCCATCGACTACGACAGTGTTGATGGTCGCCCCATCCTCGATTCGGGCGACGACGCATGGGAGATCCTACCCCCACGCCGGGGTTCCAGCGGGGAGTGCGGGTCAAAAGCATCTTCGCCGAACTTTGTGCCCGGGGGGGCGGGTGGAAGGAGAAATGGTGGCCCGACGGGACGGGACTCCTGCCCTCCAGCTCTGCTCGCATGTGCCACGGCCGCCGCCAACGCCGCGAGGTTTCTGCCGTAGTGGGACGGCGGCGCTGAAGATATCCTTTTGCAGATATATTATCAAGATGCGCATCCATCACGTGGATGCCTACCATGCTGCCAAGGAGAGATCAAAGAGAGCGCCTTTCCAAGACATCCCGCAGAATACTATGAAATTTTCTCTGGAGCCATGTTTATTGCTGCAATGGCACATTAAGTGTTAAAATGGGAGTGGGAAACCATGTTTATTGTCCGGGATTGATCCATCCCCTGCGCTGAATTCAACCTCATAATCCAATCCTTGCTCGCTTGGAGTCCTCCAGGAGCTCCACCAGGGAGGGAAGGGGTCGCGGGACGGGGACGTTCATCGACCTGTAGAGTCCCCTGAGGCTGGCGTTGTAGGCGCTGGGCGATCCTACGCGCGACGGCGACGGCAGAGGAGCTTCGTCCTCGCGGGAGACCACCGCCTGCTCTGCCGCAAATGCCTCCACACCAGAAGAGCTCCGATCAGAAGGACCCATCCTCGCCCTCCCAAATAGAGTGAGGGGCACCGCCTCCACAGACGTCTGCAACACGTCGCTTCCTCCTCCTCCCCAGGCCGCCGCTGCGACCAGAGCTGAGGAAGAAATGCTGCAGCAGCTCACAGCAGCCGGCGATGGCACGGGCTTCTCCGTCCCCATGCCGAGGAGTCTCCAGATGGGGCCGTCGGTGGCTAATTGAGCTCCAGAGCAGTGGTCCTTGACGTATTCCAGCTCTGTGGCCCTGCAGGGAGGAGTCGTTGAGATGACCCACCTGGGGCGGAGGAGCTGCAAGGACCATTCCAGCTCTGGGCGGGAGGAGTGCATGGAGAAGCCCACATGCCAGACCCCGAACTCGTCCCTCTCTGCTTCCGAAAGCCTGGGCCCTCTCGGCTCGCTCTTCTGATCTTCTCCGCGCGCATACCATTGAGTGGAGGGGCGGATGAAGAGGGGCTCGGGCAGGACTTTTGCCCGAGCTTCCGCAAGTTTGGCCCTCGCCCTCTCACAGAGGCGAGGAAACGCTTCACAAACCTGCGCATGGATAGTAGCAGGTTAGAATGAAAACGCTGCCGCTAAGGACTGGATGACGGTAAACCTCCTGAGAGAGGATTAGAGCCGGAAGTACTCTTCTTTGAAACTTTAGGAGCCGGGTAGAATTGGGATAACCAAGAACATGCCTGGAATCGAGAACTTGCGTCTTCTGAAAGAATTTCTGGGGCTATGAGCGAAAGAGACAAGAAGCATTCTGGGCATTTGGCCTTGTCGACATATATTTTGGTCGCAAATGTCTTAGATACTTCTATAAGTATCTCTTCCTGGCCAAGAAGATCGCACGCCAGGTAAACCACAGGCGCATGGGGGTGCTTCCAGATGCAGTTGATTACCTGCGCCAAAAGCGCTTAAATGAGTAGTTCGTGGCAGATGTGACAGGGACAACAAAAAAACGGAAGAAGAAACAACTGAGGACGGCGGCAGTGGAGACAGATACCTGTCGAATAGCTGACTCCTTGCTTGGGATAGTGATCGAACATCTGCCAAAGGTGCAATCAAGAAACAAGTAATCAAGACATGTTTCAGAACCCTTCATTGTCATGTATTTCAGAGGTAATTTTTTAAGACAATCAGAGCTAAGCCTGCAGTCTCCAGTATGCAATATGTTACCAAATTCACCTTCGAACAAGAACATGACCGCCCCTGGAGAAGGAAGCAAGTGGAATCACAAAATTAGAAGGAAGCTATCCAGAATCCAAAATCCATTTTACAGACGACAAGCATTAATACTTTGGCCGATAGAAGAGTAAATTCGTTAAACGAGAGCAATCGAAGAAATAATTGGACGGATTTTTTTTTGCATATAATTTAATTTAAATTTATTCACATTGTAAGGGCCTAATGAAAATGGTCCTCATTTTGTTATCATTTATTCTAGGCCTTAAAATTTTATATCTCAAATAAAGTTATGTGATCTGAGACAAATCAAGGCCCGCATCAGCTTCTGCAATAAATGGAAGTAAGCAATGAGGTGTTTATTTGATCAGGTTAATGGATGGAACATTCATCCAGGATGGAGGAATTATATGACGAAGGTACACAAGGAATTAAGAGGATGTCCCTTTTCATTGTGATGGGTGAAGGAACTGCAGGACGATTTGCACCAACAAACCACAGTGACAGCATGAAATGGCCAGGACTAGATGGCTGTCATCTTGGTTAATTGCCCTACAATATAGCTCTTTATAGAGCAGCAGTGACTGGAACAAGCTGCTCCTGTTCTGGGGAATTCTACCTGTGGCATTTAGAGGTCGTATTCTTTGCAAGGTGGAACAGTGACGGCCATCTTTCAACAATGATAGTCAGATCCCATGAATCAAAGCAACATCACATCTGTTGATAGAAACATAAGAACAGAAGTCGGGTGGTTAGAATTGTTAACTAGCCTTTCCTTGTAATGTAGTCGAACAATGGCCATCTACTTCCAAAATGCGCACGAAATATGCGTGACTGAAGTTCCTACACAGCCACAATGCTGACTCCCACACAAGAATTCAGATACTATAAAAGTCTCAGTTCCTGATAGATCGTGGCCTTGGAAGACCCCACTTTTCATCCCACCAAGCTTTCGAAACCCAGTGATTCACGTAGGAATTAGGAAATCAATTAGGTGAGGTCGGTCTTGACTTTTCTACTCAAAGCCAACCAAAAGAGGATATTTTATACAGGAATTAGAAAGTCATCCATGTGAACTCAGTCTTATTTTCCTCGTCAGAGACAACAAAAAGGGATATTTATTAAACACAGAGTTTCTTAAAGCAAAACCTCTCCCAAAACCGCCCTCGGAAACTGCTGCTATACCTTGTTTCTCTCCGTCAGGAGTCATCCCCATATGAACCTCAAACTTCGCAGGGGGTAGATAGACTTGACTGGATTCTTTCTTTCCGGCTAAGCAAGGCCAAAAGAAGCCAAGAGGAAAAATGGGAAACTGTTAGAGGGAACAAGAAACCAAGAGCGGATAGTATCTGTCCTTTGTTTCCATCTTTTTCTGGGGTGGTCGGATACCCATGGAGAGATGTGCTTTCATTAGCTAATTTTTTTGCCAGTGGAGGCGTAATGGGGTTGGGTGGACGGTTCAGGTTGGCCATTAATCTTGCTCCCTGTTTCAATAGTTTTTAGTGGGTATGCTTCTTTTCTGAAGAGTTCAAGGCGAAGAAAAAAAAAAGACCGAAAATATTTGATACTACGACCTGGGAAAGTATAGTAAGATAGTGATATTGTTGACCTGTGCACCTACAGAAGCTAAAGAAAAAAATGCAAGCATTTCAGAACTTGATTAATTCTTCATTCGAATAAAAACTCTTTGTAACAGAAAACCAGCGCAACCAGAGGAAAATAAAAGAAAATATTGTTTCTTCCCCATACGACAAGAGTATTCACTTTAAGAACTCAGATCGTTCCCATAAAACTAGAATGGTAAGAATATTTCGACTACTCATTGGCACCCTCTTTCGATAAAGCGTGATGACCTTCTTCCCTACCTACTAGATCCACATCTTGTATGTTCCACACACCGCATGCAGGACGAAAATCAGATGTAAAAAGTGAAAGATCAGAGCTCCAGCGGATGGAGCTCTGATCTGTGATAAAACGAAAGGTATCTACCTGGGCAGTGATTCGCATCCAACGCCGTGACAGAGAAATCCCCTTCTAAGTCACTGACCACCGTCGTCTCCCCAACCCCAATCTCCACGAACAATCCTCCCTCGATCTGCTTCACCAGTGCAAGAAAATGAAGATCACGGTCCCAAATACATCGACAACCACGACTCAGGTACGAAGAACGCGATGACCGCTCAGAATACGGCGACTATCCCGCAGATCGGAAGGGAGAAGAAGACCCTAGACGAAGGGAAAAAGGACCTGGGGAAGGTGCCGCAGCGTGAGGAGCTTGGTGATGCGGGTCGCATAGATGGGGTAGGAGGAGTTGGCGGCAAAGCCCTGGAGGTGATCCCGATGAGCATGAGTAAGGAAGTGGTGCCGCTTCCTGCCGGAATTCGGCGTCCACGTATCCACCGAGAAGGGGAGGCCCCTCGGCATCTCTATCGGCATCCTCCCTCTTTCTACCCTCCCTCTCCACGGGCAACCTCTGATCTTCTCTCCTCTTCACCTTTCAACTTCCCCTCTGCCGTAACTGGAGCGAGCCTGGCGGCGAATTGCCCCTCCCTATAAATACCTTCAGAAACCACCCCCTCCCTCAACGTCGGGCTTGATATGGGCCGACCAACCTTCCCTTAGAAGACATGATCCGCCAGAGATGATTCACAGAATGAATGTACCAAAGAATCACTGATCCCCTCATATCATCATTACCATTTGCTGCCAGCCGAGGAAGAAGCAATTATCTCTCGAATTTATATACATATTGAGGAAATTTATCTTGCATGGATGCAAGATGATCTTGTTGAGAGGGCAGGTCAAACTGGCTCAGATGGGGGGAATTTCTGCACTGTGGTTGAAAAAAAAAAGAGTGCCGATTCAGTAATCAGAAGATTCAGGATTGGGATCTTAGTTGAGAGGTGTGGTGGAGGGAAGGATCTGAGTAGGCCTTACTTGCGCCAATTGGGTTCTGTATGTGCTTGCTTGAAGCCCCACTTACAGCTCCGACGCCGAAGGCCGGATGAGTAGGAGAGGGGAAGCAACTCCATGTGGAGTGTCTGAAGCTCCTTAGTGGGCTCGTGCAGGGAGAGACGGGCAAGGACGTGTTCATGGTGGTTGTGCCGAGAGGATCCCTGCGGAGAAAAAAAAGGACGGTTCATCAAGATAGAACACTTTGCGAAAGTGGAATTATATGATCAAGCCACGAAATAAGTGCGCACCTTGGGTTCCTTAGGCGATAGTAACGGGGTGTTGTTTTCCGCGTTGGATGCTCCCAGCCGTGCAGAGGAGTAGAACTTCTCAAATGGAGCTCTGATGCCTGTCGACAGAAGGATAACCAGAGTTCAAATAATTAAATAAATTATTATTTTTGCTTAGCTTCCCACAGAGGAAGGCTGCTAATTGCACCATATAGTTTGGTTTTTCTATCTCAGGCGATTGGTATATATGCTCGCCAAAGTCAGGGCTATGCCGCGTAGAAAATAGTTTACAGATCAAAATAAATAGAAAAGTTATGCCTGGGTCGCAACTAAATGCGGGTGTAATGATATCCCAGTTCTTTTATCACTAAATCTGGGTGTAATGATGAATCTCCGTGTACTTCTGGATTTTTTTCAATTATTTATCCCCGTCAATCTAAAGAGATATTAGCACGATGTGGTGAAGGAGTTAGATAGGGAGAATAATGGGTCTGGGTTTCAAGAATGTACCACAGCGTGAGATCCATCAACGAGAGAGGGAAAGTGATCCCTGGGTGTGTTAAACCTTGCGACTTTCGCTGCCGCCTGATCTCGAACAAAAGCGTGTTCCAGCAACTGTGATGCTGCAGGGCGGGCAGATGGGTCACGCTGGAAACAGAGCTTCAGGAAATCTTTTCCTTCTTCAGAAAAATGGCTTGGAAATTCTGGAATATCCTTGCTGTTTCCAATTTTAAATATTGCCGCCACCTGTTAATTGCAATATCATAGCAACTTTACTTTATATTATTCTGAATCAGGGAAATTAATCTAGTCAAAGTGACAATATTTAATTTAATATGTCAATAAAAATAAACGCCATACCCCCTCATACTGGTACCAGGGCGGTTTTGACGTTGCCATCTCAAGGACTGTGCACCCGAGACTCCAGATATCCACTGAGAGGCTGTATCCGTTGGTGTTCATGATAACCTGGGAAAATATATATCATAAGATTCAAGCCATCCATATATACGTAAGAACATGGAGGGGAGAAAAAAATAGGTACATATATTTTTTTTATTTTCTCGTTTTTCGGACAGAATTGTATACCTCAGGAGCCATCCAGTAGGGGCTTCCTTTAAAGGAACGCATCGAATTATGTGCGGATATCTGGTTCAGAGATAAGAGAATCAGAGAGATCAGGTATCACAGAAAATTCTGAGAGTATGAACGCCTCGTTATGAGACTTTTCAAAAGACGAGAACACATGATCTTCCGCATCTCTATCCTAACTGACTAGCTGGAATCTGAGGCCAAAATGAGCATACACGCAAGAACGTTGCGAGACCAAGTTATCCTTTTGTTTCAGAACAGTTTTAATTGATTTAACCACCGGTCATCATTCAGTAAGTGCAGACAGGCTCCGGATAGAATGAAAGAAATGAGCACAATCTGGCAAACAGGATCTGCCTCCTGATTTTGTGTCAGGCAACTCGATTGTCTTTCATGCCAAGTTCATACACGAGAAGTGTTCTCACTTACTACGGCAGTTGGTGGTGACTTTGGGTAAGCTCACGAACGTTATGTTTCATAGTATATCGACTAAAGTAACTCAATATTTGAAATAAAAGTGAAAGAAAGCTGTTTGGCGAACAATGAGAACCACTGGTATCGTATTATGAACATGCGCAGCTGCCAGGCTACCTCAACTTTTACATACGCGGAGTTTATACTTGAGAGAATGTGACGTGTGTAGCCTAAGATATGGGACTAATGATTCATTTAATAGTTGCAATGGAACATCGTTATGATAGTCGATCTCAAAAAACTAAGGAAGTGACAATTAGTCATAGTAAAAGATTCAGGTTGGCTAGACCAACAAACATGAGGTTTTAGCCTATATAGTTTCTCCTAGCCCAAAAATGGGTGCGTCATGAGTAACTATACATCCACTAAATGAAGAAACCAAGAAAACTCCTTTCTAAAGTCATCTTAAATTGATGCCATTAAGCGCCATATCACTTAAGAAAAATAAGAACACGGAATATTATTTTTTAGGTTATATTTTTTTAAAATTATATTGACCTAAAATGCCATCATTCTTTCCGAAAAGGGATTAAGAGAATTACATGTTTAGCCATGCCAAAATCAGCCAGTTTGACTTCCCCTTTAGGACCCACGAGTATATTCGCGCCCTTAATATCCCTGCCAGATCAAATCGGTTAACCTCAAGATATTGGTTTGCTAGACAAGATCATTTAAAATGACATTTTATAAATAGGTGCAAGAAGTGATACCTGTGGACTCTACTTCTTCCATGTAAGTAAGCCAACCCTGAAAGAATCTGTGCTGTGTAGTTTCGAATAACTGGTTCCCTGAAAGGGCCGTATTCCTGAAGTAATTTATGAATGGAGCCTCCGGAGACATATTCAAGATAGACGGCAATCGAGTCTTCAACCTGTTCAAAGGATCAGTGAATGTTTCACATCAACCTGTGGCTCGTTAACATTCGGATCATTGCGAAAAAACTTGTCCCTTACTTCCGAGAAATTTGTCATGAAATTTTTAAATAATCAGCTATAACTAAGTTGAAGTGCAAACTGTTGATTTGTTAAAGAACTCTGCAGACTCTAAAGTTTCCAACCTTGTGTTATTTAGGCCCAAAGGAATATAGTTCTTGCTGAGATACACGAAATGAAGCCTAAGGAGTGGGGAACACTGGTTATGGTACAAGTTTTCACTGATTAATATTGGGAAGGATTTTTTAAATTAAAAAACTGCATGTACGAATAAAATAACAGCATAATTCTGCAATATGCGCTCATGATTGAAGCTGAGAACACTAAAAGCGATTCTTCAGTCATTTCATGGTTTCAAGAATACAGTATATTTTTATGGGACGTCACAAAGGTAACTGTTCGAATTCCTGCAGAGAGAACGCTCAGAAATTTTACCAGTTCACTTCCAAGATATTCCACAATGTTTGGATGTGAGAGCTGACTGAGCAATGCTATTTCCTGTAAAAATATATAATTTTATGTGAATATATCTTATTTAGTAAATAATTTGAAATGGGAACAACATATACTCAACGTTTTCTTGAAATCAAGGAATCATGAAATCTGAGCTCAATTTGGTTGTCAAAATCATACAGATGCAGACAGACCTGGGACAATTGCTTCAGACATTCTTTTGAATTCAAATCATCGGATATGACTTTGACCTCCTTTATGGCACACATCTGTCCACATTCACTGCCGCATAGGAATAGCCAAAAGAATTAGCTCATGAACTTGTAAGAGTCAAGACAGTATCAGCTTATGACTCATTCAAATACGTCGATATCTCACAGCCACTCTGGAATCAGATCAATATATGTATCGAAACAAAATTTAATGTGCACGAGGCGTCTTTATATATTTTACATGTTTCTACAGTTTTTTTGTATAAAGAAAAAAGTGAGAACTAGACAATACCTATTGAACCCAAGAAAGACGTGCCCAAAGGTTCCCCGCCCAATAAGCTTTCCTTTCTTCCACTTTGATTGAACAGAATGTGAAGATGATGTAGGAGAGCCAGGAGGTCGGGGTAACGGATGAGGGCTTATCAAGTCATCTTGTTTTCCTGGTTGTGATTCTGCTTTCATAAAAAACGTTCTTGATTTAATGGATGACATTGAGAGCCTATAATCTCTTGACTCTGGGCCGGGGCTTCTTGACCGAGCGTGAGATATTTTTTCAACTGATACGATGCAGGAGGACCGGTCCTTTCCATTTGAAAAAATATCATGATTATGCAATTGGGATTCTTTTCTCGGATAAAAGGAGATCCCACTGAGTTTTTCATGCTCGGCTGTATGTTGTTTTTTCCAAGAGTCATGCATCGCACCTCTGTCCCTTGGTGTATCAGCAACTTCCGACTGCCTGGATTTGGCAACAAACGAAAATGATGTAATCAAATTTCTCGGATACCGTTTGCATAGTAGTTAGATTTCATAAATTGCCCAACTACTCAGGAAGAGCGGGGGAAACACAATAATTTAAAATAAATAATGTCTACACAAGAGGGAAAAATACCCCTTTGAATATCTTCTTACTGTATAAAATTCAGATGTTAAAATTGATGGGAAATTTTCAACGTACACATGAATTTCAGGAATATATATATATATAGCTTTCGTAAGCAAACGATCAATTTTATTTCAGTTAAATGAAACTATGCTCACACCACTGCAAAACCAATTCGAATTCTCGTTCCAGAGGAGTTTAATTATAACACATATGACCTCGCGCAGATTCCAAGCTCCAATATGATTCTGATAGAAATAGATAATTGGGTGATTTTAAATGTTGACATTTAACATCAGGGATCACTGGTAAAAGATGACGTTATAATTGCGCAGTCACATGGATATGACCAATCATTTCGCAGGAAAATACGGGTAACATGTACGATCTTCGGTCTAATAAACTGCCGACAAAACCTTCCATTTGTGTTAAATGATTTTGTAAGAGTCAATTTTTCGGAAAATATGAGAATTTTAAATTATTTAATTCACATCGAAGGAAAGATAATTTTTTACGGTAAGGTTGAAGTTGGAGTATCAGGTAACGTAAGCAACGAGACCAAATAGATGAGTCAGAAATGAAGAATATAGAAAGCAATATATTCCGTGGAGCATATCCATTCGGGGGCGATTGTAAACTGGTGACAACGGAAGAAACATTCGAACAAGGAATTAGGAAAGGCTGGGCTTAAAAAACTCGCAATCTCCGTCTAGATCAGCATTATTAAACAAGAAGGAGAGAGCCACTTCGCAAGAGAATTGACATCATTTCGAGAAGAAACGAAACTACACCTGTTGAACGCAAGATCTGAGGCTTCATCAGTACCGGTAGAGCTGAGGCTGGACGCAGATGCCGAAAATGACTCGGTCCCGGCCGTCCCCGTCGCTGACCCTGATCCGTTAGCCGCTGCATGATCCAGAGGGAGCACCAGCGACAAAGAGATCGGTGGAGGCAGGGGATGGCACTGCCTCCCACCATCGGAATCAAAGGCAGCCATCGCCGGATCACTCGTGTACCGATAATTGCTGCGGCAGATGACTTCGTCGAAGCTCTTCGCCTTGTCCTTCTTGCTCAGTTTGCTGCCATGATTCAGCGAAGAGGACGACGACTCAGCGTCTTTCCTCCGACCGAAGCTGTTGGAGTACGACTTGGATTTTCCTCTCCACCAGGAAGGCATGACGACGTCCTCTGGCTTCCCAGCAATGGGGGAGGGGTGTCGAAAGGGGGGGGAGGGAGCAGTGCGGAGGGGAATTAAAGAGGAGCGTTCTCTCCGGAATTACGGGGACAGAGAGAGAGAAAGAGAGAGAAATGAGAGTACTAACCAAGGTCGGTAGGCAGATCAAATCAGACCTCGCTACTCGCCGCAACTTCGCTCATCGTTGACTAGTCGTGAAAGCTGACGCCCAAAACCTTTCACGCGTGTCTTGACGACGTCGCCCTGGTAGTTGACCTCCCCGCTCACAGCCGCTAGCACCTGTCGAAAGCTCCGACGTGGCCCAATGTCGCGCCACCACCACCATCGATCGGCTCCATTCCCGACTCCTCTATTTCCAAATTCCTTAGCCGCCGTGGCCCACACTAGACCCCCCCCTCGTCCCGCTAACGTCACAATAATGATAATTTTTTCATTCGAGATAATAATATACGATTACACCACGACCGGACGCTGTCCCGGTTCACCTATATATTACAATCAGTACTATTCTTCGAATCCGAAAGCCTGTTAATTATCATTATTATTATGCGGCGGGAATCCGACAGTTGGGATGAAACGGCGAGTGGTGGCGGTTATTGTACGGCCGACGGCATCTTCGTCGGCGGAAATCTGTTGTCCGCCGCTCATGGTATCGAAATCGCGGAGGCCATTTACACTGACTTGCAGATTCCGTCATTGGAAAGGAATTCGGTGGACGACCGGCAATCAACGACCACGTTGGATCGATCGCCGGCGACCGCCGGAGTCGTCGCGGCGGAGGATAATTTCGACGCCGTCGTCGCACGTCTATTCGTTCTGAACCGGTCACAGAGTAAGGGCCCCCGTTGACTTCGTCACTTCGTCCCGAGTCACGAGACGGGACTGGAAAGGAAATGAGTTTTTGTTCCGCCGGTAAAGTGGACCACTAGCGGCGAGCGACTACGAGACACGTGCCGTCAAAGGACGTCCGGTTTTTAAATCTATGTGGGATATTTATTCCATTGATCGCCCAAGAGTGACGACAAAAATTATGAAAGTTATCGAGTACCAAAATTTACGGCATTATATTTTGTGAGTATTCCAGGAAAAAATTAAATCGTATCAATTAAAACTGGAACAGAAACTGGTTAGAGCGCAACGCGTGGTTAAGCCATGGGGTACATTTTGAGAAATCGTGGGATAAAAAGAAAATGACGTGGATAAATAAGCGGTCGTACAAGATCCAGAAATCAAAGAAGAACGGATCAGACGGCGTTAAAGTCAACTACTAGCTGGGATGAGGTAACGTTACGCGTGAAGTCGTCTCTCTGCCAGCTGCCGGGGCTCGCCACTTGCCGTTACTTTCTCGCCGCCTCATCGCCGGCACGTCGGGGAAGACCCCTCGTTGACTCGAACTCGACCCCCCACTGAGTTCCGTTAGCCGGCGAGGCTACTCGGTCGTCCGATTCGGACGACTCTAGATCGATCGCCTCTTTCAACGCGGCCTTCGATTGGACTCTTCTTTAGAAGCGGGCGGGCCCGACTGACTGCGACTCGGTCCAGTCGAGGTGTGTGGCCTACTCGACCTGAACGTGTGCGCATCCCATTGGGTTTTTATCCGAGTGTCAGCCAATAGCCGTCCTGGGCGACCAGTGACGTGTTCCAACGGGCGGGAATAGTTTAAGATAAATTTGCACACTCTGTAATTATCGATGATATTGCACGAACTGAAATCTTAAATGGAGTAGCGGGGAGTCAACAACGGGATTAGTGGGGACATTTACTTTTAAACAGCAGCTTTATTACGACCATAGTATCTTGGATCAGCTTCATCGTGTTCCCCAGGTCCACCGGACCGAGTCGAGAGCTCGCTCGCGCGTGCGCTAGAGAGGCTTTCGCCTTCACTCGGTCGCCGATGTTGACCGGCAGTTGTCCGGGTCGCATCTGCTGGTCGAAGACAACCATCGTTGAGACGCGTCGCAGGCTCCCGCCGCAGAGTTCGTTGCCCTTCCCGGCGAAGCAGAAGGAAGTCCGGCAGCGGCGCCGAGAAGAGGAAGTATCTGAACTGAGACGTCATGGGCCACGGCAGCTCCAGATCAACGAGCCCCGAGCAAGGCGTGGACCTTGAAGAAACGGAGCCGTCCAGGCGAAGGAATTTGCGGAGGAGATTCAGGTTCTACCGCTGCTCCCGCGACAGCGGGTCGAACCCTTTGCTCAAGAACCTCAACTCCGACGATTTCGCTGGCATTGTCTGCATCGAACTCATCTGTGTATGCTTTCCTATCTTACCAAAACATTTCCTGACCAAGTCCAAGCCGACGATCCTTCGCAAATTCAATGAAGATCGCCGTGGGTGAACTTATGGTGTTCTGTTACCGTTGGCCGCTGAAAATCGATCTCGGATTTCTTCTTCGATGTTCACTGCAGGCGCAGATGAATTTCAAAGACAAGTGGTTCGCTTGTCTCTCTCTCGGAGAGCGGACGTATCGTACGGCGACGTCCGACCAGTTGAGTACTTCTGAAGATCCTTTATTGTCCTCGGTTTCCTGGCGATAGTCTTTTGTAACTTTGTCGTCCAAATTTTAAACGGAGGGCAGATCCGACTTGGACGTCACGTCTGCATCTCTGTTGCACTGCGATGTTGTAATTCGTCCAATTAAAGTTATAATCGGAAGCACGCTCTCACCATACGGGACTCTAAAATAGACTTAGCATGCAAGGGAGTAAGAGAAGGGCGACAGCATTGCGACGTTCTGAACATTCATTTGGATTGCATTATCAACGCTGTTGTGTTTCACATACTCCCTTGGATGACCGATCAGTCTTTTTTAGAATCCCATATGGTGATAGCGTTCGACCGACAACAATTTGATCATGCTCTTCGATTAAATTGTAGCAGCTCAGTTTAACTATTATTTCTCCAAGAGCGGATGGTGTATTCTAATGTGAGTTATAAGAGTATAGGTTAGTTATGGGTTAGATCCCGTTATTTGATTTACCTAAAGTAAGAAATGTGTTTAGACATCATGAGACCGGAATTCTTGTCGTGGTTATTTATTGAAACTTCCGCTAACGTATCTCTTTTGTTTATGTTGTGAACACTTGTACAGCACAGAGACTCCTGTTTGGAAATCTGTAAGTAAACTTCTTTCATGATGCTATGAGATGGATTCATCGAGATTCTTTATTGGGATGTGTGATTGTACGCATCACATGCATGCGCTATTTCGCAGTTAACTGTTGACCAATCTCTATTTTTTATCGAAAATACATGAAGCACATGCAACTGTTTTGTCTCGTGGAAGTCGAAGGGAAGATTGGACAATTTAAACAAGAGCAACATAGGAACTTTCAAAAGATATCATCCCCGATTTTCTGATTGTTCATATAAGAAAGAGTATAGTCGAACATAGTGATCTTATATCATTTGAGAGATATACATATGCTTCTTTTATTTTCAGCTCAGTGTCACCGCAAATCGAAGTGCATCTGTAACACTAAAAGCCCTATAACGTTCTATAATGAAAGAATGGAATATCTATAGTTTATGTCGCTGGAATGTCCAATCTTCTTATTATTGGGCATACTTATGTTGATGACCTGAAATGGAGTCGGTGCTTCAGAAAATGGTTGATACCATTCAACACATGGCCACAACTTTTATTGGATTATTTGATCGCCAGAATTGGTGTAATTCTACTCCCATTGTAAAATCCTGGAATTCTGCAGCATGTCATGATGCTACAGGCACCGTCAATTTTTGTATAGAAAATAGAAAATAATATAATTATAAAATATATTATGTTAAATTAACCACTTGTGCACTATTACGACCAGGTCAAGATTTTTTTAAAATAGTACTATTCTTATTTCAACATTATTTACTAATCGACGCTTTCAAATGAATTAAGTTTTTGGGGAATGAATGAGAATATTTTTACGAAGATCCTTTTTATGCTGAACATAATTCAAAACATATAATTTCCACATGAAAATGACGACTTATATTTTCCAATTTTTCAAAAAAAATGGATTTTTTTCAAGTTTATAGATTCAAGATTCCTACTGATTATATTTCTTTTGCCACAACTTAATATCACGAATATATCAGAATAGATTCAAGTTTCCAGAACTACACGGGGTCTGGAAATTTCATGTGTTTGGTATAGTTTTTGACTTTCCTTTTATCTTGAAACGTGTGTACTACCTTTATGTAATAGATCCATTGATGGGATTCTCGAAGAAATTCGTCTGAAAAAAAAATGAATAGGACTATTGCGGGTTTAATGATATTCTTTGGGATTTGGTGTCAATCAGTGCATTTACTTACGAACTGTACTTCTTTCTAAACAGGACTCGACTCGCATGAATGCAAATTGAAGTAATGCTCTTCTTCTATGACACGAATTGCAGTTAATATATTTTAATAAACCTCTATGACCGATTCCCAGCAGAAGTCTGATGAAACCGTTTGTTAACTGACTCATCTGATCCTGAGAGGATCGTGATTAGTAACTTAAATTGCATAAATCTATTGAGATAAACCAAGTGAGAAACTATGGGGGTGCGATGTATAGATGGCAGCATATGATAGTTTTTTTATAGATGAAATGAATCTATAAAGTTTGATTCATTCTAAAAGACCCTATGAATAATTTGGGATAGCCTAACTCGCGGTAATTTGAGCATAGAAACCACTGGACCTATATCACTAAGTAGGAGTATTCTTTAAAATAATTATTTCAAAACAGGGAACGATTAGCATGTCATTATTACTATAATTTTCTTAGCATAGCCTCACCAGTTTTCCGCATTTTTCTTCTTTGTAGATATCAGTTGTAGTTTTGCCTCATCAATTTTACTATGGTACATAGTATCATTAATATTTATGGTTTTTTAATTGTAGGAGAAGAAACTACTTTTGGAAAGAGATGGACCTAACATCGCACGCATCTCAGTTTTTGAGGTACGTTTCTATATGTGAGCGTAAATTATTTTTATGGACCGTAATCAGCTTTAGTAGTGCCAAGAAAGACGACTCATAATTCAAGAGGGCAGTTTAGTTGCCAGACCATATAGTAATCACCTTTCTGGGTATTCAAACTTAGACCAATTCTGGGTATGATCATCAAAGGTTTCCATATTTCGCAAAAAATGTTTGTAAACGTGCTTTGGTGATGAATGTTACAAATTTCCCAGAAAATCTTTTGGTCTGTTGCCTGAAATTTTCATAAAATTAACCATTGGAAACCATTTTACGCAGTTGTGATGAATGATGGGCACAAACTTGGCTATTTCTATTGTTACATGGTAGTAACCAACCGATTACAAAAAAGAGCGCTCAGTTGTAAGTACTAGGTTGATTAGCATTTTCGAACCGTTCCCAGTCATTGAGCCATGGTAAATCAGTCAAGATATTTTCACGTGAAGCAGAGAAACAAGATTTTCAGTATTTCCCTCGAGGAACACACCTAAGCTCTAGAATGACAAAACCCAGCTCCCTAAAGTTGAATGGTGATCTATTAATTAAACTTTTCAAGCTCTCAAAATTTCAATCGAGTGTAATACAGGTCAACAAACTATCTTTTGTATGGAGGAAACTATTTGAGCAGTTTAGATTGAAGTGGGCTGGCAGTATCTCAGGAAGACCTTTTTTTCATCAATAATGGTTGTTTTACTGCTTAGGAATTTAGGACGAAGTAGTGCCTTCATTTGGTTCGCTAGATAAGCTCAACATTGTATTGGTTGTGAACACGCAATGTCTTTCCTTTTTCTCATGCACATTTTTTTTCTCCTCTTCATTAAGTTGAGTTTTTTAATCGTATTTTAAATCATGCTTTTTGCTTCCCTCTCTTGTTCTATAACCTTGGATATGATGGGGTGTTTTCCATGCACAACAAATTATCAGATGAAACTAGACTGAATGTAAAATGTGTTGTTTATATGCAGTCTGATGGGATGTTATGTGTTATTAACCTACTCTTTCTTTGCTGCAGACCAATAGGTTATCTAAGAATAATATGGTCGGATATTGTGAGATTGATCTCTTTGAAGTTCTTTCTTCTGTAAGGCATCTGAATATTCTGAAGTTTCTTGATTTTATGATTTTATCAAAGTTTCCCAACCTTTAATCGGATGACCATTCTATGCTTAGATTTTCATGCTTCCACATGGATGGAATGTAAAATTTATCATTTTATTTAAGCATTTGGGCGTCATTCGGTTTGATTTCATCACACATGTATAAATTTTTTCATTAGCTGTAAGCCTATCTCATCATGTCATCAGTTTCTTGTGTCCGCTGCTATGAATTATCATTCGTCAAAGATATATCTCTAAACTTTGATCTTGCTTAAAAAATCAGTAGATTTTGGTTTATGTAATTTATTTTCAACCTCTTAGGATTTATTTATCCATTTAACAATCTTCTTGCTTCATGATTTTTTTTTCTTTTGGAGAGGATTAAGTCTTTGAATGGGGATGACTAGGAACAGGATAATCCTATTTGATGATTAATTTATTTTTCTGTATCTTGCCGAAGGATGTTCGTACATAAAGATTCATAGAGTGTGCAAAACCTAAATAAATTCTCTGGGAGCCAGAAAAACTTATACAGTAAAATTTCATGTTCTGACATATTTTTAGTTAGTGCGTGTCATTTCTCATTTCAAAATTGTAACGCTAAAATAGCTACTGTTAAACTCTAATAAAAAAAGTGAGCTGTTAATTAGATAATTAATTATTTGTCATGCTTTTTAATATCTGATTTTTCTTATAGCTATTGCTTTTTGTTGAAACTCTCTTTGTCCCATTCAATAATTTATTTGTTGAGTTCCTCGTCTTCTGCAGGATTCTATCTCCAATATATCATTTACCTTGGCAGATCCATTGTCATCCAATGCAATTGTTGGTACTATAAGTCTCTCATTTTCTGTTGAGGTACTAATTTCTTGGAACTAGTTTTTATTTTTCCTGTTTTTGAGTCAGTAATCTTTTTATAGTTCTTTGAAATTTGATCTTTTAACTTTTGGCAGGATCCTATTGTGACAGAACAATCTTTTGCTCGACGTGTCTTAGCTATAGTGGTAAATTTTTTATTAAGAGTATTCTAGCTTTGAAATCGAAAGTTTCAGTGATATTCTATTATACCTTCTTGTGATGTTCAGTTCTGTAGTCGTTCATCTTGTAGGAGATTTATATCAATGAAATTCTGATGTAGAATGGTTACATTAACTTCTAATATTAATTATTATTCACATATTTTGAGTTGTACCATTCTACAGTCCCTATGCATGGTTTTGCTGGGGTTTGCCGCTTAACAATTGTGGACCATTGGGGTTTCTTAAACCATTTCATTTGGCTCCGCTGTGAGATTGACTCATGCTTATTTCTCCCTTAGAGGCTGTGAGATTTATTCTTTCAGGTTTGCCTTGGTGGAGGTCATTGTATGTCACACACTGTCTGCCATTGAAATTATTTGAGAACATGCGAAGGGACTATGTAGGAGAACCTTACAAGATCACAATGAACATAGAAGAAACATTGACAACCTTAATACGTCTACAGAAACGTGTAACATTATGAATATAGAATATTTATGCAAAAACTCCAACGGAGCTTCATGATAGATCAAGAATGACGAAAATGATAAAACAGAATGATTGCAGAAAATTCAAGGATGTTGAAAAACCCTATTAAACATGAGAGATTGAGTGAAAATATTTACGTTGTAGTCTATTTTCCGCTTATTTTCTTTACTTTGGCTTATGAACCAACATATTAGTCTTTTTTCTTCAAAACTGAATAATACCCGGGAATGCAACGAAGTTGTTAAATGAAAAGCCATATTAAGCAGGTAAAATTCATGAATGAACATTTGGATCCTAGCTTGTTTTTCGTTTACTATCTTTTAACTTGGGCTTATCAAAGCAACATAATGATCTTTGTCTTGAAAACAAGATAGCGTCAGTTAATGCGAGGTCAAAAAGTCCATTAAACGTCCAAAAAATGATTCAATGTTTTTAAATTCTGTTCTTGTTGCGGAAGGAAAAGAATTCCTCTGCTGCTTTTTATGAGCCAAATGTGAAAAACCCGGCATATGAAAGTAAATTAGGTATGCGATTTGAAAGCTTTGAAATATCAAGTGCTGTGTGCTCATCGGATATAGTTTCCTATTATAGGAAAAATGGATCCCCAAAATATGAATGCTTCGGCCCTGTGATAAAGAAGAATTGTCATCGCATATCAATTAATCTGGAATATAAAAACGTTAGTTGTATTATTTCATGAATGTGTTGCGAGTAGTTGAGCAGATTTAGGAAAGTAATTCAAATTTTAACTTTAGTTTTTGGCGTATCCAGCTTTCATGCACTGACTTGTGTGCCGGATATTTTGACGAATGATTTTTATTTTATAATGATGTTATATATACTTTTAGAGGAGCCATAAAATTCACTATTCTTGAAGATTTGAGGTTTCAATTTTCAATTTTCATAATCCTTGTATATCTTTATTTACTAAGCGATTTTTGGAGGCAGGATTACAATCAAGATGGAATTCTTTCATTATCTGAGTTCTCTGAATTGATCACTGCTTTTGGTAATCAAACTGCCATTAGCAAGGTCTGTACTTTACGATACATAATTAATCCCGTGTTTGTTTCGAATGTCTAAATGCAATATTATTGATTTTTTTCAATATTAGATAGAAGAACTTTTCAGAGAAGCAGACAAGAATGGTGATGGAGCCGTCAGTGTGGATGAGTTGGCAATTCTGTTGGCTGGTCACCAGGAAAAGTAAGGATTCAGTTTGGGTGGTTTTAAGTAGATATAGTGTCTGCTGGAAGTATCTTGATAAGTCAATCCATTTCATGTAATTTAAACATTTCCTGGAAGATGTAAAAACAAAGACAGTATGACCTTGTTTAGTTCCTTGGTAGGAGCGTTTCGTAATATCCGAATTTTCTCGTGCAGGGAGTTACTTATAAGTGCCTGTCCTGTTTGTGGTGAGAAACTTGAAGAGGTTCACAAGTTGAATGTTGTAATTCACTTGACATTATGCTTTGACGAGGGAACTGGAAATCAAGTAATGACAGGAGGATTTCTGACAGAAAAGCAGGCTTCATTTGGGTAAAGCATTGTACATTCTCGAGAAGACATAATTCGTTCCGTTTCCATTACTTTCCCTTGTTTACTTCTCATTATCAAATTATTGGCAAGGTTTGATACCCATATTAGTACCTTTTTCATGTGTGTAGGTGGCTGTTGAAGCTAAGTGAATGGGCCCACTTTTCGTCGTATGACATTGGTCTGCGTTCTGGATCAAATGCTTCGCACATACTGGTGCGTTATTTATAATAAAAAAACCATTTTTCTACACATTCTCTATCCTTATCCTTGTGAATTATAACCCTCCCGCTAGATTTATGAAATTGTGATGCTGATACAGCTCGGCAAATTTGCATTTTTTGTGCTGTAACAAAACTTAGTCTCATTTTTTCTGTGATAAAGAATGCTTACTGTTTGTTTTATAATTATTCATAGGGCGCATTTCCTGAAGATAGTATTGAGCTGTATTGAGTTTAGAGATTCAGAAACCCAAAATCATATTTTTTGTCTGAATAGTTTTAGACGAGGCTGTAAATTTAAACTGAATGTGCATCTATTTCAGTTTTCATCTGAATTAATTTCTATAACCCAACTGAAAATCTTATCATATCAAATGACTAGACGAGTCGTATTTTGGATGAGTCCAGACTTGGGGTGCTTATCATAACGCTTTTCTGAATTTTTACCTTTCATTTAAGTTTTGTTTCGTAAATCCAACTTATTATGACAAGAATTTTAGACAGGACATCTTGTTTATTGTATCAGTCATTGTAACAAATCCGAAGGGCAGGACTATGAACTCTTGTACTCATTCTTCATCGAGCATGTTAATGTGTTTCATAATCTGAGGAGACTGGTTATGTCTTTTACATTTGGTGTCTGAGATTCTCATCATGTCTCGTAATAGAAACTTCTAATACTCCTGTTTCCATCAACATATAAGTTAGAGACTTTATGGTGACAAAGCGCCGTGCATTTAATTTGAGATGTTGTGTCGATATAAAAATTCCGAAAATGCACTCTATAGCTGCAAATTAATCTGGCATTTTGAGTCTATTTTAATCTTGAAGTTTTGTTTCCATTTTAACATTATTATATAATACAACTGAATGCAAGTAAAGATAACTGCGGTCAAATACTTCATCACTCTCTTAATGCTTTCAATTATTTCAGGTTTTTGATCGAATAACTAAGAGACTAGTAGAAGAAGTCATCGATGGAAAAATTATTTTGTCAATGAGAGCGATTTATCAGTCTAAAATTGGGCTTACCCTCATTGATAAAGGTATGGATTTTAGGCTTTTTTGTGCTCCCGCATCAGTTTTAACAGTCAAATAATAAGACATTACTGTGTTCACAAAAAATACAAAGAATCCATAAAACTAACTGTTGGAAATGGAGAAACGACATCTGTCACGGAGGACAGAGGGGAGAACGGCGGAAAACCGCCTTACTCATTCATCATTAATGTCCCTTGAATAGGCACGAACCCTAGATGCACTTTCCCATAAGACCCTTAGTCATTTACAATATTACACTTATATCTTCTCACACTAACGATGTGAACAAGTTGAGAAACAACATGCATTCTATGATGTTGTTTCGTTCTTCTGTTACAAACCTTGGGAGTATTATTTTCGTTTTACTGAAAGAACCATATTAAGTGAACAACTGCCTAGTCTAGATGTTTTTCTTGAGAGACCATGTATAAAATTCATTTGTAAAATAATTGAGCGTTTATTCTTTCAGAAAAAAACAAATATTTTTTGTACACAGTGATATCATGTTGCTGATAAAAGGATTTTTTTTGGATGATAATCTCGAATTCTAACTATTTGACTCTTTTAGTGCAACATGCTTATTTCTTTGGAAGGACAGTGCATATCCGACGTGTCATATTTTTAAGTTGCTCCTCTCCAGCGTCATATCCAACAGTTAATAAACTATTTGATTGTGGTTCACATGAAATGGGACTATTATTACCAATTCATTTTAATAAACAGTTCCTTACCTGTAAACTGTATTTCATGGGCACTTATGCTGCTTTTCGTTCGTCTAGGTGCTAAGTCAATACTGCAAGGCATTTCAGAGAAACAAGGAAAGAAGATGAGTACAGCTGAATCGGCTAAAAAAATACCAGAATTTATCGAATTCTTTAAGGTAGAGTTGCTGTCGTGATAGTTAATATGTTTTTGCCCACGAAGTTTTCTATAGAAAATAAAGATTAGTGAAATATTCTTTAAGGTGTCTTGCTTTACACAACTTTGTTGTCTCTGTGTAGTTGGTCTATTTTACAAGCTGGCTCACGTTTCCATATTTAGGCCATAATGTTAATCAAAGTGTCATACGTTCCTAAGGAGAGAATGAGTATAAAAAGTTGGCTGCTTACTGATAAATGAAAAGAATTTTGCATCAAGAAAGATCTCTCTCATCCAGAATAGTCTTCTTCGTCACCAACCCTTGACATCGTTTAATTTATATCGTCAAACCAATGAGGCAATTACACTTCTCTTCTGTTCCAAAATAAACCAAGCATTATGTTTTGATAACGACCAGAAATCGAGTCCAACTTAATGTCATAGTCCTGGTACATATATGCTGATTGCTCAGGACCATGTACATAGATGGTTGCAGTTGACTCGGAATTGAATGCAGTGGGTTATATTGGCTAATTATGAAGACCCTACGAAAAATGTAGAATTAGAAATCCTGATTTTATCGTGTTTCATTTGTATACCAACATCGAATCTCTTACTATTTTCCAGTAATTATCAAGCCTCTTCAACTGTTTTGTCATAAATACCACCACTATGTCATCTAGTGATCGCACAGTGGATGGGTTGTTTAAATTTTCCTTTTTGATGTTAGACTGTTATTTTTCCACTGTCTTCAGTCTTCAACTCCACTAGAAATGGTGTTTGTTTCCCACTCGAGAACAAGGATTTATATATAGACCCTAAATTGGTCTGAATCTGTTTTTAATTCTGGCTGGGCAAATGGCTGACCTCAGTTGTACAAGAAGACGAGTCAATCTGTATGATCTGAGGACAGATCCCTATCTGGGTAGCTTATATGGTTGCGTGAACGGATTCCTAGTACCATGATTATCTTGTCCCTATTTTCTGAATGGAAATTATGAGAGGCGTATTTACGTTTAATTTTTTTGGAGGACATGTTGTTTCGTGCCAATGTTATCCGGGTGTAATTGTCAATATTCTAGGTTACTAATTCATGTATTCATCCTTATGCTTAATGTTTTTTAAGTCTTCTGGCTAATATTATCTTTAATCATGCAAGGAAGTGATACTCGTTAAATTTTTCAGGATCAAATTAATGTTGATGAGATGAAGCATCCGATTGAACACTTTAAGGTAGCCTCTTATACTGTACTGGTATCAAATGAATAATTTTGTAATCATCCCGCCATCATCTTGAAGACTTTGTCTCATGTATCTTTGTTCAGCGTGCGATCATCAGATTTGCGTGTATTTGAGCAAAACAATGACTATTTTTCTTATTCAATATCACATTGATGCATAACGGTCTCCTACATGATGAGGCGCCTCACAAATATTATGTTCTGTTTCCTTTTTATTTGTATCAACAATTGTATATTCTTTTGGACCAAATTCATTGAGCCATACAAATTATTGAGGTCATATTTATCTCTAAGATTTATTAATAGGCTATTAGAAGTATTGCTTTACACTTATTGGACCTTATAAAATATCAAAAAAATCTAACTAAATATTAGAGAAAACATCTTTGAATTGTTGGCACATTACACGTTCCTGTGTCCAGTTAGAACTCTTTGATTCAGATGTAAGTGATTAGCTATCCCAACATTCTGAGACACGTCTCTATTGTGATCTGTAGAGACGGGGTCAGACAACCCTGAAGTAGGTGACTAAGGAAGAGTGAAAACAGAGATGATGGACAAGCAAGAATGAAGATGACTGTAGGAAGGTAGTCGGACAGCATAGATGGAGGCAGCTCAGGTGACGGTAAATGGGAATGTGAGGAGGATGAGGAACAGGCATTTATTGGGGATTGTAGATGTTCTGCGGTGACAAAAGTTAAAGGATCCAGTCAGTCATGAAATCATGAAAAGTATCTAATTAAGGCTGGTGGCAAGTGTTGGTGTTTTCAAAGATGAAGAGGCGGAAAGTGGGGGCAACGATCGAGTCACCTCTCCATTTCTGTGGGGTCGAAATGGGGAGGAGATCGCAGATATGTGGAGGAAAATTTGGGGCAAAAAAATTGGTTAAGGTACCATCATAACTTTGAGAACATCTCAAAGTTCTGCAATAAATCTCTTTCTCAATAATCATAGTATGTCAGTAAAATAAAATAAAAAGATTAATTGGTTATCTAGAAAAACCAATTTCTGAAGTCCTTGTTGTCTTGGTGAACAATGCGTCCACTTTATGTCTCGTATTCCAGAAATGATTCCTTCTAGATTTGAATTTTTTTTCCTAAATCTATTAGGTGGTAGGGGGGGACTGCCATATGAGAACTATTGATGTGATAACTGATACAATAGGTCATCTTCAACATGGCATGGCCTATAACATAATGAACACATTTCATACAACTCTGTTTTTGGCTGTTTATAAATTATCCGTATCTATGTTTTATTTCACTGTCATGACTTGTATATTCCATTTCTAGTATCAACCCCGAAATATGTGGTAACCAATAATCAGACTTGTTTAAACATATTTACTTCATCACACCTCTCCTTTTATATCATATTTCGTGGGGCCGTGGTTAGTATGATCAACTTATAATTATGAAGTTTTAAATTTGTGTTCACAGAGAAAGTCGGACAGTGCCTCCAACTGCATTTTCTGTGTTATAATGCAGCATTGATAAATTGATGTATCCCATCAGTACATGAACTTTGTCTTTTATGCAGACATTTAATGATTTCTTCATAAGGGAACTGAAAAATGGTGCAAGACCAATTGCTTTTAAAGAACGTGATGATATCGCTACTTGTGCTGCTGATTGTCGTCTCACAGCTTTTGAATCTGTTGATGATAGTTTAAGGTTTTGGATAAAGGTGAGTTTTTTATTCCCTGGGCAAGAATTGTCATAGTAATATTTTTTTGACAATAACTCTTCTTGGATGTGAAAAATGAACACAGAAGTTAAATACATTCTTTCGTACTTCGGACGAGTTCATTTCTCCCTCTCTCTCCCCTCATTTTTCTTAGCATATTTTTCGATGCGTTAAAATGCATTATTTGGAACACAGATGAAAGGATGTCTTAATAATTGGTTAAGGGATTCATTGCATATCGATGTTTACATCCATAAGCCCAGAAAACGGTTTGCATGATAATAACCCATGCTAAACATCATAAGGCTGATGTGTAATGTGGATTCTAGCATGATGTCTCTTTGATGCTCAAGTAATACTCAATCGTGTTATTTACTTTTAATAAATAAATAATTCATTGAAAACATATTATAAATTATGCTCAAGCCAGAAATGGTCTTTGCAGTAAGTGCGGCAGTGACACCTATATCAACTCTCTCAGAACACTGTTATTACTTCCTAGACCATCTTTCTGTCCGACGTGTTTACCTGTTGAGACTTTTCACTTGCCATGCGGAAAAGCTAATATGTTGCACAAAGTATAAAGGCCGAGAGGAATTTATTGTTGCATAGTGGCAGGCTTGAGGTTACACTGCGACCATTCTTATTATCCTGCGCTTTTGTAGCTATTGATGAGATAATACCAAAATTCCCAATGTCAGAAATTAACAGTTATTTTATTTTTATAATATCTTAAATACTTTTCAGGGACGTAAATTTTCCATTCGAGGTTTACTTGGGGCAGAAACTTATTCTAGTACTTTTGACCAAGGATCCTTGGTGATATTTCGACTGGCACCTCAAGTACTCTTTGACACTCCTTTCAGCTTTGAGTAGAACGTTTTCTCTTATTTCGTGACATTCAACTCAAGATGATAACCCCGATTTCTCGTTCCTAATCTTGCAGGACTATCATCGTTTCCATTCTCCGGTTTCTGGGGTGATTGAGAAATTTGTAGATATACCTGGATGCCTGTACACGGTACTTTTGAATTTATTTTTTTTTTCTTCACTGTATAAGCTCATCCGTTTCTTAAGTGCTTTTTCCTGGTTCTGAGTTCTGATTGCTTTTTTCTCCTTTTTTGCCAGGTTAATCCCATAGCCGTGAACAGTAATTACTGCAATGTATTTACCGAGAATAAGCGAGCTGTATCTGTCATTTCAACCAAAGATTTCGGGAAGGTATACTTTGTGGAACTTATTAATAATGATATCCCTTTGATATAATTGTCACGGTCCACAGGGACAATGGGACTTGACCCAGTGTGTGGAGGTGGGATTTTTCTAATGACCCTGATCCTCCTCGATACTGGTTAGGATCAGAAGATTTGCATATTTGAAGTCTTCGTCGAATATCAAATTTATAAGGGAGTTTCGACCGTGTATATGTATGATCGAGACAGCCAGAGTCACTTCAAGTCTCAATAATGTACAATATGGCTGGGATTTTCACCTTCCATACAAAACCGATAGCGAGCAATCATTTCTCCCTTCCAAGATTTTATTTATAGTGGAAAAACCCAGTTCACGAAATAAGCATAGACCTGTCATTACCTTGCAAACCCAAAATTTTGGTTGAGAACATCTAAAGGGGTGGTCTAACATGCCGTGCTTACTTATAGCTCTTAATATTTTTGATGCAGGTGGCATTTGTTGCCGTTGGAGCTACGATGGTAGGTAGCATCACATTTGTGAAGAAAGAGGGCGAGTTCATCAACAAAGGAGATCAGGTTAAACTTGAGATTTTATTTATTTACTTATTTATTTCTCCCTCCGTATTTGATAAATATTGACTAACGTGGGGCGATTCTTTCATGCATTTCAGTTCGGATATTTCTCATTTGGAGGAAGCACTGTCATCTGCGTCTTTGAAAAGGTCTATTTCTCTGCTCAATAATGACATTCATCACTCCTGCTTTGTTGCACCTGAAACTGGTTATTCCTCCTTTCGAGATATCAACCACCTTGAAACCAAACTCACTATGAACATGCTTCTGGAGTTCTAAAGTAGTTTTATGATCACCCTTTCCTTCCTCCATGGAATCACAGCAAATTATTGCTTTCCCCATTTTTGTTGGTACTTTATGCAATCTAAACCAAGGACATAAATCGTGAAACGGTGAAGAAATCATTAGTTAGTTTACGTGGGTGCCGGAATTCAACCTTTTAATTGGTGATTTCGAGATATGCAAAGAGGCTTCCGACAGAATCAGACCACTTGGTGAACATATTCAATGCGTGTAGCAAAAAACTGGAGTAGTTACGTACAAAAAACTCTTCCAGGAGAAGATTCGTTCCCTGGTATCAAGACTCAAGTAGGTACCTAGGAGTGTAGAACCAGAACAATCATCCTTTGAAACGAGTGGTATGAGACGGGCAGAAGTATGAGATGTGGAAGAAGCAGATGGGAATAAAATTTTCTTCTTAATCCTCATTTTTCATACTTGAGCTCGAGATCTCATGATCGTATGTGCTAACTAGTTAGGCTCCATTACTCTTTGCAGGATGCGATAGAGATCGACAAGGATCTCCTCTCAAACAGCAGGAGATCGCTGGAGACGCTCGTCCGTGTGGGAATGAGGCTGGGTGTCTCCAGAAGAAGTGGAGGCCCCATTCAGCTGCCGCGGGTGGAAGATTGCGCTCTGGAAGGTTGAGGGAGACGGGAATTCTTCGAACCAGATGCCTCCCTCCATTTCTTGAAGGTGTTGCTTTGCTGGTATGTGATTCTTGACTTTGGTCATCAATGATTTGATGAATGATGCGTCATGTCTAGGAACATTCCTCTAAATTGTTCTTAATTTTCATACGATCAAGGGGGAACTTGAATAAATATTATAAGTTAGCTTACTTGAGAAGAGCACCCATGGAACTAATATCACTCTTGCTTGTCCACAACCGAATATATTTCTATGATATTTCACAAGATTAAAGGCCTAAAGCATATTTCTACTATTCTTCACATCAAACTAGGGCTATGATCGCCCATTTAACTGTCAAAAACCTCTACTCTACCCGGAAAATGGATTCATGAGAAAGAAATTGTCAAGTATTATATATGGGCATGAAAAGTGAAGTTCCATTGAGAGAATAATGGTATAGCTCAACAGAGTTCCAGCCTCCTATCAAAATAACTCATATAACTTCAAATATGACGACAGATGGCCTTGATCTTGTATCAAAGTAGAAGCAATCTGATTGATTGCAGCCCAAGCATCTGTCTGATGATCATTGCTTGTTACACTTTGTTCCATTGCCTGCTATTCCTCTTCTTGTGGTGGTGTTAGATTTTAGAGATTAGACGAAGAGGTGATCCCAGAAGGTATGCGGAGGCTCTCTAAAAGCATAAGAAATCAAGGAGATAAGTTTGATACGATCACTCACATTACATTCTCAAGCAAAAACAGAAAAACCTTAATGCTAAAATATCCTCAAAGCCAATATATGTTTCTAAAATTCATTTCTAAAAATCAAACCTTGATAGGAGATCCTAGTGCTAATTGTGGAGCCAATACATATAAGAACAAAATAACCCCAACCCCCTAATTCTTAGTATGGTATTAAGCGAACAGTGGCATGGTTAATAAGACTTTTAGGCAAGTTGAGTTGATAATAAATTTGAATTCAATGCAGCAAATCAGCTGATTGGTTTCCACAACCCATAAGAATTTAACCCAAAATAGCATATTTCATCTGTGCATGGGAATAGAGAAAAAAATGAAGAACCCTGAATTCATGGCATAATAATGGATGAGAAAATGGGATGAATTTAGATATTATCTCTACTCTTTTTAAGACAAGGTGCTAGAAAGGTAAATTCACACGAGAAAGTCTAAATAGATAGTTATAACCAATAAAACGTTGTGGGAAAGTTCTAATTCTAGTCTTACAATTGTAGCCAATCAGATCCTTCATACAATAAGCCACTTTTGATATATGCAAAGAAAGTTGCAAATGAACCATAGTTTACTTAGTCGATTTCATCTCAAAAAATATTAATTTTAAAGTTAAATCACATATATATATATATATATATATATCTGTATATATATAGATGCTCATCTCTCTACCTATCCATCCATCTATCCATCGACACACAAGTCTGAGTATATATCATCTCTCTTTTCATCCTTCTATATGTTTATGAAAATCCTACTTTAAAAATCATAATATTCAATATAACTATAACTATATTATATACTTCTACACCCAACCACTTGCCTTCCTATCTACCTATTTAAATGGGCATCTACCATTAGCATGGTGAATGGGATCATCTTGTGCATTTTGACACTAGTTTTAGTTTAATCCCCTACCATGTTTTGAAGGCCATGAAGGAGAGAATATCTGCAAAAGAAGAATATATGATTTTTTGTACTCGATTTCTTCAACCAATAACCCCTCTACTACTCTCAATAATTTATGGCAGCACATGTCAATTATGAGGCAAAATTATGAATAATATAATTCAGGTTAGATTCACAAAAACGGAATTAATTGTAACCAATTGCATGCTCGTACATGAGCATTCGATAAGCTATAGATAGCAGCTTCATCTTACCATGAAATATTTACATGAGCCCATAAACACCTAGAATTTTACTTTAGTATGAATACTTAACATACTAAAGTATGAATAATTTAAGTTGGTCCTTGTAAGAATTCCCTCTATTTCTTTCCCCTGTTTCCTTTTTCTCTTTCTCTTCTCCCACCCTCGCCGCCATTCTGCCTCCTCATCGCCACCTCGTCGGCACCATTCCACCTCCTCGCCGTCCGCCTAGCCGTCCACCTCGCCGTCAGCCTCGTCGCCGCCGTTCTGTCTCCTCACCGCCCGCCTCGTCACCCTTTTTTCTTTCTCTCCCGCTGACGCCCCTCATTTCGCCCCCCTTTTTCTCTCTCTCCGGCCATCGCCACGAGAACCTCCTTTTTTCTCTCTCCTCCGTTGACGACTTCTCATTTCACCTCTTTCTCTCCCCGCCCCTTTATTTATTATTTATCCATTGATTAAGATACGTTGAGCCCTCTCCTATCGTGAAATTTAGTCTATTCAAAAGTCCTTGCTCTTAAGACTTTGTGGTCCATAGGATAACAACTCCATACATCTTGGTGATCCTAAACATGGTTCTAATCATCTATGATTTCTTGAATTAGGCCTCACAATGACTAATTAAACAATCCTTTCATCTGAATTGTGAGATTAATTTCTCTTAAATCTTTTATTTGAAATTTGATCTAAGTCTAATTTCTAACCACTTCTTAGATTTCCTAAAGATTAAGAGAACCCCATTTTGGATAGTCTCTATCTTCTTCCCAGTCCCACATCATCAATGTAAGTCTAACCTTCTATCAAAATAACTCATATAACTTCAAATATGACGAGGGACGATCTTGATCTTCAGTTGAAGTAGAAGTAATTTGCTTATATGTGGCTTAAGCATTTGTCTGATAATTATTATCAATTACATTTTACTCCATTAGCTGTCGCTCCTCTTTTTGTGATGATGTTATAGTTTGGAGACTAGATGAAGAAGTGATCTTAGAAAGTACATGAAGGTTCTTTGAAAGTACAACAAATTGAGGATATGAATTCAATCTTGTTGCTAAACTATTTTCAATGCCAAAATATGTGGAGAAGAATCAAACATGGATAGAAGATTTTAGTGCTATAAATGTGGAGATGATACATAGGAACAAAATACTCTCAAGCCCCTAATGGTTGGTGTGATATTCAATATATATTGGCATGATTAATAAGACTTTTAGACAAGGTCATAGTGAATGAATGACTTTCACAACCTTCAAGAACCTAACCCACAACACTATATTTCATTTGTGTATGGGAATATAAATTAAAAAAATTTGAGAACCCTTAATTCATGGAATAATAGTACCTTAGAAAATGAGACAAAAATTATTAAATTTTCTCTACCCTTGTTACAACAAAATACGAAAAAGGTGAATTCATGCAAGAAAGTCTTAATAAATAGTTATAACCAAGAAAATATTACCACGGGTTCGATCCCAATCTTACAACTATCATCAATCAGATCCTTCATACAATTAACCAACCACATGATATATGCAAAGAAAGTTAAAAATGAAGCATAATTTATTTAATCAATTGCTTCTCAAAAAACTATATTTTAAAATTAAAGTAGTTTATATGTACTCACTTCTCTACCTATCCATCCATCTATCTATTGACACACAAGTGAGTTATATATCATCTATTTCCATCCTTCTATGTGTATGTGAAATACTATAAATATTAGAATATTTAGTATAACTATAATTGTATCACATATTTATACACCAACCCACTTGTTTTCTCGTATACATATCTATGTGTATCTATTTGTTCCAGTATATTGAGATAGCTTTGATAATTCTACACTACATAAGGGCATTTGCCATTGACATGGTAAATGAGAGTATCTTGTGTGTTCTTATACTAATTTTACTTCTTTGATCCCCTACCATGTTTTGAAGGTCATGAAGGAGAGAGAATACTTACAATAGATAAATATATGATTTTGTGTAGTCGATTTCTTCAACCATTATCCCCTCCACTATAAATAATTTGTGAGGACATGTGTCGATTATGAAGCAAAATTATGAACAAAATAATTTAGGTTAGATTCACAAAATTAAACCAATGGTAACCTAACTTTTTATATGCTTGCCCAAGAGTGTGAATAAGCTAAGATTTGAATTCACTATATAAATGACAACTTTCATCTTACTATGAAATATTTGCTTAAGCCCATAAACACCTAGAAATTTCTTAATACGAATACTTAACATCTTAATTTAATTGAATAATAGGTAGACTTGTCGCATATGCTTCCTTCGGTTTTCTATGCCAAAGAAAAAGAAATAGCTTATCAATATTCTCAAGTCAAAATAAAAAATCTTAAAACAGTCACAACACTCAAGATAGAGTACTAAGCTTATAATGACATGAACTGAGTACTTTAGTCAAAAGTAGTTCTTTAAAAATTAATTCCACATATTGCTTGACACATAACTTCTAAGAACAAATCTAGTTTCAATAGACAATTAGAAGAAATAATATTACATTACATATAATATCATTTGAAGATATAATCTATGCTATTTGACCTTGATATATAAAGAGAAATTATTAGAATATTGAACATTGAGCCACATACATTGGGATATAATTATTGAGCTTACTTATGTAGTAGTCAATCTAATTACCTTAGGGCTATGAATCAGGTCACTTATACCCAACACACGATCTGATAGTCAATGATGGTGTATTAAAGTCACGAACCCTAACCCTAACCCTAAAAAAATGAACTCTTATTCTTTTTCTCTCACTCTGATAGTTCTCCTACTCGTTCGGGCAATTGTGACATAGCCCAAGATGAGAGAAACTCCAATGTGGTATCAAAATATTAGGTGTATACTTTCCAACTCTCTTTTTGAGTCATCTAAGCTCCTTGTATTGAAGGTTCATTTGCATTGAAACCATTAGCATTCTACTTCTTTATAGTTAGGGTTCACATGTTTACCTTTGTTTGAGATTTTGAACCCTAACTAATGATCGAGGCCCCTAGTTTATCTCCAATGCTAGTGAGTAAGTATATCCTAGGTGGTTTGAGCACCCTAAACTTATTACAATGTGAGGAAT